TAATATTTGGAACCAACAAGTCTATCACACTTCATGCGTTCTTTAGACTTACTAGCAGTTTGATATTGTCCTTCTGGGAAATCAATTATTCTTAGAGCATTTACAGCTGGTAAGTGACTCAACACTATATTTGGGTCAGTAATTGTATCTGGCAATTGATACAGTAAGTTTTGTGAATGAATTATCTTTTGGACTTTTATTTCACATACTATCGTCTGAGGATCAATGATAATTCATTCTAACTTTAATCTTTCTCCAGCTGTTTTATTTTCTCCCCCTGATGTTGGAAAGACTGAATCACTAAAATGACAGTCTACAAATTGAGCCATATTTAAATCCTTCATGGATAGCTCTAAATATTATCATAGGAGATTAACATCCAACATACATTTACTATCTCTTTCGAGGGTCCATCTTATATTGTTGTGGTGGAGCATTATGGATGTATTCTGCACATCCATAGATCTTTAGATGGAAAACTTTGGTTTCTGACCTAAACCAATTACGATGGGGAGAAATTTTAGTTATTCATTGGCTTTATGCGAATTAATGCTTTTGCATTATATGTAATTATGAACATTTGCTACTGGATGTTCAACATTTATTCTTACAAACATGTTTTTCTCAACAAAGATTTAAGATGTGATTTCACTAGCACTACCAAGTAATCTCGCAAACTTCAGGTTGCAGATATGTAATATTGATACATAACACTTGTTGATATATTTAAGAAACACCATAACATTTCTCTTACTGGATGATCAGTCCATATAATGGTTTATTAGACCACAAAAGTTTCTTATATTCTTTCTAGAAATTGGATACATTCCAAATCTATTTTGGCTAGTTGGTAATTGTATAATCATAATGTCTTATGATTAAACATCACATTATAGATAATTAAGAAGAATCTTCAAGTTCTTCAATAAATCTTTACATGATGTATTTTATTTCGCATAATTCTTGAACCGAAATGGTCTAACCAGCTCATGCCAAACTATGTTATATTTGGTAAACTTCTAGTTTACTACATAACATTTACATCTCCTATTTAATCTTTGTCTATGATGAGGCATTAGATAATGTATGTTATTTTTTCAAAATAATTTTACACCATTGAGTTACATTATATATGATTCATCAGGATTATTTTTAGTGTGAACATAATCTTCTAGATGTTCCACTTTCTAGTGATTGAGGGATTCATCCATTCTCCCCCTCGAGATGATGTCACTTCATGTTCATCAATCTCGAATGGAATCCTAGTATAAATCAATAATATATCCAACTTGAATCATGTTTTATATCTTTGATTCTTTAAACTTTTTATATTTCTATTATGTGTTTGATTCTTTTCACTTCTGGGATTTCAAAGATATAATGCATCAAAAATTATTTACTATAAGCAAATATAAATTTATATACTCTTCTGGAGATGTGTATCTTTTATTTGCTGCCATCTTTATTTTCTCACTTCTTATGAGAATTTGAGTTCTTGAAATAAAACTCTTTAGTTTTGACCTTAACATGAACTATAAAAGATTCATATTCATGTCTATGATCATATCTTTAATCATTCATATCACATTCACTTCAGGGAATGGATCAAAACCAATTAGACAAGATTCAAGATTTTCATTAGTAACTCATTATTTTATCAAAATAATTTCTTAAACTTTCTTCAATAATATTTTGTCAGCTGGACAATATATGCCTTTTATCATCATTGATTTACATTATCTTCCAGATAAATAAAAATCATTTATAGACTTCAAGTCTTGTAATCTTAAATGCAAATACAAAATATTCATATAGAGGATAATTGAAAAATAAATAAATATTATCAAACATATATATAAACAAAATATAATAAAATAATTAATTAATATAAATAACATTACCTTTTTATTATCACTTCAAGTGACAAATTTAATTTTAAGAATTTATTTGCTATTGTGTCTACTGGACAACAATATTTTTAAAATATTCCTTAAATATATTTATGCTATTGTATCTGCAGGACAACAATATTTTCATAATTTCTTCTTATACATTTTTATTAGTAATATATTTTCACTTATAAACTTCAAGTTTATATGGTCTGAGATGCTCTATCAGATCATATCACTTCAGATGATTGTTCATTTTCTTTAGATTGCTATATTAGATCACTTCTAGTGATCATGCCTTTCTTTTTACTCAATGGTAAAATTATTACATTTTAAAATCATGTAATGATAGAGAAATACACTTATTAGTATATAATAGTAATAATTGATTTGTTAAACCAAATCAAACCAATAAATAAAACAAATCAAGGGAATAATTATACATTTATTTATAATATTAAATCAGATATGCAATAATATAATATATATTATTATTAGCAATGATCAAATGATAATTTAGCAATAATAAGCAATCTCAATAGCAATATACGAAGTTATGTGCAAAATCAAACAATATTATTTTAATAAAGCTGATCAAGATTCATTTTAACAAAACAGTCAACAATCATTAAATAATAATATTAAATATATATTCAGAGTGATTTTAGCACTTATATTCAATTATAATTCATGTGTCAACAGGTCAACTTAAAAATTAATATGGTCAAGAATGCAATAATATTTCAAATTAATGCAAAATATGCAAATTAAAATTATCCAATTTTCAATAATTATTCATTTCATCAATTAATTAAATATATTACGAAAATAAATAAATAAATGAAAATAAATAAATAATAATAAACAATATAAAATCCTTCTGGGATAAAATAAAAATAGAAACAATATAAATCCTTCTGGGATATAAATAAAATATATCCTTCACGGATAAAAAATAAAAATAAATCCTTCAGGATAAAAAAATATAAATCCTTCGGATATATAAATAAATAAAATAAACATAAATATAAATAAATATGAATCCTATGGGATATAATAAAATAAATAATATAAAATTTCCTTCAGGGATAGTAAATATAAATCCTTCAGGATATAAATAAAATATCCTTCAGAATATATAATTGATATAATCCTTCAAGGAAAAATAATATATAGATCCTTCAGGGATATATAAATAATATTTTTTTTATAATATTAATCCTTCAGGGATATAATTTAACCAGAAAAAAAAATATAGCAATTGAATATATAATTACGAAAATAAATAAATATATATAAAGCATGTGTTTGCTGAATCCAAAATATTATCAATAAGTAATATAAATTAAGTATTGATAGAAATGGATTTTAGTATGATAAACACAAATCAACAAAGTAATAGAGATTACTCATTGAATTTTGTGAATTCAAACTATAAGAACTTTTTGTGATTACCTAGAAAAGCTAAGAGGTAGAACTTTCGTGCTGATAACGTGTTGTGAGAAAGAGAGAATGAAGGTTGTCTTATTCCATGAGGGAAGAGCTCTTTATATAGAGCACATAGTAGGGTTCCAAGAAATCAACATTGGGAGAAGTGGGCCTAATGGACATCCACCTATGGAACTAATGGGCATCCACTTACCCATAACAAGTTTAGATTTATTAAATTGAAAAGAAATTTTGAATCATTTTTATGTTGAACTTTTGCTATTCTTGGAATGAAAAAGCTTATTAATCTGCTTTGGAAAACTTATGAATATCAAGTAAAAAGAAAACATAAAGTCGTCCATATTGGAAAATTGATAAAATATGTAAAACCAGCATAAGAAATTAAAGGGTCTCATACAATTGCATCTGGTCCCCTCTTATAACATTTTCGAAAGTGAGAAGGTTCAACACTTTGTCTAATTGTCTTGTTTGGTTTTGCCTTTCCTCTATCCCATGAGCATTGTCTTAGTTTATTATATCTTCCCATTTCATGGGCTCTGTGTAAGGTGTTTATCACTTATTAAGAATATATTCAGATGAAAAAAAAAAAAACTTAAAGGGTCTTTGATTTTACTTCAGCCAAGTCAAACTTTCCTATTGGTTTACGGATGATAACGAAGAAGATTGGGTAGGTTGGTGTATTTTGGGTCGTGTTTGGGTTAAAACTAAATTTAGTTTGGTTTAAAATCAGGTGTGATTGGTTTGTGTTTGATTTTTAAACAATAACCGGAATTTTTTTAATCTGTGTGTAATTGGGTTTGGAACTTTCATTTTGTGTGTAAATAGGTATGCAAATTTTATTTGGTGGAGAAGCATAACGAGGTCTAAACTTTGTGTAAATATGACACTATATGATAATTCTAAGTGCTCCCAAATGAGATTTCTAAAGATTTGATCCCATTGACCAATTTCAAACCGATTGAATACTTTCTAAACCATACATTACTCAAAAAGCAAGAACAAACAAAATGTAAAACCAGATTAGGTTTCAGTATAACAACACTGGTATCATTCCTCAAGTTTCAAGTTGCATATATTTGTCTGTTAATAACAGGAAACAGTGTCGTTTGTGTAGTTGTCTAATAGCAAGATCACTCGCTAGCTCTCATTTAATTAAACAACCAAAAAATGCCTACGAAAAATGCATTGTGGATTTGTGATTATAGCATCAAGCAGAGCTAGTTTGGAATAAAACTTCGAGTTAGGACATAAATCAGAATGGTCAATAATTAACCATCAAACTTCTTGTTTTGCGTTCCTTGATATACATCAAAATAACATATGCAAGTCTATTTCAAATGGCTTTACATAATTTCTTTTTAAGTAATATGTAAAATACATGTTACAAGAATTGGCATAATCTTGAGAAGTAAATCTAAGCCTCTGGTCAAAAAAAAAAAAAAAACATGTAAATCTTATTTAATGAGTTAATTTACTTGACAAATTCGCATCATTTTCACCTTTGTCTCCTATTGGCCTTTTCTTTTCAATATTTTCATTTTTACCCTTTCTCTTTTTTTCTCTCGTATTCTTCTTTTGTCGTTTTGCTTAGATATTTATCTTGCAACAGTTTTCTTTCAAAGAGAGACGACTCAGAAGCAGAGAAAAGAGAAGAAGGAAGCTATGGCGGATCAACTCACTGACGAACAGATCTCCGAGTTCAAGGAAGCTTTCAGCCTCTTCGACAAAGATGGCGATGGTAAAATTCCTTCTTACTCCTTTTTCCCTCTTGTGATCGTTACTCTTTTCCATTTCCTGGATCTCGTTTTTCCATCTTCGTCATCAATCGATGAATTTATACATGATAGAACGACGAATACGTATACCTGATTCGATTAATCTCTTTAGATTCTTCGTCTTCGTCATCGGCCTATGTTGTACTCTCTGATTTACTGTGTTTGATCTTTGACTGAGTTTGACTTTTTTTCTCCTTTGATTGAAATCGATTCAATCGGTTCCTTTCATGTCTTGCTTAGCCGATTTGTTAGACTCGATCTGAAATTTTTGTTTCTCTTTGAATCATTGTTCGATCTATAATCTCTCTCGCGTTTGTATGTTTGCATCATCTCTGTTTGCTCATTATTGATGAAGAATCAGTCATCTTTCTCTCTGAGTATCTGAGTTTTCAACCAAAAACTGTCATCTCTATTCATAAATTGTCTGGGAATTGTTCTTGAATTGTCTCATAGTGTATATCATGACCGCTTTATTCATCAGAGATCTGCATTTTCTTGAAGCGTGAAGTGAAATTATGTGTAGATTTCGTTTTCTCAGATATTCAATGTGCTTTTGCATCTATCATTTGCTCTTCTCTGTGAAAGATCTTAGCTTTGTGTATCTGTCATTGGTTCTACAGGTTGCATCACTACGAAAGAGCTGGGAACAGTAATGAGGTCACTAGGGCAAAACCCGACGGAGGCGGAGCTCCAGGACATGATCAACGAGGTTGACGCAGATGGAAACGGCACGATCGACTTCCCCGAGTTCTTGAACCTGATGGCCAAGAAGATGAAAGACACTGACTCGGAGGAAGAGCTGAAAGAGGCGTTCAGGGTTTTCGACAAGGACCAGAACGGTTTCATCTCTGCTGCTGAGCTACGCCATGTGATGACCAATCTCGGTGAGAAGCTGACTGATGAGGAAGTTGAGGAGATGATCCGTGAGGCTGATGCTGATGGAGATGGTCAGATTAACTATGAAGAGTTTGTCAAGATTATGATGGCGAAGTGATTCTTATGATGATCGAAACCTTTTACTATCTACAACAGATTGTGTTTTTAATGCTTTTAGGAGTTTTAACCAAGAACATTTGCATGATTGGGAGAAAAAACTTGCTTTGAAAACTTGTTTTAGAATTTCTGGATTTGTGATTTTGTGTGTATTGGGAAACAGTTAAGTTGGTTTGAAACCGATGTGGCCACTTGCTTCGTTTCCGGTTCGGTTTTAGTCACATTTTGGCTCTCGTAGTCAATTGGTATCTATCGCTTTTATAAGGTGGTTGTGACTTTTTGTGAGGACCAGAGAAAAAGTGGTTAAGCAGAAAGATGGTTGAAATCGAAAAAAAAATTGCGATTAGAGAGAGTGCGGTTTGGTTTAATTATATTGCGTAACATTCAATATCTGGCCAATTTATTCCAACTATCTGTTTGAAACACTCGTGTTGCGTGTTAACCGTTTATTACATTTGTGTTTACAACGTCAACCGAAAAGACGATTTGTGCGGCTGCGTCCAATCAAATTCTGAATCTTTCATATGACAGATATGTGATGAAGAAATTACATTTTGGAATAAAGTGATTTGCTCTTATTGTCAAACAGTATAAAGTGCTTTTAACAAATGTCTTATTCCTCTCTCTCTATTTAGATACGAAGTTGGAATTTTAATGCTGGACAAACTGAAAATCGACACATGTAAAAGCCACAAGTATTTATTGTCTGTGGCCAATTTGGCCATTGGCCACACTTTGGCGTGTGGGGATGACATAGAAAATAGGCTAAATCTCTCCATTTGAAGACAAGTTTTTAATTAACTTCGGGACCCATTAACTTCCAAGTTCAAAACACTATTTTCCACACATTAAATTATTAATATGGTGTTTAGTATCTCAATTATTTTCATTCGTCACATAAATACGAACAGAAATTAATAATTATATAAAAGAATATTGGGAAAAATATCAACTATATTCTCATTAAAAACTATCAATATGATGAACTTTACCATATGAAATTGTTCCAAGAACAAAGTTGGTGTAGTGCCGTGGATTAGGCACTTTAAGTTGGTTTTGGTAGTTATGATTTGATAGTTATACTTCTCTTTAAATGTGATCTCGGTGATGATAGTTCAATTGCTTATATTAGATTTTGTTTTCTACTATGATCCCATTCTTAAAACATCACTCATTTTTTAAACATTTTTTCCTGTTTTTTTTCAGTATCAGTTTAGTACATTTTTGGGTTCTCTTTTATAATTTCGATTTAAACTTTAAAGTTTTGATCTATTAACATTTTTCCCCTGTTTTCCAGTTTCAATTCTTTTTCTAGTTACGATTGTAGAAATCTTTACTTTTTATTTTCATAGATTCGTATTCATTAGTTTTTGGCAATAATACTGATATTAGATTCTAAAAAATGGAACATTTCATTTTGTTCATACGCCATTTATGTGGAATACATTAAAAAAAGGAAGTTATTTAATAAAAGCAGATGCCTACTAGACTCTCCAGCTCACGTCACGCAATCTTTAACGCGTTTTCTCTAAAACGCGTTAATATTACGTCACTCGCTTCCCTTATTTATAAATAGATTTCATCTCAAACACACCAATCGTCTTCTCCACACTCATCGTTACACTCAATTTTTCTCTTCTCTCAAAACTTCAAATCCCTAATTCTCACTGTGACAATGTCGAAGAGCAACGGAGCTGCTCGTAGCTGTTTAGGCTCGATGGAAGACATCCGAAAAGTTTTCCAGCGATTCGACAAAAACGGAGACGGCAAAATCTCCGTCGACGAGCTCAAGGAAGTGATCCGCGCGCTGAGTCCATCGGCATCACCGGAGGAGACAGTTACGATGATGAAACAGTTCGATCTCGACGGAAACGGATTCATCGACATGGACGAGTTCGTCGCTCTTTTCCAAATCGGTGTGAATCCAGGAGGCGGAAACAGCAAAAGCGATCTGAAGGAAGCGTTTGAGCTCTACGATCTGGACGGTAACGGACGGATCTCGGCGAAAGAGCTTCACTCGGTGATGAAGAATCTCGGCGAGAAGTGCTCGGTGCAGGATTGTAAGAAGATGATTAGCAAAGTTGATACTGATGGTGATGGTTCCGTTAACTTTGAGGAGTTTAAGAAGATGATGAACAACGGCGGAGCTTGAGGATTTCGAAATTCCGCCGCCGTCGAATCGTGGATCAGACGGATTTTTCGACGGTGAGGATTGGATTAGGATTAATTCTAGTTTTTTGTATAGAGGGAAGCTAAAAAACAAATTTCGATTTCTCTGGTGGTTTAGTGACGGCGATTAGAAATTTTAGATGGTTATTGTCAAAATCCCTAAGAAATTAAAAGGCTAATCCTCTAAATGATTTAGAAGTTTCCAGTATTGTGTTTTACTTTCCTTTTAATTTCGTTTATGGTAATGACTAAATGATGTTGGAAGTTTTAGCTTATGATGTTAGATAAAACTTTATGTGACTGCATGTGATTTTTTCCCTTTTCATAACTAGGACTGAAGTAATGGGCCGGGCTTGACAATATAAGCCCAACCCGTTTTAAACTCCATCCCACACCTAAATATGAGAGAAAATTTTGATAATCAGAGCCAAATCAAGCTCACAAGAGAGGAGGATTATTATTGAGAGATCCACTTCTCATGGACTTGCACATATTTTGGACTCAAACAAGAAACCAAAAGTAAATAAAGAAAGAAAAAATTATTACATAAACCAGTTTTGAGATTCTTTGATAGACCAGTTTTAAACCGTACCATAGTTTCTAATTTGTAAACCAAATATGCACATGGAACTGAAGATTAGACCTGGGACCGGGATCGGTATAGAAATGACCTAAATACCCCTTGCACCGGGCACATCGATCCACTGGAGCTGTATCTCGACCTCACCACACTCCACGTGCTGGAGTCTAAGGAACATGTTCTGAACAAGCTTGCCTTGGTTCCACACAATGTGGCTCTCTTCAGACAGACAGTTTGTTCTGCTCGGTTGAATCTTCATTATGATGGTTCCATTGGGAAGTCCACCTTCAAGCTTGAGACGGAATTTGATTGCTTCAAGATATGGAGCGATGCTAAACTCTGCTTCTCCCATCTTATCATCCGCAGAGAACAAGTCCTTGTCGTAAACCGTCTGTGTGGTGAATAAATTTAACAAACCAAAGAATCTATCAGTTCTCAGGTCTAACGATCTTGCCAAAACAAGAAGTGTAAGAATCACTTACGAGTTTGATGGGGAGATTTGGATCAGTCACAGAGAGAGTCAAGTCGTCGTTCCATTCAGGGTTTATACTGCTTTTGATCACGCGGGTCTTCAGCTTCTGCTATCAAATAAACAAGAAGATATGAGACTCAATAATTCATTAGGTAAACTATAAATCAAGAAGTATGAAAATGCTTTTGACTTGATCTTGAGGTTGAGCCAAAAGGAGATAAAAAGTTATTATTTTCAATCATTTTATTGGTGGAACCAGAGAATTGATGATGATGACAGCAGAAGAAAGATTTTTCCTTTTTGATGGCTTAGAGTAAAAGAGATTACCAATATTCCAAGGGTCAATTTTCATAAAGTCAATAGAACATAATCATAACTCTTCTTCTTATTCACACACACTTTTATCAATTACATAACGCAACTCTTAAAGAAAACTAGGTTTTTCACCCGCGCAAGCGCGGGTCTGTTTTATAGTTTGATTAAATATTTTTTATTCATAAACTTTTGTGTTACTGGTTAGTAGCATGTTCATGATGACTCTTAACCGATGTTTTTATTTTTCGTTCTTTGTTTATTTTTCTTCGGTTTATTCTCCTTTATTTGGTTTCTTTTTCTTCTTTGGTTTCTTCTTCATTTTTACTCTCCTTTTATGTTTCTTCGTCCTCGCGATTTCTTATTCCGTTATTTGGCATGCTTCTTCATCTTTGTTCATCTTTTGTTTATTTTTTGTTTTCGTTCTTTGATATTCTTATCTTTTTTATATATATTCCTTATTATTCTTCTGTTTCTTCTATGATTAGTTCAGACGGTCGAAGTTGCTAGAATTTTACTTTTTTTCTATATTATTCTTTGCTGGAATTTTTTTCACGATTGTATCCCTTTTAGAAATATTTTTTTTGTGTAGTCCTCTTTAATTTAATTTTATGTAAAATAAAATTTTACACTATTTGATACACTTACCCAAACTTAAAAATGTAATGGATTCATAGAAATAAAATAAAGTTAGAGATATACAAATATAAATTCACACATATATTGAACAATGTCTAACAATAATACAAATAATTCAATTTATGTGATCATAAAAATATAGTTAAGAATAGCTTTCAATTTCATATTCTTTGGTATCATCTTTTTATTTGTTTTTTTGGTTTAATCTTATATTATATGGGGGTTTTTTATTTATAATTTTGTTCTTTGCTATCGTCTTCGCTTTTCTTAATACTTTTTTTTATGCTTTTCTTATGGTTCTTATTCTTCTATTTCTTCTATGATTTATTTGTTTCATCGAAAATGCTAGGGTTCCTAATAGTTTGTTTATTCCAGCTTCCTCTTCTTCTATGTATTAGTTGTTCTTCGCTTAAAATTCTCCACGACTATATTTTTTGGAAATATGTTTAGTATTGACCTCTATAATATTATACATGTTAAGTTAGTTTTTTTTGTTGGTATTAAAAAGAAATATTTTATAAAATCTTTAATGCAAAACATTTATAATATATTTAGATTAGGAAAGTTTCTTGAAAAATAAAAAGGAAAAATCCAAAATTTATATAATGATGTGGAGTAATACTATTGGTTGTTTAAAATTTAGAAAATTTTTTAATCTTGACGATATTTATGTGGACCAATCAAATACAGTCTAGAATCCTATGTGGACGCTCTTAGAGGCTTATAGCCTCAACTTTTATATAGTATAGATTAGATTAGGAAAGTTTCTTGAAAAATAAAAAGGAAATTACCAAATTTTATATAATGATGTGGAATAATACTATTGGTTGTTTAAAATTTAGAAAATTTCTTAATCTTGATGATGTTTATGTGGACCAATCAAATACAGTCTAGAATCCTATGTGGAGCTCTCATATTGGTTGTTTAAAATTTTGAAAATTTTCTTAATTTTATATGCTGATGTGGACTGATAAAATTGGTTATTTAAAAATTGGAAACTTTCTTAATATTGATAATGCTTAGATGGACCAATCAAATCGCGTCTTAAAATTCTATGTGGACGTCCTTAGAGGCTTATAATGATGTGGAGTAATACTATTGGTTGTTTAAAATTTAGAAAATTTCTTAATCTTGACGATGTTTATGTGGACCAATCAAATACAGTCTAGAATCCTATGTGGACGCTCTTAGAGGCTTATAGCCTCAACTTTTATATAGTATAGATATTCCCACAAGTTTTGATTTTCCTTTCTGGTTTTAGATTAAGACACCATAAACTAACTAATCTTCACACATATACCTAATAACAAGACTCAAAAGACTTCACATTAGCTTGTATAACTATGAGAAGAAGTAAAATCCTCCAAAACTGTCTATAATCCCAATTATTTTAAAACTAAAATCTTGATCAATCCAACAACTAAAAATCTCAGTTTGTGGTGATTATGTAGGGCTTAAAGAGAGAAAACAATCAATAATTCACTGTCAAATCCCAAAAAGAGTAATTGAGTTAAAGTTCTGATTTTCAACACCTTAAATCTCATTTTTTGGTGATTACATGATTGAGATCTAACATAAACAATCAATAATCCACTGTCAAATCTCAAAAGACACACAATTGAGTCTTCACTGAACAGATCACCATCCCTTTTATTACCAACATCACAGGTTTTGGACAAAAATGCATTTTTTTCAGAAAACGGATTAAAAAAAACTTGAAGATCAAGACTTTAAGGGACCCAAATCGGATTTGTAATACCTGTTTTCCGGAGTGAACAACGACGTAAGGATCGCTGCTATTGATATCTCTAATGGCGAGATTCACACCTCTCTTCACGTGAATTCTGAGAAGACCCAATAGATTCTCCATTGCTGATTGCGAAATCCAAAGTTGGTTTCTTTTTTTTCTTTGTTCTTTCCGTCTCCCGAGTGAGTACGAAACTGTGATCAGAGGGTTTTGTACTTTTATATAGACAGGCAGACGAAAGAGAAGTCTTCTATGGTTTACTAAAGTGACAGCAGTAGACGGAATTATTTTTTGTCTTTTTAATTATTATTTTTCTCCGTGGAAAATTATATTATTGATTATTCAATTCTACTACCTCGAGCCACCTCTGTCTTTTTCATATGGACTAAAAAGAAATAAAATAGGTTTGTTATCCCTAGAAACGATAACCATTACAACATGTTTATCGGATTTGATTTGAATATGGTTGGTAATAACGAACCATTATCCATGTTTATAAAAAAAACCATATACAGGAAGAGATTCTAATCAATAATGCTAATATTTTTCTAATCATGCTTGATGCTTACTCCATTTTATTATAAATTTTTTATAATAATACATTTGTTGCATAGAAAGTGTTGCATTGAAAGTGTGGGGGTTTTTGTTATACAAATTACATCAATGTATATCATTTTAGGTATGGGGTACTATTGTTTTCTTGTCTTTCTTCTTTTTACAACTTTTTTCTTGTCTTTATTGTTGTAGTACTATCATTTGTTTTAAGTTTTTTTTTATGTGTTAACAAATGGGTAAATTATTAAGTCAAGTCTAAAAATTAAAATCGATGAAAGTTAGAGAACTTGAGGTATTTGAGAAAGGTGAAAGGTTTTTTTTGATGAATTTAGATATTAGTGTCAAATGAAAATTTGTGTGTGTAATATCCGGATTAGGTAATGGGTTGCTAGTCAATGATTTAAGGGTAATTTACCTACTATCTAAATACTCTTTGTCGTATTTGATTGACCAAGACTCGCAATTATTCGTCGAGATGATGGAGCAAATTAGGAATATAAATTCGAAATATGTTATTTAATTATGGCACTAGTCACGCCAAATTTGGATTTGACCAAATGATTTAGAGTTAGTGCATTGTGTCATAGACTTAATTAGATGGCTTGGATCAGATCTGGTCAAATCTTTTAGTTATTTTCTAATTAAAACTACAAGACAGAGACTCGTACAAATATGATTACCGTTCATACATGATCTTTGATTATTTGAATTTGCAGAGTTCTGAGTTTTGTGAACACAATTTTTTTAATTTTTTTTTTATAATTTATAATTTTGTTTATCATCGTATTTTTTAAGGTTTCCAAAGAAACACACTTGATGACGCATGAAAATTCATTTTCTGTCATTCTCAACAAAAGAAAAAAGTTTCATTATCTGCCAGGCTTATGTGTGCTCATCTTCTCTACAATTAGGTTTAGTCATTAATTTGCGAAAGAGAAAAGAAGGACCATGTTCATTTACTTTTTCCACCCATAATTTGGCTATACACCTAATAGTACCCACACTTGTATGAGTATAACTATATAATAGTGAAACATGCAGCTCATGTCTGACTTTCTCAACCGGTCAATTATTTTCAAAATCTTATAGGCCATTATTGACTCTTCTTTTTGCATGGGAGAATTTTTAAGTACAGTAGTACATCGATTCTTTCACTAAAATCTCCATCACACTAATCGTATGAATGATATAAAACAATAATTTTAGTGGTGGAACAAGAGATTCCACTAATCTCTCCGGATAACCTATGGTATTGAATCCACATTTGAGCCAACAAGCCAATGGCATCAGATTCTCCAAATTTTCTGTATGTACATATACAATAAAACTAACTCAGAAGTAGTAACCAATAATCAATCCTTTAACAAATTTAGAAAAGATCTGGTGGTTCTACACATATCTATGAATTACGCCATGCATAAACAGAAGTTTCGTGGTGTTCTAACTTATTTTGTCGGGGCTTATATGAATGAAAGCATATTATATGTTATTCTCAATAGTCTCTCAATGGATGAAACTCCTAGCACGTATCTTTCATGTCCTTCTTTTTTGCCTCTATAAATTGCAACCATATTGAGCATGTTGCGCTCCATGCAAAGAAGAAGATGATCAAAGAAGTTGGGAGTGTGAAAGGAGTGATGAAAGAGCCAAAGAAAAAGTTGTTGGTGACAGTGAATGTTCTTGGAAGTGTTGGTCCTATAAGGTTTTTAGCTAATGAAGACGATAAAATTTCAAGTGTCATTAACACAGCTTTGAAAGCATATGCTCGTCAAGGGAGGTTCCCGGTTCTAGGGTTCGATGTCGATAGCTTCAGTTTCTACTCCATTAATGCCAGATTCAACAGTATTTCACATACAACTCCCTATACCACTCTTTAGTTTTGTTCCTCTAGAATCATATAAATTTTGGATTAGTCTATCAATATGGAATTACTGTTTGCCACCCATGATTCTATGTTACCATCAATCCAAACACCATTCACATTTTTTCTTTCTTTCTTCCTTATCAATGAATAGATCTCTTTACTTGTATTGTTAGAGGAAAAAAAAAAAAAAAAAAGACACTTGAATTGTTTGCATGTTTGAACGTTTTGTGTTAAATTTATAGTATTTTGATTTTTTTTTTATACATCATTGTTTTTGTGTTAGGTTTGAATCCACAAGAGAAGATAGGTTCGATGGATGTAACGAATTTCTTGCTGTGCAAAAAAGAGCCAAAGAAACTCGAAAAGGTCGAAGGAAAAAGAGAGAGTAAAGCTCGGGGAGGCCATGGATGGAAAACTCGTCTCCTTAAGTCCTTATTAAGATACAAGTTGTAAGAACTAGATAAATGATCTTTGTGTTAAAATTAAAACGCCGTTTATTGTTTTCTCGAAGTCCAAGGTAATGAAATATACCAAAAATATATGTTTGATAACAAAACTTACAATTTTACATTGGATCTTAAAAAGAGATCGACACATACAGTAAAACCTCTATAAAGTAATAACGATGGGATTATAATATTTTATTACTTTAGCGAGATTATTAATTTATAGAGAGATAATTAGACCAAAAACTTAATTTGGGACTCGAAAATTTTATTCATTTATCGAGGTATTACTTTATCGAGTATTACTTTATAGAGGTTCTACTGTATATATTATGTTGAAATCAATCCATATGAGAGATTAGGATATTTTAAATAACATTTTAGAATGTCTAAAATACTTAAGTTTGCTTCTGATGCTCTCTTGCGTTTTTTTGTACATTATATTCTTATGAAAAATTAGATCGGAGTAAGGCTTGGATGAAAAGATATTAATCGTCTTAATTATTTGAATATATGGTTTTCATACTTATAATAACTGAGAGTAAAATAAAATGTAACTGTTGCAGCAACAATACTCGATGACATACAAAATGATATACAGCTCATCAAGAATGATTGTGGGGTGGCGGCTTTACGCAACCGAAACATACACACTCTTTCTTAGAATTACATATTCCCAGTTTGTAAACACCAGCAAACGTGCAATCGCGTGTGCATACACTGTCAAAACAATAATCTTTCACCCTGTATGCGACTCGGCCTTCTCTACATGGTACATTCGAAGTCCCTACGTTTGATATCTCTCCTGCATTATTGATGGGATAAGTAAGAAACATTCAAACCCCTTCGATTAAAAATGCATAATTTCGTTTTAATTATAAGACACATTTTTATTTATACAACTTTCCAATCTTATTCGAGAATTTTCCACCTTTTTACTTGAAAAAACTAGCGCTTAACAGATAAGATTAAGACTGTTACCTGAAACTATGGGTAAGATGATGAGAGCAAACACCAACATGGAAAGTAAAAGAAGAGACGAGAACATTTTTTTTGCCATTTTTTAGAGGATGCAACAACTCTTTTTTTCTGTATTTTTAGATCTTACTACAAAGCAAAACCTATCAAAATGAGTTTCAAAATCGTTTGTTAGAACAAAATAAAATCCAGTCAAAGAATAACATCGTTTATCTTCTTTAATGGAGAGATTGCCAAATGTTTACTAGAAAATATAACTTAGTTAAAATCTGATTACCTTTCCTCTTTGTAATACTTTGATTAATACTTGCTGAGAATGAATTGTGTTGATCTTGTGTGTACATTTATATAGATATATATGAACATATGTAATGAGTTTAATAAGTCTTCCATGTTGACCAAAAAAATAAAATAATAAGTCTTCCATATTATGTAATGAGTAATATGATATTGAATGAGGTTTCCATATCTAATGATAATTTTTCCAAAAAACACAAAAGTTACAGAGTTTCATATTGGCAACCTAATCATAATATCAAAATTTGGTGTTAAAATAGCCAAATTGATGTTTGTACCAATTTTGTTGTATTTCAATTTAGTTCCAGAACGTATTTTATAACTTCAAAACAAAAATTATATTCATCAATGTAGGTTGTTGAATTTCATTTACATCAAATCGTACAAGTACTTTGATTGTTAAAATCACTGAACGAAGTAAATTTGGTAGTAATTTCTAAAAAGTTCAATATGATTTTAGAGGCGTTTCTGATCAATTTTAAAAGCTAGGAGGCCAATTAGTAAATAGAGAGAATTACAGTAACTCCTTCGGCAACTTGTGCTTATCGTCTTAGGCCCATTATCATCGTCGGCCAAAATCACATCTCTGCTGCAAATTTCTGAATCTCCTCCTCCTCACGCACAACTCACAAAAAAACTCCTCAAAACCCTATCCAAATCTCTCAATCTTCTTCAATCCCGCTCTCTTTCGCTCGGACTTCGCTCTTGTTCTTGGTAATTCTCGGCTCTTTATCCTTTTTGCGAATCGTCGGTTGGGATTTGTGTTCCTTGAGTCACCTTATATTACGATTTTCCGTTCTAATTTTCCACTGTTTTGACGCGATTTCCAGTTTTTGATTCCGAAAACTACGATTAGGTTATATAAGATGCATAGATCTGTCGATCTAGAGCTTCGATAGATATTTGTTTGATTTCAGAACGATTCACTGTCTCTCGTTCAACGTTTCAGGATTTGGTTACCTAATCTGTGATATTCTAGCTCTAAATCTGATTCGATCTCGAATATTTTCTTTGGCGTTTCGAATTATAACAGTATTTAGCCTTGATTTTTAACTTTTTGATTGCTTCACTATGATGTGTTTGTTTTGTGTTAGAAGATGGAGCTAACTAATTACTCTTTTTTTCCTTCAGGTTGTGAGATTTCAGTATTGTTTCTGTGTTTTTGAGATAAGGCGATTGGATTTTTGATTGTACTGAAGATGTCAGGAGCTTTGAACATGACTCTTGATGAGATTGTCAAGAGGGGTAAGAAGAATGCAAGGTCTGGTGGAAGAGGAATTTCACGCCATGGACGTGGTCGTGGTGGACCAAATGGTTTTCTCGGTGGTGGTGGTGGTGGAAGAGGAAACGGACCTGCTCGAAGAGGTCCTCTTGCTGTGAACTCTCGCCAATCAACCTTCACCATTAACAAGGCAAGCTCCAAAATCTGGGATCTTCTATGTCTATGATTAGAAACCTGAGCATTTACTGAATCATGCTAAAACCTAAACGACGGGAAGCTCTCGTAACGTTATAATGTTGTGGAGAAGCAAGTTTTTGGCATTATTTTGGCATTCTTTAACATTCAGAACCTCGTCTAGGAGTTGATACATGCCTTAGAAAAAGCCTCTTACCCCTGCAATTTCAGTGTACTTTGTGCTTTATGTGGTTAAACTGTGAGGACTTTGGCAGAGACACGCATAGATATGTGCAGTAGTTCGTAGTTGCATTTTTGGCAGTGCTTTTAAGCTGATGAGGAGTTTTCAGTTAGCTGAAGCTTGAAGGTCCAAATTTGTTCATCCAGTGCAAATTAAGACTCTTTAACACAGCTGAAAATCCTCAAGAGATGTGTGGTGCTGTCAGTTGTGGCGTTTGGGGGGGGAAAGTTCAGTAACTATTCTTGGCAGTAAATAGGATGTCTAGTGACTTAGCCCTACACAGTCTATTTGCATCATGCTACATCTGGAATTTCTTCAGCGTACTACAAAGTCCCGGATTTTTCTTTTATCATTACTATGGTACACGGACTATCTTTTGGGAATCGGAGCAGTGACTAATATTCAGTCGGTCAAAATTCATTGTTCCTCCATTTCATTTGGTTTTCCTCATCGGGTGGTTCTTGACTACTTAGTGCAGCACAAATGGGTGGTTCTCTTCTTTGGAATTGTTTTTCATTGACACTGCTATGAAGTTTGACAAACACATTGTACTGATGTTATCTGTTCTTTTCAATAGCCTGTTCGTAGGATGAGAACCTTGCCATGGCAGAGCGATTTGTTTGAAGATGGCCTAAGAGCTGCTGGTGTATCAGGAGTTGACGTTGAAACCAGGGTCCATATTACAAATCTGGACAACGGCGTTACAAATGAAGATATAAGGGTATAATTATCAGACTTCTAGATTCTGTGCTTTTGGTTTTTAGAACTGTCACTCATTCTCTCTTTACTGGATCTAGGAACTCTTCTCTGAGATTGGGGAGCTTACGAGATATGCGATTCATTTTGACAAAAATGGCCGTCCTAGTGTAAGTTCTCACGGATCTTGTCAGTCCGTTTCTCTTCAAAATTGTGAAAAGCTTCATTCTTTAACTAAAGTCTACTCTGGTATGATGGAATTTATAGGGCACAGCTGAAGTGGTGTATCCGAGAAGAAGTGATGCGTTTCAAGCTCTGAAGAAATACAACAATGTATTACTGGACGGGAGGCCAATGAGGCTTGAGATTTTGGGTGGCAGCAACACTTCCGAGGTGCCTTTATCGGGTCGTGTGAATGTGAATGTCACTGGACTCAACGGGAGGCTGAAGAGAACCGTTGTTATCCAGTATGAATCTGTCTTTCCTTCTTCGTTTATTTTCTTCTCATCGCATTTACAGAAGATTGATGAATCTCAAACTTACAAATCTTCTCTGATGCTCTTTGCAGGCAAGGAGGAGGAAGAGGTAGAGGTCTCAGAGCGAGAGGAGGAAGAGTTCAAGCTCCTGTCAATCGCCTTCCAGTGTAAGTTTTATACGTTCCTCTATTGGTTTTACCTGCATAAAAACTGAATCGAATCAGATCTATATTTATCAAACCGATATTGTACTGTATTTCATATTAACCTGAACATTATGAAACTATTGTTGGCAGTCAAAACCGGCAGGGAGGGACGAGAGGAGGAAGAGGAGGGTTTCGTGGTAGAGGTCGTGGTGGTGGTGGCGGTGGCCGTGGACGTGGTGGAAGAGGGAGTGGAAAGAAGCCAGTAGAGAAGTCGGCTGCTGATCTTGACAAGGATCTTGAGAGCTATCACGCAGATGCCATGAACACTTCTTAAACCTTCTCACAAAGCTATCAAACAGTGTTGTGTTGTTACTACTAGATTTTCATCAGTGTTTTGAGTGATGATATATTTGCTTCTCTTTTTCTTCATGCCTTTTGTTTCTAGTGAATTTGGTTTTGTTGGAGGTTGGTGATGTAAAGTAAATGAAAAAGCTCTTTAGAATTTATCTACTATTTGCTCCCTAGAAATCACACAGGCTCATTAGTAAGTTATTGTTTTGAAGTGTAATATTAAAAATTACAGTTTACCATAATACAGTATCACCGTATAGACCCCATGTTAGTTTAGATAACCGAATAAACCAAAATAAAATTTTATTGATCCAAACACGTAACTACAATTAAGTTTGTTTTGAGTCTTAACGCAGGTTCGGTCTTGGTTAAGCTTGAAGTTGATTTACTAATAAATCATTCAGTTCAGTTTTGGTTACCATTTACATTGAGATGAACAAAATGAAACCAATTTGGATTATTTTCTTTACTTCGGATCAGTCCAACCGGACTGTAAACAGTAGACACTCTTAAAAAATGAATATTTCTTTACATTTCCTTTATATATCAGATTAAATTAGCCGCAAAAAGATATACAAAACAAAACTGAGTTAAAAAAAAAACCAAACCTGATCCAATCCAATCAAAAACAACCCTCTTTATGTTCTACCTTTCAGTAGCAACATTCTCGTTGAGAACAAATTCTCCAGAATTGCTTCTATGGAAAAGCTTATCAACCACTTCGTCCCAATTCTTCTTCTTAGTCTTCGACACCACCGATGCTCCAGCCTCAATGCATTCTTCTTCTGCTTCTTCTTCCGCAGCGGACATTGCATGCGGGATATTGAGACTCACAGCTCTCTCCAACGCATCTTTGTGCTCTTTCTCTAAAGTGTTTAACCTCTCCATTCTCTTCTCCTTTGGTGCCATTGTTACCACTTCCTCTTTACTCTTATCTCTCAATTCCTGCAACCACACACACATCACAAAACCCACCATTTTTATAAACCCTGAATCTTAAACCATAGAGAGCAAAATGTTTTCTTTATAAAAATGTCACCTGCAATGCCTTTTCAGATTCTCTTTCGATCCAGAGAATCGCATGATCGGAAGTCGCATTCGATGACAATACGATATGTTCGAATCTGCCATCAACGGGAATCGCGGTTCTCACTTCAGGAGGAAACCTTCCACATCTAAAAAATGTAAACAAAATAATCAGAGAACAATCACAAGAATTGTTTAGCTTAAAAAGTTGGCATTAACTTTTGATAGTACCTGCAAAATTTTCGCTCAACGATATGATAAATTCGACCGGGAGCATAAAGTCTTCTTGGATCCCTCAGTTTTCGACCTTCTGGTATAAATGTATCTCTCAAACAAACTAGAAACAACAAGCAAGGCAAGCTGTCCACACAACAAATACAAAATGTTGAGTAAGCTTCATACCAACAAAGAAAACATAAGCATTTTAGAATTTTGATATGAAAACAAAAATACTAACCAGAACACAGACTTGAAAATATCCTCTAATGGTGTCGCCGTTCTTGGTAAAAAATCATCCTACAATTTCACAAACAAAAAAAACAAAGTTTCTTGAGATTCATCTACTTAATAGTAGTAACAAGTATCTTTTACTGTTGTGAAGTTTGTAGATGCATTTCTTAACAAACAACCAACAAGATCCAAATTTAGCAGAATATTTTGACCAAACTCAAGAAGGGAAAAGGGAAAAATTCAATTCGAGTTTTGCTTTGATTCCATGTACATACAAAAGCATATTCTTAACTTATGAAAGATGATAATGACAAAAGCTTGGTCAACAATGGACCAAGTATCCATAGAAAGACTAATGCACATAGTTTTAGTTTTGTATTTTTAACCAAGAAAGAGAGTTTTATATCAAAGTTTGGAAAATCAGTTTCGACTTTTATAAACTAAAAAATTAATTAAAATGTAAACTCTAAATCATGAGAGAAACTAAACAAATTTGTCCATTTTCTCAATTTTAAGAGATTCAACCTACATTTCTTTGTTGAAAATCTCAACTATCTCATCTAACATTGCAACACCACCAATGTCTTAACAAAATAAGCTAAATTTTCGCAAATTTGTTTGGAATTAAAATCTCTCCAACCACATTACTAAAACTTATAAATATCATTGACATTATTAAGTGACTAATTGATAAACCAAAAAAAGAGAAAAAAAACTTCAGTTTCAAAATTAACCTGCAAAATAACGGAGAAGATGAGGTCAGCGTACTTAACAGCGAGATTAAGCGACATACATCTCGCCGGAGCCACCGCAAAACACCGAATCTTACTCCTAGGAACATTACCGATCATCGCCGGCGTATTAACCACCAGAACCGCCATCAACGCCGCAACACCAGATCCCAGCGAATGACCGGCGAAAACCATATCATACTCTCTCCCATTCTCTTCCCAAACACTACGAAGCGTCTCCGACTCCTGATTCAAAACCCACGCCGCCGATTTCAACAGCCCGCGATGAACAAACCCACCTCCGAGCATCTTCTGCCCGAGTTTATTATCCAGAAGTATCTTGTAATCGCTCTCTTTCGCCAAGTTCAAGCCACGGATCGCGAGCACGATCTCGCGGTGGTCGTGATCGACGTAGATGATGTACGGCGGAGATCTGCCTTGGGTTTTCTCGTGTGTCACTCTTTTGATCACACAGTCCGGGTTTAGATCGAATTTTCCGATCGAAGGTGAGATTTTTGGAGTGTGGAGATTCGGTTCGTAGACGGCGAGGATCACGCGGCAGATTCGCGGGATCGGTTCGAATTCTTCGGGTGTGGCTGATGTCCACGTGGCACTGTCGTCGGAGCCCACGTGTGTGCAGCGTTTCCATGCCCACCGACTGAAACCGAAGCAGAAGACGCATTCGAGTCCACAAGCTACAGACATTGAAAAACTTTTTGACCTAAAGCTGAGATTTTTAAAGTGATTTGAAATTATCAGAGGAGAAAAATCGAATTTTTTTGGCAGCTAGGAACAGAGGAGAGTTGAAATTAGAGGATTTAGGTTTTGAAGAAGTTAGATTTGGGGTTTTCAGAGGAGGAAAAGTCGAAGATTTGAGAGAAAGCTGAGATTTTTACAAGTAGAAATCGATGGGTTTTGAGAATTAGGATTTGGGGGAATTCATGGGAAAGAAAATAAAACTGAAATTGAAAGAGATATAAGGGAAATGGATCGACAACATGGAGGAAGAAACTAGAAAGTTGCAAAGAGAGAGCATCATAAAGAAAAAAAATGTTAAAGTAGAAGAAACCAGCTAAGTAAAGACAGATAAGATTCATAAGTGAGAGATAATCTGGACAGAGACAGGCAAGCCCAAGAAGAAAAGAATTCAAGAACATGTCCAAATTTCCCTAAGTATTTCTATAAAAAAACACATTTTTTGTTTAATTAAGGTTTTTAGTTTTATACAATTCTTGTGATATTGATAGAAATATTTGATTCTCATCTGATAAGATAACCCATCTGTACAAGGGAAGCAATGTTGACCATTTTTCAGGTTATGCCCTTTGCTTTTTTGTTTATATAAGTGACTACTGACTACTTCTCTTCTTAATTTGCCTATCGTTGCCGTGTGTGTCCGTGTTCTCACTTTCGTATTGACGGCAGTAACTTTGATACAAAAGTTTGTTTGATTGTCTCTTGTACGACTTTTTGTTTCCCTCTTTGGCTTTGTCTCCCACAGGATTTCTAGGGTGTTTCCTAGAGTCTAGATCGCCTGCTTGAATACAGAACCAAAACCCAATTGAAAATCATGATTGAATACGATTAGAAATGTCATTGTTTTTATTTTTATTAATCTCGGTTTCTTACCGTAAATGGTAAATAAATAACGAGCGAAACCAAACAAATCTAACCACATTTTGACTTCTTATGACGTCAGTTGGCCAACTACTGTCTCACTATCTAATTCCTAGACAATCAAATCACAACTTGCAAGACCGTATACATACTCTACAAGGAAATCAAAATACCCTTTTCTTACTTCTTTGATAGTAAAAGGTACTCGGATATATATCGTACCGGCCAAAACTAAGGAGTTGAAGCAACCATTCCACTTCGGATCAAACCAATCGAACCAACATTTTAGCATGCTAAGTTGCATACATTCTGGCATGTAGTAGTTATTGTTTACTACGTGCCAAACATACTTTTTTGGTCGGAAGTAAACTGGACAATCGTATGGTATAAATAAAAATTGCATTAAGCCAACTTTGGTGCGAATGCTAGTTTAACCGAACGATTTTTAGTACACAATTAAAATGAGCACCGATACTTTATTACGTAGATGTTCCAAGCCAATGTTCTCAAAACGTTAAGATCGAATCTAACCAAAAGTAGATGCAACAGCTGACATATTTTCCCAACCATGATGTTTCTCTAGAAAATTCATTCTTCCAGAACAAGAAAAAAAAAAAAAAAAAAAAAAAAAGATGAATGTAAAAATCAAGCAAACTTTTATAGTTAAGAAAATAACCACCTAATATTTTTCCAACTTGCATGCTATGGACAATATAATAAGAAAGAAATAAAAAAGAACCATCATCATTCATCATCACTATATATTCGAACACTCGCTCACATGCATATATATTCTGCCCAAATTATAGAGATTGAGTAACACAAGAAATATATTAAGGCTGCCTAAGATATTGATTAGATTAGGTAAGACAAAACAAAATGATGATCTTAAGGCTGGCTCTCGCCACTGTCCTCTCCGCCTACGTAGCAGCACAATCAGCCTCACCAACGTCGTCGCTCGTAACCTACATATTTGGAGACTCTTTAACTGAAGTTGGTAACAACAATTATTTGCGAAATTCGCTTGCGAGATCAGACTTTCCATGGTATGGGATTGATTTCTCCGGCGGCCAAGCCACCGGAAGATTCACTAACGGACGGACTATAGGCGATATCATATGTACATACTCTCTCTATCTCTCTCTCCCCTTTATATACTTACTCTTAAGATTTTTTTTAAAAACATTGATATATATTTTATAGCTACCAAGCTTGGGATTCCATCGCCACCACCATATCTATCGTTATCGTTATCAAGAAATGACGACGCATTTCTCAGTGGTATCAATTACGCATCCGGAGGAGCTGGAATTCTCAACGAAACTGGCCTTTATTTCGTATTTCTCTTACCATTTTCTAAATATTTTATCTTCTTGATTTCCTATATTTTTAGTTAAATTTAAGCTATTTAATATTCATTGTTATTTTGATTGAGCAGATTCAAAGGTTGACGTTTGATGATCAAATAAACTGTTTCAAGAAAACTAAAGAAGTTATTAGGGCGAAAATCGGAGATAGAGCTGCGAACAAGCATGTAAATGGTGCCTTGTACTTCATTGGCTTAGGTAAAAGTTTAAATTTAAGCCACTTGGTTTCATAGATTAACCCTTCCCCAGTTTTTCATTGTTGTATTACAATCGTTGTTGACATATACATAATTAATTTTCTTTGATTTTATATAGGAAGCAACGATTATGTGAACAATTTCTTGCAGCCATTTATGGTTGATGGGCAACAATATACACATGACGAGTTTGTCGAACTCCTGATCTCAACCCTAAACAATCAACTTACGGTATTCCAACCAACTTCGACTAACATTCCATTTTGATTATTATCTTTTTTTTTTTAAAACGAATATATTATAGTAAACTACGTGAATGTAGATTTAGGTCAAGTGACATTTACCTAACTGATATTATATTTTAGCTATTTGCTTAAATGTTAACATGAAATATTTGGGTTTTGTTGAAAGCAGACGATATACAAATTAGGAGGGAGGAAGGTAATATTTCATGGACTAGGTCCATTGGGATGTATTCCATCGCAGAGAGTGAAGTCAAAGTCAGGCATGTGCCTGAAGCGTGTCAACGAATGGGTAATGGAATTCAACACAAGAACGCAGAAGCTTTTAGTAGATCTCAACAAACGACTTCCCGGAGCTAAATTCGCCTTCGCCGACACTTATCCCGCCGTTCTCGATCTCATCGACAATCCCACTCACTACGGTAAGAAAAATGCATTTTGTTTTCTGTTTTTGTTAAAGTCCTAGTTAGAGTTTTGTTTGAATGACGTAAACGCGATTTTTTCATAAACGCAGGGTTTAAGGTAGCGAACACGTCGTGTTGCAACGTGGACACAAGCGTTGGAGGTCTTTGTCTTCCCAATTCCAAGATGTGTAAAAACCGCAAAGACTTTGTCTTCTGGGATGCATTTCATCCGTCCGATTCAGCTAATCAAATCCTAGCCGATCAGCTTTTCTCTTCTCTTCTCGCTTCTTCCCCTTCTCCTTCTCCCTCTCCTGCTCCTAAATCGCCATCAGCATAATTTTTGTATAAATCAAAAGAATAAACGATATTCTCTTGTTAAATTACTCGTTTTATTTATTGGAACTACTTGCTATATAGATACATGTGTCATTTAATTTAGTGTTCTTGATGTAACGACAAGCATGTGTGCCTTGTTACACAAGTATTATTTATTGTGAGATAATTATGGTTTTGTCTTTATAAAAAAAGTTATGGTTTTGTATGTTTCGTGAAATCTTTTCACAGTTCGTGTTCAGGGTTCCTGAACATAGGTTAAAAATAATTGAAAATATTAAGTCATGCAATCAACAAAGATATACTGATATAGGTTTAGATAATTAGAAATCAGCTAAAAAGCATGGTTAACGAATCCATTGACATGCAATAACATAGAAAAGCACAAAAGAGTATGGATCACTAACTTGACAATAATCAATTTTGAAAAATGTTAATCACGTAGTAGAGATACTATATAAAGTACTAAACTCTCCAATGTAATCTAAAAAAAACTCTAAGTTGTTAGTTTTATAAAAAAAAACTAAGTCATGTACAACATCATTCTCTTGTGATATATATTAACATGATCAAGCTTCTTACATATATATATATATATATATATATATATATATATATATATATATATATATATATATACCCTAAATGAAACAATCAAACATCAATTCATACTAGTCAATTACAAAGAAGACATAATCTTCCAGTAAGATTTTCGGCTGATTATACGTTTTGGAATAAATTGTCTTCGATCTGATTCGTGATCATCTTGGCCTTATGTGTTGGTTGTTAGTTTTGTTCATTTCTCTAGTTGTATAGTACTTGTAAGTTGTAATAACAACTAGTATGACATCCCGTGCGTACGCACGGGACAATTTTGATTATATCAAGTTTTCACAAAACTAAAACTAAATATTTTGTTAAGTAGAAGTACATAAATATAAGAGGAATGAAACATTCTAAAGTTTTAATGACACAAATGTTATTTTTATATAACATAAATATGGCCCAAAAAAGTCTCAAACATTTTGAAAATCAGAAACAAATCTGCGATTGTCGATTGTTAGAAACAAACAATTCTCATTCCTATCTTTGTTATTCCGTCATATTAATTATTTTTCAGTTTTTCCTCCGGCGTCTTCACAAGAACAACAAAAATGTTAACCTTTAACTTTGTAGAAAACTAACGTTAGTTTCTTTTTGCGACTGTTACATACAGTTAAATGATATTTATATTATTATTAAATATTAAAGTTCTAATTTAACAGAGCGATTTAAGTAAATCTGGATTCATAATAAACATGAGAAAATAAAAGAAACTAATGAAGAATTATACACACATTACATATCCTATACATATTTTTTGATTCGTTGATATCACACATTGTTATTCTTATAATGATAGTCCAAATCCAGTTACGTATTCAGTTTTGGAAGTGATATACGATTTATGCAACTTTGTAGTATTTCCCTTCTTCTCCTATGCACACTTTTGTTTTCTTTTGTCGCACTCTTTTATCTTTCTTCGTTTTAATGCTTTAGTACTTGCTCCGACATTTTTGTTTTTCAGAGAAGAAACAAATTTCGTAAAATTTTACTCCAAAAGTACCACATTTCTATAAGTAAGAGATTATGAACATTCAAAAGTAAGGAAGACGAAACTGAGGTTTGGTCTTGATCTAGACATGGGTCCTTCTCGTTTCACCTACGTACGCATAGACTTTCTTCTGTCCCGTTTGTTATCTTTACTTAGCGCCACATTTTATTTTCTCTACCTTCTTGTGGTGTTGTGTGCTTTTAAGGTGGGCCTCTTACTCACCTTCGCTGAATTCACCACCGGAACAAATAAACATGTTCAGCAAATCAATAATCTATTTAGTCTGTTTCGAAAACTTAATTGACCTATTTTGTTTACTTTTACCTTTTCAACGGAGCGTCGTATGCAGCTTTCGCCAATAATATATAAAATACCAAAAGAAAACAAACAAATGGATTATAAGTAGATTGGAAAGAAAAACGGTTCATGAAAAAGAAATTCAACATGATGCAATTAGGATTCGAGCATTGAAGATTATGGGTGTTTTTAGTCTCCCTAACCTGGCTTTTAACCTTCATCGTCCAACTTTGCAGTACGCTCCGCCTAACAAATCCATAGCATATTTGTATTCTTCAATTTATCGATTCATTGAAAGGAATTTCTCTCGAATATGCCAACGTGCCACCTTTTGGCCAGGAAAGATCTGAATGTGAACTCTGTCATGTCGATGCAACCGATATAAGTCTTCAGTTTATCTAGTTAGAAATTGAAATTGTTTCACATTTTCAGAGAGAGTCGTTGAAGAGAATTTAGGGATTTACAATTTCTGAATGAAAGTAGAGATGAATTCAAATATATGGCATCGTTGAGTTAAAAGATCGTGTGATAGTGGGTGGTGGTGTGTGAGAAAAATTAGGGAAACTGTTACTTGCGTTTAATTTTTTCTTGTGCATTATAATTTTTATTTTATTTTTGTTCTTTAAATCGCAAATCATAATCCATGTGGCAGAACATGATTGGCCAGGTGACTTGTGCTTTAGTATATTAGGGGTAACCGGCTTTGTAATAATTTTGTTGACATTAATTTTGATATAACAACAAAAAAATCTATTTTGTTTTAACGATAATATTTTGTATGTGTATTGATTTTACATTTTGAAAGTAATATCAGGAATTATATATTTGTTCCTTAATAAACTAAGCTTTTATTTTCATCATTTTAGAAAAGAAAAAGAAATGCGATGACATCTAATCTAAAAGAGTTGACGATCTATTTCACCCCGTCGAAATTTTTATAGCATCACTTCTACACGAAGTTTGACCCCCGTTCCAATTCCCTCTTATTTTAAAGTTACCTATCTATTTCTACCCGAAACAAAAGTTACTTATCTAATTCACCCCGCGATGAATTTTAATTGGTTAGTATGTTGGTTTCCGTGGTCTGCATGTCGGTTTTTGTGGTTTGCTAGTGAATCGAGAACCAAACCACGATAAACCGGGTTGAGACATGACCGACCCGAAAGCTTTACCCGAACGAAGCCCGCCCTTTTAAATTTCGATTTCCAAACAGAAATCCCCAAATCACTTTCTCACCTAAGAACCCTAAAATTCGATTTTGCGAAATTGACATCGTCAAATACGAAGATGAGCAATCAATCTGGTGCTTACAGTGGAACATCAAGTGGCCGAGCTCGTAGAAGAATTGATGGTGTGCCAAAGAAATGTTGGTGTGGGGAATTAGTGGTAGAGAAAATCTCTAAATCCGACCCAAATCCATATCGTCAATACTATAGGTGTGGATTTGCTGCTACAGAGAGGATAAATCATTCTTACTGTTGTTTCCCCTGTTATTATGTGTTTTGTAGTATTTTGTGGATATTGATTCAAAATCTTGTACATGATAGCTTGTCAATGACAATCATGCTTTTAAGTGGGTTGATGAGGCATTGGTGAATGAAGTGGAGACATTGCGTTCTCGTTTGGATAAGCTAGAAGAGGATGTGAGGGAGATTACAGCAGACAAGATAATGCTTGAGAATATGGTGATTGAGAAGATTCAAAAGAAGATGGAGAGAGAGGTTTTTGAGCGAGTGGAAGAGACATTGGCAGCAACAAAATCCGATGTGAAGAAAATGATGCTTGTTGTCATTGTTGGTTGCATGGTTATTGTTGGTTGTAGTAAGCTAGTAGGTTGAGTTTGGTCAATTGTTGGTTGTTGGTCGGATATAAACAATGAGTTTGGTCATATGGTCTTTGTTGTTTGTGTTTTGGTCATTGTTATTTCTTTAAAGACAATTCTAGTTTGGTCATTGTTGTTTGTTTGTTAAAGACAATTCTAGTTTGATCCTTTTGTTAAGTCTTTTAGTTCAAGTATTTTCTTATAAAGACAACACAAACAAGAATTAAACATTAGATCCAAACAAAAATGTCATAAAGGATAAACTTGTTAAAGACATGTGTAATAAGAATCCAAAAGCAAACACAACAAGGTTTTTAAACATTAGATCCGACAAACATATCCATAGAGAAGCTTGTTAAAGCCAAAAAAGCAAACTAAAAACATCTTCCATTCTCTTTTACCACGGAGCCCAATTCTCAGTCTGAGAAGCATGAACTTGAGAAGCATGAATTTGAGAAGCATGAGCCCAATTGTCCACCTGAGAAGACTCACCATTTGGATTCTACAATACAACAAGAGATATGTTTACATTCGCATCAACAAACATTGTAAATTCCACTTGATACATCAACAACAAAAACAAACCTTTTTGGACTTCTTCTTAGGCCTCGAGTTGTGATTAGCTTGAGAAGCATGATCTTGGGATTGATGATCTTGAGCGGCATCCACCTGAGAAGACTCACCATTTGGATTCTACAATACAACAAGAGATATGTTTACATTCGCATCAACAAACATTATAAATTTCACTAGACACATCAACAACAAAAACAAACCTTTTTGGACTTCTTTTTAGGCCTCGAGTTGTGATTAGCTAGAGAAGCATGATCTTGGGATTGATGATTTTGAGAAGCATCAACCTGAGAAGACTCGTCATTAGGATCCTACAATACAAACAATAATCAGATTCACACAACAACAAACATTATAAACTTCACTAGAAAAGTACTAAATACACAAATCTTTTTGGAATTCTTTTTAGGGCCATGAAACCTTGAGTTGTGATTAGCTTCTCCACAAACTCCACAATGCATCACTCTCTTCAAAAGCTTTGTTTTCTTCTTAGTTGGTGACTCATTTTTTCCTTTCTTCCGTTCCTTATCCTTCTTCGTGAGCTTTTTTTTTTCGCTTTACCCTTGCCTTTTTTCTTCTTGTCTTTATCATTCTCATCTTCTCCACCTTTATCATTCTCCTTCTCGCCTTTGTCCTCTGGTGGAGGAGGTGGATGCACACTTGGTCCATCTCCAACTGGCCAAAACCTTGCACTTCTTAGTGGAACGAGACCTTCATCATAGGTTATCCTCCATAGAGATGTCCTAAACCAGTGACACACATACTTTTGAGGCTGACCTTTAACATGTAGAATCACTGCATAAGCATGCGGACAAGGAATTCATGTGATCTCCCATCTCATACACGTACAAGTCCTACAAGGAAGACTAACACGATGAGAGCTTCCTTGGTGAATAACGAGCTATTTGTTGTTCGTGCTTCTATAAACCTTAGCTTCCTCAACCTTCTCCTTTTCAAGCATCTCCTCAAGATACTCAATCACATATGGAGTGCATAGGCTTTCATGTCCACCGGCTATGACATCTCTCTTCGCAATACGCACCATTGTGAGCCTAGCTATTGTCTCAAGCATATGCACAATCATCTTCTCTGGCTTTGGAGACTGTGCTGTTCCACGATTCTGTGGAGTTATTCTCCACATCTTCACAGTAGTTCCCAATCTTGTAGAATGCCCTGCACCAAGTTTCAGGTTTTTGCTTCATAATATCTTGGTAAACAACGAAGTCCCACTCCTTAATCTGCTCCAAGTTCGCTCTAAAATCAGCCTCATTGTAGCTCCAAGCTAGCTGCCAAACTAATCCCTTCATCTCCGGCTTCTTTCCATGCTTAGCCTTTAAGTTTCCATAGATGTGCCTAACACACATTCTATGTTCGATCTTAGGCAGAGTCTTTTTTGCTGCGCTTATCAATCCCTGAAAAGCACAATCACATTCACTATAAACCATTTCCCATTTCACAACCACATAAAATTATAAGACATAAAGAGCAAAATCTCTTAGTTGATAAAAGACATAAAGAGCAAAATTAAAATACCTTTTGCCTGTCCGATACAAGAATGTAGTTGTCACCATCTTCTAAGCCCAAATCAACTTTGATTTTGTTCATAAACCACAACCAGTTGTCTGTGTTTTCAACTCGCACAATACCCCAAGCTATAGGATATATAGCATTATCAGCATCTCTACCTAAAGCTACCAACAACTGCCCACTTATCGTTGATTTTAAGAAGGTCCCATCAACTCCTATAATCGGCCTACAAGTCTCTTTCCACTTTCTCCTAATGATATCAAAGCAAACGTAGAACCTGTTGAAGACATCTAAACCTTCTGCATTCTGTATGCAGTCAATATCCACAGAAGAATCCGGATTAGACTCGAGTATCTCGGCTCCATAATCTCGGAGTCTTGAAAACTGATCCTCATATTCTCTCCTTATCCATTTCAGAGCTTTGTTTCTAGCAGTTTGGCACTGAGCCCTTGTCACGACGATCCTGAAACAGCTCTTGATCAATTCTTCAATCTTCATTGGCATGAAGTACTCAGGTTCATCTCGAATCTTATGCAGAAACAATCTTGCAATCACATGAACTTTTAACATCTCACACTCTCCATTCACGTCACAAATATGTTTACCCCTATACACCTTCACTTGCCACTTGCTGGTTTTTCCCGAGATAGAACAATACACATACCAATTGCAGTTTTTGCCTCCACAATGAAAAGCGATTCGATCTTTGTCATACCTGCATTGCTTGATATTCCGAGCAGTTTTCAATGCATGGTCTAGGACAGCTTCTTTGAACGCAACTCCATTGATGAACTCTTACCCTTCGAACAAGTTCCCAGCTCCTCTCTTCGGCTCGCTCCTCTTTGGATTGCGTTGACCATGCTCATGTTCACCATTCTCATCTGCTTCCTTCTCCTCTTCATCACTCTCTGTATCCGGATACTCATCATGTTGAACTCGAGGCTCATCTTCAAACTCTTCAATAGATTTTTCGAGTTCGTAATCGTTTCTCTCTCGTCGAGATTCGCCGTCTGAATCGTACTCATCTTTGAGTACGGGAACGTCATGCCACTCCATTAGAGCCATCTTGGTGTTCCAAGCTCCAGATTTTGGTTAATTTTGTGAATTGGGGATTTTCGACTTTTAGGGTTCTTGAGACGCGAATTGGGGGTTTTCGATTTTGAGGATTTGATTTAGATTTGGGATAATCGGGTTGAAATCGGGAGTTAATGGGTCGAAATCTGGTTTAATGTGGTCAAATCCGGTTTACTATTTCGATTAATGGGTTAAATAAAAATGGGTAATGATTTGGTCTATAGTGAACCAATTCTAATCGGCTTTAGGGGCAATTTGATGTTTAACTTTCATTATATAGGGAATTAGATATTTAACTTTTATTTCCGGGTGAAATAGATAGGTAACTTTTGTGTAAGGAGGAATCCGATCGTCAACTTTACGTGATGTGGAATTGGAACAATGGTCAAACTTTGTGTGGAAGTGATGCTATAAAAGTTTCGGGGGGAAATAGATCGTCAAACCCAATCTAAAGGCAACAAAAACGTTGGTTGAAGGGACCTCTTGGAGACAAGCTTACAAGAGGTCTACAGAATGTTGCACGTGGAACCGTCGGCTGGGGAGCCTTTGAAGATGGTAGAATCGTCCGTTGTAAAATTGTCTTGTAACAGTTCTCATATATGTGTAATAGATTAGTTAATCCAGTGTTAAAAAAAAAAAACAACAAAAACGTGAGAGAGAGCGAAGAGACACCGTTTTCATAAACTGACAAATATTCACCTCAAGGCCCAGAGTCTTCCCTTTTCCCCCTTCGCTCTCTACTTCTCTCATCAACCAACAACAATCAACAATCAATCTAGCGCTACGAAAATCCCGATTTTGATTCACCATATCGGGAATCCAAGTGTCTAGTTTCCGAAAAGATTGATTCTTTGAAGATGGGTCTCTGGGATTCGCTTCTTAACTGGCTCAGAAGGTAAAATTTCTCTTTACCCTTGTTTTGGATTTGTATCAAAAATCATATTTTGGTTTCGTAATTTGGTACTTTAATTCACTCGAATTGTTTTAAGCTAAAAAGACTGGTCTTTTTTCTAATTCTTCTATTCAACTATTCAAGTATAGTTGCAGTTATGGTTTCCTCCAAAATCAATCATCAAATACTTATTTTTCTCAGAATGAGTCAACGCAACAGTGTCACTTATGTCACAAAAGCTTGTGTGTTCTCTTTAGTCAATTAAAATTTTTAGTTTAAATTTGTAATACCGATGCTTTAATGTGCTGTTGTTATGCTTTACAATGCTTATTTATGTGAAAATTCAGGACTTTGTAATGTCAAATGAATAACAAAACAGTCAAATGATCAAACACTGTAAATTGATAGACCATTTTCTTAATCTTGCTGCAATATTTGGAGTATGAACATCTCTTCAGATATTAGATATCTGATTCCGTTGTTGTATGTTTTGCCAGTATGTTCTTTAAACAAGAAATGGAGCTCTCACTAGTTGGACTTCAAAATGCTGGAAAGACTTCTCTTGTGAATGCCATTGCTGTGAGTGTAAAATCCTCAGAGGTCTTTGAGTAGTAATTTCCGAACAAACCTTCTCTTGACGCTTCTCTGTTCTTGTTTTCTTTGGCTTTGTCAAAGACTGGAGGTTACAGTGAAGATATGATACCAACAGTAGGATTCAACATGAGGAAAGTCACAAAAGGAAACGTTACCATAAAGATTTGGGATCTTGGAGGACAACGAAGGTTTCGTACCATGTGGGAGCGTTATTGTCGTGGAGTTTCCGCCATTGTGTATAAACTCTATATAAATATCCTTTTAAATATCTTTGAAGTTTCAATATTTTACTATTTGGTTTATGAAATCTTGATTGGTTTTGGTTGTGGTAGATATGTGATTGATGCTGCGGATAGAGATAGTGTACCGATATCAAGAAGTGAACTGCATGATCTGTTGACTAAACCGTCTTTAAATGGCATTCCTCTTTTGATCCTTGGGAACAAGATTGATAAGTCTGAAGCTATCTCTAAGCAAGCTTTGGTTGATCAACTGTAAGTTTCTTTCTTGGTTAAATTTTCCATTGAAACCTATCTGTAGTTTGATTATGTCTCTGGTTTGTTTTTGATGCAGAGGGCTTGAATCTGTTGCAGACAGAGAGGTTTGTTGTTATATGATCTCGTGTAAGGACTCGATAAACATCGATGCGGTCATCGATTGGCTGATTAAGCACTCAAGGACTGCTACATAAACAAAAGCTATGGACAAGCTCATCGGTTTCATCAATCTAGTGGAAGAAAGAAGAAAATCAATCTTGTGTTTGGTTTTCTTGATGTTGTTTATTAGTTGAGAAAATCAATCAGATTGTAAATCATAAGCTTTTGTTTTCTTTCTTAGTGTCTAAATCTTGTTTTACAATTCTTCAAAGTTCAAGATACTTTTCATTTATACATTTTGGTAGACACATACTTGTTGGATTTATGAAGTATATAGTCCAATTTTTCAGGCTCATGATGAAAAGTTGAAAATCAAGAACCGGTTATACTTGAGAGCTTGTTAGTGATGAAGATTCATAAGCATTTTGGCTATGTTTATTGACTACTCTTGATCATCTAATCATGTTTACAATTCATGAGCTCTTACATATTGGTAACCATTACCATAGCTGTTGGATTTATGAAGTGCACAAAAGTCTAATTTTATTTGTCACATGAAAACCAAAAACCGGTTTAGTTCGTAAATAGACCAGCACGTTGTTTAATACTAGAATCTTTAAACGGCGTGGTGTGTGTATAAGCCAAATGTCCCACATCGGAACATTAGGTCAAGTTGATCAGTTTCGTTTGACTATAAAATAAGAGCCTATACTTCAAGGAATATTATCTTTGCGCTTGGGGCAATGACGCAGCTAATGAGGTACTAACCGAGGCGCGTCTATTGCTGGTTGAAAACTATTTCCAAACCCCCTCCTGGGCCTAAGCTTGTCTTGGGCCTTCGAGAATTTCTGGAAGGACTCCCTTCGGGGTAAAGCCCTACAATATTCAGTTCAATTTTTATTCGGCCCATGAAAATCAGAACCTGGGTTACGAGTTAGAGCATCCAATAAATTATAAATGTGATCATTTTGGTTCAACCCGGTTGGTTATTCTTAAAGATTAATAGTGATGTAAATCCGTAAGCATGTCGTTTGTTTTCGAGTCTTCTTGATCTTGTAATCTTGTTTACAACTAGTATTTTAAACTAAAACATCACAGGTTTTGTAAACACATTTGTTAGATTGATGAAGTACACAATACACAGTCCAATTTTATTCGTGTCCTGAAAACCATTGTCCGGTTTAGTTCGGTTAAGACTTCAGAGCTTGCTAGTGATGTTGATAGTCCGGGTTTTGGAGGATTTTGGTGACGTGTCCTTGGGGACGACCACAGTGAGGAGACCGTTCTCCACGTGTGCTTTTACTTGGTCGACTTTCACGTTCTCCGGCAACTCAATCCGCCGGAGAAACTCGCCTGTACCGGAAAAAGCTTCTCTCTCCGCCACGTGCCAGACCAAGTTCTCTTTCCCTTCTTTCTCTTCCTTCAGTCTTTCTCCTCTTATGCTCAAAACGTTTCCTTCTTCAATTTGCACTTTTATGTCCTCTTTGCTGTATCCTGTTATTATTGATTTTCTTCACTCTCGATGAGATTCGATGATTTCGAAAAGCTCAGTGATAATAATTGTTCAATTAATTTTACCTGGAACGTTGATTTTGAAGATATGAGCATTTGGAGATTCCATCCAATCAATAAGAGCCGTTGATCCTGACCATTCATGAAACCTCCGAAAGGGATACCAAAATATTCTGTCCGCCATTTTCTTTTCTGTCTCACTTTCTTCGCTCACTTTCTTCTTTAGCGAAGCTCTCTTTTGAAAGAAAGCGTTATTATCAAGAGTCTAGACTGTTCTTTGTTATCTTGTCATATTTTCGTTTCGAGAATATTGGAGAAGACGAAAGGGGTAGTTTTAAGCTACGGTGCGGAGTACAAAAACTATCGTGGAGACATTTAATTACAACCGTTGGATGAAAATTTAGGATATATGAGAGATATTGGGCTTTGGGACTCTATTTGTTAGTTCCTTTTTCGGGTTTTTCAGGCTTGTTTCCAATATCAATATCCGCAAATTAGACATTTTTATGAAATTTATGCATCCTTACAAATACTTTTTTTTTGGGTTAAACATAGGCATTTCTTTCCAGTACTCTCACCACAAATAGTTACGTAAGAATACGTTTGGAACAATTTGTCTTTAAATTGAAAAAGATGGTTATATTTTCGAATGACGGAAACATTTGAGAAGAATGTTATAAAATTTGGTAGCTTTTTAAAGAGAATATATTCCATTTGACAAATAAAGATCGACATAAGGCTTTTGCTTTTACAAATCTCTCTTTCTCTATGCTCTTTTACTTTGTTGCTTTAGAAATCCTTTTTCTTTTTTTGGGACATGCATAATGCCTTTAAAATTCATTCTTATTAAGATTTCCTTTACTTAGCCGGCCTTTTTCATTAAAAATAATTATTATCACAAGTATTATGTAACAACAATTAAAACAAAATAATTTAAAATAGTGCTGAAAAGTAATTAAAAAGAGAAAAGAAATAAAGTCGGCAGAATCCAAAGCGATATACATCTCATCTGAATCTGTTTGCTTCTTTGAGATCCACGCTCTTGATGAAATTTATTTACCTGAAAATTTAAAGTTTTAAAACTGAATATCCCTTGTAAAAGCCTATTTATGCTTCGCTATTTGATTAACATATTCGAAGACAACTTGTATGATGCACTCATGCACGTGCAATCATATCACATGTAAGATTCATATTATGCCGTTTGGCTATACGTACGTTACATAGCCATGCATGTATAACTTGAAGAAACGTGTACGTGTGTATGTCTACCATAGATAGTAAAAGAAATTAGATAATGTAAATTTATAAAAAATAGTTACCTCCGCGACTGCAAACGCCTCTGAGGAAGAGAAGGAAGATAATTAGAAGAACAACTGCAGCTAGTAGTCCTATGATGATCGCGAACGTCCTTTCTCCTCCATAGTTTGTTTTATCTTTATATTCAACAACAGTTAATCAGAAACACAAAATTTACATTTAGTTTCCATTTTGCGATATAGTCATAATTTTGGTTTTGTTAAAAAAATTCTAAAACAAGAAACACACGTTAAAGTTGTTTTTGAAAAGAGATGTGGAAAATAAAACATAAAATTTTATATTCCTACTACTGATAATAAGTGATGAAATGTTACATTTATGAGACTTGGCATAGGATTGTCCACCATCAGTAGAGTATCTTGCGTAACACTTAGCCAAGAACATGTCTCCAAAGACGGCAGTGCCACAATCGCTTTTAAGCCGTCCGATGGCCGTTCCTACACAATCTTGGCACTCCGACACCGTTAGATCTCCTACACACTGTCCCATACCTTGAACATCACCGGACCCTCCTGCTCTAAAATACCCTCCGGCGTTGAGTAGTCCCGTGAGAACGGCGTCTCTCCGGCTGATCCCGTCCGTGTTGTAACCCTCAGAGGTCCCACACTTCTTTAAGACAACGGTCTTGTCTTCTTGGCCGAGAAAGCTAATATTATCGTACTTGATGTAGCAACCGACTAGCTGGAGGACCCCACCGCAATGATATGGGCAAAGAGGACCCACTTGGGACACGGCACGTGCCACACATGTGGCGCAATCCGGCATGGAGAGGTCACCGCGGCATTGGAAGAGGCCACGGGCTGTGTCGGAGGTGGAAGAGCCCATTATGGTGAAGTTGTTGTAGGAAGAGTATGTGGCTGAGTTGACTAGAGAAGTGAGAAGAGAGTTGAGGTTTGACTCATAAGGAGACGCCGGAGAGAACTTTGGGTCAGAGCAACCTCCGAAGACGAAGGTGTCTGTGGCGGAAGTGGCGGAAGAGAGTGAAGGAGCGGTTGCGGCAAGGAGAGAGAAGAAGAAACAAAGACTTTTGATAAGGTTTGGAGAGAGAGTGTTCCTTAGTGTTGCCATTGGTGTTGATGAAAAAGGAGAGAAAGACATTAGCAATGAAAATGGATACTTATTTATACTTACATACCAAGTGATGAAGATTAAAGGTAAATGAGTAAGTTTTCTTTCGTTGTGGTTTGACTAAAGAAGTTCTAAGCTTTTCATAAAGTAGGCAGCCATGCAATAAAGGTATCCATTTCTTAAAATACTAGTATTAGGTACGCAGTAGTTATCATTATTTTGTGCTTAATTTTATATCACTGCGTATCTAAAATGCAACTCTAGAGCAAACTTTGAGATACAAAGTATGTATACATAAGCATAATGACAATAATCTTAAATAATCACTCTTTGCACTCCAAGAAATAACTAATTCACTAAGTAGAAGATCGAAGGGTCAATTCAAATAGCAGCACATAGTGTTTATTTTATCGATGCTATAATTTAGCCTAAATAAATTAAAATTTTATAAGCTTTTGAAAGTAAATTACAATGCATGTAGAATCAATCTTCACATTTTCAATGGAGAAAAAAATAATTATTGTTATTCCTTCAGGACAAAAGAATGTCAAATTGGAAAGCTGAATATTCCTCTTTTTTTTTTGCTAATAATTTTCAAAGGGAGTGTAGGTGGGTGCATCTGTGAGAGCTTTAGGGTTCATATTATTTTATTTTCTTTACCAGTTTCTATTCATAAATTATAAATGTAAGGAAAGAAAAAACCTTTTTCGAACGAAGACACAACTCTCCAACTGTACCATCGCACTCATCGAGTTTTCCATTTCTTCTTTTTAGGATATTCATTGCTTGCTCTCGAAGGAACTCTCATATTCATTTAATCTTATTTAACTTCTTTATTCTAAAAGTTATTAAGACAATTTGCACTATACTTAAAAGTTGTTAAGTATACTTCTTAGAATCGCGGATAAGCATAAGGTGAGAGATTTCTCCTCAAGGAAGGGGTCTCGGAAGGAATGAAAATTAATGATAAATACTAGTCAAACAAAAACTTGATGACATTCCAATTGCAACTATTCAAAATAAGTGAGCTTCAAACGCAGAGCCGCCCCTGGGAGCAAGCAGGGCAAGCAGGTGCGTGCGGCCCTTCTTTTTATATACAATTATTCGGCCCTTTTTTCCTAAAAATGTCTCGTAGTCTAGTGGTTGCATAGTAGTCTCTTCAGCTTTAGTGTCTTGAGTTCCAGTCTCTTTGACTTCCAACTTTAATTTTCTTCAAATTTTTTATAATTTAACTTTTTTTCTTGATAAACTAAACGGCCCTTTTTTTTCCTAGCTTGCGGCCACTCTCATGTCAGGGACGGCTCTGGTTGTACGTGCATACAAGAATAACTAATCCACTTGACGTTGAACCCATAAATAGTTCAAGTGAAGCAGAAAGAAAAACTGAAATTTAATTTGTATTTCTTCAGTTCACAAGAGAGAAAAGAAAATGGACAGAAGAACGTTAATGGTGATAATGATGGTGATGTTGGCGATGGAGTGTGAAGCGAAGACAATGGAAGGATGCAAGAAAATATGCCTAGACATATGTTCATTTCCGCCAAGCGAAACATGCATTAAGAATTGTTTCAATTACTGTCTTCATGATCCTCATTTCCAATTTATTCCTTCACATTGATTATTTCTATGCATTATAGATTTATTTAAGTGTTTGCTAATTGCTATACTGTCATGTTCTTCAGTTCGGCAAAATAAAATTAACGAATGTGAATTTTGATGACATGTTTGTCTTAAAAGACAGTATTACAATTTATCATATTTTAATCTCCAAATAATACTCCCTCTGTTTTTTTAAAATGGATTTTCTAGACATTAGTTGTTGTTTCACAAAGATAAATTTTCTACTTTTTTGATACACTTTTTCAGTTTTCAAGAAACAATGATTGTATTTGTTAGATTTTTATTGGTTGAAAATTATAAAAAGTTGTTTTATTGCAGAAATCAATACACTAATGATTGAAAATCTGTTTTTCCTTAATATGTTAATATGTGTGAAAATCCTAGAAAATTTATAAAAAAAAAACGGAGGGAGTATTAACCTTAACACAGCTAGAACGTCTTTTGCAGAAAACTGTGAGTCCCATGGAGATATTAGATTGCTTATATCACAATATTGTGTTGAGACTCTTGCCTTGAAACAGAGTTACGAGAACCTGAAGAAATCAAACCTTGTGCACACGATTTGACAGTTGTGTGTTATTTTGCTTCCCTCATAGGCTATTTCCTCCGTCGCTATCGTTATTGGTAGACGAACAGGCCCAATGTCATGTTATGTCGCAAAGAAAGGGTTATAAAAATTTCTTGCAACCAAATAAATGTTCTTAACTTCTTCAGATGCTTTCAGGAATATGTATTGAGGAATTTATAACCCCATTTGATCTTGAAAATAGTGTGGGAAAGGTTTGGTTTCTCCAAATTCTCGTTACGCTGTTTCAGACAGAATCCTCTGTCTTTCTAGAGTAATAACGCAGTTTCAGAACAGAGTCCCCTGTTTTTGTCAAGTCTCATGCTTATGAAGAACTTATGTATAAAGGCATTGATTTACTTATTCATTCACAGATTCGAGCGATAGATCTTATCCTCGTTTGAAGGAAGGTCTAATCTTTAGTTCGTAGAACATTCCAGAAAATGTAAGTCTTTGGAGAGACTAGATTGCTTATTTCACAATATTGGTAGTCTCAAACTATGAGAATGAATAAGTAAATAAATGACTTTATACAGAAGTTCGTCATAACTCATAAGCATGATAATTGACAAAAAAACAGGGGACTCTGTTCTAAAACTGAGGTATTACTTTAGAAAAGCAGAGGATTCTGTCTGAAACAGAGTTAACCAGAAACAGAGTTAAACCTTTCCCACGCAGCTTAAAAGATCAAATGCGGTTATAAATTCTTCAATCCACTTTCCTGAAAGCATATGAAGAAATTAAGAACATTTCTTGGGTTGCAAGAAATCATTGTAACCTTTCTCTTTGCTACATAACATGACATTGTGTTCCAGCTACAAAAGAATACCTCTTAGAAATTGTTGTATGATTCTCTTAGTTGACTAAAAAATAAGAAATAGGGAGTAGGGGTCAAGAACGTAATGTGATATTTGGTGTACAAAAATAACCGAAGATGCTATAAATTTTTAATACGGTAGTAAATGGCATGATCTTGCCGATGTGACCAAATTTTCAGCATCAGGTCTTCGGGTGACAACAGGAAGGTGAGTTCAATGGGTTTCTATGTCTTTAATTGGATCAATTAATTTCGAAATTATGGAATAAGATGATATTTTTTGTTATTTTTGTGAAGTGGATGTTCATGTTGTCATAGATTGGTGTCATCTTCTTTGTCTCTGAATCTTCTATACTTAGTCAAGTGTAACAGAAGAAACAATGAGGAAAGATTATCAAATAATGAAGACTTATTATAACATTAAACTGCAAACTTAGTTTTCATCTCTTAATATTAAACAAAAGGTTCCGACATCTTCTAAGGATGGTGGAGCCTACATGGTTACATAATTTTCCATGGAAAAATAATATTAATTCTTTTTCCACGAAGCTCTCTTTCTTGTTAGCTCAAGTCAATGGAGTCGAGCCTTTGTTTCGGTATATACACAAAAGTGTCTTTCTTTATTGAAAGCTCTATGATCTTGATCCTCTCTCAATCTCTACTAATGGATTCTTCTTTCCTTACCATTGTTGCTGTTGCAAGAGGCTTCTTCACGCTTTTGGTAACTACATATTTCTTGTTTCATAGGAAATTCAAATCCCATCAAGAAAACAAAACAATAGCTTCTTCTTTGTCTCCTCCATCTTCTTTTCCTCTCAATCGTAAACACCATATCTTCCCGAGCTTTCACGGGGCAGATGTCCGCAAATCCTTTCTCAGCCACATCCTGAAAGAGTTTAGAAGCAAAGGGATCGACCCCTTCATTGACAATGATATAGAGAGGAGTAAGTCGATTGGTCCCGAGCTCATAGATGCAATCAGAGGATCGAGGATCGCAATTGTTTTTCTCTCGAGGAACTACTCTTCTTCGACATGGTGCATGAATGAGTTGGTGGAGATCATGAAGTGTAGAGAAGAGTTGGGTCAAATACTGATGACCATTTTCTATCAAGTAGATCCAACGGATGTGAAAAAGCAGACCGGAGATTTCGGGAAGGTCTTTAGAAAAACTTGTAAGGGTATGTCAAAGGAGGACATTGGAAGATGGAGACAGGCTTTGGTGGAAGTGGCCAAAATTGCTGGTTACCATTCACAAAACTGGTTCGTCCTAACTTTTGGTTTTATATATAACTTTAGCTCTTAAACAATGCCCATCCTAAACATTTCTATCTTTTTAAATGTGTATGTGCAACTTTTAGTGACTATTGACTAGAGAGGTATTGATCATTCTCTTGTTCAGGGATAATGATGCAAGGATGATTGAAACCATTGTCACTGATGTTTCGAACAAGTTGAATTATTCTACACTATCAACTAATTTTGATGGCTTAGTTGGTATGAGAGCTCATATGGATCAGATGAGACCAATCTTACGCTTGGAATTGAATGAGGTGAGGATCATAGGGATTTGGGGTCCATCTGGGATTGGTAAGACCACCATTGCTAGGTCTCTTTTTAATCAATACTCAAAAAGTTTCCAGCTGAGTGTCTTTATTGAGAATATCAAAGCAAGGTATACAAGACCCGCTTGTTCCGATGAGTACAATGTGAAGTTGTATTTACAGGAGCAGTTTATGTCTCAAATAATCAATCAAGTGGGTATCAAGATTCCACATTTAGGAATTGCCAAAGATAGGTTGAAAGACAAGAAAGTTCTTGTCGTCCTTGATGATGTGGATCAGTTAGTACAACTAGAAGCCATGGTGAAAGAAACATGTTGGTTTGGTCCTTGGAGTCGGATTATCATCACAACACAAGATAAAAAACTCTTAAGAGCACATGGGATCAAGCACATATACACGGTGGATTTACCATCAAGTGACGAGGCTCTTCAAATGTTCTGCAAGTACGCTTTTGGTCAAAATTATCCTGTAGATGGTTTTGAGAAGCTTGCTGAGGAGGTTACAAAAATTTCAGGCAAACTCCCTTTGGGATTAAGGGTAATGGGATTTTATTTAAGAGGCATGTCCAAGCAGGAGTGGAAAAAGGCACTACCAAGGTTAAGAACTCGCCTTGACGGAGAAATTGAGAGCATTTTAAAATTCAGTTACGATGCCTTATGCGATGATTATAAAGATTTATTTCTTCATATAGCCTGTTTTTTCAAAGGTGAATGTGTTGAGACACTGGAAATGTGTCTCGCAAATAGTTTCTTGGATGTGACGCAAGGGATTCACGTCTTAGTTGAGAGATCTCTCATATCATTGGAATGTGGAAGGATAAAGATGCATAATTTGCTAGTCCACTTGGGAAGAGAAATTGTGCGAAAAGAATTTGTTAGTGAGCCTGGGAAACGACAGTTTTTGGTTGATCCCAGAGATATTTGTGAAGTACTAACTGATGATACATCAGTAAGTTTTTTAACATTAATATTTCATTGCGTTGCTTTCTTACAAGTTGAGTTTGGGGTTATATAAACTAACCATTTCATTTGGTCTTTTTCAGGGTAGTAGAAGTATTATAGGAATAAATCTTGGCAAGATCGAGGAGGACATAATATGTACAAGTGGAAGAGTCTTTGAAAAAATGTCTAGTCTCCAGTTTTTAAGAGTATTTGGCTATGGCAACAGATTACACTTTCAGCAAAACTTGAACTCCATATCTCGAAAACTTGTAATCCTAGATTGGATGGACTTCCCGATGCCAAGTTTGCCTTCTAATTTTAATCCAAAGTTCCTCGTTAAACTACACATGCAGAGTAGCAAACTTGAGACGTTGTGGGAAGGAATCCAAGTAAGTAATTTTTTCTTCCAGAAAAATGATTGGTCTACAAAACTTGATGTATCTCACATATAAAATTATTAGCTTAAAAAGAGAGTTTTATGAGTATTTACTTTTTCTTATATGTTCACTACTAATTATACTATATGTTAACGGTTTTTGTGTGTTGCATTTGTTTGTCATTTTGTAGCCACTTAGCAATCTTAAGTGGATGAATTTGGATTGTTCCAAATATTTGAAAGGGCTTCCTGATCTCTCAACTGCCACTAGTCTCCGTGAATTGACTCTCCGTGAATGTTCAAGACTAGCCAATCTCCCTTCCTCTATTGGGAATGCCACCAATCTCGAGAAATTGGATCTTTTTGGTTGCTCAAGTTTGGTGGATCTCTCTTCTTCTATTGAAAATGCGATTAATCTCAAAGAATTAGATCTCAGTCATTGCTCAAGTCTAGTAAAGCTCCCTTCCTCTATTGGGAATGCCCTTAATCTTACAGAATTGGATCTCAGTGAATGCACAAGTCTATTGGAGCTCCCTTCATCTATTGGGAATGCAAACAGTCTCAAACATTTGGATCTCATTCATTGCTTAAGTCTAACGGAGCTCCCATCCTCTATTGGGAATGCAACTAATCTCACATATTTGCATCTCAGTCATTGTTCAAGTCTGCTGGAGCTCCCTTCTTCTATTGGAAACCTTCATGAATTGTTGACGTTGAACTTGGAGGGATGCTCAAAGCTAGAGACTCTTCCGACCAACATCAACATGAAATCTCTCAATGATCTTGATCTCACTGATTGCTTGTTGATAAAACGTTTTCCTCAGATTTCCACAAGCATCAAATATCTGCGTCTCCTTGGAACCTCAATAGAAGAAGTCCCTTCATCGATCAGGTTGTGGCCTTCTCTTTATGAATTACATATGCCTTACAGTGAAAAACTCCATGCATTCCCACTTGCTCTTGAGAGCATCACAATGCTATACTTGAGGGATATAGATTTACAAGAACTTGGTCCATGGATTGAGAGAATGTCTCGTCTTCGTGGACTTGACCTCAAAGGATGCAGAAAGTTGATATTACTCCCTAAGCTTCCAAGCTCCTTATTAGATCTAGATGCAGAAGATTGTGAGTCTCTAGAGAGACTGGATTGCTCCTCTCACAATCCAGAGATTCGCCTCAACTTTGGTAACTGCTTTAAGCTAAATCAAGAAGCAAGAGATCTCATCATGCATACATCAACACATAAACTTGCGATCTTACCTGGTGAAGAAGTGCCTGCCTACTTCACTAACAGAGCTTCTGGGAGTTCCTTGACAGTGAAGTTAGGTCAAAAGCCTTTACGTACATCAACAAAATTTAAGGCTTGCATCTTGTTAGTTAACGAGGGGGAATACGAGGTTGATGAATGGCAAAAATTTCAGATGTATAGTAGAATCACCTCCAAACTGAATGATTTCGCTGCTTATACGTCAAATGGATACAGCCTGGATCCAATTTTAACGGAGCATTTGTACACGTTTGAGGTTGAAGTGGATGAGGCGACTACAACCGAGATTGTTATTGAGTTCAAGCTCCGTGACTGGGGAAAGGACACCTTCAATATCACCTGGAAGATTAAAGAATGTGGGATATTCCAACTCTTTGAGGTCCGATGAAGATAAAGACATCGAGATCTGAGACAACTTGACAAAGAAGCATCTAGAGAATGATAGTGCAGAGAAGAAGAAGAGCAGGAAAAATCACAGGTGATTGTTCTTGAAGATGAGGATAAGAGCCAACATACGTCTTTTGTGATTCTGTCTCTCTGATAAAGATTTTTCATGTTCTGATAATTTTATTTTTCTTTTTAAGGGAACTTCTTCATCATGTTAATAAACAGCAAAATTCTTGTTTACAATCATAGGAGGAAAAGACTGTAAAAGGCAGATTCCTAAGGACATAACTGAAAAAAATGAAAAGTAAGATTGTGTTGTCGAGAGAGTAAAAAAAAACCAAAAATGAGATTAAAAAAAACATATGTATGATGACTCACTTTCCAACTCATACAATCAGAACTCCACCTAGAAGTTAGAACGTCTTTTGCAGAAAATTGAGTACCTGGAGATATTAGATTGGTTATTTCACAATATTGGTAGTCTCAAAATGTGTGAATGACAAATTACATCATTGCCTATATACAGAAGATCGTCCTAAGCTGGAGACTTGAGAAACAGGGGACTCTTTTCTGAAACAGAGTTATTACTTTAGAAAAACAAAAGACTCTGACTGTCTGAAACAGAGTTACGAGAACCTGAAGAAATCAAACGTTGAGCACACGATTTGAAATATAAGATGTGCTTTTATCTAGCTTGGGAAAGCCGCAATCCATTTTCCAGACATCATTGAAGAATTTAATAACATTTCTTGGGTTGCAAGAATTTTGTAACCTTTTCTTTGCTACAGAAAAGTTAATAGGTTTTGTTTCATCCTGAGCAAGATAAAGACGAAGACTGGATTTTAGCTTTAGAAACCGCTATCAAATTAGGGATTCAGGTTTTGGATTCGGAATTGAGAAGAGAGATGCTTGACACTGTTGTGAAATCATTTTGTGATCTTATGAGTGTGGGAATGGAACCATTTCTGCAAGAAGCGCTTCAACATATAGTGAAGTTCTTGGCGAAAGAAGCGAGCTTGTGTAAATGGAGTAAGAATCAATGTGGTTTTGTGGCAGAGTTTGCGTTTAGAATCGCAGTTATCGGAGGAACAAAGACAAAAGAATCTGTAAAGATCTACGAAATGGTAACATAGATGGAGAATTATGTCCATGATCCAGCTTTCGAACTCAGCCCACACACACACACACACACACACACACACACACACACACACACACACACACACACACACACACGAAAAACATTGAATCAAACAAAAGAACTGAGAGGATGCAATCGCACAAATGTAATGGTAATCTTCCTCTTGCTTAGGAGCCTCCTTCTCCAAAATTCCATTATTTCTTTTCATGTCTCGAAACACCAGTGGCATCAACGTGCAGGTTCGGGCAGCGCTTGACATCAAATTCTCTCAGGTTCGGAAGAAACTTAAGACTAGAGCAAATTCTCTGTAGTCCATACACACTATGTAGTTCAAGGCGTTGTAGCTTCCCAAATGGAACAGAAAGATGTGGATGGACATTGCTAATACTCATTCCTTTCTCCCTATTTATTATTTCTTCTATGCTTTTTGAATTAAACACACGTAGATCCCTTAGATTTGGAGCGTACAACAGCCAAGTCAAGTCCCTTGGACGTTCCAAAGAGAATATTTCAACAGAGGAAAGATGCTTGAAGCCTGGAGAAGTTTTAGATAGAAGCTCTTCTTTTTCTTTGCTTTCCCAATCTATCTTTATCTCTGAGATTTTGCAGTCCTCCATAGAAAGGCGTTGAAGACCACACAGAGCTACCGTGTTGAATGTCACAACCTCGGGTGACATATACCGTAGACATAAACTTCGAATACTACCCGCCAATCGCTCCACTCCTTGGATACTTTCTAAAACCAAAGCATCTTTTACGGTTGCGGTTAGAATCTTTAAGTGCTGTAAGAGCTGCAGCTCTTCCATGAATCTTGCATCAATACAAAGAAGAGAACGATAAAGTTTCAACACTTGAAGAAATGGTAAGCTTGTTCCTATCCCAGCAATGCTTGCAAGTTTAGATGTATACTCCAGGTCCAAGCTTATTAGCTTCCTCAACCCCTTGAGACCAACTGGTAACGTTTGTATCCCTGTGAATGATAAATTGAGGTATTCCAAGGAACTCAAGCATGACCTTGGTTGTTACTTCCATCTTCATCTCTGCTTCCATTTATTAATCCTTCGGAGATCCAATAGTCTATCAACTCCTCCTTGTTGATCTCATGATCCTCCGGGAACAAAGAACAATATAGGAAGCACTCTTTGACACTTTGATCCTTTAAGCCATCATAACTAAACTTCAAAGTGGAAAGAATCTTTTCTTCCATACCTGGAAACTTGTGGCTAGACGTATTGATAACTTTAACGGCATGACGCCAATCACGTACATCCTCGTTACAGGCCATGGCTTTGCCAATAACAGTGAGTGCAAGTGGCAAGCCACAACATTTCTCAGCAACTTCTCTTGCTAACATGGGAATATCCTCATGGCAATTTAATGTTGTTTCTGCAACTGTAATTCGAAACAGTCCCCACGCATCCTTAGGTGACAAACAATCAACTTTCAGCTCATCGTCAGCTTTCATGGCTTTGCAAACTTCCTTTGAACGAGTGGTGAAAACTATCTTGGATCCATTATCTTGAGTTGGAGGTGGAACTCCAATCTTGTTCAGATCAACCTCGCTCCATATATCGTCTAATAACAGCACAAATTTCTTTCTGCCAAGTATATTGTATATGGAAGAGCCGAAGAGGCTTTCTCCTCCTCTGTTTCTCGGTTCCAATCCTTGTCGACACGTAATCTTCCCAGAATCTGATTCTGAATGCTTTCAATTTGTAAATCTTTGGAGTCTACAACCCATATCACAATATCAAATGCATTCTCCGCTTCAACGAATTTGTTGTTGATACGAGCTAAGAGGGTGGTTTTGCCAACTCCCCCCATGCCATAAAGACCTAAAGTTCTTCGCTCAGCGTTCATGAGGCTGTTCCATGCTTTATCAACCATGATATCCAAACCAACTGTGGTTTGGATAGGTTTCTTCCTCACTTTTGGTACAGGAGCTTTTTCCGCCACACCATCTTCAAAGACTCCGTTAGATAGAAGCTCTGTAACATCTTCCAAATTTTCTGATACCTCCATGCCATACTCGCAGCTTGACATGCACTTCTTAGAACAATATCCAAACAGACACAATCTTCTAGTCTGAGATGATTTAGCCTTAAGCAGATCTTTCACCTGAGACTCCATATCATGTACCCTTGAAAACCATCCTTGGACTTGAGCAAGCCTCTGCAAACCTTTGTCTTCTTCTATGGAAACTCTTCTTAACATATCATCTCGCCTTTCTTCAAGTTCTAGCATAGTTTCTTGCAGAGCCTCGAGATTAGCCTCCATCATGTGAATGTAATTTCCATCACCAAACAAGCAGCAGCAGGCTTGATTCAGCGCGTGATCACATGATAACTGTAGTGATACACAGCCTCCCATCTTTGCTTGAACTTTAAGAACGAAAGCAAAACAAACTAATTTCGCTGCCTTGAATGAATGAGCTAGCGTAAAGAGGAACACCAATAATATAATTGACTTTATGAGAAAGAACAAAAGAACAAATCAAGCAACATTTTAGTAAATAATATTCTCTCTAATAAATAATATTCTCTCTCTTCACGAATAATTCAGAACTCGACATGTCTCCCATCTCGCTCTTATCTTCGTCGAACCTGCGTGCGCGAACAGGCAAGCAATTAGTTTAAATATTGTTTTTATAAAATCTAGGAGACCATAACTTTAGATTTTTTATCGACGACTTAGATTTAGATATAGTTTATAAAATCATTGATCCTTACGTGTCATGAACTTAAATGTGTAATCTAAAAGATCGCATATCTAGTCTCTGTATTTGTGTGATGACATGTCTGAAGATTATGGTTTGAAGAAATAAATATGGCTGTAGAGTTCATGCTCAAAATCACAAAATGGCTGGTTTTGTTTTTTTGTTGTGTGAATGAGAGACTTGAGAAAAAACAGGGGACTCTGTTTTGAAACTGAGTTATTACTTTAGAAAAACTGAGGACTGTGTCCGAAACAGAGGTACAAGAATCTGAGGAAACCAAACTAAACCAATGCGTCAGTTTGTTTGTTGGCATAACCGTACTATTGTTCGAACTTTAATTACTTGTGAATCAAGTTAGATGCTTCTTCCTGAATAACCTTCCATGCGTCCTTCACGTGCTTCTCCTCCGTCAATGGCGCTCCTATGGCGCAACGTAGTACTATTTTTCCCGACAAAGCCTGTTTCCCACGCAAAGCAATACACATATTTACGTCATTATTAGTAACCAAACAAGAAGAGAGAAAGAAAAAAAAAAAAAAAAAAAAAAAAGAGAGAAAGAAAAACAGAGAGAGGTCACACTCACAGTGTGAGAAATGAAGAGTTTCCCTGAGGAATTCACTGCCTGTAGGAGCTCGCGGTTTCGGTTATTACACTTGTTTTCATCGTTATCCCTAGGAAAGATACGGAAACAGACGAGAGAAAAGATCCGAGGAGTGATCACCTGAAAATTAACATAAAAGAATGTTTTTATATAATTCTTGTCAAGAAACTTCATAGACAATGTTTTAGAGATTTTTTTTTATTTACCTCGAAGTTAGGATCTTGAGAGACAAGTTGTTCAAAATCTTTAGCAAGTTTGATATGGTTTCTTATGTAGCTCTTCAAGGTCTCAGATCCATATAGCCTTAAAACCATCCATAGTTTCAATGATCTTTCAAAAAAACATAAACAAGACAAACAAAATAACTCAGACTCTTATAAAATTTTAAATTGAATTCCCACCAAAAAAAAAAAGCAAAGAACCTGAATCTTCGTCCGAGAGGGACTTGCCAGTCTTTGTAATCAACAACCAACTTTGCCTGAGAGGCCTGACAGAAATAAAATGGTGAATCAATATCTAATAGATTCGTAGAAGAGGAAAGTCTGCTGTTTTTTTTATCATGAGGACAAAAATCTTTCTTACCTTGTTTTTGAGATACTCTGGATTTGTTGAAAGAGCTTGAGTGAGAGAATCTTGATCCTGTTTTTCAAACTTCAAGAAATGTATTATATACATGAAGAAATAAATAAAGAAAGAAATTTAAAATTTGAGATATATATACCTTGACCCAAAGTAGGGAACAATCGAATTTTTTTTTTTTTATTTTTTTTTTTAAACATAACTTTATTAAAACTTGAAACATCGATTACACAAGCCATGACCATACCAAACAAAGTAGTAGTCACACAGCTTCTTAAAGTAGATATAAAGAGGTGAAAAGATATGGGAACATATAATGAACCATAAGCAGTTGAATCTTCCGCTTCAACTGACTTTAGTGCTTCCGAACGGTATACGTCTAGCCTCGTCCACCTCGGCTTCCACGTCCTCGATTTCCCCGTCCACGAGCCGTGACCTGCATCTCTTTAGCTTTTGTTGATGGTTTAACTGGTCTTGCTCGAAGGATCCTTTTACCTGTAGGTGTCATGAGTTCCGACGAATCCGACTCATTGTCGGAATCCATCGAGTCTCATCTCCTTCGGTAGAGATCAATGAGCCAAACCTATTAGAACCAAAATCAGGTTCAGTTATCTTACTGCGGTTATCATGGACGGTAGAGGGTTCTTGAGCAACTGTGACATCGCTGACTGTTGTAATCTGAGCAGACGCCACATTAGGAGTCTCAATAGAAGTGGTGGTTGTTGTTGTCTGAGCAGACTCCGTAATAGGAGTCTCAATAGTTTCATTAACTAGAACGATTGTAGGAGCTTTTTGAGCAGACATATTCTCAAGTATTGAGACTGTAGCAAGGGAACTAAGTTCATCGGAGCTTGGATCAATCGGGCTTGGTTCATTAACTGAATCTGGAATAACAAGTTCTGAAGGGGCAGTTGTCTCATAGGTTCCTGCTTGAACAGAAGGAGCCGTTTGTTGTGTAGAACACGGTACAGAAGTAGGAGCAACAAAACTAGCGACATTGTCTTCCTCTTGAGCAGATTTCAGACAACGTCTAATCTTATGTCCCAACTCCCCACATCTACTACATTTAGTAGGTAACCAAGCGTATTCTACATCCACCATAGATATAAACCCACTATCATCACTTGCAGCAATTCTAGGTGGGAAAGCTTTGCTCAACTCTACTTCTACCAAAATTTTGGCTTTGCTCAACTCTACTTCTACCAAAATTTTGGCTTCACCTAGAATGGGATCCAAACGAGGTTTGTAAGTTGCCATTGGTGCACCTAAACCAGAAGCAATGTGGCTAACTCCAGAGATTGAATACAAGATGTTGGGTATCTTTTTTAAGGTAACCCAAACAGGCATAGTCTTAATCTCAGGGATTTCTAAAGTCGCTTCTGGAGTCCATGAAGCAACAAACATCAAGCAGTCATCAACATGCCAAAGTCCCCTTTGAAGAACCCAATTCCTAGTTTCTTTGTCAGGTATATGGAAAAGATAATTGCATTCACCCAACTTCCTAATAGTGATCTTGCAATTCCTCCCCCACAACTTATTGAAAACCGCAAAGATTAGACCACCTGGCGGAGGTAAACATCTATAGAACTGGCCTAAGATGTACTCCTTCTGGTTCTCTAAACCTTTTAACAGAACATGCTTAGGAATCATTACCTTAGGAGTGCCATCCTCTAAGTATTCTGGCTCTGTTGCTCTATACAGATTTCGAGATGATGGATTCATCTTTGCCGCCCAGGGAAAACGAAGATTGTCTTCCTTTCCAACTGAATTCTGAGGAGCCTGCGTGACATCCTTAAAGGATTTACGTGAAGCTGCTACATTTCCCTTTTTCTTCAAGCTATGAACTGTCAAGGCTGGCCAGGCTTCTGGTGAAGAGATAACAGAATCTACTTCTCCGCCAACACAGATAGTATCATCCATCAATGATGAGTTTGAGTTGATTTTAATAGGTTTAGCCCAAGCTCCTAAACGAGATTGATGATTGCCCAAGGGCTCTGGTTTGCGTACCAACGGTGCAGAGTTAGACACCTTTGATTTTCCATTCTTTCCACACTCTGAAGTAGAGTCTCTGTTACGCGGAGAGAGCACATCTATCTCTGTAGCATCAACCTCCACTTGACTAGTAGCAGCCTTAGTTGCCGGAGCAGTAGCCACCACTGACTTGTCTTCCTTGTTTGCTGAATGAGAAGGATTAGCCACAAAACCCTCAACCACAGAAGCAGAGACCGACGCAGAGGTAGATTTCTCTGTCCATCTGTTGAGATAAGGCCATCTAGGATCCGGAGAGGCATCAGACTTCACACCGGAGGTAGCTCCCTCGACGGTGTTGGATCCAAACAGATCAGCCGACAGTTTTTTAGGAAATGGAGACGCATTAGAGAATGAAGAATTGGACTTGGGTAAATCCATGACTAAGAGAAGAAGACGAGCTGAGTCTGATGAGAAGGCTCTTCGTGACTGAAATTGACGGAGCCGCCGGCGACGTTACCGCAGAAGCGGATTCGTCGACAGAGATTTGGGATTTAGGTTTTCGCTTCTAGGGAGAAAAGATTGGGGGCGCGTGGGCGCGTAGATTAACACTAGATTAACACTATCTATTAAAAAACCGGAACAATCGAAATTAGTGAGGAACCACTTGTGAGCATTCATGTTAAAAGAGTCTGCAGTTTCTACACCATCAATGTATTGTCGATACTCTGGACATATACAAGCACTTCCTGCGTACGCTGCATCCACGTGAACCCACATCTCATTGCTCTGAGAATGCAGTGAAATATATATGGCATCAGATAGTTTCTTGAATTCTCTCTCAGAAGTTTGAATTTAATAACCTTAGCGATCTTCCCTAGTGCAGCTAATGGATCAACTGCTGTTGAAGAAGTGGTTCCAACCTGGCAACATCAAATGAATGTTATACAAAAAACTGATCTCATGCTTCAAGAGGCTAGTGCTTACATTAGCACATAAGAAGAATGGAATCAATCCAGCTTCAAGATCCCTAGAAACAGCTTCTTGAAGCAACTCTGGACTAAGAGCATAATTAGTAGAAGAATCAGTTCTCAGCACCCTACAATTCCCTGGATGGATTCCAGCTATCTGTCAGCAACAAAACATATTTAGCTACTTTCTTAACAAAATTTTTGTTTAATCAAATTAATCTGCAAATTGCTTGCCTGGCAAGCTTTCTGCAAAGCTGAATGTGTCTGGTCAGAGGAGTAGACAACGAGCTTCTCAAGAGCTTTCTTGCCAACACTTCTTAAAACATTATCACGAGCAGCAATAAGAACAACAAGAACAGCTTCACTTGCTGATCCTTGGATAACTCCACCTCCATCTCCTAAAATAACACAACTAAACCCTACATTTAGCAAAGGATTGTTCTCACAAGATTTATGTTTTCTAGCTATTATACCTTTGGACAGAAACTGCTCAGGTAGGTTGAGTAATTTGGCAAGCTAATCAAGAACAATCATTTCGAGCTCCGTGGCAGCTGGACAAGATATCCAACTAAAGCCAACAATCCCTAGACCAGCACTCAACATCTCACCCAAGAAACTGGCAACACTGCTGTTTGAAGGGTAATAAGCAAAGAAACTAGGGCTTTGCCAATGCGTTACTCCTGGCATTATCTTTGCCTTAACATCTAAAAGAGAGAAAAAAAACTCATATTAGATCGAGTATCCATGTTCATCAGAAAATTGGTATTCATATGACATTTTACCATCAAGAACTTGATCCAGCGTTTCAGGGTGGTCTGGTGCGGAATCAGGCAAAAGGTTATGAAGATAACCAGGCTGCAGCAAACAAGTAGGTTCAACAATGTGAATAGACCAGAGATTTTCAAAACACAATAGCAAACCCCAATGTGACAATTAGAAAAAGAGTGACCTGGACTTGGCTAAGAACAGGGAGATTTTCGATGCTTTTGTAGTAATCAGCAATGAAATCCACCATTCGGTGTCCGTACTCTCTCAATTGCTCCGAATCCATGGGCTTCAACTCGTTCCTACTACCATTTTCCTTGTTCCAATAAGAAGGTAAACGAAACCTAAGACAAGATTCGTCTGAAATCATGACAAAGATCAAGATGTAAACGAAAACTTACATTTTGTGTTTCGTTTTCTTGCGTCGCTTTGAATTTCTTGTTTATGTCTCAGAAGCTATCTGAATAGTCTGGGTTTCAGTTGGAGTAGTGTGACACCTCTTGTGTTTTTTTTTTTTTTTTTTTGTTTTTTTTTTTTTTTTTTTTTTTTTTTTTTTTTTTTTTAATTGTGTAGTAAAATAGCTTTTCATAAAAAGAGCGCAACAGATTTGAACTAAATTTAGATAATCTGATATGTAAACTGAGAAAATCTGATGAAATGATACAAAAAATAAAATCACCTTTGTCAGGTTCTTATGCGAGCTGAAATTTAAAAGTCTGTTTCAAAAGTGATGTTACATAAGGAAAATTGATGTTTCCAGGGGAAATTTCAAAACTATGGAAAAACTACAAAACTAAAACTAAATGGATGTTTAGTTGATCATAGTGATGTTTCAAAACTACATGGTACTATGGAAAAATAAGTACAATATTAAATTTCAATAGCAAAACTAAAACTTAAACGACAGGTACGAGCTCCTGAGCTGGTTATAATGATGAAGATGCAAAGATTAAATTTCTCAAAGCTTATTTTACACATAAACTATGATCAGTGTATGGCCATTTCTGATTAGAGGCAATAGAGCGGCTATATAGCTTTGACGTTGTAATTTAATCGAAAGCAAAGCAAGTTAGGGTTCCACAGAAAGTGACTTGCCTCAGAAGTAAACTCTTCCCATTCACGTCTTGCCTTCCATGAGCATCAAAGATCATGAGCATGTCTTACAACAACACAAAACAAGCAGAGAATAATGAAAGCGATATCGCCTGAGAAATAAATGGTCATCACAGTTTAGTGGCAGAATTTGCGTTTAGGATAGTGAATAGTTAAAATTCACAATTTGATCTTGATCTGCTCTCTTGCAAAGTTTGTGAATTTTTACGGAGATTATGAAGAGAGATTCATCAGAGTCTGCCAAAGAAACTGCTTTTGCTCTTGCTGCTCTGATGGAGGATCCCTTTCAGTATCAGGCAGGAATCGAACTCCACTTACTCGGGTACTTCCATAAGTTCACTTTTCAGTATCAACTATCAAGAGACAGAACAGAGCTATTGTCTTTCCGTTTCTTTTCTGTAGGAATATAAATCCGAGGCCACCACCTATTCTGTACACACCAATGAAGCTGTGAGGAAGATCTATCAAATGGTTACAACCTGGAGAGATTATTAATGATTGAGGAGATAATACAGAGCATGACAAATACACACCAAAACAACAACAATGTCATTCAAGAAAAAGCAGCAGCAAATAAAACCAGAGTAATCACAAAACATGACAAGTACATACCAGCAAAAGAAATATTTGAATATAACAACTTAACAACACTTTCATTCAACCAAAAGCAGAGCATATAAAACCAAACCAAATAAAGAACTGAGAAGATCAAATCATATATGTAATCCTAATCTTCCTCTCGCAAAGGAACCTCTCTCTCTCGAAAATTCCATTATTCTTGTTCACGTCTCGGCAATTCAGTGGCAGCTTTGGGCAGCTTTGGGCAGTTACTGACATAAAAAGATTTCAGGTTTGGAAGAACCAGAGGATTCGAGGAAATTCTCTCTAATTGATCCAAATAATATAGTTCAAGGGATTCTAGCTTCCCAAAGGGAACAGAAATATGAGGATGGAGATCGCTAATACTCATTCCTTTCTCATTGTTGATAATTTCTTCTATGCTTGATGAACCAAACACCTTAAGATACCTGAGATTTTGAGCGAACAACAGCCAGCTCAAGTCCTTTGGACCTTCCAAATTGTGTATATTAGCAGCGGAGAGATGCTTGAAGCCTAGAGAACTTGAACATAGAAACTCTTCTCCTTCTTTGCTTTCCCAATCCATCTTTATCTCTGAGATATAGCAGTCCTCAATCTCAAGGCGTTGAAGACCACCCAGAGCTACCGTGTTTAATATCACAACCTCTGCTGATACATCTCGTAGACATAAATATCGAATACTGCTTGCCAATTGATCCACTCCTTGGATACTTTCCAAAACCAAAGCATCTTTTACGGTTGCTGTTAAAATCTTCAAGTGCTCTAACAGCTCTAGCTCTTCCACTAATGCTGCATCAATATAAAACGCTGAACCATATAATTTCAACACTTGAAGATTTAGTAAGCCACTTACTATCCCATAAGTGTTTTTAAGGGAAGAAGTACCCTCTAGGTCCAAGCTTATTAGCTTCCCCAACCCCTTCAAACCAACTGGTAATGATCTTATCCTTGTAGATGATAAATTTAGGTATTGCAAGGAACTCAAGCTTGAAATTTCATTCGGCAATCTACGAAGATCAAAGTTCCCCGAAAGATCTAAGACGACAAGGGCTCTCATAAACTGAAAGAATTCACCTGAAATCGCCTTCAGCTTGTTGTTACGAAGTAAAACGGTCGAAAGGTTGGAGCATTCAGAAGGACAACAAGATATCTCTTTAATTTGATTACTCATCAAAGAGATTCTTCTCACAACTTTCCAGTTGATGTCGTTTGGTATACACCGTAACTGTGTACCGGATTTGGCACACAATCTTTCTTCTTCTTTTCCAAAGTTAGACCCTATCCAAAGAGCCATCTCACGTATAACATCATGCATTTTCACCTTCTCTTTGATTCCAACCATATGAACCATCTTCATTTCTACTTCCACCAATAAATGAGCACGAACTAATGAACCAATTATAGCATGACCTTGGTTATTACTTCCGTCTTCATCTCTGTTTCCATTTATAAATCCTTCCCCTATCCAATATTCTATCAGCTCCTCTTTGTCTATTTCAAAATCTTCCGGGAACAAAGAACAATATAGGAAGCAAGATTTGACATTTTCTTCCCCTAAACCATCATAACTAAACTTCAAAATGGAAAGAATCTTCTCTTCCATACCTGGAAACTCGTGGCTACACGTATTGAGAAGATCAATGGCATGACGCCATTCGTGTACATCATCTTTAGATGCCATGGCTTTGCCAATCACATTGAGTGCAAGTGGCAAGCCACAACATTTCTCAGCAACTCTTCTAGCAAGTGCAGGAATATCCTGATGGCCCCTTAATGGGGCTTCTCCAACTGTATTTTGAAACAATTCCCACGCATCTTCGGCTGACAAACACTCAACTTTCATCTCATCGTCGGCTTTCATGTCTTTGCAAACTTCCCTTGAACGAGTGGTGAAAACTATCTTGGATCCATTGTCTCGAGGAGGTGGAACTCCAATCTTGTTCAGGTCTACCTCACTCCATAGATCATCTAATAACAGAACAAATTTTTTTTTCTTAAGGATGTTGTATATGGAAGAGGCTTTCTTCTCTTCTCTTTCTCCTTCCCATTCCTTGTCCGGATGTAACCTTCCCAGAATCTGATTCTGAATGCTTCCAATTTGTAAATCTTTGGAGACAACAACCCATATCACAATATCAAATCCATTCACCGCTTCAACGAATTTGTTGTTGATACGAGCTAAGAGTGTTGTTTTGCCAACTCCCCCCATGCCATAAAGACCTAAAGTTTTTCGTTCACCGTTCATGATGCTATTCCATGCCTTTTCCACCATGAAATCCAAACCAACTGTGGTTTGGATATGCTGCATCCCCACCTTTGGTACAGGAGCTATTTCTGCGACCACTTCAAAAACTCCTTTAGATAGAAGCTCTTTAACCTCTTTCAACTTCTTGCAAACCTTCTTTCCATACTTGTAGCTTGATGTGCACTTCTTTGAACAATATCCAAGCATACACAATCTTCTAGTCTCCATTGATTTATCCTTCAGTAGATCTTTCACCTGAGACTCAATACCTTTTACCCTTGAAAACCATCCTTCCACTTGAGAAAGCCGCTCCAAACCTTTGTCTTCTTCTATGGAAACTCTTCTCAACAGATCATCTCGCCTTTCTTTAAGTTCTTGCATAGTTTTCTCCAAAGCCTCCAGATTAGCCTTCATCATGTGAATGTAATTTTCACCACCAAAAAAGCAGCCGCAGACTTGATTCAACGCTTGATCACATGATAAATTTAGTGAGCAAATGCCTCCCATATTTGCTCAAACTTTAAGAAAGAAAGCAAAACAAACTGATTTCGCCGCCTTGAATGAATGAGCAAGCGTAAAGAGGAACAACAATAATCTAGTTGACTTGATGAGAAAATAGTAAGTCAAGACCAATTATTCGGATAAATTAAGTATGGAGACCACACATTTCTATCCACTAGGATATCTAATCCGGTTGGATCAAACCAATATATACTCAAAAACAAAATCAAAAGAAAAAAATCAAAGAGAAATCTAATCGACTTGAAAATGAATGGACTGAAGCATTCAATTTTTAGTGGAAGAAAAAAATCCTTTCGAAATAATAATATTGTGAATATATTTTTTTCTCTTTTAAAAAAACTCAGATGAAAATATCTTATATATGTAAGTATCTTTCATGTACCTACATATGATAATTTCTTAGCTAGTATATGATATTTCCTTCATGTACATATATCGCCTCTAGTCATGTCATTTGTTTAAGCTAACCTTTTAAATATATGATAATGAAATTTGCTCATCTGCATCGGTGGTAACACATCGAGATCAGAGACAAGCATTGAAACTCAAGCCGGCAGAGAAGCATCCGAGTGTAGGAACGAATAAGAGCATGACAAATCTTTTACCAAAAAAAAAAGAGCATGACAAATCTCAGGAGCTTTAAAACCAAAAGAAAAGAAAAATCACAGGAGCTTGTTCGTGAAAATGAGAGGATAAGTGGTAGCGTTTTTCTTTTTAAAGAGATAATGCGTGATTACAAACGCAGAAAGCAGTGAGTAACTGGAGATTGAGTTATTAGTTATTACATTAGAGAAACAGAGGACTCTGTCTGAAACATTACGAGAACCTGAAGAAACCAAACCTTGCACACACAGTTTCAAAGATTAGGTTCAATTATAAAAGCCACCGTCCATTTTCCAGTAAGTATAAAAACTTAAGAACATTTCTTGGGTTGCACGAATTATGTAACCTTTTCTCTATGGCACTTGTTTTTTTTTTTTTTTTTTTTTTCTATGGCACTTGTTCATCATGTAATAAACAGAAAATGCGTTAAGTGATTGAATAATACATGATAATTATATTTATGCTTTAAGTGTATATTAAATTTTCAAAACAGAATATCACATGATAAAACAAACGCTGTTTGTTTTTGAATAAATTTTACATTCAACCCCATAAAAAAAACCCTCTAGCAGCTCTGAGCAGCTTTGGGCATGCGAGGACATCAAATTTTCTCAGGTTTGGAAGAATCTCCTCCGAGCAAACACTCTTCAATTCAGACAAGTTCCTCAGATCAAGGGATCCTAGCTTTCCAAAAGGAACAGAAAGATGTGGATACACATTGCTAATACTCATTCCTTCCTCCCTATTTATTATTTCCTCTATGCTTTCTGAATTCCATACACTTAAATACCTGAGATTTTGAGTGAACAGCAGCCAGGTCAAGTCCTTTGGACCTTGCAAACCATCTATCAAAACACTGGAAAGGTGCTTGAAGCCTGGAGAGCTTGTACAATGAAGCTCTTCTCTTTCTTTGCTTTCCCAATCTATCTTTATCTCCGAGATGTTGCAGTTCCAAATATCAAGGCGTTGAAGACCACTCATAGCTACCGTATTTAATATCACAACCTCTGCTGACATATCTTCTAGATGTAAATATCGAACACTTCTGGCCAATCGCTCCACTCCTAGGATACTTTCCAAAACCAAAGCATCTTTTACAGTTGCTGTTAATATCTTCAACTGCTTTAACAGCCGTAGCTCTTCCATTAATGTTGCATCAATATAAAACGGTGAACCATATACTTTCAACACTTGAAGATTTAGTAAGCCACTTACTACCCCATAAGTGTTTTTAAGGAAACGAGTATACTCTAGGTCCAAGCTTATTAGCTTCCCCAACCCCTTCAAACCAACTGGTAACGATCTTATCCCTGTAGATGATAAATTGAGGTATTGCAAGGAACTCAAGCTGGAAATGTCATTCGGCAATCTATGAAGATCCTTGTTCTCCGAAAGATCCAAGACGACAAGGGCTCTCATAAACTGAAAGAATTCACCTGAAATCGCCTTCAGCTTGTTGTTACGAAGTAAAACGGTCGAAAGGTTGGAGCATTCAGAAGGACAACAAGATATCTCTTTAATTTGATTACTCATCAAAGAGATTCTTCTCACAACTTTCCAGTTGATGTCGTTTGGTATACACCGTAACTGTGTACCGGATTTGGCACACAATCTTTCTTCTTCTTTTCCAAAGTTAGACCCTATCCAAAGAGCCATCTCACGTATAACATCATGCATTTTCACCTTATATGTGAGTTCTTCGGTAAGATCCATCTTCATCTCTATTTCCACCAATAGATGAGCACGAACTAATGAACCAATTATAGCATGACCTTGGTTATTACTTCCATCTTCATCTCTGTTTCCATTTATAAATCCTTCCCCTATCCAATAGTCTATCAACACCTCCTTGTCTATTTCAAAATCTTCCGGGAACAAAGAACAATATAGGAAGCCTGCTTTGACATGTTCGTCTCCTAAACCATCATAACTAAACTTCAAAATGGAAAGAATCTTTTCTTCCATACCTGGAAACTCGTGGCTAGACGTATTGAGAACATCAATGGCATGACGCCATTCGTGTACATTCTCTTTAGATGCCATTGTTTTTCCAATAACATTAAGTGCAAGTGGCAGGCCACAACATTTCTCAGCAACCTTTCTTGCAAGTGAAGGAATATCTTGATGGCGCGTTAACGGGACTTCTCCAACTCTATTTCGAAACAGTTCCCACGCATCTTCCGCTGACAAACACTCAACTTTCAGCTCATCGTCAGCTTTCATGTCTTTGCAAACTTCCTTCGAACGAGTGGTGAACACTATCTTGGATCCATTGGCTCGAGTAGGAGGTGGAACTCCAATCTTGTTTAGATCTACCTCGCTCCATAGATCATCTAATAACAGAACAAATTTCTTTTTCTTAAGGATCTTGTATATGGAAGAGGCTTTCTTCTCTTCTGCTTCTCCTTCCCATTCGTCATCAACACGTAATCTTCCAATAACCTGATTCTGAATGCTCCCAATTTGCAAATCTTTAGAGACCACAACCCATATCACAACATCAAATTCATTCATGAAGTTGTTGTTGATACGAGCTAGGAGAGTGGTTTTGCCAACTCCCCCCATACCATAGAGACCTAAAATTTTCCGTTCACCGTTCATGATGCTGGTCCATGCCTTTTCCACCATGAAATCCAAACCAACTGTGGTTTGGATATGCTGCATCCCCACCTTTGGTACAGGAGCTTTTTCTGCGACCACTTCAAAAACTCCTTTAGATAGAAGCTCTTTAACCTCTTTCAACTTCTTAAATACCTTTTTTCCATACTTGTAGCTTGATATGCACGTCTTAGAACAATATCCAAACAGACACAAGCTTCTAGTCTCAGTTGATTTAGCCTTGAGCAGATCTTTCACCTGAGACTCCATATCTTGTACCCTTGAAAACCATCCTTGGACTTCTATGGCAACTCTTCTTAACAAATCAGCTCGCGTTTCTTCAAGTTCTTGCGTAGCTTCCTCTAGAGCCTCGAGATTAGCGTTCAACATGTGAATGTAATTTCCATCACCAAATAAGCAGCAGCAGGCTTGATTCAACGCTTCATCACATGATAACTGTAGTGATACACAGCCTCCCATCTTTGCTCAAACTTTAAGAAAGAAACCAAACCAAACTCACTGTCTTGAAGGAAGAAGGAAGACTCTTGCTGCAAGAGAAAGAGAGACCAATAACTGAACGGAGTTGGTGAGAAAATAGTAATTCAAGACCAAATAATTCATAAACAATAATTACGAAGACCAAGTTGTGTACCCTTTTACAACAAAAACAAAAAAAGAAGAAGACCAAGTTGTACTTTTCGGACATTAAACTAAAGCCAAGTTGACTGAATAAAAACAAATCGGGAAAGAGTTGTAAACGGATCACAACACCCATTATAAACCAAAATGTTTTATTTGTAGAGGAGCACCAATAATGCAATTGACTTGATGAGAAAATAGTAAGCCAAGACCAATAATCCTACACCAATTATTCTGATAAATATAAAGACAACTCATTTCTATCCACTAGTCTGGTTCGATCAAACCAAAATATACTCAAAAACAAAACAAACGATAAAAAACAAAAAAGCGATCGTATGTGTAGTCTCTGTCTTTGAACGATCGTATGGAGATTCTGCTTAATGAGAATATTGTTGATATTTTTACAATAATCAGATGAAAATGTATTTTATATGTTAGTATCTTTCATGTAACACCTACATATGTAAATTTCTTAGCGATATGATATTTCCTTCATGTACTTATTTAGCCTCTGTCATGTCATCTATTTAAGTTAACCTTTTATATGGATCATAATGTTTGAACAAAGAAAAGAAAAGAAGATGATAATGAAATTGGTCAAATAGCTGATTTTGGTTTACTGCCTCTAGTGTAATGATGAGAAATCTCTTGAGAATCAAGAAACGTACGTTCTTCTTCTGAAAATATCTGTAGTCTGTAATGTAGTAAACTAGTCGAGTACCCGCACGTTTGTGCGGTGTGACGTTGTTGTTTTGTGTAGAAAATTTAAACCCTAAATCCGAACCCGACAAAAAACCCTAATCAAAAAATTTAAAAACCCAAACTTTTTTAATAGGTCTAAACATGAAAATCCGAAATCAAAAAAATCCCGAAAACCCTGACTGAACAAAAAAAATCTGGAAACTTTTTCACCCGGAACCCGACCCCAATACCTAATCAAAATTTTAAAATACTCAATTTTTTTAATATATCTAAACCCGAAAACCAGAAATCTAAAAAATCCGGAAAACCCTAAACTGAAAAAAAAAATTGAACCTAACCCGAACAGAAATTTTCAAAGAAACCCGAACAATTTCTATATCTCTATAAAATTATGTCTCAGATTTTCACCCAAACCCGAACTTGTCTATAAAAACCCGAAAATCCAAAAAGCATATTCTATTGATTTGGAATTATCGTTAGATTATGTTAAGTTTTTTTTTTGCAGATTTTTAAGAGATGGAAAACGGAAGTTTTCTAAACCATCGGTTTATTTTAAGTTATTATTCTTGTATCCAAACAATTTTTTCCATTTATTCTTCTATCCAAATAGATTTTTCTCTTATTCTTATATCCAAACAACTTTTGTTTCCATTTATTCTTCTATCCAAATAGATGTTTCTCTAATTCTTGTATCCAAACATTAGAATGTACTTCTCAATTAATAATATAATATAATAAAGATTTCTCTAGATTCTCTGAGAAAAATTAGTGAAGTTGTCTTGATTACAAACTAAACGAAAACGCTGGGTTCCGGTTTGATTTGCACGGAGTCAAACCGAAGTAATATCTGATTTGGTCAAGTCCGGTTTATATTGAGTTCTGGTCAAACAAAACGCAACTTCCTCCTCCTACAAATCTTCAACTCATCCAAAACACTCAAAACCCCATTTGCCGAGACGTTAAGAGTTAAAGAGCCAAAATTTTCTCGGGAAAACAAAAAATGGCAGAAACTGATTCCACAGAAGAAGCTGCAATGTCAGAATCTTCAAATCTCATGATGAAAGCCAGAGATCTTCTCGCGACTCCAAACCACGAAGGATTAGCGTTTCTCGTCGATCAACTCTTCACGCATCGACAATCCGTCGAATACCAAACATCTCGTCGTCTCTACGATTTCTGCGTCGCCAATTTCTCCAATTGCTTAACCCTAAACCTCCTCAAAGTCTATCTTCACTCTTCCGAAGCCGTCCTCAGATTCCGATCGATCGTCCTCCTCTCCGAAACCCTCACCAAATTAAGAAACCGCGGATTCGAACTCTCTCCCGTCGCTCTCAACGAGATCAAACCGCTTCTGATTTCATGCCTGACGATGCCGAAAGCCAGAAAATCCGACGCGAAGATCTTGAGAATCATCGTCTCCTCTGTAGCTTTCAACGTTATGATGCTTGGACGGAATTGGGACGAGCTCGGCGATTGTATCCTCTCGCTCGCGAATTCCGATCCTCTCAGAGCTTTCAACGTCTTCCTCGATTTGCCACCGGTGAACGGAGCTTTCATCAACAGGTTTCTTCACAAACTCTTAGAGGAAGTCCTTAAGGTTTTGTATCATCCTGAGCTAGATAAAGAAGAAGACTGGATCTTAGCTTTAGAAACCGCTATCAAATTAGGGATTTTGGATTCGGAATCGAGAAGAGAGATTCTTGACAATGTTCTGAAATCATCTAATGCTCTTGTGAGTATGGGAATGGAACAGATTCTACAAGAAGCGCTTCAACATTTAGTCAAGTTCTTGGAGAAAGAAGCGAGCTTGTGTAAATGGAGTAAGAACCAGTGTGGGTTTATGGCAGAGTTTTCGTTTAGAATCGGAGGAATCGGAGGAAGAAAGACGAAAGAATCTGCTAAGAAGATCTTCCGAATGGTTACAGAGATGGAGAATTACGTCCCTGATCCATCTCTCCTCGAAAATCAAGATCTTGACCGTTACTTGTACAACACTTTGACGCAGAAATCTGCTTTGGAGATCTTGCAAGCGTTTTCAGCAGCTGAGCTTGATGATAGAACAAGAGAGGTAGCTATAAGGAGACTTCATGATTTACTCTGTGACCACACTTCAGGGAACGGTGAGCTAGACGTTGCGGAGATCGAGAATCTCCAGCCGTTGCTCATCTCTTGCCTGCAAGAAGCAGGAATGCCTGAGAACACGTTCAAGATTCTTGCTCAGGTTGTGTATCACGTTGCGGTGGAGACGTTCAGCTTCGGAGAGGACCCGTGGTTCGATCTTTGGGACTACATTGGAGAGAGTAAAAGAGATTTCAAGAAAGCGGTTTATGTCTTCCAATGCTTGACAATGCGGTTAAGTGGTGATAAGGAAGAGTTTATGATTCGTGCTGTGAACAGTCTTGTTCCGGAGATAAGCTCAAGGCTAAACCCACCGAGAGAGTTGTTGGTTGATAACAGTAGCTGGGTGTTAGCGTTTAACGGTGCCTTCTGTGCATCGATTCGGTTGGTGAATGTGGTGAGTCATGGTGGGATTGTTAAGGAGATTGAAGAGAAGATGGTGGATTCGGTGAGAGAGCTTGTGGAAAGAGGAATGGAAGTTGGGCTTGTGAGGAGAGGTTTTAGAGATGTTGAGAGCATTGTGGAGCAACAATGGGATTGGTACAAGAACTCCGAATTCAGATTCGTTAAGGGTTTGATTCGGAGACTGTATGAGATCAAAGGCATGAAAATGGAAAGTAAGATTGTGTTGTGGAGGATCAATGTGGTTCTTGAGAAGAGTGTTGGTGAAGAGTTTAAAATAAGCTTTATTGGCTAAACCAACTTGAGATTTATGCAGATTGAAGTTGATTTCTGCAGTTTTCATTAGATAGTTTAGTAGTTTAGTGTATGTTAGGAGAAGAACATAATGTACAAAGCTTCACGTTACTAAATTCAATCATGCTTTTCTTACAAGGTTTAAGATTTTTGTACTTTTTGTTTTTTCCAAATCCAAGGTTTTCGATACCAAAACATAAAGTTCACACAGGTTTGTGAATTTACGTTTGTTTTTTTTTTTTTTTTCTGTTTGGTTCTCTTGATTTGATCATTTGGTTCATGGTAGTGGAATCAGAGGCATACAAAACAGAGATCAAAAACTTATTAGTAGATACTTACAAATAAATAATTCGTTCGGTCTCGTTTAAATATTATAGATAGTTACAAAATTAAAAGATTCAGTAATGTTACAGTCAATATTCATCAATCCTACAGCGACCAGTACATTTTCACATATGCCAAAAGAATTTGGTTACAATAAACTTGAAACATAAAGAGATTTTGAGTTTGGAGGAGACAACTCAAGGGCTGGAGGTTGTCTGAGGGCGATCCAGGCGTTGCAGGAGAGAACTAAGGGTAAACGGGTTTTTGAAATTGAGCGTTAGGAGAGGGAAATTGAGGAAAACCGGGTGTTGGATTGCTTGGAAAACCGGGATTAGGAAATTGAGGGTTAGGAGAGGGAAATTGAGGAAAACTGGGTGTTGGATTGCTTGGAAAACCGGGATTCGGATATTGAGGGATAGGCGTGGGATTGTTTTGAAAACCTTGCCCCGGAAACTGAGGATAACCCGGTGTTGGATTGGTTGGGAAACCGGGTGTTGGATTGCTTGGAAAACCGGGTCTTGGAAACTGAGGAAAACCGGGTGTTGGATTGGTCAGAAAACCAGGTCTTGGAAACTGAGGAAAACCGGGTGTTGGATTAGTTAGAAAACCAGGTCTTGGGAATTGTGGAAATCCGAGTCTTGGATTGGTCAGAAAACCGGGTCTCGGTAATCGAGGGAAATGAGATCTAAAACTTTTAGGTTTTAACGTTTGTTTCTTTGTACGATGTTTTGCTGCATGGCTTGAAGTGATCATGGAAGAGAACATCAGAGCCATGAGAAGAGAAGCGAGTAAGATGATTTTAGATGAGGCCATATTGTAAGAGAAAAATAAAGCTCTTCAGTGAATTGATGTGTGTGTTTTGAATTGTCATTCTTTTCCTAAACTTGGTTTATATAGGAGCAAACTCAGAATAGATAACGACTACCGTTTCTTTTCATTTGACTTTTTTTTTCTTTTTATAGATTTACCAAACGGTTTCATTATTAAGAACAAAAAACAGGTAATATTGTTCTATTCGTTTGAATATCTTACTTGTATCAACCAAACATATCCACAAGATATAGAAATGATCATGCCTCGTCAAATATCACTGTTTTACATCATTATCTAGCGAACCATAACAGCAGTTGCATTACTTGATCCCATGCTTCTCTCTAATGCTAACCTTCCCAAAACACTTCTTGCCCACTCGCCAAAATAAGTCTCATTGTATCCAATCATAGTATTCTTATAGACCAACGACATACATCGCCTATCAGTCAGGAAACTGACATGTTTCCCCAACCGGGTCATGCCAAGAACCTTCATGTCTCATCCCTGACCAATTAGCTCCCCATTTGTACACAAGCTGACCAACTCCTGCAAGCTTAAGCCATCCTTTTGGGGAAAACTCCATTACACTACTATTTTTATCCATTAGAACCAAATTAGTAAGCTGTGCACCGTGTGGTGACACTAACACATCAGTCTTTCTCATCAGCTCTACCTGCTCACAAAATGTAAGATTGTTTGAATAAGAAACTTTTACTTCACACCATTCTACTCTCTCGCACTCTCCTCTAAAGACATTGATCACGGCTGGCTCATTTTTCAAAGATCTTGGTCCGGTTCTCATAAGCAATGTCATACTTTGGTTTGGTTATCATCAAGAGAGCTCATAAACCAAGTATGACCTTCGAGGGGTTTGCTTGAAAACCGTAAGTCTTTGAGGGGAAGAAATGTCACCGATTCACGTAGCTTCTCCATCAAGTAAGCCGTCTCGTTGTGAGATAATTGTTCAGGTTTTTGTTTCAGATGTTTCAATAGTGCAGGAGGGAATGAAAGGGAATGTTGAGTAATTTGAAATGAGTAGATTTGGAGAAGAACAAAAACAGTGACAACGAGACACAAGAGTTTCAAGTAGAGCTTAAGAGAGATGAAATTTGTGAATAAAACTTGTGAGAAACATAAGGTCAACGCAACGTTACGTTACCGGCATAACCCCAATACTTGCGGCAGATTTGGAAATTGGAATCAACCAACACATGCGTCACATTTTTCTGTCGTAGTTTTACAATTTTTTAATTACCTCAAGAAAAATGAATTATACATATTAATTAACGACGAAATCTGACTACTTGGCTGTCTAATTTTCCATCAAATTAACACATAACAAGCACTGAATCGGTCTCAAGAACAACAAGCACTAAAACTAACACATAACAAGCACTGAATCGGTCTCAAGAACAACAAACCCAACATAAACAGAAGTACAGAACCAACAGAACCAATCTCTATTCAGATTCATCTGAATCCTCTGCAGTAACATCAGATGCCTCTTCTTCTTCCTCATCATCTTCCTCTGCGTCGCTCAATTTCATTCTGCTTGCAGTCATTTTGGCTAACGCAGCGGCTTTGCTTGCTCGGTGTGACCGGGTCATCAAATTAGTAGCAGCAGAAGGTGGAGGAGGAGATGCTACTTGTTCATCTTCATCAGATGATGTTTCAACCCTCACTCGTCTTCTTGATCGAGTTGGTCTGGTTGAGCAAGGAGCTGGTGTCTGTGGCACTGTTGCAGGCGCAGTGATGTCCAGGTCGTAACTTACTCCTAGCGTTTCTGTAATTAGCAATTAGATGTTAAGAGAGACTCTGCACATAACTTAATAACAAGAAACTTGTAATGTAGGAAGGCAAAAGATCAATGTACCAAAGATGGAATTTGCTTCATCTTGTGAAAGCTCCTCGCTTGGAGAAGCATCCAAACATTTGAGATGGTCAAGCATCTGTTTCACTTCCTTAAGAAGCTCCTTCTCTGAGGATACAGAATCCGCGACTCGGCTTAAAAGCCTTCTCATCAACTTTATCACGTTTTGTTCAGATGGTTTCAGATTGAGCAGCACAAGTATCTTGCACAGCGCTAAAACATATGCCTTCTCAGCAGCAGTCTTCTTCGCCTTGAAGCTTACCATCTACATAGGAAACATGTTAAGCATCAATGGACAAGAAAATCTTCACCCTCTCTACTAAACCTTTCTTGATCTTAAAAGAATGCAACTAACCTCGATGGCTATGCGTATGGCTAACCCTTCTTCTGTACGGTCTAGTGGAGTCTGGATAGAATCTTCTGCGCTTTCAGGCCCACCTCTTGTCTCCTTTTTGTATAGAGGGGTTTGCATCATCTGCAGGATGAATCGGGATGCTTGGACTGCGCGCTTACGTTGATTTGATACAACATATGACGACATTTTAGTGATTCCATCAATCCCAGGCCACAATGAACGTATCAGAGGAACAAAAGCCTTTGACACATATCCCTACATCACATGACAAATCATTCAGCCAAAAAAAACTAATCAACATATAAACAAACAAACACTCAATGAAACCTCTTGCTCTTAAGGACATTTTGTTATTGTTACCTTGTGCTTTTCTGAGAGAGCGGCATAGTGCTCAAAGAAGACAGATAAACACTGTTTGAACCTGGAGAGTAGTTACGAAGAACAATTCATTAGTGGATATTCTGATGGCAGAAGTTAAGAATCGAAAAAGAAACAAAATCTCTATACCTCAGTTGTTCTTTTGACTCCTCGCTGAAGTATAATGCGACCAGCTTACCTAAGACAAAAGGATAAAAGGATGGAGGCAAGTTTGGGTACTTCTCTCCTAAAAGAAGAAGTTTCGCAAATCCCTCGCCGATAGTTGCTTTAACCGACTCATTTTCACTGCTCTCTGTGTATGCTCTCCAGTCATCAGTTTCAAGTCCAGCATACAAGAGATCGAGCATCTTTAAGTTCAAATCTCCTTCGGCGTTGGACAAGTCGATAGGTACAAAATCAATGCTTTCATCGTCAAACTGTGATGAGAGATCTTGTCCCATTGCCTTGTCAACTTCTGTTGGACTATGCCACATCCCAAGATCAACTAGTGCCTTGGAAGCCATGATACTAATCGGAGGAGGACTTCTACAAAAAGCTACCCTTAGTTGTCTTACTAGCTCTTCGCTAGGCTTCTTCTCTAACAAACCAAAGAGACCAAGGCCTTTTACAGCAATCCTCTGTACATCCAAGTGTGTGTGTTTTGCCTGCATTACATGAATCATATCAGAAAGAGATCAGTTTGTGCAGAGTCTATGAAAGCTGGAGAATGAAAAACATTATGCCCAATTTTTAACCGCATGACAATTTTACAGAGGAGAAGAGAAAATATACCCCAGGAAGCAACAAAGCATGCAATATCTCTTCTGGTTCAATAGCCTTCCCTTGCAGTGAATGGATAGATTTTCCATTTTCCAACAGAAGACTCGTCAGAGAAAGCATGTGCATCCACTGCAAGAAATCTGCAGTCCTTTCCCTACAGGGTCTCGCAAGTTCTTCAACAACAACAAGTATAATCTCTTCATATTCTCCAGGGGCAGCATGAACTTTCTTAGCTAATTTGGATACTGCATCAGCCCAAGCTCTATCACCACCAAGGTTTATACCATCTCCAATTACAATACTGTTCCCATCTTCATCTAATTCTTGCTCAAAAGGACTGTGGAGTAGCTCCTGGACAAATGAACTTGCAGTCTTGTGGAGCATAGCATCGGAGAAATCAAGCATTGTGCCCAGCAATAATAGCTGCCTTGAAGCAAAGTGATGATTCGGTCCTGAAAATTATATGTAAGCAAAGGTTATCTCCCAAACAAAAAACAACCAAGTTTTGCTATTAAAAACCATATTTGGACTCACCAGCTTCTATATGAGCTTTAACTAGAGCAACGTAATCAGACACTGTTGCAGGAAGAATTCTTTCCAGCAAATCATTTGCATCTGAAGCTTCAGCAGCATAAACTGCTGCCTCAGCTCCCATCGCAGTAGCAGCATCAGAACCCTTTGCCTGTGTAACAGTCTCATCATTCTTAGCGTGTCCCATATTATAAAACCAACAGTATGAGCATAATAATCATTACAAGAACCAAGAATTGTATTTCAATGCCTGCCTATATAGTAGACAATATACTCTACAAATTTTGCGTTTTCAAACAAAAGGCTACTTAGCACAAGAAAAGGTGAGGCAAACTGACAATAGTTTTTAATTATTTAACAGATTTGATTAAATACTACATATCGTGGGGGAACTAAGTAAAAACACGATCACCTATATGTACCAGTCTTAAGATGAGGTGAACATCCAGGTATAGACAAATCCTCACAGAAAATATAAATTTTGATTGTCCAACGACCAAGATAATGCCATTAGATATTAGCATCATGGCCCATCATCTGGTTTGTGAATGAAGCAGTCAGTTAGCGGATTCATCAAGAACATATGTAAACCCAGTTTAAGCACATTATCATTCATTTAAACTAAACAGGTAAATTTTCAGCTATTTGTGGCTTCACAACAACCTTAATTTGATATATAAAAGTACTTAACCTCAGTAATGACTAGTTGGTAAGTGGAAAACTTACTTGAGCACTTTTGTGTAAGTTCCTGCATATAATCCTCCAGTAAAGAGCAATTTCCGGCTCCATAAGTTGGATGCTGGGTGGAGAACATGAGCTCTCATCTAATATAAGTATAAGAAAAATATAAGCAAAATGCAAAAATTTCAAACATATGCGCATATATGGTCCAACTTCAACTGACCTCTAGCTTCACCATCGGCTAACAATATGTACTGCTGGATGCTTTTATCATCAGCGGGCATTATCAGTCCCTCACTTAACAGAACCTCCAAAGCCGATTCTGCTACAGATTCATAGGTCTCCACGTCAAGGTATTTGAGAAATTCAATAGGATCTCCTTGGCAACAGTTAGATAGCCATTGATCCTTCATTAGCTTCAAACATTCCTTTGAAACATTTACAGCACGGTCAGTGAGCCCTCTCTGAAGAATTGTGGTCCTAAGCTTGATGCTAAAGCGGAAGAATGTAAAAAAATACCAGTCAGTAGAATTTCTAAAGAATTTCAGAGGTCAACTAAAGAATTTCTACGAAGGAAGAAATGAAGAGGCAAAGCTCTAAGCCAAAGTTTTACCTCAGACTCTGAAGAGGAACTTTGTTTGCTAGAACAGAGTAAGCAGCTTTGCGCACTGATTCATTAACATCGAGTGTACAATCGATAATTGCTTGAGTGGTTGCATTTGAAGGAGGCAGAGATAGCACAATTGTTTTGCGTACCTCCTGAAAACATTAAAAAGCTGAGCAATAAGACTTTGGATAGGCACGATGACTAAAATGAGAATGTGATTTACAATGGCAAAACCAGAAATGGCACAAGATAGAAACTTTACCGGATTCTGCTCCAAAGGAAGCACCTCAAGGAGCAAATCAAGAATGTCACTGTTCTCAGGATCGTTCACAAATCGTGAAAGAGACCTCACAGAAAAAGTACGGATGACAGGAGCTTTGTCCTGAACACGCACCATCATACAATCTATCACATCATCCCATAGCTCATCCGCCACTTCCACCTCATCTGGCAGCCTCAATATGATCTAAAAAGAACACAATTTACATTATAAGTCGAAAGGCCTTCAAAACATGAAATCAGAATTCATAGAAACAGGCCAAATGAAGCATCTATACGTATCATAACATTAGCATATCTTCAAATTCAAATTTACCCAATAAAGCAAACCAAAAGCCATAAAATTCATCTCCAATTTCTAACATTTGTGAGACTATGATCAATACCTAAATAACTACGCTCAAAAAGTTGAAATTAAACTCCAAACACGACGAAAAATGGTTCCAAGCACAAACTAGATTTCGAATTCCATCAAAGCCCAACACATACGCATTTTACCTAAAAAACCATTTACCCAGTAAATTCAATTCTACAATTTGACGGAGAAAGAACCCTAATCCTCTTATACCTCGGAAATGATCTGGCACGCCCTGAATCTAGCGTTTCTGTTCGCCGCCACAGACCCAGCAACTAAAAACTTGAGAAATTCACCCAGAAACTCGTCGCAATCGGAATCACCATCTGAATTACCACGCAGGCAAGCGAATTCCGCCACGAATCGCACAACACGCTCTGCTGCTGCGGTTCTCCGTTGAGCCGCGACGAAAAGAGGGGTTAGGGTTTTGAAGAAGGCCGACGAGAATTGACGGATCGAAGAGGAGTCATCGGCATCAGACGAAGATAGTTTTGACCGGATGGTGGCTAGCTCCTTCAGCTTCCGGTTATGAGTGGCGTACGAAGTGCGAGTCTCGTTGAAGATCTTGGCGATTTTCTGGAGAAGATGACGATCTGCGGAAGCGGAGGCGGTTTCTGATTCTTCGCCCATATTCACAAAGAGAAAATTGAAATTCTTCTGAAGAGAAACCCAGAAATGTTGATGATTTCTCAAATTCACGCTCTTGTGAGACTTTTAGATCTATCTGTTGTTCAAATTTTCTGTGAGCGGGAAAATATTTTATTTTTGTTTTAAAAAATTAAAGTGACAGAATTTTATTTTTGTTACTGTCTTTCGTCTTCGGGACATCTTCAAGAATTTTTTTTTTTAGGAATGTTTAGAGATACTAGATTTAGACCCGCGCTATGCTGCAGGATTATTAGTTTTTACATAGTTTTCCATATATGCCTATTTCGCTAACTCATTTCTTGTATTATCCATTTACTGTTTAAATTAATACATAAGTTGTTATAAAATAAAATCATTTAAATTTGTATTTTTTTAAAAAAATTTGAGAATCATTTACACAAACTACATTTTTAAAATTTTGTACTAATATTTTTTTATGTTTATTCAAAGCTTGTTGTTAAATTTAAATCTAAGAATTTGTAATATAAAAGAATTGTATTACTATTATTATTGTTATTTTGAAATTTTGTTTAACATTATCTTATTGGAATTTGTTTTTTATAGTTTTTTCCCACAATGCTTTAGATTTAATTTTATTTGTGCAATTCCTCTTGTGATATTAATTAAAAAAATTAGCATTTTTCAAAGCAGCTGTGGTTACTTTTTTTCTTCTAAGTTAAACATTTTAAGCTACTACAACTGAAAGTGTAATATCTATTTTTATACTACTTAGTTAGAATACTACTATTTATTTTCTATAGTATACCCAGTCTCTTATTTTGAAGTTAATTTCTATTATACTATATTACATATATTGTATCATCGGCCGAATACGCCTGCAAGGGGATCTTGTCCCATTAGAACCATTACAATATGTCATTTAATTTGTCACACCTAAACAATGGAGCACTATTGTCGTAAAAAAAAATACAATGGAGCACTATTAACAAATTAACACCGTTTACTTTCACTGAAATATTAGTTTTAAATAAACAAATGATCTAAAGACAACAATGAACAAATGATTCTCATGAGCAATTAACAGTGGATGGAGAGCTGTGTGAGAGAAAAAAGCATGAAACTTAGTAGTAAGATAGGCAAAGAAGGAGATAAAAACATTTTCTACTTTGAAACTTCAGCAAACCGAAAACGATGATGTCTTCACCCGCTTCTCCCGTCTTCACCACGGTTTTTTATAGTTCTCTAACAAACCAATAAATACAATGTTCGAGTATAACCAAAAATAGAGTTACAAAGTTAATCTGAAGTCCCTTTTGAATTGCTTATACTGCAGCCTTTTCTTTACTAACTCTGTAAACAACAGGGAATGATCCGATGACAGATAAGCCAATAAAAGTTGTCACATTCATTTTATCAAAAAAAAAGTTGTCACATTCGAGAGAAAAATATGAAGCAAAAAACCTGAAATAATAGGTAACAAAATCTATTGCTTTTACTTCTTTCTAAAACGCAATAGATCTATTATATATGAAACTTAAAAGGTAGAGCATAAGATCATAAAACATTGTAACAAAAATATTACCTTTGAGACAATTAATAGAGCGAAATCAACATCATCAGGTAGACCATTAGAAGCTGTTTACCTGAATTTCTCTACGTCTCATACCAGAAAACTGGTGTCTTTGTCCAATAAAATCCGGCTTAGTAATCTGCAGCGCTGCTGTTTCAAAACCTCTTACAAACTGCTATCAAAAGCATGGATCTTCAAAATCAGCAACAATTTTGAGTTAAGGCTCAATTTAGACTCCAAAAAACTATCAAACATACACAAAATCAGAATTGTAATAACTTTTCAGATTCATTAATACAAAGAAGAAAGTAAATCACACAGACGACATATTAAGTTTCCAGAATCTTACGCACCATAAAGCTTGAAGCTTGATATTTACCAAACAATCTTACGGTATTTTAAAGGCTCTCATAACCTGAACAACTTTCCTCACATGTCTTTGCCTCTTTTGTGTTCTTCTTGTCGCCATGGACGACCTCTCGTTAGAGAGAATCGAGATTTCAGATCCACCACTGGCGTCGTTGATTGAACATGTTTCCTCCACTCCTGGTTACGTTGATGGCTTGATATTCGGCCAAATCCACAACAAACTTTCCTTATAATCAGTTTCTCATGTTTGAAATGAGAGAGACGATTGGGATTTGATCGAGATTGCGATTGAGTTACAAATTAGGAGAGAGAAAGAGATGGACAAATATTGAGATTGAATTTGAGAGAGGAAGTGAGACCAAAGATTGGGATTGAATTTGAGAGACGAAGGAGCTAAAACCAGAGAGTGATTTTTCAATTTGTCGACAAATTAAGATGACGTGGTTTCCTTCTTCTGCTGACTGGTATTATTTAAAATGTTTCTATTGGCTAATGTTTTTTTATAAGGTGTTAACACAAGAAAACTTCAAAAATCCTAGGTGTCAACTCCTGGAACAACATGTTAGTGTATTGATTATAATTTTTATTTTTAATTATTTTTAAATAATTTAATAATTTAATTTGATGACTATCCAAAAGACGATGTGGACCAAATCTGGGCCTAATAAATACGGCAAATAATAATTTGCAGAAGGAATTTAAATTTATCATCTTCTTTTTATGGTCGATCCACCAAGCCCACTTTACACAAAGTCGGTCAAAGATCTAAAAAGAAACCCTAGAATAAATGAAATTTGACCCTTTTTCATCTAGGGTTTTCTTATTGATTTTGAGCGTTCCGAGAAAACTATGGAGTTTTGGATTCCTGAAGAAATCTTAATCAATATCATAGCTCGTGTGCCTAGATGCTATTATCCCACCATCTCGCTCGTTTCTAAGCGCTTCAGATCTCTCGTTGCGTCGCCTGAGATATACACGGCACGATCTTTGTTAGGCTGCACGGAACACTGTCTCTACGCCCTCCTCTATTCCGTCAACACCAAAGATTACCGTTGGTACGTTCTCCATCGGAAGGCCAACGGCAGTCATCGCTTGGTCCTTATCCCGTCGATTCCTCCTATGTCTTACTCTTACGAAGGAAGCTTTGTCGCTATAGGCTCGAAGATATATGTCCTAGGTGCACGTTACGGCGACAGTTCGACATCGAGTGAGCACGTAATCGACTGTAGATCTCACATGGTGAAACCCATCATCAGCATTCCTATGCAAATGTGTAGTATGGTCCCTGGCGTAATCGACAAGAAGGTTTACGTAATCGGAGTTTGTAGGTCTAGTAGTCCTCACTCGAAGATGGTCATGGTGTTCGATACGGAAACACAAATGTGGGAGGAGCCTGTGATGATGACAACACAAGACTTGGAGAAGTTGGACTTAGGTTACGTGTCGTCTCGTTTTGTGGTGATTGGAGATAAGGTGTACATGAAAAGTTATAAGTATAGCTTCGTTTACGAGCCAAAGGAAGATAAACTGGAAATGGATGAGTTGTTGAATTATAATCCGTGGGAACATGCGTGTGTTGTTGACGAGGTATTGTACTACTTTGACTATGGTGAGAACAAGTTAAGAGCGTATGAGACAAGGCACAAGTGTTGGGTTGTTGTGAAAGGTTTAGAATTAGAATTGTTGCATGACGCAGGCCCTTCGTGGTCGTCACGTACTGTGAGTTACGGTGGGAAAGTGGCTGTGTTCTTAACTAAACCAAATGGTTGGAATCGAATTACATTTGAGATTTGGTGTGTGGAGATTGCCTTGGAAAGACGTCAAAAAGGAGATATTTGGGGTAAGGTTGAGTGGTGTGAAGTTGTGCTTCAAGGAGGCTTTGACCTGAAGAAATCTGTAGCCGTTAACATATAATTTTTATGTCAAGATAAGTTTATTTTTCATTATCCTAAATAGTTGTGGTTGGGAGTTTTACAAGAAGATATATGTTGGCCTATAAATAACTCTTTGATTTACTTTATCAACAAAAATATGATGAGAGATGTCACTAAATGAGTTACAGTGAGATGATATGAATGGAAAGCTTCATGAAGATTCCACAATGTCTATATTTATGTATTTTAATAAGCAGAAAAAAAATATCTAACACACATGTGCTGATGTGCATAACCAATATTATTATATTCATGAGGTAATAGAGTAACAGCTAGCAACATCTTATTAAATACTTCCTCCATTTTTTTAAGATGGATTTTCTAGACATTAGTTGTTGTTTCACAAAGATAAATTTTTTACTTTTATGATACACTTTTTCAGTTTTCAAGAAACAATGATTGTATTTGTTAAATTTTTATTGGTTGAAAATTATAAAAAGTTATTTTATTGCAGAAATCAATACACTAATAATTGAAAATCTGTTTTTCCGAATATGTGTGAAAATCCTAGAAAATTTATAAAAAAAAAAACGGAGGGAGTAATAGAGTAGCAATATCCGATCAATAAACCTTACGTTAACTCTTGAAACATTTTTGTGAGCTTGAGATCCCCAAATATGCGGGAGCAGTATTTGCAGCAGTTCGTGGAAGAAACGGGGTCGTATAAACGGTCTAGTCGGAAGCTTTTTCCCGGCGTCGTTGTGGTCGCCATTGTCACATTTTGTTCAGACATGGCTTCGTATTTACATTGCCTCTCTTACTTACTTCCTCCTTTGTTCTCTTTGGTGTTTCTACTTCTACCATTGGAAGAAAGATGTTTTTTTTTTTTTTTTTTTTTTTTTTTTAACCCATAGTTGGGTAGTTTTTATTTATGAGTAACGAAGAAACAACGTTACAAGCCATGACACAAGGTCACACAGTTTTTTAAAAGCAGAAACAAGTAGTGAAAAAGCTTTTGGGTACATTTGATACCATTACACAATCGAGTCTTCCGCATCGATTGACTTCTAGGATAATGAGGATGAAGGCATCTAGCCACGTCCACCTCTCTTTCCACGACCTCGATTACCTCTTCCACCACCTGCAACTTGCCAAATCATCTCTTTAGCTTTTGTTGATGGCTTCACTGGTCTTTCTCGAAGGATTCTTTTACCCAAAGGTGTCATAAAGTCCGTCAAATCAGACTCTTTGTCTAAATCTAACGACACTTCTTCTTCCTCCGGAGAAACCAAAGTCACATCTTCCTCCTCAAAAGAAATCAAAGATGCGAACTGGTTAGAACCAAGAGAAAGCTCAGCTTGCTTACTTTCCTGAACAGTGGCACGAGTAGAAGGAGTGGAGGCTGGTAACAAGGTAGCTGTCTTTGGTGAAAGACACTCAATGGGATCAACTATCTTTTCTGGATGTACTAAACTTACATTCTCTGTTGGCAAAGTAGCTGAAGCTGCAGCAATTGGGACTGAATCCTTCAATGGTAGACTAAGATTTGAGACAGTGGAGGATTGAGGTTCATTAACCGGGACAGGAGAAGTAGCATTGGACTTAAGCACATTCTCTTCCTCAGAAACAATCAGCGGTTCAGACTGCAAACAACGTTTGACTTTGTGACCCAACTGTCCACATCTACCACACTTAGAAGGTAACCAAGCATAATCAACATCCACCATAGATATAAAACCAGTTTTATCACTAGCAGCAATCTTTGGTGGAAAAGCTTTACTTAACTCAACCTCTACTAGAATTTTAGCTTCACCCATTAGAAACGGATCTAGTATAGGTTTATGAGTTGCCATTGGAAGAAAGATGTTTATTTATCTAAAGGTACGTTTTAGATCCACCAACCATCTAGTTTAATTATATGGATTGCAGATTTTTGTTGAGTTTGGGATTTTTAGCTTAATTTATTAAATGATCGACTTATCCATACTGCAGAAGTTATCCCATCAAGAAAATTAATAATGTCGCAAATAAATGTAGCGATGAAACTGAAAGCGATGCCATGGGTTTCAATAGTTCCAACCATCTCTGAATATTTTATAGAAAAAGGTTATACAGAATGTTATTTTTCCATAACCGAAGTTGGTCCAGTCACTTACACTATTCATGTCATTGTCCACATTACATTGGCCGAGTTTTGGTTATATTGGACTCATAGAGCACTGCATGACGTCAAGCCTCTCTACAAGCATTTTCACTTCGTTCATCATCGCTACAACAACAAGACCTCTCTTTCACCTTTTGCAGGTACTTAACTCTTCCCATTTTCTTTTCTACTAGTTCCTAATCTATGTTTACCAAGAAGTTATGGGCTAAAGTTCATGCAATATTAGTTCTGTTCCAAGCGATTCTTATATTGGTGGTTATAGACTTATAGTGAACTAAGCTTAAATTCATAGTGTTTTTGAATTTTGAGTATTTTAGGTTTGTGTATCCTAGGGTTGTGCTGCGCTGTGCAGAGATAATAAAGTAAAAACAAAAATTGAAAAAAAAAAAGATGATACTACGGTTTAGATATTTGAAACATTGATGCAATCTTTGTTTTTAGGAGCCGCAAGTCATCCCGTGGAGGCAGTACTAGATGCGTTACCGTACACTATATTCCTCTTCTTTGTTCCAATGCACTTTCAGACGGAATTAGCTCTTTTGTCGTTGAATGGGATTTGGACATTTCACAGCCACGGTTGTCTCGAGACCAAGATGTGGCCGAACTTGACCGCTGATTATCATGCAATGCATCACATCATGCATCGTTATAATTATGGAAATTACACATTTCTGATGGATTGGTTGTTTGGAACACTTCGTCATCCTAACTCCATCGTTGAGGAGGCCAAGTCAGAGTAATGTGTTAGCTTTAGATGTATATGTTTCATGTTTCTAGGTGTGTTTTATATTGGATTACTAATTATCAATTGCTATTTGCCAACGATAACCAATTATAAGTCTTGTTTTTTCTCATTGATTATGTTTTGTTTATAAGCTTATAAGCATTTATATGTCGATCGACATTAGTTGGTAGTTAAACTCTCTTGGATTGCATATGCATGAAACATACATTAGATATTTGTCTTTACTAAGATATGATCTCCCAACCGATCTATGTATAATGCACAACTTGAATGATCTTGATATCTATAAGACTATAAGATTCATATGCACCATATAGCAACTGCTGATGAAACTCATATTTCCCACAGGCAGTAAGGTCGAATGTGTTTAAGTACATGTTGGACTCCGATGGATGCAAGACTTGAGTAGAGAACTCAATTACAATTCCTGACTTGACTTACGAAGAACTCAAAGCTTTCCTCGAGTTTTTCTATAGTGGGATCTTAAGTTCCGCCATCAAACAACACGCTGGAGCGCTCTATCATGCAGATCACAAGTATGACATACCATGTCTCCAAGAGCTTTGCAGAGACCAGTTAATCTCACCTTTGAATGACGTTCTCGACATCTTTGAGCTGTCCACTGTCCCTTCCGACAAAATATTGAAAAAACTGCGATAATGTTTGTCGTAATGCACATGGACACGATCCTTAATTCCAAAAGACGATGTGGACCAAATCTGGGCTTAATAAATACGGCAAATAATATTTTGTAATAATTTATCAAATGTAATATTTTAAACGAAATTTAAATGTCTCATCTTTTTTTTAAGCCCATTTTGCACAAAGTCGGTCAAAGTTTCAAAGATTCAAGAAGAAACCTAGAATAAATGAAACTAGAGTTTGACCCGCGCCTTGCACGGGATGATGTTTCTAAATTTCTATACTTTTAATATTACATTTTTGTTAACATCATATGTATTTAATTCAAAAAATGTATTTGTATTTTTTTTACAAAAGTATATTTAATTATCTCGAATTTGTTTTTTGGGATGGATTTTTTTTAGGTCTTCTATCCATTTATAGTATATAAATTAAGCATATTAAACCATTTTAAGTAGGGAAATTGCACTAAATAGCCTTAGATAATAGGAGAATTAAATGACAATTTCTGACAAGTTTTTGTGCTATCTGTTCATATTAAAAAGTCTGTTTTATCCCTATAGGATGAGTTTCTTTGTTTTACTGGTGTAGCTAAGCATAGGGGGAGTGGGGTCCACATCGCAGGGAAAATTTGTTCCACTTACCTCGCATTGCATCTTGCTAACAAAAATTACGTTAACTTGATAACAACTAACTTGATATCATGCTAACAAAGATTACGTTAATTCGCTAACAAGTAACTTGACACGGTGCTACCAATATTACGACAATCTTGTTAACAATTAGTACTTAATCTCCCTCTTAAATACTACATCATTTTGCTAACAGGTTTTTAGTTACCTCGCTAACAAAAAATACATCACTTCGCTAACAAACACCACCTTTTTTGCTAACAAACATCACATTATCTTGTTAACAAAGACTATGTTATCTTGCTAACAAAGATCATAACGAATCGTTATTAATGAATTTGTTAGCAAATAATGATTTGCGTGTTATCAAGTAATGATTTGAATATTAGTATGTAATAACTTAAATATTAACATGATTTTAATAATTTTGTTAATAGGTAATGTTAACAAGTAATGATTTAAATGTTAGTATGTAATAATTTGAATGTTAGCAAGTAACAATTTAAATATTAGCATGATTTTAATAGTTTTGTTAATAGGTAATGTTAACAAGATTTAAATCTTAGCATGTAATGGTTTGAATGTTAGCAAGTAACAATTTAAATGTTAGCACGCGTTTAATACTATGTCCACTGAGTTCACCAACTCATATAGGGGTAAATCGGGCAGAATCTCTCTCTGAAAGTATTATTGTTGTATTCTTTATTTCCTAAGTTTCTATGTATATTGCTTAAATTTACCCTTTTAAGTAAGGTAATTATTTTTTTACTGCAAATTAAATATGATAGACTAAAGCGAGATAAATAAAACTAAAATGACTACAATATAATATAATAAGATAGTTTGATAAACAAAAAAAACTGAAAGAATAAAACATTATTGTTTAAAAATATATATGTTTCATGTATTTAATAAAATAAGTGAAATTTTATAATATTCAAATTTGTGATAAAAAAAATATTTTAAATATTTTAAATTTTTAACCAAGTTAAACTATTTCACATATTTTAAATGAGATAATTGTTAAAGCGGCAGCGGAGAGTTTGGCATGGGCAGCGGCCCAGGAACGACGAGCGACGGCGCATTCCCACACAGAAACCCTAGTGCAAACACCGATATCAGGTGACATTTGTCAGGTGGACGGGGCTTGGAAAGACACAGAGTGTAGAGCTGGTTTAGGATGGTACTTTTTCAACACGGATTCTCCTGATAAACTTATGGGAACATGTAATTTGAGGCGGGGAATATCCCCACTTCAGTCAGAGCTGGAGGCTCTCATTTGGGCCATGCAATGCATGATACGGCATAACAAATTGGTAATGGTGTTTCAGACGGACTGTTCCGATGTGGTGAAGATGGTGTCTAAACCAGAGGAGTGGCCGGCGTTCTCAACACTACTTGACGAGGTTGACAGATGTAAGAGGAGATTCACCTCCTTCAACATCATGCATATTCCAAGGACGAACAACACGAAGGCAGACAAGTTAGCACGAAGTGCTCGAGATCTACCTACAGATGTGTATTATGTAAACTCTATTTCACCAGTTTGGATTCCCGAGCTGTTGTAGAAATAAAGGCTGTTGACAAAAAAAAAATTATCTATATATATATATATTTTAATATTTTGATAGAAATATTTTCAACTTTTTTCACAGTAAAATATTTATAATAATATAAATTTTATTTGGTGTAGGTATATAGTTTTATTAAAAAAAACCATATGAAACCAAATATACAATAAATTTGGATGCTTATTAAACTAAACTTCCATGTATTATAGTTTCTTATCATTTTTGTTCTCTTTATAATAATTTTATGAACTATCACATATCTTCATTTCCAATGTGGGACTTTTATGATATACTTATTATTTTCATCATTTTAGTAATTGATATCTGTTTTTTAAATTTCAAACTATAACTTGTGTAGAAAAAAATGTACATTTTTTTAATATATGGTCAATGTGATATTTTATTTATTTTTATAAAATTTAATCCAACCAAGAAATGAGAGGAAAATGTATTATTTAAGAAAATAATTAATTTGATAAGATATGGAAAGAGTAATGATATCTTTATGATTAAATGCAGAAATATGTATAAATGATTGATATAAACTATTCTCTAACCAAAATTATACAATGGCATATAATGTAAATAGTCTAGTAAATTTTGTCTTAATTAAAAGTTGTCTTGAGAGTGAACCTAGTGATGACACATCAGCATGGCATTCTTGTTAATACCACATGAGACAAAGGTTATTTTCATAGTGTTTTCTCTTTTAATATATTAGGGATTTGATCCTTTTTTTCTTTCTTCTTCTATTTTTCTTCCTTCCCCTCTCTTCAAAACTAGGGTTTACTTTTTGATTTTGAGCACTCCGAGAAAACTATGGATTTTTGGATTCCTGAAGACATCTTAATCAATATCATAGCTCGTGTGCCTATATGCTATTATCCCACCATCTCGCTCGTTTCTAAGCGCTTCAGATCTCTCGTTGCGTCGCCTGAGATATACACGGCACGATCTTTGTTAGGCTGCACGGAACACTGTCTCTACGCCCTCCTCTATTCCGTCAACACCAAAGATTACCGTTGGTACGTTCTCCATCGGAAGGCCAACGGCAGTCATCGCTTGGTCCTTATCCCGTCGATTCCTCCTATGTCTTACTCTTACGAAGGAAGCTTTGTCGCTATAGGCTCGAAGATATATGTCCTAGGTGCACGTTACGGCGACAGTTCGACATCGAGTGAGCACGTAATCGACTGTAGATCTCACATGGTGAAACCAATCATCAGCATTCCTATGCAAATGTATCCTGCGGTCCCTAGCGTAATCGACAAGAAGGTTTACGTAATCGGAGTTTGTAGGTCTAGTAGTCCTCACTCGAAGATGGTCATGGTGTTCGATACGGAAACACAAATGTGGGAGGAGCCTGTGATGATGACAACACAAGACTTGGAGAAGTTGGACTTAGGTTACGTGTCGTCTCGTTTTGTGGTGATTGGAGATAAGGTGTACATGAAAAGTTATAAGTATAGCTTCGTTTACGAGCCAAAGGAAGATAAACTGGAAATTGATGAGATGTTGAATTTTAAGCGGTGGGAACATGCGTGTGTTGTTGACGAGGTATTGTACTACTTTGACTATGGTAAGAACAAGTTAAGAGCGTATGAGACAAGGCACAAGTGTTGGGTTGTTGTGAAAGGTTTAGAAGAATTGTTGGATGACGCAGGCCCTTCGTGGTGGTCACGTACTGTGAGTTACGGTGGGAATGTGGCTGTGTTCTTACATAAAAGAAAATATCGGGATGAAACAACGGAGATTAGGTGTGTGGAGATTGCCTTGGAAAGACGTCAACAAGGAGAGATTTGGGGTAAGGTTGAGTGGTGTGAAGTTGTGCTTGAAGGAGCCTTTACCCTAATGAAATCTGTAGCTGTTATCATATAATGTCTATGTCAAGATAAGTTTACTTTTCATTATCCTAAATATCATATAGTGTAAATCAGGTCACAAAAATCATTTAATGGACTTTTAATGGGCCTACATTTATTAATAAAAATAGGCCTTGGTCCATACGTTTAGAGTACGCTGTAGTAGAAACCCTAGACTGCTTTAAACCTTTCGCTTCATCTTCCTCGATCTCGATTTTGCTTCCACAATTAGCTTTCGAAATCAATCGCCGGAAATTAACAGCGTATTTGTGGAGACGACTCTGGAGACTCGTCTCGTCGTTCCGGTTATTAAGGACGGATCCATCTCCAGTTTCAAAGGTGAGAACAAAAAAATGGAATCCCTAGTATGCTAATGTCGACTTTGAAAGTGGAGACGGATTCGTCTTTAATAACCGACACTGGAGATGGAGTATGTATGGAAGTAAGACAGTATGCTAACCATTGAGGGCAAATGACTAGTAACTGAACTTCTAGCCCTTTTCTCTTTCGGTTCCATCTCAAACCAACCGAAAGAGAAAAAGGCTAGAAGTTGAGTTACTAGTCATTTGCAGTCAATGGTTAACAATGGATCAAAGGTAACATCTCCAACAGTTTCTGATGGTTCATTGAGCTCAATGAAACCGAAAGAGAAGAGATCTTCAGATGTTTCCAGTGGAGCACCATCTAATAGTACATTAGACGATGATGAAAGACAGTGATGTGAATTCTAAGTCTAGGAATCAAGGTACTTTATCGATCCAAATATAACTTATATTTAGATTTAGATGCTCTGTAGTCTCTATGTTAATTTCGATTTGTTGATCTCAACAGGAAACAATCTGTCCGCTGGAGGAGCAAAATTGTAAGTGACCGTTTAAATGATGTTTTATGGTCAATGATTAGCTTTCATAAACTCTGGTCCTAAGTGTTGAGACAAGTCACAAGTGTTGGGTTGTTGTGAAAGGTTTAGAAGAATTGTTGCATGACGCAGGCTCTTCGTGCTGGTCACGTACTGTGAGTTACGGTGGGAAAGTGGCTGTGTTCTTAACTAAACCAAGGGACATTTGGTGTGTGGAGATTGCCTTGGAAAGACGTCAAAAAGGAGAGATTTGGGGTAAGATTGAGTGGTGTGATGTTGTGCTTGAAGGAGCCTTTACCCTGAAGAAATCTTTAGCCGTTAACATATAATTTATATGTCAAGATAAGTTTACTTTTCATTATCCTAAATAGTCGTGGTTGGAAGTTTTGTTGATGTAAATTGCGATCATTCAATTTTGAGTGAGTTTGTTAAAACCCGTAATCTTTAACAACCATACCAAGGACAAGGTCGGCTGGTTTCAAAGTCCCAAAAATTTAAAACATGTATCTATAGTTACATATTTTTCATAAGTTTTGCCTCAATGTGTAATGTTCTTCCTTTTGCTACCAATCACAAAAAAAAAAAAAACAAAAACAAAAACAAAAATTAAATTTCTCATCTTCTTTTTAAGCCCATATTTCACAAAGTCGGTCAAAGATTCAAGAAGAAAACCTAGTATAAATTAAATTTGATCCTTTTTTCTTCTTCTGTTTTTCTTCCTTCCCCTCTCTTCAAAACTAGGGTTTACTTTTTGATTTTGAGCATTCCGAGAAAACTATGGATTTTTGTTGGATTCCTGAAGAAATCTTAATCAATATTATAGCTCGTGTGCCTATATGCTATTATCCCACCATCTCGCTCGTTTCTATGCGCTTCAGATCTCTCGTTGCGTCGCCTGAGATATACACGGCACGATCTTTGTTAGGCTGCACGGAACACTGTGTCTATGCTCTCCTCTTTTGCGACAACACGAAAGATTACCGTTGGTACGTTCTCCAGCGGAAGGCCAACGGCAGTCATCGCTTGGTCCTCATCCCGTCGATTCCTCCTATGTCTAACTATGGAAGCTTTGTGGCTATAGGCTCGAAGATATATGTCCTAGATGCACGTTACGGTTGCAGTATGACATCGAGTGAGCACATAATCAACTGTAGATCTCACATGCCGAAACCCATCATCAGCATTCCTATGAAAACGTATGGTATGGTTCCTGGCGTAATCAACAAGAAGATTTACGTAATCGGAGTTTGTTTGTTTAGATGTCCTGGCTCGAATATGGTGATGGTGTTCGATACGGAAACACAAACGTGGGAGGAGCCTGTGATTATGGCAACACAAGACATGGAAAAGTTGGACTTACATTACGTGTCGTCTCGTTTTGCGGTGATTGGAGATAAGGTGTACATGAGAAGTTATGCGGATAGTTACGTTTACGAGCCAAAGAAAAATAAACTGGAAATTGATGACATGTTGAATTCTAAGTGGTGGGAACATGCGTGTGTTGTTGACGAGGTATTGTACTACTTTGACTATGGTAAGAACAAGTTAAGAGCGTATGAGACAAGGCACAAGTGTTGGGTTGTTGTGAAAGGTTTAGAAGAATTGTTGCATGACGCAGGCTCTTCGTGTTGGTCACGTACTGTGAGTTACGGTGGGAAAGTGGCTGTGTTCTTACATAAAGTAAATGGAACGACGGAGATTAGGTGTGTGGAGATTGCCTTGGAAAGACGTCAACAAGGAGAGATTTGGGGTAAGGTTGAGTGGTGTGAAGTTGTGCTTGAAGGAGCCTTTACCCTAATGAAATCTGTAGCTATTATCATTTAATTTCTGTGTCAAGATGAGTTTACTTTTCATTATCCTAAATAGTTGTGGTTGGAAGTTTTGTTGATGTAAATTGCAATAATTCAAATTTGAGTGGCTTTGTTAAAACTCGTAATCTTTAACAACCATACTAAGGACAAGGTCGGCTGGTTTCCAAATCCCAAAATTTTAAAACATGTATCTATAGTTACATGTTTTTCATAAGTTTTGCGTCAATGTATAAGTCTTAATCAACAAACAAATGTTGCTCATAAAGCATTTTGGTCTAGTAGTAATTATGATAAGAGATGTCAAAAAATGAGTTACAGTGATTATATGAATGGAAAGCTTTATGAAGATTCCACAATATCTATATTTATGTATTTTAACAGAAAAAAATATCTAACACACATGTGCTGATGTGCATAACCAATATTATATTCATGATGTAATAGAGTAACAGCTAGCAACATCCTATTAATAATAGAGTAGCAATATATCCGAACCTTACGTTAACTCTTAAACATTTTGGTGAGCTTGAGATCCCGAACAATGCGGGAGCAGTATTTGCAGCAGTTCTTGGAAGAAACGGGGTCGTATAACGGTCTAGTCGGAAACTTTTTCCCGGCGGCGTTGTGGTCGCCATTGCCACATTTTGTTCAGACATGGCTTCGTATTTACATTGTCTCTCTCGTCACCTACTTCCTCCTTTGTTCTCTTTGGTGTTTCTACTTCTACCATTGGAAGAAAGATATTTATTTACTTAAAGGTACGTTTTAGATCCACCAACCATCTAGTTTAATTATATGGATTGCAGATTTTTGTTGAGTTTGGGATTTTCAGCTTAATTTATTAATGATCGACTTATCCATACTGCAGAAGTTATCCCATCAAGAAAATCAATAATGTCGCAAATAAATGTAGCGATGAAAGCGATGCCATGGGTTTCAATAGTTCCAACCATCTCTGAATATTTTATAGAAAAAGGTTATACAAAATGTTATTTTTCCATAACCGAAGTTGGTCCAATCGCTTACACTATTCATGTCATTGTCCACATTACATTGGCCGAGTTCTGGTTATATTGGACTCATAGAGCCTTCCATGACGTCAAGCCTCTCTACAAGCATTTTCACTTCGTTCATCATCGCTACAACAACAAGACCTCTCTTTCACCTTTTGCAGGTACTTAACTCTTCACATTTTCTTTTCTATTAGCTCCTAATCTATGTTTACCAAGAAGAAGTTATGGGCTAAAATCTCTGACTTGTAGTGAACTAAGCTTGAATTCTTAGTGTTTTGAGTTTACATTTTAGTTTTGTGTATCCTAGGATTGTGCCATACTATGTGCAGAGTTAAAAAAGTAAATAAAAAAATTGAATAAATGATATTACGGTTTAGAACTTTAGGTATTGGTGTAAGTCATTTTTTCTTAATTGCCTTTGAAACAATGATGCAATCTTGTTTTTAGGTGCCGCAAGTCATCCCGTGGAGGCAGTACTAGATGCGTTACCTTACACTATCTTCCTCTTCTTTGTTCCAATGCACTTTAAGACGGAGTTGGCTCTTTTGTCCTTGAATGGGATTTGGACATTTCACAGCCACGGTTGTCTCGAAACCAAGATGTGGCCGATCTTGACCGCTGATTATCATACAGTGCATCACATCATGCATCGTTACAACTATGGCAATTATACATTTATGATGGATTGGCTGTTTGGAACACTTCGTCATCCTAACTCCCTCATTGAGGAGGCCAAGTCAGAGTAATGTGTTAGCTTTAGATATATATGTTTCTACGTGTGTTTTATATTGGACTTCGGAAATATACGTTTCTATGTTGTTGTCAATTTTTTCTTTAACTACGTACGTGATCAATAAATAACAAAACAAAATTTTGCGTTAAACACAGTTTATCAATTTATCTTATTAGATTTAAATAAAATGCACTCAAATGAATCAAAAACTACTGAATGCTTGTTTAATAAGGAGTAAATATGTATGTCAATTTTGATATTTTGTAATATTTTCCAGTTTTTCACTTTGCTCTGTGGCATATGGATACCAAAAGGACACGTTTCTTTTACCGGCTTTGACAAATGTGAACGTTGTCTTCGTGTCTTTTATTCATTAACTTTGAGTCTTGGACAAATGTGATGATACCGTAGAAGTCTTCCTCGAGACTCTACACTTCTACAGTTTATTGCTCTCCTCTTTTTTCCAAACTACACGTCTTTGTGTAATTCCTTGTTCTCTGTGTTTTTCACTTCTGTGTGCAAACAAAAAGGTATGGTCGTCCATTCGTCCTGTCTCTGGAATACTTGATTTATGTATCACATCAATTTGCTTCAATTAAATTTGCATGAGTGAGTGTTTGGATCATAATTTTAGGGTTTTGTGTGTGTGTGTGTGTGTGTGTGTTTATATATATATAACTACGATTTTATGTACGGTTCTGAATCTGAGTTCGCTAATACTAGAGTATGTTACAATGATATGTGTGTTTCTTATTTGCATGCAGAAGAAGAAGAAATGGCAGAGAGCAAAAAAAGGAAATTGGATAGAGTTGGTTTTCTCGGTGATTATGTCATGGCCTTTAAAAACAAAATTCACACTGATGTTACTGTCAAACCTGGAGATAATGGGCCTGGAATACCCGCTCACAAATCTGTCTTGGTAATATCTCTAACTCTAATGATTCTCATATACATTTTTAATTTTATGTACTGGAACTATATATTATATAGTAACAAAAATCGGTCCATTGGTGCTTACTTCACAATTGACTATGTTAGGTTGAACCTATACACCTAATTGTACTGGAATTCCCGCTCACAAATCTGTCTTTGCAAACAATAACCAATTATAAATCTTGTTCTGTCTCATTGGTTATGTTTTGTTTATAAACTTATAAGCATTGATATATCTCGATCGACATTAGTTGGTAGTTAAACTCACTTGGAATGCATGTGGATGAAACATACATTACCTATTTATCTTTAGTAAGATATGATCTCCCAACCGATATATGTATAATGCACAACTTGAATGATCTTGATTTATCTATATGATTCATATGCAACATATAGCAACTGCTGATGAAACTCATATGTCCCACGTACAGGCAGTAAGGTCGAATGTGTTCAAGTACATGTTGGACTCCGATGAATGCAAGACTTTAGTAGAGAACTCAATTACTATTCCTGACTTGACTTACGAAGAACTCAAAGCTCTCCTCGAGTTTTTCTGTAGCGGGATCTTAAGCTCCGCCAACAAACAACACGCTCGAGCGCTCTATCTTGCAGCTCATAAGTATGACATACCATATCTCCAAGAACTTTGCAGAGACCAGTTAATCTCATCTTTGAATCAGAGCAACGTTCTGGACATTCTTGAGCTGTCCACTGTCTCTTCCGACAAAATCTTGGAAAAAACTGCGATAAGGATTGTCGTAATTAACATGGAAACGATCATTTATGGCGACAGATACAAATCATTTGTTAGGAAGAATCCTGATCTAGGTTTGGATATCACAAAGATCTTGCTTGATTATATAAAGTCGAGGACTTCACGAGGTTTGCCTCCTATTCCATTAATCTGATAATTCTCTAGATGTATTAAGACTCTTGTTGTTGCTACCACTTACTTATTTCTGATTTCCAAACTATGTTAGATTATAATGTGTAGTTTTTTGTATCGCTAGAGATGTGACTGACTGTTTCTCTAGATGTGTTAAAACAGTTGTTGCTACCACTTAATGTGTGTGGTTTTCTGTATTACTAGACGCATGTAATATTTAGAACATACAACTCTTTGTCTAAAGAAATTATTAAGCCGTACGTGCTCTACTTTGGTGCCTTCCGTTTTCAAAAGCATTAGGAATTTAAGTTTATACTGAAGTGTCTCACTCACTCACCATAGGTGTTCCCATGTATTGAAGTCTTATCAAGACTTTTTTAGGCTGCATGGCGGATCTTGACAAAAGTATTAACAATGGATTCATCAAACTTACTTCTCAGATTTCCGATATCGATCTTAAAGCTAAGCGGTAAGTTGTACGAATCCGTTGATAATACTTTGGTCAAAATCGTCCATACACTTAAAAAATGTGTTTTGATAAGACTTCAATGGCGAAACATGCTTCTTCATTATTTAGAATTTGTTGGAATGGTCTTCCTCTGATTTTTTTATTCCACTCAATAGATAGCAAACATATCCTATCTACCAAGATTTCATGTTTTACCTCTTTTCCTGGCCGCATAACTTTGATCAATACCTTTGTAAAAGTTGAAGGTGTGAGATTAATGGAATAACGTGTCACAAAAGATTTTGTTAATTAAAAAGGCTACAAATTTGGTAAAAGATAAGGGGAACACTAAAATAGAAGAGAAATTTATTCACTTTAGATTTTAATTAATAAATATGTAGTTATCTCAATGAAATATAAATATAATACTATTAATTAAATAATTTTCAATTTTTATTTTTTATTTATAATAATATATTAATTTTTAGTGTAAATTAAATCGGGTCAAAAAATCATTTTACATATAAACGTGTAGTTAAACAAAAAACAGTGTAGTTTTCAAATTAATAATCCTAAATACCGTAAGGCATTATCAGAGATAATATACACTCATGCATTATCATCAACATTTTTATTAGATGGTAACAATCACTTGGCTCATCTTAGGAATATCATCAAATCTGCTTACGTCCTGATGTTTGATTTTAATATTCTTTTCTTGTATGATTTGTAGCACGTCGTCATCAGCTAACCTGTTAATCATTTGTTTTTGAAATTAGCCTATATATTAGTAAAATTATACTGTAACAATTATTTTTTCTGAAGAAAATATATTTTTATCGATCGTCACGGAACTTTTGTCTAGAAAAATTAAGTCAAACGTATAAACATTTATAAAAAGTCTACTACTTTGTTTTCTTTTGATAAAAAAAGTCTACTACTTAGAAATTATAGTTTTCTTCACACTTTTTCTTTTATTAAATCGGGTATACTAGGAAAAATTTCAAAAAACTGTGGAAGATGCAGCGATTGAGTATTTTGCAACGTTCATCTTACAAAATCAATGAAAACCTACATTTCATATAATCGAAGAACATGCTATTTTGTCATATAAGTCAATTTTCAAAGATCTATAATACTTGGAAAAGAAAATACAAGTTTTTTTTTGTTAAAGAAGAAAAAAGGAAAAGAAAATACAAGTTGGGAATGCAATAATTAGATTGGACAATTCTGAATGTGCAAGTAATACATATGTACTCTGTCTTTATTCATTTGTCCCGTGTACGTCACTCTTCGGTTTCAGGCATTTCAGCGATCCAATTTCTTTTTTCTTCTCCAACTTGTACTATTTATAGATACTGTTTTGTTATTTTACTCGTTTGTATAATGTATCATGTAGCAGTGATGACGAACTTAATTAACTGATACATTCTCAAACGAAGCCAGAGAATATAAGAAAAGTAAAAGTCAACGAATTAAACTTCAACTCAACTTATAAAAAGGATGGGCCAAATCATCTTGACCAATGCCGGTCGCGAGAGCCCTCTTACATGCAACCAAACAAAAATCAACTCAACTCTATCATTGGACTTAACATATTTTCAGTTCATTATCTTAATATAAATTCAATAAAGACCACACAAAAAAGTTTAATGAGAATGTTTGGTTTTAAATTGCTGAGAATTTAAGAGCATCGATATGGTTTCATTGGTACTCAGTTTCTTGTCAATAAGTACAATGTTTTGGGTTGAAAAGTCATTGTGGGAAAACTTTGGAATAAGATTCAAGATCGAAGATTCGTTGGACAACAATGACCCTGTGATGTAGATTTGTTTCTCACTTAATTTTTATTTTTAGATTTATTACCTTAAAAACACTCAAAATTATCAAAGAGGGATTGGAGAATGCGTGGCTAAAAATTTCGATTAAATAAAAAAAAAACGAATCTCGTTCAAAAGTAATCACAAAAGTAGATTCACATATAGAAACATAAATCTATTTAAATTAGGAATTAATTAGAGTGTCTAATCGTCATGGAGGGCCACCTAATCACGCTCCGATTCAACGCTATGCATCAATGATATTATGTTACCAAATGGATTTATTGACCATGGTAAGTAGCCCTGGGCACGGAGCAAATACTAGGCAAAAAACAGGTATCCGTGATCCGATCCGATCCGTCCGGATATTTGATTTTCTGATCCGATCCGATCCGAAAATTTTCGGATATCCGAAAATCCGGATATTCGTAACTTTGTTTAATATCCGCGGATTATCCGCTCCGATCCGTTTGATCCGGATATCCGTAACTCTGTTTAATATCCGTGAATTATCCACTCCGTAAATATTTTAAAAAATATTTGTATTTAAAAAATTTCAGAAAAATCAATTTTTAACACAAAAATATAATTTTAATTAAAAAACTATTAGTAGTTATTTTGTTTTAATTTTTTTTAGTGTTTAAATAATCAATTTAATGAATATAGATTTATAAAATTTAGATATAAACATAACAATCATCCAATTTATATATGTAATTTTATATATATAGATATATCTATATGTATAACGGAGCGGATCGGATATCCGGCTTTTAAAATTTCAGTATTTGTGATTTGCTCCGGTTTTAACGGATATTAATTTTTAGTATTTGCTTTGCTTTGTAAAATTACGGTTATCCGGATTTTTCGGATCGAATCGGAACGGATAACGGATCGAAGCAAATATAACGGATAATTTGCCCAGGCCTACATGGTAGAGCCAAAACTATAAAAGAAATTACCTAAACGAAAATACTTTGACTGGTATATCAAATGTAGTTAATTATTTGGTATTCAGAAAGAAAAAAAATTGGTAAAGTATTTAGTTTTATATATCACAGAAATATATGTTACCTTAAATAATTAGATTTATTCTGTTCTATACCATAAATAGTTTTATAAATGTCACCAAATACAAAAGATTCCACTTGGGCCGGAGAAGAATCTTATTATTATATTTATATTCTGATATTTACGTTTTCTGATTTTGTGGAGAGCCAAAAAGTCTCCAAAGTCTTCACGTCATCCTCCTCCTCTCACCTCGATCTCTGTACCCTCTTTATATAAGTACTCTTCACATCCACCAATATCAACACAGAACCAAAACACAGAACAGACTGATTCAGATTCGATTTTTCAACTGTTACTGTCAAAGCTCGTAGCCATGAGTCTTCTTTCAGATCTCATCAACCTTAACCTCTCAGAGACCACTGACAAAATCATTGCCGAATACATATGGTTCGTCTTCTTCTTCTTCTCCTTAAAAATCGTTTTTTTTTTGTTTGCTTATGTATACGTGCTCATACTAATCGCAAATCTAATGAGTTCGTGCTGTTTTTCCAACTTAAGACTCTGTTTTTTCTCTTAGGTTTGTATAAATCGATCTGATTATTCTTAGATCCGATTCGTTTTAGTCTAAATGCTATCTCTTTTTATTATTGAGATCTCTCTGTTTAGTTTGCTGATGAAATCTACTAAGGTTCATGAATCTACCAAATAGTGAAACCATGTTTGCTATATTTTTTTTTTCTTCCCCTAATGATTGATGTTGGCTCTGTTTCTTTGTTTTTGGCTCTGTTCTTAAAAATAGTAAAAGATCGAATTTTTGAAATGATTTTGTTTTCTTTTTGGTATTCTTTTATTACCAAATCAGGGTTGGAGGCACTGGAATGGATATGAGAAGCAAAGCCAGGGTAATACTTTTGGCAAAGTTTTGTCAATTTTCTATTTTTAGTAAAAATCAAAATTTTGATTCATAATAGTCTTGTTTGTTTATTATGTGTAGACTCTACCTGGACCAGTGAGTGACCCTTCTAAGCTACCAAAGTGGAACTATGATGGTTCAAGCACAGGCCAAGCTCCTGGTGAAGACAGTGAAGTCATCTTATAGTTAATAATCTTTTCCTTCTCATTCTTATTTACACACAAACATGTCTCTTTTGTTTTTTTTTCTAGTTCTTGATTACTAATCTTTAATGTTTTGTATATGTGTGTTTAGCCCTCAAGCCATATTCAAGGATCCTTTCCGTAGAGGCAACAACATTCTTGTGGTGTGTGATGCTTACACTCCCGCTGGTGAACCAATCCCAACAAACAAAAGACACGCTGCGGCTGAGGTCTTTAGCCACCCTGATGTTGTCTCTGAAGTGCCATGGTGAGTCTGTGTTCGATATGGTTTTTTCGTATAATGCATAGTTAGTGATTGATCTTTCTTTGTGCCCACCAGGTATGGTATTGAGCAAGAGTACACTCTGCTTCAGAAAGATGTGAAGTGGCCAGTTGGTTGGCCTATTGGTGGTTTCCCTGGCCCTCAGGGACCATACTATTGCAGTGTTGGAGCAGACAAATCTTTTGGGAGAGACGTTGTTGATGCTCACTACAAGGCTTGCTTGTATGCTGGAATCAACATTAGTGGCATCAATGGAGAAGTCATGCCTGGCCAGGTTAGTTTTTTCACAACCAAGAAAAGCTTCAATCTTTTTCCTCAAAGTTCAATTTTTTGCATAAAGATTCAATCTTTTATCTTTGATATTAAGTTATGAACTTAAAGATCAAATCTTTTTCACAAAGCTTTGATCTTTTTGCATGAATCTTCGAACTTTAACCTTTGATATTCAGTAATGATTTTAAAAATCACATCTTTTGCATAAAAAATTTGATCTTTTTACTCTTTGATACTCAATTATGTATGATCTTAAAGATCAAAGCTTTTTGCATAAAGTGCTAATTACCAAATATTTTTGTGTGTTGAGAACAGTGGGAGTTCCAAGTCGGACCATCTGTTGGTATCTCGGCCGGTGATGAAATCTGGGCCGCTCGTTACATTTTGGAGGTAATTTCTACGTTTTGACATTCAAACTTTCAATGGTTGTTCTGTTAAATGTCGGTTAAGAACACTCTGTTTCTTACGAAAAACAGAGGATCACAGAGATTGCTGGTGTGATTGTATCTTTCGACCCGAAACCGATTCCCGGTGACTGGAACGGTGCTGGTGCTCACTGCAATTACAGGTAAAATGTCAAAACAAGAATCTCTTGGAAAGTTTTCTTCTTGTGGTTTCACATGCTCTGATTCTAACATCGAAATTTGTTAACAGTACCAAGTCAATGAGGGAAGACGGCGGTTACGAGATTATCAAGAAGGCAATTGACAAATTGGGACTGAGACACAAAGAACACATTGCAGCTTATGGTGAAGGCAATGAGCGCCGTCTCACAGGACACCACGAGACTGCTGATATCAACACTTTTGCCTGGGTAAACTTAACTAACTAACGGTTTTTTCGAAGATTCGAAATTATGATTAAACCGGAATTGTTATTGTTTGTGTTTGAAAATGTTGGATTTTTTTGTAGGGTGTTGCGAACCGTGGAGCATCAATCCGTGTAGGACGTGAGACGGAGAAAGAAGGGAAAGGTTACTTTGAAGACAGGAGGCCAGCTTCGAACATGGATCCTTACATTGTCACTTCCATGATTGCAGAGACCACAATCCTCTGGAACCCTTGATCAGAAGATCGATGAAGTCTCACTCAGTTGTGGTATCTTGCCAGAGATTCATTCAACGTTTGTGTGTTTCTTTCTAGCAAGCAATGTCTCGGAATGAGTCAAGACTTGCTCTGTTTCTGCTTGTTTTTTCTTTTTGGTTTTTATTATTACAGAACATCTATTGAAAACTTTTCTTTTGTGATATTATTATGAATAAAAAACTATCTGTAAAAGGCTGATTTATTTTACAAAACTTTTGATTTGGACTCCAAAGATTCTTCTCAGTTTGGATTTTAGTTATTATTTCATCGAAAAATACTCTATTTTCAACATATTGTATACAAATAAGGGATTAATTTTCGACGAAAAAATATACTCCCTCCTTTTTTATTTATTCGTCATTCTAGAGCATTGCACACAGATTAATGAAGTTTGTTAATTGACTACTTTACCTCACAAATAATACGAAAAACGAGAACGACAAGTCATACGAAACAAAAAATTAAACTTAGAACGACAAGTAAGAGCATATTTAACGCAGGTAGCTTAGAGAGGTGCTAAAGGAATCTTGCATTTAATTTAAATCAAAAACTCATTTTTAACCAAGCTTCGACGCCTATTTAGTCGTTATAAGCGTCGGAACTTTCGTTCATCACGAGTTTTTTCTCTTCATTTATCTGTTTCCCTTTTCTCTTTCTCTCTTTTTCTTTTTCTCTTTTTGCAAACTTTTTATATTAAAATATTAGTTAAGCGCATTATCAAGCGTTCTTGCGTTATACATGCTCTAATTTGAAACGGAGGGAGTAACCTAAAACTCCCCATCCATTAAATCAAACAATAGCTAATTGAAATATTTTTAAGGAGATTTTCAACATTTGTATAATTTGGACAATTGAATGATTAAAATTTTGATGAGCTCGGGGTCATTCCCGGAGAAAATAAGAGATTCAGGGTACAATCTTAAAAGCTATGAAACTTAATGACCCAATAATGCAAATTCCAGCTTTTCAAATGTAATTTCGTCGAACACCTGGTGAGCACTCTCCAGGGTTTTAAGGATTTTTCGCGTCCTTGAGGAAGAAAACATCGAAAATGACTATGCTTCGAATTTTGTCGACGCTTCTCAGAGGAACTCATCGGACTTCTTCCCGTTCCTTTTCTTCTTCTCGGCCTCCGATCTCCACCGCGTTTGCTAGCTCACTCTCCGGTAACTTCTCTTAGATTAGCTGTCGAAATCTGTGTATTATGAACAATCCTGAAACTTTCCTTCTTGGGCTTGTGAAACTGCGTCTGCAGTATGGTTTTACTGCAAAATTTCCCTGCAATGATTCGACTTGACCATTGCTTCGTTTCAATTGGAATTGTTGATTTTTGAGTTCTTCACACGATGGCTCAAATTTGATTAGTGACATTTTACTGGAAAACTCAATCCACATTGTTATTCTGTGTAGCAACGTTGTTTATATTCTGAGTTTTTCAATACAAAGATTCTGAATTTGTTGGCTTTCTCTATGTTTGTCAAAATCTTGTGACATTTGGATCTAAGAGGAGTCTTAAGATTTTCAGCTGCTTAATTGCAGGGAAGCCGAAGATTTCGTATCAGAATGATTCTGGAGGCCATACGAGAAGCTTACATGTCTTGGATCCTCGGATTTGGATGATCTTTGCTGGACAAGCTGGTGCGTATGTGTATATAATTATATATGGTCAATGTTTGATATTTTGTTACATTTTGATTATAATTTTGCATTCACTTGTTCTTTCAATTTTCAGCAATCCTTGGATTTTGTGGGAACCTTGCTTTGGCAGAGGATGAGTCTGTGAAGTCAAAACCTGGAGGTAACATGGAAGAGAGTGGCGATTCTGGGCTAGAGAGAGTTGAGGACGGTTCGGTTGTATCGAATATACACACATCTAAGTGGAGAGTGTTTACTGATAGTGGAAGAGATCATTTCTTTCAGGTTGATTGAAGCTCAATCTGTTTCTTCTTGTTCAATAAGCTTTTTTGTTTTTTTTGTCTTGCTTAAATAAATTTGCTCTATCTTATTAGGGGAAATTAGAGCCGGCCGAGAGGCTTTTCCGTTCGGCAATACAGGAAGCTAAGGAAGGTTTTGGAGAGAAGGATCCACATGTTGCATCTGCATGCAACAATCTGGTTGGTCTCTTTGGGATTTATTCAGCTCTTATAGTTTCTATGTTTAGTTACATATGATATGCATGAGCAGTGTATAAATATCTCGAGTATAGTTCTCTAAGGATAAAGTATTAATATGCAAATTCTCTGTTTGTTAATATAGAATTAGGACAATGTGTTCCTGATCAGTCTTTTTGTGAAAAGTTTCATTATTATTTGGTAGAGTCATCACTTCCCAATGTTTTCATTTTTACACTACTCTGTGTTTCAGCACTGGTCACTTCTTGCTTTCTTAGACTAATAGCTCAATCTTTTCCTTCCTCTATGTAAGGCAGAGTTATATAGAGTAAAGAAAGAATTCGCCAAAGCAGAGCCGTTGTATCTGGAAGCTGTAAGTATATTGGAGGAGTCATATGGTCCTGAAGATGTGCGGTGAGAAATCATGATCTTTACTTCTGATGTCATCTGGTTGATACTATTGTTCGTAAAGTTCCTAGAATTAAGGGTCACTCGCATAATTTAGCTGAGAACCTATCAACATTTCTAGAAACTGGCTGAGTTTGTTGGTATTTCTTAGTTTTATTTCCATGTTGGATCGCTAACGTTTGCCTTCCATGCCTCTATGTGACATGCCAATTTGAAATCCCTAAGTCTTTAAGTGCTGCTTTGATATTTGTATCAAAGTTCTACTAGAATTTGTTTTGCATGTTACATGTTTTCTGCTGACGGACTTGACACCCTTACTCTTTTATTCTGCCTTTTATTCATCCAACAACATTCTTAACGATGTAGTGTTGGTGCTACTCTACACAACCTTGGACAACTTTATCTTGTCCAGCGAAAACTTGAGGAAGCTCGTTCGTGCTACGAGGTAATCACCCTAGCAAATGTACTTTTCTGTGTGTTAATTAATATTGTTTGCCTTCTTTTGTGATGCTAACTACGTATTCTTAATTTTTGCTTGTTGATCGCTCCATGTGCAGCGTGCTTTAAAGGTATGTATGGGGTGATTAAGCTTCATTAGTTTTTAATTCAAACTTAGCAAGTGTTACAATTATTTCTCTTATTATTTCCTGGATTCGTAATCTAGATGAAAAGACGAGTCCTGGGACAGGGTCATCCCGATTATGCAGAGACAATGTATCACCTTGGGACGGTACTCTCATGTTTCATTTTTCTTGTTGCTTTATTATAATCTTCACTTACTCTTTTAAATTTTTTCATATAAGCATGAAGTTTTCATATAAATGCTTCTCGCCCATTCAGACATGTGATGAATTGAATCTAATATCACACATCCAAGCTGACATGAAGTCTGATTCCATCTTTCATTTTAAACTTCCTTCTAACATATGATTTGATGTTCAACAGGTATTAAATCTGCAGGGAAAAGAAACAGATGCGGAGGCTCTTATTCTGGATTCTCTTAAAATACTTGAGGCATGTCGATATTTTAGTGATAACTTGTATATGTTCCATCTTGACGTTTCACTTTTTTTAGTTGTATGGTTCTTTATAGTATTTGTTTTTTGGTTTTGTGATGCTAGGAATGTGGTCAAGGAGAGTCTGTAACATATATCAAGAGACTGAGATATCTCTCTCAGGTTTTGTTGCTTTAAAATTCGCATGTAATTTGGATGTTACCTTCAGTGATTTCACTATCTCGTCTGCTTACGCCAGGTATATCTACGATCCAATCGACTGGCTGAGACTGAAAACATACAGAGGAAAATATTGCACATGATGGAATTATCAAAGGTGTGATGGTGTCTTACTTAAAGTTTCCTTTAGCTATTTCTTTTGAGAATCTTCCAATAATTCATCGTATTACTTTCGTTCTGTTTTGCTGCATATTTGCATATGGTGGATTGTGCAAATTAGAGAGGTTTATAGTTAGAAAGATAGTATTTTGGTTAAATTAAGCTTAGTTATGCTTCGGAACTGCTTATTATGTGCATTGATCATAAGTTGATGAGATCACTTACATAGACAAGTTCATGGTGTAAAACCTCTTACCATTTTAGCTGTGTTTTTATGATTATAGTATATAGTTGTTAATGGCTAAAGTCTATCTTAGGGATGGAACTCAATGGAGGCAGTAACTTCAGCTGAAGCATTAGCGCTTACTCTACGATTATCCGGGCAGCTGAGAGAAGCTCTAGAACTTTTTGAAAAGTAAGCACATAATAAACTATCAGTTTATCAGAGTAATACGACGATCTTCAAATGTATAGAGCTAAAGCTCTATGACGATTTTCCTGTTAGGTGTCTCAGTGCTCAAAAAAATTTACTTCCGGAAGGACATATCCAGGTTCACTCTCTTCTGTGATAAAAGTTGATATTTTATATTGGCAATGGAGTGAGTATTCATCTTCTCTCCTCTCCCGGATCGATAGATAGGTGGAAGTTTGCTGCACATCGCCAAGACGTTTATGCTTCAGGCTAGTCAGTTACGAAGAAGTGATAACAGTGAAGCTCTATCCAAACAAGAAAAAGCAAAGAATTATCTTGAAAACTCAGCTAGGTTGGTATCAGTTTATCTTTCTCTTGTCTGGTCTTAGCTTAAACAAGAAGATATTGTAACAAGAAGACTTGTCTGTGGTGGAGAAACATGCAGGATAGCGAAAGATGTTCTGCATAAGCTGAAAAACCAAAAGAGCAAAGAGCAGAAACACGGAAAACCCAATGTGACTCTAAGGAATTATGAACACGCAGCTTTAGTCATACTGGTTGGTCTCGTGATGGAAGCAACACTTGCACAAACATATACAGTATAATGTGTGCTTGATTTTCTTACGAGCAATGTGTTTTGAGACCTTTTTTCTGATTTCTTTTCAGCTACAGTCCCTTGAGAGTCTTGCAGTTTTGGAGATGAGCAAAAATGAGATCGAGGAGCTGCCAAAGGTTAGTACTGTAACACGAAAGTTCAATGCTGTCAAAGAAAAATGCAGATTGAAATGTGCTTTTCAAGTCGAAACCATTTGTACTGATGCTTTACAATAAGAGCAAACCTTATACATGGTATTTGCAGAGAGAGCATCTACATGCAGCTGAAGATTCACTTGTCCAATGTGTTTCTGCTTACAAAGAGGTAAACAATTTGTTGATAGCTTCTCCAAATATGAAACCGGCTTATGAAACCTAAAACCTAAAGACTATTCGAGAGAATCCCCAGCAAAACTCTTGACGACCCACAAGTTTCTTGAATCATCTCTCATAAGCTACTTCTTTGTCCTTTCGTTGTCCCAAAGAATATATTTCTTAATGAAACAGTGTGCTGAGAAAACGTTGGACACTCGCTGATTATTTTCTCTTATTCTCTGATTTTTTCTTGTTCTTCTGTAGTTTGGTTGTGGAACTCAGTTTCAAGATTCTCCTGAAGTAAAATCTGAATACCTTTCGTGCCTGAAGCATCTCTCAGCTTTATTAGCGAACAAAGAGACGATGCATAACTCCAGGGAAAGTCATATTTCTTTACCAGAAGTGAAGGAAGAGGTTAAGCGTACTGAAGTTGATCTTCGTTCATCACATAAGAAAGGTTAATAAAGCTTGAGAAGGAAATGAGACTTTTATTTAGGATCTAATATCGAAATAAAGGGTTTATATAACCCATAAAGATCCAATTTCAAATGTTCATCTTGTTTAATTTCCGAAAACTGATAAGAGAGAGAGAGAGAGAGAGAGAGAGAGAGAGAGAGAGAGAGAAACCACATTGTTCTATGATTTTCTTCAAGAAGTTGAAACAATACAAATAAATCATGAAAATTTTGAAAAAAAGTGTTCATTCATTTTGTGTTTCGGCCGTTATTACCGTTAATTGATCAAAACAAAATTTTAGTTCCGATAAAAATCTGACTTGACACTCAAAATTCGACCAATCAAATTTAAACGGAATTGATTTTCTTTTAACACAAACTTAAACTTAAACAACCTTTTCTTTCAAAGCAGAACAGTAAAATAACATTTTGGTTGTTGTTCTAAGTTTTAGTTGTCATTTTTTGTTTTGAATGCAAACTTATGATATAATTTATAAATTTATCTCTATAACTTATTAATAACTCATATCAAATATAAAAAATATATGAATAGAGGTAAAACAATAAATCTAGTTATTTTCTTAATCTACACAAAACAACCTATAAGGACAACTAAAAAAAACAAAGGGAGTGACTTATTTTGTTTCCGAGATAAACCCAAAACATGGAGCAAAAGAACAAGCGAGATCTTATTTAATAAAACTCGATGCACGTGATCTGAATATGACACATAAAATAATTATAACTTATATAATTGTGATATTTGTGTCATTATTAGTTGAGATGATGACATATGTTATTGTAATAATACATAAAGAAAAATAACATCACATATAATAAAAGTATAAATTTGTTCATGATATAATAAATATGTACGTATTATATAGTTGTTCATGATATTACCATATTCTTATGTGTCAAAACTTATATTGCATGCATGTAGCTTTATTTTATTTAAATAATAAGATAAGTATATAAATAATTACATAATTAATGATGAGTTTTAGAAAAGAAAAAAGCTATTATTTCTTAAACCATTTAAGTACAAGCATGTGGGAGGGGAAATGTTGTGTAGAGTATATATATTCCATCAGTTTTAGCAATCGAATCTTATGACGACAACGGTTTAAATCCATAGGTTAATCTTATGACGACAACGGTTGGCGGCTCCTCGAAACAGTTTAACATCATTATAATAATACTCATTTCTAGGCCCATAATTTAAATTTCAAGTAATCGTTCTAGGCCCATAATCTATGATTCTTCAAGAAGTTGAAAACAATACAAAAAAATCATGAAGATTTAGAAAAAAAAAGAGTTAATCCAATTTGTGTTTTGCCGTTATTACCGATAATTATCACAACAACGTATTAATTTTGGAATATGACTTGACACTTTAAATTCGCCAAAATCAAATTTAAACGGAATCGATTTTCTTTTAACAGTGTTAACACAAATTTAAACCAATTTTGATTTCAAACCAGAACAAGAAAACCAATAACATGGAAATAATCATTCTTTCGCTCTATATTTTTTATTAAATAAAAGAACTCTAAACCATAGTTAAGGATTAGTGAACTTAAGTTTATATATTAATATTAGAAAAAGTGTAATTTTAAAAATTCACATCATAGAGATGTAATTTTGAAAATGTAGATCCCAAAATATAAATTTCTTAAAACTATTCTTGAGAATAATAAACTTTGTTAATGTAGTAATATATAAAAAAAAAATCAACGACGCATATAATAAATATAAATTTGTCCACGATATGATATATATGTATTCTATATTTTCTATTTATAAAAATTATTTAAATTTTTTGCATCCTACGGGTTCACATTCTTATGTGAACTCACATTACACGCTTTAAGCTTTATATGATAAATATGTAAACAAAAAAATAATTTACATAAAAATTGGTAAGTTTTAAGAAAGAAAAACGTTTATGACTTGCACGCCTTATGCCATTTAAGTACAAACCCCATCTGTCCGGAATCTCTTTTTAAGTATATTCCATCAATTTTAGCAGTTCACTGAAGATTTTGGGTTCTCGAACAAGAAAGGCGTGGGCTTTCATAGACTCTTAAATCATCAAAACAATATTTCTTTGTAGTTCCGTAACCTAAGTTACAAGTAATTATTGTCCTTTTTGTCTTTCTTCCACTCTTCCAATAATCGTCGATGAAGGTAATAGTATGATTAGTATTGAAGGTTCTTATATATCTCACTCCTGTTCTAACAAGAGTTTGATTGCCATTATTGCCATAACAATCAAATTGGAGAGGAATACCAGGACTAAGTTGATTTTGAATGACTACACGACGTGATAGGCAAGCTCCATTAAATCTAAAAGACATAGCAATAACAACCGAAAAACTATGAGATGATTCATTTTCTTTGTAAAATATGGATTTTGTAGTAGTAAATTTATCATTAGGCAATATTTATAACTTTTTGTGTGGTAAACGTTGTACTTCAATTTTTAGATAGTCTGTTTTTGGCGTTAGCTAAACTTAGAAGTAAACATAAACCAAGTAATATAGTTTAATCCTGTGTCAAAAATTATGATTAACGAACAATAAATAAGCAAATAAAGTAAGAGTGAGTTTTTTTGGTGAAAAGGTAAGAGTGAGTTTGGTAAATACAACGCGTTGACCAAAAAATAAACAAAGTGCCAATCAATTTTATCTAATTAGCTCCTGATTTTTAGTTTGAAATATCATGTTTATCTTCTTTTTTTTGATTATTTACATCAAAGTACTTCTTTATTATAAAAAAAAATAGGGAATGATCCTGCAGAATTCTATGTTAAACTTTGTAATTTAGTTTTGTGTTTCAATATAAAATTTCGAGGTGCGGATGGATCATCTTTAGTAAACTCTATTAACAAAATCTATATCATGACAAAAATCTATTAAAAATCATGATATATCAATATCGTAATCCTATATGTTTTCTAAATGTACTTTAACAAAAAAAAAAATATGTTTTCTAAATGTATTTTTGGACTTATCGGTAAACTAAATAAATACTTTAATATGTTTTCCGTTTCTTATCAATACGATCATTATTCCATTCGCCTAACCAATTTAAGTGGGAGGTTTATCCTAGCCCTAAACCCCTCCAAAGGATTCAATTTCTTACAAATTCCACTGCACATTACGAAAGAGCGATCCTTGTCGGAATTTGTGATGAAAAGAGCATATGCGTGATACATTGCAAGCCGAATGATCCAGAGATCATCATCATCTCTCCTTTCCTTGGCGTCAATCGAAACCCTTTTAAAGCTCTGCAAATCCGAAATTCACCTTCACCAAATCCACGCCAGAATCATCCGTAAAGGCCTTGAGCAAGACCAGAATCTCATCTCCATCTTCCTCTCTTCGTCTCCGTCTTCTTCTTCCTCTCTCTCTTACGCTTCCTCTGTTTTTGACCGTGTGCCTCATCCTTGCACTAATCTCTGGAACTGCTTCATCAATGGGTACTCGAAAAGGTCTCTCTTTTCCGAAACGGTTTCGCTTCTCGTTCGTATGATGAGAGCCGGCTTCGCTCGACCTGACGAGTTCACTTTCCCTATGGTGATGAAAGCTTGCTCTGTCAATGGACAGGCTCACGCTGGGTCATCAGTCCATGGATTGGCTCTGCGAATCGGGTTTGGTAAAGACGTGTTTGTCGCTACAAGTTTGATCGATTTCTACGGCAAATGCAAGGACTCGCCGAGCGCGCGTAAGATGTTCGACGAAACGCCTGAGAGAAACGCGGTTTCTTGGACGGCTCTGATTGTGGCTTGCGTGAGATCTGGAGAGTTGGAGAGAGCGAAGAAGCTCTTCGACGTGATGCCAGAGCGAAATTCTGGATCTTGGAACGCGTTGATCGATGGATTGGTGAAATCCGGAGATTTAGCGAATGCGAGGAAACTGTTCGATGAAATGCCTGAGAGAGATGTAATCTCGTATACTTCAATGATTGATGGATATGGTAAAAGCGGCGATATGCGTTCCGCGAGGGAGTTGTTTGATGAAGCGAGAGATGTTGTTGACGTTAGAGCGTGGTCGGTTTTGATCTCCGGTTATGCGCAGAACGGTCAGGCGAACGAGGCGGTTAAGGCTTTCGACGAAATGTGTGAGAGGAATGTGAAGGCTGATGAGTTTGTGATGGTGAGTTTGATGTCAGCTTGTGCTCAGATTGGTAGCTTTGAGTTGTGTGAAAAGGTTGAATCTTTGCTGCGGAATCGTGTGAACGAGTTTGCTAGTAGTCGTTGTTATGTTGTACCTGCTTTGATAGAGATGAATGTGAAGTGTGGTAATATGGAGAGAGCAGCGAGGTTGTTCGAAGAGATGCCTCGGAGAGATCTCGTTTCGTACTGTTCGATGATGGAAGGAGTGGCGATTCATGGCTGTGGAGGCGAAGCTGTGAGGCTGTTTGAGAGAATGGTTAGTGAAGGTGTTGTGCCTGATGAAGTTGCGTTTACAGTGATACTGAAAGTTTGTGGGCAAGCAGGGCTTGTTGAGGATGGTTTGAGGTATTTTGAGTTGATGCGAGGAGAGTATTCGATTGTGGCTTCGTCTGATCATTTTGCCTGCGTTGTGAGTCTTCTTAGCCGGTCGGGGAGGGTGGAAGAGGCTTATGAGCTTGTTAAATCCATGCCTGTTGAAGCGAATGTGAGTGCTTGGGGTTCGGTTTTGGGTGGTTGTAGTGTACATGGGAATAGTGAGATTGCAGAAGTAGTTGCAAGGAGACTCTTTGAAGTTGAGCCAGAAAGTGGTGGTAACTATGTGATTCTGTCGAATATTTATGCAGCTTTGGACCGTTGGGCTGATGTAGCTCATGTTAGGGATAAAATGAAGGAGAATGGTGTTAAGAAGATTTGTGGCCGAAGTTCGATAAGTCGATAAGCACTTTGTTTGTCTAACTGTGTCGATTGAAAGGTTTTGCTTTAACATAAACAAGAAGACCAAAAGGAAGTTGTATCATTATGGCTTTATTGTTTGTAAATTTGTTTCACTTCAAATGGAAACTTTTTTTTTGTTTGTTTGCTTTCTTAGAGATACAAGAATGATGAAATCTTGAGATGGTTGACCGAAGATCTCTATCGATTACTTCTACGATATACTCAAGATTATTTGTTTTATTCAAATTTTATACCGATTTTTAGGTGTGTTCAAATCGTATTTTTAGCATGCTCAACTTAAATTCCTTTTCAACGCAACATTGTACATTTTATTTCATAGAACACAAAATACTTTATACAAAGGAATTATATGATTTGCAGAATGTATGTCCAACTACATAAATACAACAACTTCTCTACGGAATAATTGATCTATCCACCAATGGACCCATAAAGCAAACACCAACAACAACAACTACAGTACTCTTTTTCTCTATTTTAATTAATTATTTTCACACACCCATACCTATTTGTTTCTAATTTCTTTTCAATTTTCTTAGCCTTACTCTTGGCCTCTATTAACGTTATAACGTGTACCTTTCATATTCCACAAACCCAAGAAAATTATATTCAATAAACAATGCTTCCATTCCCCAACTACTACATTTCAACTCCAACTATGTCCGAGAAGAAAAGCGTCATCCGCAGCAGTAGCAAGAGAAGAAATAAGATATGGCCACCGACACTCTTCACCGGAGGAGGAGGAGGCGGCAGAGGAGGAGAAGGAAGAGATGAGCTGGCGACGGTGAAAGCTGCGGCGTGGGCTTGGTACCAAAGAAACGAAGGAAAGCCAATGATAAGAGAGTTCGATTTCACAACAAGAGCAACAAGAACACCTCGACCTTCGCGGTACAAGCTCGAGGCCAACAAGAACATGGCCCTATCCGAGAATAAGGTTTCTAAACCGTACGCTTATCACTTATTACGTGGAGATCAAGAAACCAAGTTATCTAGTCTTCTTGACCCTTATGAGATCAAGAGTATTTCCAAGAGGATTGACGAGGGTTCTTTACCCGCTAGTGCTTTCGGGGATGATCATGATCATGTTTTATCGAAGAAGAAGCTTGAATATGATGATAGTAAGAAGGACAATATTGGGTTGGTGACAAAAACGAGCATAAGAAATTTGTGGAAAGGAATGATTCTGATGGGTCCAAGGACAGTTTGTGGCAGAAGTGATGACGTGGATCTTGGGGCTTATCGTACTGGCCCAAGAACAGTAAAAGTTGCACCGACGAGTGTCAAGATGCGAACTCTATAGTAGTCTCTAGTTATTCGGATGTTAAAATATGTATTTGGACATTTCAAGGCTAAAAGGTCTTCTTCTTTATTCTATAACATTTAAAGATTTTAACAAGTTTGTGTATATTATTATTTTATCTTTATTGATCACTCGAGCCAAATGTAGAAAATATATATAGTGACGCAGTACTATATATAGTTATATGTATAATCTTTTGGAGCATTTTTTATTCTTTTCGGTTTGTTGTATTCTCATCCTTTGCTTGATTCTACAAAAAGAACGGATGAGAAGAAGAGGATAGCATAGAGTAATACTTGGGCAGAGAAGAAGAAAGAAGAAGAAGTGCACAAGTCACATAACACAGTGGAAAAAAAGGGAACTAAGAAAGCTAATGGACCCATTTAATTGGAGTCAGGCCCAATTTCTAGATTAAAGCATAACATGTGTATATAAGATTTGTCATGTCTATACCACCTTTTGAATTTGAGTCCGGGATGTCAGGTTTGTCCAAGCCAACATTTCTAGTGTTTTGGTAGTGCTTTGATAGTGCTTTTATTCGTTGTATGTGAGTGGAGACATGAGATGTGACCAACGTTCCACATGTGATTTTTTCCTTAAAAGATATGTCATTCGTTAATATTCTTCACACGCTCATAGATTTTTGGGATTATTGTCAATGTGTTTCATTGACTTCTTGTCATAATAAAACGGGCATGGGTTATGAACGTATGTGCATGAGACTTTTACGATGTGTGGTAGTGCCTTTAACCAAATTTCTATTTCAGGTTTTATTCTAATTTTTTTATGAACAACATACAGTATATTGTATTATTCAAGTTAACTGAAATAGGTTGGTGATATAGTGACAGTGCTATTACAAAACACTATATGCTGATCTTTCGTCGCATTCGAGTTGTAAATATCAACAGAAATAAAATATGATATGTGTTTTTATAAAGAAGATTTCCTTTTGCATTTTCTTATTCACGCATTTTCATGTTTTCTGCATTGCTTATCCCAAGTACCAACTATTGATTACATAAAAATCTTCAAGAAATATATTGCTTTGAAGTCTAACCAGTAACCACAACATAAAAGTTAATAGTCTAATGGACTTAGATATTGTCATACTGCCAATGCCATACAAATATACAATAAATCCAAATTATATCGGATATACATAAAACTTTGTGGATCTCTAGCTTCACCAAAAAGCCAGGAATTAAATGAAGCAAGTCAAGAATTTACGGGTTACTGGATTACAACAACTGGCACTTTGACCCATGATTTTATCCACTTTACTTGGAGTTTAGTGCTTACTTTCGAAGCTGTAAAACATGAATCCGCTGCTTTTGACTATTTAACATAACAGCTGTTCATAGATATGCGCCAGTAGATTCACATACACACACGTATTTGAATAAATTTACAATTATACTATATCGAAGATGGTCCCTCATAATTGATAACTCTATGTGTGCCAGCCCCAAAAGACGTGAAGGCATTCAGCTATTTATGCATCATTAATTTACAGGACATTACAGTTTTAAGATAAGCAGTTTGTGTAATGGTTTTTTTTTTCCAACCAGTAAAAACGTTACTCTCCATGATATTGACATATTGTAGACAAACAAAAAAATGACACCAGATGTTCAAAACTTAAAATTTCGTCGATGTACTAGACTAATTTCGGAAATGGATATATTTTGGCAAGGAATGTGTCTGATTTACCATAGAAAAACCCCCATAACGATGCTTAATAGCCTGCGTATTATCATCGATCGTTGATATGAATGATTTTCTCTAAATTGTAATTAGTTTTTGAAAAAGTACTTATATATAGTTAGAATAGCTAGTACTTATTACTCTCATATTATTTTCTTCTTTCTAGTGTTGGATTTTGGGTAAATTGCAAACTGAGTCCAAAGGGATGTGCCGTGTGCGTGTTTGGTTTTCCAGAACATTTTAAAGCTATCTCTCTCTTTCTCACTTTCACTTTCTTGTCTTTTCCTCTCCAATGATTTCCACTATTCTACTTCCTACTATTAATCATCTTTTTTCTTTCTTTCTCCCTTTAGTTTGTTTTTTCATCGTGTTTAAATATACTGTCAAAATATTCATTATCTACTTTATGTCAAATTCGGGTTAAATATGGACATCTAACCTAAAACCAATTGACAATAAGTGGAGAGGTCATAACCCTTTATATATTACTTCCAATATTGAGTAATTGTAGGAACAACATCCACGGGGTGGCCCAGAATCAACTGCTCTCATACCATGTCAAATTCAGGTCAAACATGGGCATCCAACCTAAAATTAATAGGTGAAGAGACCCTAACCCTTTATATATTACTTAATTATTTCTCCAACTACCGACTTTAGTCATTAACACTTTGAACCATTATTTTCTCTAATGAAATTAGGTTTTCTGAGAAGAAACTAACCTAATTCAAAGTTACATTAAACGAAACTCAAATTATTAGAGACTTCGGATACACAGTTAATCTAGATGTTGATGACGTGAACTCAAAATGGAATCAGACTGGGATTTCGGATATATACAATCTAGAAGGAGTGGTCGAATTGGAATTAAATTAACCAGTCAAATTAGTGTGGTATATCTCTAGAAAGATCGTAGCGTAATAATTCAAACCCCGTTTTGGTCATTACATGTACTAGTTGGACTTGGTGCTGTTGCAAACACTTGAGATACGATGATTAAACAAAGCAATTAGTGAGTGGGGCTTTAGTTTAATGGTTACAAGTTATAAATATAGTCGACAGAATCATTTTAAGTAATGATAATAGCCAACATGTGGATTTTTTTTATATGGATGTGAGCAGGACAAATCATAAGGATCTGATATCTTGAGTAATGTGACACAAACTTGAAAGACTAAAATGATGATATTTATTGATAATGGAAACTGATTGATAATCGTAATATGCAATTACTCATGAATCAACCAAAATTGCGAATGAATATAACAAAAAAAATAAAGAATACTCCTAGTAAATATGAAAAAGGTCATTGTCACTTGTCAGTAATAAAGAGAATAATAAATCCAAAGTGTTGAGTTCGGCGAAAGACTTGGAACTAAGCTGTCGGCTATTCTCCAAAATCTATCCAGCTCATATTTGGGCCCCATCTCTATACTTTCATTTATATTCTGCTTCTTCTTTTTTGAAAACAATATTAAAAAAAATCGAACCATACACATTTTGTGGTAAAATAAAAATACATTCATAATCATAGATGACAAAAGGAAAACAATACACATAAGTTTTCATGTGTTATATATCGAATTCTTGTTAAAAAAAAAAAATCACTATTTAGTATTAAGATTTGGTTTGAGTTAGGGGTTAAAAGCTAAAGGATTCTCTCAAATATTGGAACACTTATACAAGATTTAGGATTGCAAATGGACAAGTTAAATCGATTACAAAAAGAAAATTATTCTATCTTTTTCTAAGCTCTGTTATTCGACTTTGTAAAGTTTATAGACTAAGACTCAAGTTTCATTTTCGAGTAACAAGAGCCTGAGAAGCTTGTTAAATTTAAAATTTGCGAAAGTGGAACCTTATGAAAAGCTGTTGGCAGAGCCGTCCTGAGAACGGGGTGGCCGCAAGCTATAGAAAAAAAATGGCCGTTTTGAAGTCTAAGAGTCTCGAACTCAGGAACTCAAAGCTAAAGAGACAACACGATTACCACTACACTTAGAAAGAGATCTTTGAAAAAAATGGGCCGAATTATTCTATATAATGACAAGGGTCGCAAGCTCCTGCTTGTCTTGCTTGCTCCGAGGGACGACACTAGCTGCTGGTATTGGAAAATGTCACCAAATTAAACTCGTAGACTAGTAGTATATCATTTTTTCTCCTTTTGTTTTTGTTATTGTTTTTGTGAGTTTATTTTTGTCAAACTCGAGTGTGAGTCACTTCAAAATCGTGGAGAGGCTTTCGCATAGATCCTTCAAGAAAAGCATCTTATAGTTTTATGATCTTAAGTCGATCAACATTCACATATTTTAACGGTTTTTATAAGAGACTCTTGCTACTTTCATTTAAGTTTAAAATCTCAGAACCTGGACTGAATTAATAGTAAAAAGTACATAGCTAATTAATGCTACTATCTCTATCAAACGTGTTGATTCATGGGGAAGAAAATGAAAGAAGTTTAGAGTTTTAGAAGAAAAATGACAAAGAAATGAAAAATAAAGTGACGTTGCCGACTTGCCGTATCTCAGTGGTAATTGATTAGCAGTGTTCTCTGCTCGATTCATCATCATGTGTCACTGTCTTCATTTGCATCATGTGTTTTTGTTGGTTCATACTTTGCATCTCTCCCAAAATCTATCACTTGTATTTATCTTCACTCTTTAATTATAATCAATACGATCACTTTCTATCATCTTATTAGCTGGTATCTTTTTTCTTGCATTCGGATTTGATATTACAACTATTTTATGATGCATACATATATTAGTAGCTGCCGCAATACTAAAAAAAAAATATATATAAAATATTTGTGATGAGCATAAGGTTTTCAGCCAAAAATATTTGTAATTCTATCAAATACTAAGATATTCAAGCAACAATTTCTTAAAAAGACAAAAACAAATCTGGAAAATAGTTGGAAGGTTTTGTAATAACAATTTTTTTTGGGTTTTATTGTAATAATAACAAGTTATATAAACCATACTGACGTAAAACATAATTTACAGTAGTAATATACAAGCAGAAATTATCATTATTAACACATACATGAAACCCATTTAATTATTTGTACATATATAGTTACAGCCTAATAAAGATGAGCAAGTTTGCTTCGGACAGATGTCCTTCTAAAGGGACCCACAAATCCCAGATTCAAAACTGATAATAATTTACACTGTCCGATCAAACATCATTCAACGATGATCATATACGCACGACCGTAGAGGAATATTAGAACCTTCTCATCACGTTGATAATCTGCTGCACTCGGCTTTACTGAAACCCACTCTCCTATTGGTCACATCAAACTCAACCCATAGATTCTGCTGATGAACGTTCCCGATTATATTACTCGCTGCACCAAGCATGCTTGACCGTCCGATCCCAACACAGTGGACCCCATTTCCTACGTTAACCAAAAGCCTTTGTTTCTCTACTAGAATCTCAACGCCTCTCCCGAATTCAAACGCAAGATCGCCTATCAACCGTCCGATCTCCACCGGGTTGTTCCCGTCGAAACACATGTCAGCTGTTGCACCGTACACGTAATCTTTCTTCAATCTTGACCCCACAAGCCTCACCACTTCTTCCTTCACTTTTTCATACGCCACGTCGACCAAATGAGTGAATTCCGAACCGGAATCGACCATGGTTTGACCCGACCCGCCTGCATCGGGTCTGAAAACAGAAGCTGGGATGTTTAATCTCTTTGGTCCGATTCTGATCCCTAGCAAAGGTACTGTGTAAGCCAGAGGGTCTAGATTCGGCATGCGTTGACTCTCCGGGAAAGTCAACAGAGAGACGTATTTGAATCCGCGAGAATTCGGGTTTTCCCCGAGATAAAAGGACCCGGTCGGAAGAAAACCGGGCCGGTTCGACCGTGTTGGGATACAATACGAGAATTTCGATATTTTAGCTTGCGAGACGAAAGAACGACGACCAAGATTCATTCCCAAAATACCCTTATCGTCTGTTGATTCATCAGCGCAGCCGAGAATCAAAGGAGGGGTACTTTGGGTATTCGAGAAAGTGAATTTCTCTTTGACGAGATTGCCCTCGGCGAAGGTTCCGTCTGCGTAGAAGTAGGAATAGTGACAGAGACGGTTCGAGTCGCATGTCGTGGGAAGGGTAAAATCGGGAATTCGCGGTTTGCAGAGAGGATGAGAGCAAGGCAAATCGGAGAACGACGAAGACAGCGACGGATCAAACGACGTCGTTGGTGGTCTCTTCTTCTTGCGGTGGCACTGGATCCACGAGAGCTGGCTTCCCGTATCAAGAACAAGCTCTTGAGTCTGCACAGGTGTTCCGATAGGAAGAGAGAGAATCAAAGCCATTGAGTACTTGAAATTTGACCGAAAGCTGTACGGAGTTGACGACGGAGATGGATTCCGGCGAGAGAGGAGGGAGGTTTGTAAAGAAGAAGTGGTGTTTGTGGTTGGAGTGAGACGGAGAGATGTGAGAGGGAAGTGGAGAGAGAGAGATGATGAGAGAGAAACTGAGTTACAGAGGAAAACGTAGAGAAATGTTAAGAAGAGAGACATTTTTGTTTTTTAACAGAGTGAGAGAGTGAGTGAAGGGAGAGAGAGAGATGATAGGAAGAGTCAAGAGTGTGTATTTATATACACAACACAACACAACACACGAGCACGAATCTTATAAAGAGAGAAGAGAAAATTTTGAGGGAGATTGTGCAACTAATTAAAAGTGGTTAGCTATAAATGACTATAGTTTATGATTTAATTTTCGTTTGTTTCTTGTATAGTATATGATTTTAAGTTAGTGTTAATCTCGGTTGGCGATGGATGATGGATAAGGTTAGGAAATATAACTAAATTTTATTTTATTTGCATTTTTGACTAATTATTGTGTTGATTAGATGTCAATTTTGAGGTTTCAGCTCAGCTACCTACGTGTTTAAAATTTATACATCAACGCCTCAACGGCCTAGGAGTATCTTTTAATTCAAAGTATATGATTATCTGAAATTTATCATATTATTACTCTAATATCGTTTGAGTAAATAGCTAGAAACTCTAACTTTTGGTTGATAGAAGTTGATGTTTCTGATTGGTACAAAATTCGTTTATTTGGTAAACAAACGAGCATTCCATAGGTTTTTGTTTCTGTTTTTGTTAAACATTCCGTAGTTATGAATCGTATCCAATAACTAATCTGAAACTGATCTACTACTTATATAAGTTATGTTGATTGGTTTTGTGTTGCTTCTTTTTCACGTTAAGTTAGATATACAAATTACAAAATACAATATAAAGTAGAAATTCTATAAATTAATAATGTTGGGTATAAGATATTTTATTAATTTAACAAAATATTAATTTATCGAGTGATTATTGGATCAAAAATTTAATTTGGGATCATATAATTTTATTGATTTAGAGTTTCTATTGTATAGTCGTTGATGAAAATACGTACGTTGGACACCACCAAATGGTTATAATATATTTGACGTGACAGAGAAAAAATCAATCAAAGGAAAAACGACCAAAGAAGCAGTTGACACGTAAGTCAAGGGGGTTAAAGAGAAGACGACAGAGATACTGAGGGTGAAATAAAGCGAAATTGTCCAACGCGTTTTCTCTTCGATTTCAGACAAATGGTCTTCGGTTTTAGACTTGGTGAGATTTTTATTTTATTTATTTGTTAGCTTGCTTTTTTAGTTCATACTGTTCTGGAGTCAATTTACATGAAGATTGTACAGCTTTATCGTAGTGGCTAATACAAATTACTTTTATGGCACCTCCAACTAGCTAACACCTTAAACCATGCATCGCTACAATTTAATACTAGAACACAATTATTTTTGCTTCAAATTCGTAATAAATATGTCGATAAAAGATGATAGAGTCATTCATATTTTATTCTTTTTTTTATAAAAAATATGAAAAACATCAGTAAAATAAAACAGGGAGATATGATATAGTGATGCGTAGAGTGGAGCACCATTATATTATTTTCTAAAGTATAAATCAAAAATCCCCATACATATTTTCCTTCTATTTAAATTGTTTATAACCATTATTCTACCATTTCTTTATTTTCTGATAAGAAATTAACTTTAAAAATAAATAATTTCCTTCGCCACATATTTTAAACGGTTCAAATGATCTCAACCGAACTAGTACGTCCATCATGTGTAGATAGATGAGAATATATGACGCGTTGATGTAAGCGTTTGTTGATGCAATTATATGCCTCAAAACTTGTTTATCTAATCGGAAAGGTTTTGATACTTTTGAATATATATTTGTTGGTTTTGTTTTCTTACATCACTACCATAGACCAAAGGTTGAATTGTGAGTATTCGTTAAAAAGAAACTGTACACCTAACTCACCATGGACCCGACGAAAACAGTTTTTTGGCTTTAATTAGAATCACTTTAAAATGTTTTAAATTCAAAACTGATAATAAAGCTAAAAAGAAATAATGATAAAAGTGTATGTTACCATCCACAGAACTTAATAATATTATATAACGAATATTTTTTCTACATAAACGTAACATTAAGTAAACACAATTCGCCCATACTATGAGACAAATTATATTTCAAGACCCATTTGCATGCGCATGCCGATATATGAGAACATCATTTTCCGCCGGATGACTTGTTATAATGGTGAACAGAAATGAAAGAGATTCATTTGCAACTTTGCAAGTGACGTTGACAACATAACATAAAGTCATCAACTTATTTGGACCGCCCATTTCTCTTCTTTTTTTTTTTCATTAAGGAAAAAAAATCATATCTCCAAGATAAGAGAAGTTTGAAAATAAACATAAGGCATTAACTCATTAACTTTTCTTTTGCCAAGAAACTCTCACTAACTTATAGACTTACATAAAAAAAGGAAAGAAGACTTACAAAAAATTATGTTGATTTCGCTGTAAATCGCGATTATACGTGTAACACGTTAATACTTAATACTCCAGTTTTTTTTTTTTTTTTTTTTTTTTTTCTTTTGGACAACCACCCTTTTACTCCAAATGCTTATCTGGATAATACAAAACAATGTGATATTTTAACATTTTTACTTGTTCGACTCGGTCCCATGCTTCCTCAAAAAAATTTAAACATAAAACTTAAACAAATTTGTCATAAAATGGGGGGAGATTCTGTTCATACCCTCTTTCCCAATATATCAATTTCAATACAATGCTCTCTTTCCCATAAAACAAGGCACGAATCCGAGTGTCTTTTAAAAACAACTAGTATAACCGATCCTTTTCTTTTCATTTTAATATAGGTACTTTAATATATTAATAATATTTAAATTTTAGGTCTTAGAAAATAAAAAGCCGTTCGATTCACTGTGATTACTGATTAGTGATTACAAATATGTGTATATTATTGTGCTTTTTTAATTAAGAAAATAAATGCATTTCATTTTGTTTCATGATCTTTTTAACCCATGAGGCATATATATAACTCCATCCATTCACAAGAAAACCTCACACCTGACCTACTATACAATTGATTGATCTTTGAAAGCCGATAAACACACTCATTATAGACCATATGTTGACTGAATATTTTCAGGGGTTTTGTTTTAAAACTTATATTTACGAGTTCTTTTTTCTCAACTCACAAAGCGCTTCATTACAAAATTTTTTAAGAAGAAATGTGAAGGTTGAGAAATGGTCTGGTCGATCGAAGGATTCACCTTGAAGAATTTGGTTAAAATTTTGACTTCTGTCACTGTAGTTTTAAGTATGGTTGGCTATAAGCCTATAAGTAACAAGTATATATCCGAATTTTCTCTTCACGTATTTTCGATATAAGTCTAAACATTAATTTGAGATTTTCGATTAGATATATTTTTTTTAAAAAAGATCGCATACGAGAAAACTGTGGAAAAGGAAAAGAAATTCCCGACAGGGACTTGTGCAGTGGATAGTGATCTTTTTGACAACGATATACACATTCACGTTTTTAATTTGGATACGTTAAATCTTTTGAAATGGTGTGTCGTTGTTTTATCCAACACCAATCCGTGCAACATTTAAATTTGTAACCTGGTTATAAACAGATATCATCATGGTAGTTAAGGTTTTGGTCTCTTTTTTTACTTAACTCTATTTATGATTGTCATATTTGGAGTTAGTTAGTGGTCATTTCTCAACAACAAATGTTAGATTGTAACATCTGTTACGTGGCAAGCCTGATTGATGAACAGAAATATTGTTCTAGATATTTCTTTACGGCTAAAATGTAAAAGTTATTGTTAATTGAACTTGTTAACGATATTTCTCTCTAATTTAACAAATTTGACATGTTGTTAATCAAACTTAACTAATCATTTGAGAAACTAATACATCAAAATAAGAATTCTCGTAAATAGAGAAAAGAGATGGTAAATAGTTTCTTCAAGCCTTTGTGATAGATGTTGAATGAGTTCTCTTATCTTCTAGCCAAAGAAATCAATCTCTGCCTTCTTCAGCACGCATGAAACTTTTTCAAAGAACTCTGTTTCACTTTCCTTCACTTCCTCAAGAGTCTTACCTTCATGTTCATCCGCCTATAATAAACATCTAATAACTCAGAATGCAACAAAAACCAACCAAAATCGATGACGTCAACTAATGATTAATCAAGTTATTAGCATTGAGCAAAACCAAACCTCTTTGAACTTCAAAAGAATCAAGTTTGAGACTGATGCTGGCTTCTTTGCATCCCATCTGATTAGTCAAAACTTCACGTTATAAGACCAAGAATATATAATATTTTTTTTCTTCGAATTTCCATTGATGAAATTGATCATACCTCACGAGCATCAGCTCATTCATGGCTCTCCACATTCCTCTCCCAACATCTTTTGCAACCTCATCTCTAGCACTTCGTCCGTGCCACAACTCTTTCACTATGTACTTCACTTCCTCAACATCTACCTACAGAAAACACAAAAAGGGGATAAAATCTTGAATCATTTTCAAGAACTGGACCAAAGCTTACAAATTTTCTCAAGAATCTGCTTTTAACTTCACAATATATTATCACTGAGACCAATCTGAATACCTGGACTTCTGCAGATGTGCCATAAACCGTTTCCTCATGCTCGATAAGGCGTTGATGAAGCGTTCTGTAATGATCCAAATCTAGATTCACTATGGGCTCCATCTGAACTTGCACACCAGCAAGCTGTGTTATAACATAGGAGGCCATGATCTGTCCAAAAATCGCCGGGATGGTTCCAAGAACAGGAATTATCCGAACACGAAATCCAGGAACAACCTGAAAAAACCACAAACAAGCTTGAAGATCATTGACTCATGCAAAGACTGGAAGTGTTTCAAGAATCATTTACTTGATAATCTGAAGGATTCTCGTCTTCTCCATTTGGCCCCTTAAATGGAAGCAGCTTTGCTTTCGGTTTTTCCAAAGAAAACACTACAGGAATGCCTCCTTCAATGCCATGTTCTCTCCTCAATCTGTGTCTTACCTGAAAAAAATCAAGAACCATTTGATGAATGTCTTAAGAAAGTCTTGAACTTTCAATAGAGAGAAGAGTAAGAAGAGGTTTTACAGAACGAGATAACGGGTCAATAGTCGACTCTCTTAAGTCAGCCACTCTGATTCTTGTTGGATCAGCTCTAGCACCTGCGCCAGTTGCAGACAGAACTTTCAAACCTCTCTTAACACACGCAGCCAAAAGTCCCACCTAACCATTGTTTTTTGAAATGAATCAATCAGTGTGGAAATCAAACGGATCATCAACTAAACTCCAAGAAGAAAGAATAGAAACCTTACCTTTGTATCAATGTTGTCAATGCAGTCCAAAACGAAATCAGGATCGCCTGAAAGAATCTCTTCTTCAGAAGACGAGTCATACAGCATCACCTTGGCTTCAACATGACACTCAGGAAAGATCGAAGAGAAATGGTTCTTGAGACATGTAGCTTTCGGGATACCAACGTCTTCTCGTGTTGCAACAGCGTGTCGATTCAACGATGATAGTGACACCTGAATACATAGCAAGGTTGTAATGCAAATGATGAGAGTAACAGACGGTATGTATATTCGTATAACCGCGTAAAGACCTGATCAAAGTCGACGAGGAGGAGCTTTCCAACACCTGACCTTAAGAGCATAGATGCAGCATGACTCCCTACACCTCCAAGTCCAATCACCACAACATATGATCCTGTTACTTTACGCTGAGCTTCAAGATCGAAAAACTGGATATTCCTAAGGAAACATAAACCATTTTAGATTCAATATAGCTTCAAGACCACTCATCATAGCATATAGTGATTTAACAATGCTAAAAACCAAGACTTTTTCATAAAGATCATAGCTTTATGTCTCTTTAGTATCAGCTAAAGAGTTTGCAAGAATATTGATAAATCAGAGCTTATTCAAACTCCAAGCATATATACAAAGAAGATTAGACAAGTCAGCATTTTAGAATCAAGATTGCGTCAAAGTATACAAAGAAGATTCACACATCACAGCATATAATAGTGATGTAACAATGCTAAAAACCAAGACTTTTTTCATAAAGATCATAGCTTTGTGTCTCTTTAGCATCAGCTAAAGATAATTTCAAGTAAATTAGTATACCTGGTTAAATGTTCAGAAACAATTTCATCATTCAAAAGATCCTGACCAGTTGCGGCTGTAGTTGGTGTTGTTACAGATTCAAAACCATTTCCTGCAAAAGAAAAATTGCATTCTGTGTATGTAATTAAACATAGAACAAAACAAAGAAGATTAATTTTGTCATCTTTATTCATCTCAAGATAGAGAAAAAAAGTTGCAGTCACACACAAGTACCTAAGAGCTTCTTAGTCTCTTCTGGGTTTTGATCGTGCTGCTTCAGTGAACCACTGCAATGGATTAAAAACCGAGAAAGCTAGAATTAGCGGAAGTTGCTTTGAAATTTGGGTTCTGTAACACGAAGTTTCAAATTTCGAAGCAGAGCTTTTTTGGGGGTATTTGCCTGGAGAGAAGTTTAAGGAGAGCGACGGTGGACACAGATCCGATTAGAGCTCCGGCTCCGACGAGAGTCAGGTACTTCAATTTCTCCTCCATTACCGTTAATTTCCCAGCGAAGACACGAAGCACAGCGAAGTAAGGGTTTTTGAAATTGAAGAAAGTTTTATGAATGGGTTTAGGGTTTTATTACAGATAAAAATCACTTTTTTCTCTTTTTCCTGTCACTCTTTTTCTCGATTTTATTATACTTTTGGTTATAAAGAGTTTGGCTTTGTAAACGAGAACGTAATGCTACAAAGACTACTCATTTGACCAATCACAAAAGCTGAAATAATGTTTATTGCAATAACATAATTGTTACATCACCATGCCCGAAATTCATATATGCAAATGCAATAAAGAGTACATATGAGAAAACTCAATCCTACTAAAGAACAAACGCACAATTGCCACAAAGCATCAAAATTAAACACTTCAGAGTTTTTTTGCATCTTAACAATGTGCTTATTGCAGTTTGCTTATACATTTCACCGCAAGCTTAAATAAGGTGGAGAGAGCAAACGAAGAATCTGTCCGTACCTTTATTTTTAGCGAAAACGAGAGGAAACAAAAAAAATGTGAAACAGAGCAAAAGTGAAAAAGCTCTCTCACTTCTTCAAGAGCACAGCACTGCATTGCGCCATGATCTTCGATGCTCTTGTGATTGCGTTTGTCATGTAAAAATTCTCCACCACGGTTTGGAACGGCGTTTTACTCATCGTCTCCTTGCACTCCGGCTTCAACGAAGGTCCAAAAGCAGCTGGCTCTCGTTCATCTGTGTGGACTAGGTTCGGTGCAACGCTCTTGATTCTTGATCTAACTCCTTCGATAGAGTTATACGGAAGCTTCACACCCGAGACCTCGGACAAAGCTCTCACAATCTTCCAATCATCTCTTGCATCACCAACGGTGGGAACAGCAGGAACAGTCTGTTGTGTAAACCCTTCTGTGTTCTCATACGTTCCTTCTTTCTCGGTGAAGGCCGATGCAGGGAGGATCACGTTTGCACGGTAAATCGCTTTGTCTCCATGGTGTCCTTGGTAAACCACAAAGGCGTCTTTAGGAATCTTGTCGACATCCACATCGTCTGCTCCCATCAAGTAGACGAATTTCGCAGACTCGAGTGCTTTCGCTGAGCGTTGCACGAGACCAAGATCAAGAGCAGCCGCTTGAGCAGCGTACAGAAGGAGATAGTTGAGACCGTTCCAGTCTGGTCGAACGACATTGTTGGCTTTCGCAATGGACTCAACGGCAGAGAGGATAGCATCTTTGTCTGTTCTGTTGAAAAGCCCTGCGCCAACAATGATAGCTGGGTTCTTGGCGTTCTTGAGAGCCGAGCAGAACGGGTGGCTTCCCGAAGCGATTTCTTTGAGAGTATCGGGACCAGTCCCTAGGTGTTTGCAGTCGTAGTTGAAATCTGAAGGTGGACCGATGTACGCAACCTTGGCGTTTGATGCACGGACCGTCTTGCAGATCCTAGCGTTCACCATTGCAGCTTCAACTCTAGGCTGAGTACCAACAAGGAGGAAAAGATCGGCGTTCTCGAGTCCGCTGATGCTAGTGTTCATTAGGTAGCTGGACCTAAGATCAGCATCGACACTAACAGCGTTTCCTTCACACCAGACGTTCTCTGAGCCCATTCTGTTAACGAAGTCCTTCAACACCATCATGGATTCTGCGTCAGATAGCTGACCAGCTATTCCAACAATCTCATCTGACTTCACTTGATGAACGATATCACCCACAACGGCTAAGGCATCACGCCAGCTCACTGCCTTGAACCGTCCATCGGAATCTCGGATCATGGGGTCGCTTAGCCTCTGTCTTTTCAGGCCGTCGTAGCTGAATCTGGTTTTGTCAGATATCCATTCTTCGTTTATATCCTGAAAAAGAACAATCACAGGTGTCAAATCCAATATAACACTTCAATAATAATGTTTTTGCGCACAAGTTAGAGAAACTATACCTCGTTAAGGCGTGGAGTGATACGCATCACCTCTGGTCCTCTACTATCAACACGGATGTTGGACCCAACAGCGTCACTAACATCAATGGTTTCTGTTCCTTTCAACTCCCAGTTTCTGGCTTTGAAGGCAAAGGGCTTTGAGGTCAAGGCTCCCACAGGACAGATATCGATAACGTTTCCAGAGAGCTCACTGGTCATAAGCTTTTCAACATAAGTTCCGATTTCTTCTCCGCTACCACGACCTAGCATGCCGAGATCCTCAACCCCAGCAACCTCTGATGCAAATCGTACACACCTACAACGACATTATAGAGACATAACCTGATCAATATGATAGCTTAAATATCTGATTAATTAAATTATCACACTTAAAAGCTAACTGTTTTAGTAACCTTGTACACTGGATACACCGAGTCATAACAGTCTTCACGAGAGGACCAAGGTTTTTATCAACAACAGATCTTTTCATCTCAGTGAAACGGCCTCTGTCAGATCCAAAAGCCATAGACTGATCCTGAAGATCACACTCTCCTCCTTGGTCACAGATAGGGCAATCCAAAGGATGGTTCATCAACAGAAACTCCATCACTCCCTCTCTCGCCTTCTTTGCTATTGGTGTGTCAGTCTTAATCTTCATTCCTGTAAAAAAAAAATCTCTTAGAGCCATTACAGAACACGAAACACTACCGAAGAAGGAATTGATGCAAATAGTATTTCAAAACACCCTTTCTCTATTCTTCAGCTGGCATACTTACTAAGGGAAAAACAAACCTCAACACTGAACAGAAACTATTAAAGCTTATGAGAGAAACGCCTAATAAAGCTCTCGTTTTCGTAATCGTCATCATCATCATCATAGTAAAACCAAATAAAAACTAAAAAAACTGGAAGAGAAATGCACATTTTCGTCTTTGAAGAAACTATCAAGAGCTCAAGTAAAATGTGGATAAACAAGATCCCAAAAATGACAACTTTACAGGGAAATTTAACAAAACCCGAAGCTTGATTAAGCTCTCGTTATTTTTATCGTCATCATCATCATCATAAAACTAAAGCCAACAAAACCGGGAGACAAAATGCAGCTGAAATTCTAAAATGCCGCAAATTATCTGCAATTACTTAAGAGCAGACAAACAATAACACCAAATCCCAATTTTTTTGCTACCAATCAACGATCAAATCAATCTAAAAGCATGAAATTTTTGCCGGAACTAACCAGGAAGTGCGGGCATGGCACACGACGCTACAGGCTTAGGCGATTTCTCGACCTCAACAAGACACATCCTGCAATTTCCAGCAATCGACAATCGAGAATGATAACAAAACCTCGGGATATCAACTCCGGCGACCTCACAAGCCTGGAGAACAGTGAACCCTTTAGGCACTTTGACCGCGTAACCATCGACGAAAACCTCGATCGCATCCTCGGGATTCGAGAAATGGACTCTCGCTCCACCGATTGGGTTCCTCGGAGGGATAATCTGATTCGGCGGCTCAGGCTGAGAAGCAGGAGCAGCAGCGGCTTCAGGAGATTGGAGCTCCGGTTTGGAGACGATTGTGCGGAGGAAGAAATTGGAGTTTTGGGATTGGAGAAGACGAGAAGCTGGTCGAATCGTTCGAGAAGCTAAGATTCCTAATCCCATGGCGTTTGTTGGATCTGTTGTTGGTTGTATCCTCTTTCTCTTTGTTGTGTTAATTTCTCGATCTTGTTGTTTCTCTGTGAAGACGCATTTGTGTGAGAGGAAGAGAGCGAGACACGAATGAGTGAGTTTCTGGGCTTTGATGGGCTCTAATTATAATATTTAGGCCATATTTTTAAAATCCAAACTGTGAATTCCGAATGTTTGTAAGGGTATTTCGGTCAAAAGACACGGACGTTTCTACGCTGCGTTTTAATACAGTGACTGTTGCTTCTTCTTCTTCTTCTTCTTCATTTGCAGAAAAAAGAGAGTTTTTTTATTGCTTGCTTCTTCTCTCTCACAAATCTCTAAAACCTTGCTTTGAGATCACCAGAATCAATGGTTGATTCCAGAGATTCGAACTCGGATAGCTTCGTAACCCGACGTCGCAACACCAAATCTCTGAAGAGGAAGCATGACGACGAAGACGACAACAACGGCTATATGAAAGATTTGATGAGTGGTTCTTTCACTAAAAGACAGCTCAATGATAAGGTGGCGAATTTGAAGAAGAGATTTAGAAAAAACAAAGCAAGATCCAACGATGGTAAAGGACTTTCTTTTACTAACACCCATGACGAAGAAATTTTCAAATTTTCAAACTTCGTTTGGGCTGAAGACGAATCACAATCTGTTTCGGTTCTAACGCTATTATGCAGAAACTGTTCTAAATCAACTTCGATTGAATATGATTTGATTTAATGTGATAAACTGTTCTTCTGCTTTCTTACTATCAAAGAGTCTAGTTTGATTTTTTTTGTGATTAACGAATGAGTGGTCCTCTTTCATATGCAGATAAAGAAGAGGAATCTTCGAAAAAGTTCTCATTTGCCGGAGTGATGTTAAGAGGAATCGTATCAGCAACCTCGTTGTTCTCATTCTCTAGCAAACTTGTAGTTAAGAAACTCTTCTCGGACAACTGAGAAACTGTGTGATTTACGGCAAACTGGATACATAGAGCGAGAAGAAGTGAGTCCTTTTAATCGTTTATTTTCTTTCTTTATAACAAGTTAAACTGTTTGTCTAGAAGAAACATTCTTTTATGTTTTCAGTTTTCACATAAGACTTTTTTTTGTTATGTTTTCAGAATGGATTCACAGACCATACGATATCTAGCACATCTTGAAGCTGAGGATGAACAAAGAGAAACTGATGAGATCATTGAGGAGAGTGAAGCAGAAAATCAAGAAGCAGCAGAAAGTGAGACTAGAACTCAATCAATTCAACCGACTCTCACGGTATTTCAATCTAACAAACGCTTAAAGGCTGATGTTTGGAAAGAGTATATACCAGTAGGTGATAGGGAAGATGGAAAGAAAATGGGTCGTTGCATGCATTGCCAGAAGAAATTCTGTATAGAGATTAGTCAAGGAACATCTGCTGTTACACGTCATTTAGAAGTTTGTCCAATGAGAGGTGAAAAGAGTGAAGTTGCTAGGAAGTATGATCCAAAGGTAGATCGTGATATGATTAATGAAATTATAATCTATCATGATCTGCCTTTCAAGTATGTGGAATATGAGAAAGTAAGAGCTAGGGACATATACTTGAATCCGGATTGTCACCATATCTGTAGACAGACAGCTGGGGCAGATGTTCTTAAGAGATTTGAGCTGGAAAAGGTTAAGTTGAGAAAGATTTTTGCTAATCACAAAGGTAGAGTGTGTTTTACATCTGATATGTGGTCAGCTAGAACAACAATGAGGAGTTATATCTGCTTGACTGCTCACTTCGTTGATGATAGCTGGAGATTGCACAACAAAATTTTAGCTTTCTGTGAGTTTGAAGCTCCACATACTGGTGAGGAAATAGCTACAAAAGTTTTGGATTGTTTGAAGGAGTGGGGTTTAGAGCAGAAAGTTTTCTCGTTCACCCTGGATAATGCTACCAGTAATACTAGCATGCTTGGTATTCTTAAGAATCGTCTTACATTGGCTAATAGATTGCCCTGCGATGGAAAGTTTTACATGTGAGATGCTCTGCTCATATATTGAATCTTATAGTGAAGGAAGGATTGCTTCTGATTGGTGATCTTTTGGAGAATATCAGAAACAGTGTAAAGTTTGTGAAAGCATCTGGAGCAAGGATAGATTCGTTTGCAGCTTATAGTAAGAGTTTAAAGATAGATATGAAGGCTGGGTTGTCTTTAGATGTTCCTACTCGCTGGAATTCAACATATCTTATGCTTGCCAGAGCTTTAAAGTATCGTAAGGCATTTATAAGTCTGCAACTGTGTGATAGGAACTACAAGACACTTCCTTCAGAGGCTGAATGGGAGCGTGGAGAGAAGATCCGTGATCTGTTGAAACCTTTTAACACCATCACCACTTACTTTTCAGGCGTGAAGTATCCTACAGCCAATATTTACTTCATGCAGGTGTGGAAGATAGAATTGCTGCTAAAGAAATTTTCAGTTTGTGATGATATTGATGTGAGGTTAATGGCTTTGAAGATGAAAAACAAGTTTGCTAAGTATTGGGATGAATATAGTGTCGTTTTAGCAATGGCAGCTGTCTTAGATCCAAGGTTCAAGACTCAAATACTCCAACAAGCTTATGACAAACTGGATCCGAGTACTTCTGCGAAAAAAGTTGAGCTGGTTAAGAAAAACTTGAAGTTGCTTTATGAAGAATATAAGACCAAGCCTTGGACTTCTTCAACCAGTTCAACAACACTAACTCCACTGGAACTTCTTACTGAGTCACTTTTAGAAGACGATCTGGATCTTGTAAGTTTCTGTTTTTTCATTGAATTCTTTCATTTCTGATTCTTGTTACTTGTCATTTCTTACTTGTCATTATTGCTCTGCGTTGTGGTATCAATGTCTCTGTTTATTTGTGTTTGCATAACATTAAGTGTGGAACACGTTTGAATGATATTGATTCAGATTATCTAATGAATGCAGGACTTCTTTGAACTTGAGAGAAGTGCAAATCTTGATTCAAACATGACAAAGTCGAGTTTGGACCTGTATTTGGAAGAGCCTAGGCTAGAGTTTGGAGCTTTTGCAGACATAGAAGTCCTAACATATTGGAAGAACAGCGGGAATTGTCATGGTGATCTTACTGCCCTTGCTTCTGATTTGCTGAGTATTCCTATAACCATAGTCGCAGCAGAATCGGCTTTCAGTGTGGGAGGTAGGGTTTTGAACCTGTACAGGAGCCGTCTCCTTCCCGCAACGGTTCAGGCGTTGCTTTGTACCCGGAACTGGTTAAGGGGATTTGCAGATTTGTACCTTAAAGCTTCAACCTTTATGATTTTTTTTTTCTTTTGGAATCAGATAAGTCTTGTACGTTATATTCCCTTTGATTTTGTTATCAGTCTGATGAATGCTATCTCTAAGGTTTAGTTCAAATCGAATGGTATACTGTCTCAGAACTGTGAGGTTTTGTTGAGTCAATTTTTGTGCTTTGTCTAGGTTATCTGAATGTTCCTGATTTTTTCAAAGTGTTTTCCTTTGCAAGTATGCATGCCGCAATTTGTTTGATTAATGGATAGTTCTCCTTAAATCTTCTGATGTTGTTTTGTAACTTCAAGTCTCATTTTCTTAGAAACTTTTCTTATTTTGTTGCAGGAATTGATGTTATGTTTCAAAGAGAACTTGACAACTTTGGTAACATTATGTTTTATAAAAGTTTTGGATTGTTTAATTTTGAATGTTAAAGTTAAAGTTTAATTTAGTTTGATTCACATTATGTTTAAGATTTTATATTTATTTTCGAAAAAATTAGATTTGAATTAAGCAACAAAAAAAATTATATTTATTAAGCAACTAAATTAGTTTTGGACTGCCATGAACCCATCTGGATTACCCATGTGGGTAAAAACCCAACCCATATAATAAATTTTGTTTGGGTATATTGTAGGTTGGGTATTATTGTGGGTTGGGTTACTTGGTTTACAGTTGGGCTGGATATGAACACCCACCAAAACACCCCTAATTGTGATGATTCGAGTGAGAATATGCAGGAACAACAACAAAAGGTAGCGACTTTATGTTTGTTCTGTTTCTTACCATCACATTATGTAAATGCGTAAATGATCCATCTTTATGTTCTTGTTTCGACTAAGGATATCAACAAGAAAACGGAATGTGCTTCTTCGAGCGAGAATACGCAAGAAAATCAACCAAAGGTAGTGACTTTATGTTTGTTCTGTTTCTTACCATAAGATTATGAATAAATGTGATGTTAAGTTATGAACTAATGCGTAAATGATCGATGTTTAGGTTCTTGTTTCGACTAAGGAAACGGAACGTGCTGCTTCGAGCGAGAATATTCAGGAACAACAACAAAAGGTAGTGACTTTTGTGTGTGTTTTGCTCTGTTTCTCGCTTATGTATGAAAATGTGATTACAACTAATGTGTAAATGATGTCTATTTTTAGGAGGCTCTTGTTTCGAATAAGGTTGTGCCTTGTGCGGATCAAGAGAGGGGAAGTTACATAAAGATGGTGGGGAAAGAGAAAAGCTGTGAGGGAGGTGGTGATGGTGAGGACGATGAGTTGTGTGTTCTGCAAGACATGCTTGAGGCGACATTGTTTCAGAGTTTAGGTAAGATTCAACAGAAGATGCTTTGTCAGAATTTGAAGAACATTTCAGCTCAAACAAGAAAAGAGTTGACTGTGGAATGTAAGGCATTACTTGAGGAGGAGATGAAACTGAGTATCAAGAAGCTGACTCTCTCTGCAAAGCTAGCAAACGCTGGAGTTTCTGCTTAGATTTGAGAAGAAGAAGAAAAAGTTATGCTTTAGGAATGAGTGATTTAAAATGTGTTAGCTTTCTTCAAAAGTACTTATGTTTTTGTTGTTGTGTGTGTGTGTTAAGTCATCTTTTTGAACTTATAATTAAGCTTATGTTAATAAGGTCTTTGGCTTCTTTTTGTCTTAAGGTTGATATAAACTAAGCCTACTCTTGTATTTGTTCATAATGGGTTTTTGCATTAGTGAAAGAATTAATTTTTGCATTGACTAGAGGAAGAGAGTGAGACACGAACGAGTGAGGTTTTGGGCTTTAATATTGAAAGTGGGCCATATATTAAAAAAACCCAAAAAATGGTTAGTTTTTTCTGTGATTTCCAAATGTGAGTAAGGATATTTTGGTCCAAACATTCTTCGTCCTTTTCAATAGACTGCTCTTCTTCTTGTCCATTTGCAGAAAAAAAGGTTTCTCTTTTTACTCACAAAACCTTGCCAAGTTTTGATTTTTGAAATCACAAAAATCAATGGTTGATTCCAGCGATTCGAGCTCGGAGTGTTTCGTAATCCGACGCAACAACAAACCTCTGAAGAGGAAGCATGTGGAAGACGACGACGGCGAAAACATTTCCGGTACGGAGGCGACGCTGAATAGGAGAAAGCATCTGAAGAAGACGACGATAATTGTACCTTCATCTTCGTCTCCGCCTTCAAAGATGACATGGACTAAGAAACACGAGTTCGTCATTCTCAGGGTTTGTGATTTTCTGTTGTCGTATTTTCTTACCAAAACAAAAACAAAAATCTCTACTTTTTTGTGTTGTTTATAAGACATATTGTTTATGCTTGTGTGAAAAAGGGTATTTTGGAGTATGAAAAGAAAACAGGAAAGAAATATGGATATGAATGGGATGTGTTCTACAGATACATGAAACATCTGATGGCAGAAACAAGTTTCACGAAAGCACAACTCCAGCATAAGGTGCTTAAGTTGAAGAAGAGATTTAAAGATAACAAAGCAAGATCCAACGAAAGGAGTGGACTTTATTTTAATTACACCGAAGATGAGGAAGCTTTCAATTTGTCAACGATCATTTGGGCAGACATCGGAACCGAATGTGCTGATTCGAGCAAGAATTTGCAGGAACAACAACAACAAAAGGTTGTGACTTTATGTTTGCTCTGTTTCTTACCATCACAATTATGTGAAATGTGAGGCTAATGCGTAAATGATCGATCTTTAGGTTCTTGTTTCGGTTAAGGATGTTAACAAGAAAACAGAATGTGCTTACTCGAGCGAGAATATGCAAGACCAACAACAAAAGGTAGCGGCTTTATGTTTGTTCTGTTTCTTACCATAACATTTGTGTGATGTTAATCTATCAACTAATTGCGTAAATGATCCTTTTTTAGGTTCTTGTTTCGACTAAGAATATCAACAACAAAACGGAATGTGCTTCTTCGAACGAGAACATGCAGGAACAACAACAAACGGTAGTAACTTTTTATGTTTGTTCTGTTTCTCTCTTGTGTAAAGTGTGATTTTAACAAATGTGTAAATGATTGATATTTAGGAGGTTCTTGTGTCGACTAAGGATGTGCATTGTGCTGAGAATGAGCGAGGGAGTTGCATAAGAACGGTGGAGAAAGAGAAGAGCTGTGAGGGAGATGGCGATGGTGAGGATAATGAGTTGTGTGTTCTGCAAGAGGTGCTTGAGGCGGGGACATTGTTTCAGAGTTTAGGTAAGAAGCAACAGAAGTTTCTGTGTCAGAATTTGAAGAACCTGTCAGCTCAAAGAAGAAAAGAGTTGACTGAGGAATGGGAGGCGTTGCTTGATGAGGAGATGAAGTTAAATATCAAGAAGATAACTTTCTCTGCAAAGCTAGCAAGTTCGGGAGTTTCTGCTTAAATTCAAGAAGAAGAAGAAGAAATTTTTCTGCTGTAGGAGTGATTACAAAAAAAAGTTTTAGCTTTCTTCCTAATCCTAGGTACTAATGTTTGTGCTGTGTGTTTTAATTCATCTTTTTGAACGGATAATTAAGCTTATGTTAGTAAGGTCTTTGGCTTCTTTTGTCTTAGGGAAGTAAAATCGCAGAATGCATTTGTAGGTGTCAAAATTTTCACTTTTATTAGTTTTCTTTTATCTTTCAAGGAACTGTAGATATCAGTTATGTCGAACTTGACAGACAACAGAACTAAAATAATTCTTGATTCAATTCATTTGAATAAGATCACTGGACACAATTGTAGAGTGTATCAAATTGAATATTTAAGAAGATGAGTCTTGTGAGAAAATGAAAAAATATTACAGATTCTGTTTAGTTATTATGTTAACCGGTTACAAGTAATTTGATGCGCTAAAATATCGAACTGCAACATTAAACATTAAGTTATATATTACTAAACCTACATATTATTTATGCGGTACACAGACGATAATATACTGCGTTACTGCCGAGTCAGACAGCGAAGAATGGAGAATGTTAAAACTTTGTATTTGTGTTTTTTTTTAATTCATAGTAACTTATTACAAACAATTTTGAGCCGAAAAATACTGAATTATCGCGTTAAATGTATATATTTATTTGTAATCACATAAGAAAAGGAAAAACCAAATATAAAATTTTTAAAATATGAAATTCTCTAGCAAAGAGATTGGTTTATGGATCTTCTAAATTGATTTGATTTCCTTTATCAAAAGAAATCTTAATTGTTTTAATTTGGTTAAGGGGTAATAAAAAGAGTTTTGGTTTATTGTAGAAAAAACCAAAAAAAAAAAAAACAAAACAAGATATAGTGGGGCCGACTCCAATTGTCGGCTAGTGGAACTATAAAAGAAAGTGAAGATCTGTTACTTGCGACTTGCGAGACACTCTTCTTCTCCTTCTTCGTTTTGGTTTTTGGTAGGCAATCTCAGGGTTTCGTTTATACTTCTTCACCGAAAGCTTTCAGTGTTCTATTTCTTGGAAAACACGAAGGGTTTTGTTTTGGAGAATCTTCTAACTAATTAAGAAGGATTAAACTATGGCTGATCCGATTCCGAGCGACCTCAAGTTCTCTCCGACAGACGAGAGGTTGGTGGATTATTATCTTCGCAACAGAGTTGATACAGGCAGAGAAAATTTCATCAAAGACATCAAACTTTACGAAGACGAGCCGTGGCTTCTCAAGCACGTCAAGAACGTTCAGTTCAAAGAGAAGAAGTGGTTCTACTTTGTTGTTAGGAAACGTGGATCTGGGAACAGACCCAAACGTACGGTTCCCGGAAGAGGAGGCAGCAACGGGGGAGCTTGGACAACCAACGGCGTTAAGAAGGAGATCCGTGACCGTAACAAGAAGTTGATCGGATACAAGACAGAACTCGCGTACCACAAGAAAGTCAAGGGAAAGACAAAAGGAGACACAACAGGTTGGTGTATGACCGAGTATTGGCTTGCGAGTAAGAACGACTCGGAGTTCCAAGAGGTGGTCCTGTGTCATCTCCGTGACAAGAATAATAAGAAAGTCAATGGAACCGTCGACGTTGACCAGTTACCGTTGCAGCCACCGGTTGAGAACATGGACGATAAGAACATGACCCCTGCTGATGATGATGAAGAAGAAGAAGATGATAATAATGAGGAATTTCTTGATGGGCTCGAAACTATACTTGAAGAAGAACATGATGAAAATAATAGGGCATATGGTAATGGGTTCAAAAATATGCTTGAAGAAGAAGAAAAAGATGTTGATGGGCTCCAAAATATGCAAGTAGACGAAGAAGAAGATGATGATAAGGCCACCCAATATCCACAAACTCATCTTCCTCTTCAAGGTTCAGAGAGCATAGACAACCCACTTGTAATCACGGAAGATGACTTTGACCTAGATGCAATCTTCGATCTGCTTACGCAGCCGGAATGGGTCAATGTCACCAACGACATCGACATCTGGTAATAAAGTAGCATGTCTTCGACAAGACTTGTGATGAAGATTCCGCTAGAGATCAAGAGATGCCTCGAGCTCAATCAAGATTTGTGTTACTAGACGTCCTGTTTTTCTTAGCCTTCTTCCTAGATTAAGTAATCTTTTTCTTAGCCTTCTTCCTAGATTAAGTCATCTTTTTGAACGGTTTAAAAAGGTCTTTGGCTTCTTTTGTCTTGCGGTGTTTAATACTGAAACTCAGCTAATTTTATAGTTGTATATGCATGCTACGTTTTCGCTACACACAGTCCATGTATAGATCTTGGTTCTTTTTAATGTTGTAATGAGTGTTTCTTCTGTATAAGTGTATAATATCGTCGATTTTTTTTTCAGCTATTGGTATTTGTAAACTAATTTATATGTATAAATGTATATGCAACTCATGATGATCTTAGAAATCCTAATGATTATCTAAATAACTAATTTCTGCAACAGGATTCTTTGTCTTTAATTAAAGAAAATATTCAATGGAGTATATTTTAAAGCGTTTATTTTTAATGATGTTATTTAAAGGGAAATATTTACGAAAAGAACTGATTAGAAAAAGGATTCATGAGCTGTGTGAGAAAGTTGTCTCGACGATTATGATATGTACCGACGTAGTCTGTAGCATCAAGTCTTTACGTGGGGATATTAAAACCAACCATGGAAAGTTTAAATTTTACGCTGCGTTTCCACGCATCTAGCTAGTTGACTTGCATGCCGTTTAGAGAAAAAAGAAAAACATGTATGTTGTTCGCATTGTCACAAAGAGAAATGTGTGACGTTTACATTTCCCTTTCCCAAAAAATATGAAGAAATTATAACAAAAGTATATTCCACTGCCGGGGTTCGAACCCGGAACATATTGAGTAAGCTCAAGTGGAGCTTCTGCTAACCTTTAACTTTAAATTTATATATACGATACGCACTTGTATATTGACACATGAAATTGAAAGTTACTGAGCCGAGGGTATATATCTACAATTTTGCAAGTTTCAAAATGTTCACTTTTGAGTTTTCTTTTAAGGAGGAACTGTAGATATCAGATACGTCGAATTTGGACAGATACATAACTAAATTAATTCTTGATTCAAATGTTTAATTTGGATAAGATCACAATATATGTGCTTCAAGATCGTTATTAGCTAATATCTTCTTGTGTAAATTTTCTATTTGCTTCTGCAGTTTAGAACCAATCGAATGGCTTAACACAGAGTATGGAATATGGATCATGAGAAGAATAAACACACATTAATTTTGAACAATTATATAACATAAAGTGTGTAAAGTTCAAATGATCGGAAAACTAATAAAACGTAAAATCTTGCTAAAAAGTAAATACAGAAATAAATCTGTAAAATCAAATGAAGGTGTCTTTTCAACATAAATGTTTGTTTCTATAACATGATCATATTTATGATATGGATCAAACCTGAACTACTTTTCAGACCTACAACGTTTAAGTATTTGATGTTGCTCAACCAAATTCCAAAATGAAAATCGTTAAGAAAATTCAAATGCTTAACACGTCAATGTCGTCTAAAATCTTATTTTATTTATTTTGTCAACGTCGTCCATTTCAACACTGTATATCTTAGACAGAAAAAAAAATCGTTAAAAAATGATGACTAATTAACATCAACGTTGTCTATGTTAAACACTGTATTTTATAATCAGAAAAAGGTTATGAATACACATACTGCTTTGGTCTTAAACACGTGGAATAATTAAGTTGGAGACTATAATTTGACCATTTGTTTAGGTTTTACGTGTTACTGATCCAAACTCTGATTGAATTGACAAAATAACAACGACAAACCTACATTTGTTTTGTATATTATCTTTTACATTAGGCGAACATGAAAACTAATACTTGTTTAACTTAATTTGTTAAATCTGATGATCGTTAATTCGTTATAATGGATTTTTGTTCAGTTGCATAATGGATTTTTGTTTTTTTTTTGCGGTGAAATTCATGATGGATCTTGTCATCTTGACAACTATCATTTTCAGATATTACTACTTACTAGTAGTTTTTTACAACAAAAAAATGATTACTAGTTGGAACCTAGTGTTATCCTTAATAAATAAATATTAGCAAAAATCTGTAGATTAGACTTATGTATAAAAAATATGTTATCTATCGACATGTTCCGATGCCCTACATAATTCGATTCTTCTAGAGAAGACGTTAATACAGACCACCAAGCGGATTTTTTTTCTTTCTAAAACGCAGTTTCTATAAAACGCTCTTCCCAACAAAATCAATAATAGCTTAAAGCCTTTAACGTGACGAGAAAGAAGAAGACGAAGCAACAAAAAAAAGCAAAAACAACACAGATAAACATAAAAGAAGAAGAAGACGAAGCAGCAGCTCACGTGATCTTCCCGCCATTTTTACCTCACAGACTCTTTAATCCAAAAAACCGTTGCGAGGTTTTCAACTACAAACAAGGGATCGGATCGAAGTTTCCGGTTAAATCGGGAAGTTTTGAAATCGTCGGAGGATTGATTCGATTAAGAAATCCGATCGATTCGAGTGAAAAAAGATGATGGGGCATCTCCGGCGACGGCAAGAGAGTATAGACGAGGAAGATGAGTTAAACGGCGACGTATCATCGAGAGGAGGTAAATTCAGCTTGGCCGAGTCGTTTCGGTGGCTCGATTCCTCCGAGCATCGCGAGCGTCGGGTAATTGATTCCAATGGCCATAAGGATCATCGATTCATCATACATCCCAAAAACAGGTGCTTCTCTTCTCTTCTCTTCTCTTTTCTCTCCATTTTTACACAGTGAAGTGCAGAGAAATTAGTAATTTGTTTTTCTTTAATTAATTGTCTATAAATGTCATTTCACGAAATTATAGAGTTTTATTGGCTGATCAAAACGTAGATAACACCTTGCTAGAAATCTGGAAAATATCTCTTTTTTTTTTCTGGATAAATTAAAAAATCTTTATTCAACATACCGCTTTATAATATTTGTCCCCGTCAGTCTATTTTTTTTTATTTTGAGGTGAAATTTTATTTTATACCTTATAAGATTAAGGTTGATGTTGAAAACATAAAGCTTATATAATTGAAGAGTTTTGGCAGCACTTTAGTTTGAGTTGGTGTGATTCTTTGTTTCGGTTTAACCTCGTAGATCCTTTTCTTTCTCATCTTTAGTTTCATAGTTCTAGTTTGTTTGCTGTTAGTTTCCCCTGAGTGGACCTAGTTTTCGGTGCTTATCGTTTTACACCGGCTTTTCTTCCGGAGCTTGTTCTTTTCGTCCGGCTTATGTTTGTTACGGGCTTGTAAGTTTGGTTGGTGTCTAACACCTTATTTTCCCTATCATTTCGATATAATTCTAGATGGAAAAAAAAAATGTAATTGAAGATTTTCTTTAAACAATAAAATTTAGGATTTAGATGAATAAAATTTTGCAATTTATTTTAAAAGTCAACTTTAGATGCAACTTAAGTGATTCTGTTGTAGATTTATTCTGATTTTACTTTTTTTGGTAGGACACTTTACACATCTTCATATTCTTATCTTTTGTATTTTCTTTTTCTTACAGAATGTAGAAAATGAGTTACTTTTTGTTTAAAATTCTTTAAACGTCATTTCACGCACATACAGAGTTTCTATTGGCTTATTAGAAAAGAGACGTGATAACTTTAGTTAATGTTTAAAAGTATCTTCTTCATTTTAGTAAAAAATACTTTAGATATCTTTTGCATAATTTTTTTTGAAACAACTACTATAAGATTTAGGATTGAAGGCCTTCAAAATAACTAGATGAATTATGTTTTGCACCGTATTCGAAATTGAAAGTCAATTTTAGATGCAATTTAGGTGATTTTGTTGTAGATATTCTCCTTATTCTTTTTTTTTATTTTGCTGGGACACGTCCCATTTTCTTACCTTTTTTTTTCCACCTCATGTTTATAAAAATTCATTTGTTTTCTTTATAGCCGACCTGTTTGTAATTTATATTTTAGATAACATTCATTTGTTTTTTAGATAGAAGTCCTACGTTAACTTGAACCCCACTATAGATAATGCTGTTACACTCACACACAAATATTTTATAAATTATAGGAGTATAATAACAATTCCCCGTGTAGTGAAAGAGACAACGCAGATCGGATTATAAATTTGGTTCCACCATAGATGCCGTAACAAGAGGCCACACGTGGAAAGTCATACACCTGTTCTTTCAAAACTCTTAATGAAAGAAAAATAACAATATTATAAAGTATATAAACTAATAAAAATGTCCAACTTACTAGTAAAAAAATGTATATCAAACTTAATCCAGCTAGCAAAATTATAATTTTAAACGTTTGTAACTTGCACGACTATGTTTAGTTAGCTACATCACCAATTTGATCTTCACTACCGATTATGTGAGATAGATCATAGATCAATGTATACATTTTCAAAGTTCTTTGTATTAGACATGAAACTAATAGGGAATGGGAAAATATTTACCAGGTGGTACAAGGCATGGGAAATGTTTATATTAATTTGGGCAATATACTCATCTTTGTTCACTCCCATGGAGTTTGGTTTCTTCCGTGGTCTTCCCGAAAATCTCTTCGTGCTCGACATTGTTGGTCAGATCGCGTTCTTGGTCGATATTGTTCTTCAGTTTTTTGTCGCATTCCGCGATGGTCAGACTTACCGGACCGACTACAAACCAACACATATTGCTATCAGGTAAGTTAACCTTGATAAACATTTCTCGATTTGTCCTTTTTATGGTTTTTTTAATAATAGAGGAAAACTTTGTCTTTTTGCATTATGTTTCTTAGGTACTTGAAGTCGCATTTTTTCTTGGATTTCGTCAGTTGTTTTCCATGGGATCTCATCTACAAGGTAAGTACTTTTTTTTTTTTTTTTTTTTTTTTTTTTTTTTTGGTGTGGTCAACTACTAGTTTTCTATAACTTTTCTGATAAATTGATTCAGTTTGGTTTGATGGTAACTCGGTTTGGTTATGTTCAATTTCGTAGATAAAATAACTTTTAAAATAGAAACTAATTATATTTGGACAATTCTTTAAAATACCATATTTTTAAGTTCTACTCCAAATGTACGTACCACCACTAAGTCTTTTTCTAATAATATCACGAATTCAATATCAAAATAACTCAAAATTCCTGTTTAATACAGAAATCTAAATACAAAATTAGAAAGAAGAAGCCAAACAGAATGTTTATTTTTTTGTCAACCAGAATGTTTGAATCTATTTTGTGCTTTATTTAGGGTACATGGTTTTTTAGTATCATCGGAAAAATAATTGTCTCTAATCTATGGTATTATTGGAAAAATAAACTATTGATGGTACATCTGGAACTAAACTACATGAAAAAAAAACTACTGAAAAAAAATTTCAAAAAAACTTCGTTTTATTCGGTTTGAAACTAATTTGGATCTTGGTTTATACGACTCCTTATACCTCTTTTGAGTGAAATATTCTTTTGTTTGCAGGCTTCAGGGAGACATGAACTGGTGAGGTACATATTGTGGATAAGACTGTTTCGTGTGCGCAAAGTTACTGGTTTTTTCCATAGGCTTGAGAAAGACACGAGAGTCAACTATCTCTTCACAAGAATCTTGAAGCTCGTTTTCGTCGAAGTCTATTGTACTCACACTGCTGCTTGCATCTTCTATTACTTGGCCACCAGTCTTCCTCCTGAGAAGGAGGGTTACACTTGGATCGGTAGCCTGAAACTAGGAGACTACAGCTACGAGAACTTCCGACAAATAGATCTTTGGAAACGTTACATCACGTCTCTCTACTTCGCCATTGTCACTATGGCCACTGTCGGTAAAACAAAAACAAAAATTCTATCTTGATGATTATTTTGATTAGCTATATCACGAAGAGATTCATGTGTGTTTCTTCTTTCTTTTGCCTGACATACACGCTGTGAATCTAAGAGAAATGATATTCGTAATGATATATGTTTCCTTTGATATGGTTCTCGGTGCATACCTGATCGGTAACATCACTGCTTTGATTGTGAAAGGATCAAACACAGAGAGATTTAGAGATAAAATGAATGAGCTTATAAGTTTCATGAACCGCAAAAAGCTCGGGAGAGATATTCGTGGTCAGATAACACGGCATGTTAGATTGCAGTAAGATAGTAACTACACTGACACTGTCATGCTTCAGGACATCCCAGCTTCGATCCGCGCCAAGGTTTCCTAATTAATAGATGATTCTTTCATTAACAACAAGTTTTGTACTTTTGGTCATAATCTTTTCTATGTTGGGACTTGAGAAGGTTTAATTTCTTTGCACATTGCGCAACTATTATACATGCCTTACATTGAGAAAATACCTTTCTTTAAAGACTGTTCATCAGAGTTTATTAATCAGATAGTTATAAGGCTACATGAAGAGTATTTTCTTCCGGGAGAAGTAATTACAGAGCAAGGAAACGTCGTGGATAATTTGTATTTCGTCTGTGAAGGCTTACTTGTAAGTAAAATCTGATTGTGTTTGTATGTGTATATGTCTCTTTTATATGTCTTTCACTTAGTAAAGTTTTGTGTGGCTTTTTTATAGGAAGCTATTGTTACAAGAACAGATGGAACGGAAGAGAGTGTGACGTTTCTTGGACCTCACGCTTCTTTTGGAGATATCTCCATCATGTGCAACATCTCTCAACCTTTCACAGTTAGGGTTTGTGATTTATGCCATCTTTTACGCCTCGATAAACAGTCTTTCTCCAACATCCTCGAGATTTATTTCCAAGACGGACGCAAAATCTTGAACAATCTTATGGAGGTCCTATTTTTTGGAACCGTTTCTTTTCATTGAATGCGATGATACATATTGAGTTGAGAAATTAGAATCTTGCAACTTGATTGATCGCGGTTTCGGCAGGGTAAGCAAACGAATGAGAGGGTAAAGAAGTTAGAGTCTGACCTTATGATTCACATTGGGAAGCAAGAAGCAGAGCTTGCATTGAAATTAAACAGTGCAGCTTTTCAAGGAGATATCTACCATCTTAAAAGCTTAATCCGCGCTGGAGCCGATCCTAACAAACAGATTACGATGGAAGATGACCACTTGTATGTTTATTCGCTTTGCTTCTACGCCACGGAACATTCTTGTTTTGATCAATAAAATTTCTTCTTCTTCATATGCAGCATCTTGCAGCTTCTAGGGGATACGAAGACATTACGTTGCTTCTTATTCAAGAAGGTGTTGACATCAATCTAAAAGGTAACACGTAAGTTGAGATAATGGGAAATGTTACTTTGTGTTATGTTTACGCTTTAGGTCATATATTTGCCCAGATAAATTCGGGAACACGCCATTGTTAGAGGCTGTGAAAGCAGGGCAAGACAGAGTGATTAGTTTACTTGTGAAAGAATGAGCCTCCTTTGACCTAGAAGATTCGGGTAACTTCCTTTGCACGGCAGTTGTAAAAGGAGACTCTGACTTTCTCAAGAGATTGCTCTCAAGCAGCATGGATCCAAACAGTGAAGATTATGATCACAGAAAGCCGCTCCATATCGCTGCTTCTGAAGGCTTATACCTGATGGCTAAGATGCTTGTTGAAGCAGGAGCTAGTGTCATCGCTAGAGACCGGTAAAAAACCATACAAAAAGGATCATCAGAATTTGCTTTAAATTAAAACCTAATAAACTTCACAATATTTTGATATTTGAAGTTGGGGAAACTCTCCGCTTGATGAAGCTCGAATGTGCGGAAACAAGAAACTGATCAAGTTACTAGAAGATGCCAAAACCGCCAAGTGATCTATCTACCCTTCAAGCTCTCATGAACTACGAGGTACTCGAGAACTTTCCTTCAGAAAATATAACTCAAAAATGGATCTTGTAACCTTTAAACTGTTGAAAACAGAGAGAATTGAGAGACGGAAATGCACGGTGTTTCCATTCCACCCGCACGAGGCGAAAGAGGAGCTAAGTAGAAAGCACGGAGTTGTGGTTTGGATCCCAAGCGATCTTCAGAGACTAGTAGTGACCGCTGCGCAAGAGCTCGGGCTATCGGATGAAGCCTCCTTAGTAATATTATCAAAAGAAGAAGGTCGTATCACAGACGTTGATATGATCAGTGATGGACAGAAACTGTATTTGATCAGTGATACTACTGATCAAACATAGTGATCGAACCAACTCCATATCGTTGATTCTTTCGATCATTCCGCACTAGAGTCATTTGAGTTATTATAGAGCATTCTAGCAACAAAAGAATATATGTTGTAGATTACAAAAGAGCACCTACTGATTTTTACTATTACAAAAGAGTCCTACTTCATATAACCACAACATACCAAGAGAAAATATGTACTTATATATACCATGGTTACACTATTGCTTAACCACGTTATGAAGGATATACAAAGTAAAGAGTTATGAAAAAAGAGATATGATCCTCCAAAGGCGTGTTTAAACAGTTATGGATTATTAGAATCGTTTATCTTGTAAAAAGCCAAAACATCATATAGGTGAAGTTTTTGTGTCATTAACCCTAAAACAAAATCTATCAAAAGAATCTCTTAGAAATGTATCTCCAAGATTCTCATTCATTACCCTTGTGTGTCTTCCCATCTATCGTCTCCTCTTCCGCATAACCTGCGGGAACTCGAGAGGGACCGGTAAGGTGGCTAACAAAACTGTCTTGTCACGTTCGAATTTGCAGCCAAGGTTCACAAATTGCTTCCTCACATCAAGTTTGCTCACCCTCAGATCTTTAGCTATGTCTTCTGGGTCGGTCTTGAAATTATCCACGTGGAGGGAGAGCACAAGAACGTACCTTATCAGAAGGTTGATCTTGTCTATATATATCTTGTCAGATTCATGATCCTTGAACAAACTCTTACATTTCTGACGGATGATATCCGGAAACCAATGGTCCTTAGCCGAATCGAAACCAACCATTGAATTCATGTCCTTGTACTTAACAAAATGGGTTAAGAGTGATAAGGCACAACAAACCCTCAGCTTCTTAGCCTCGTCCTGCAAATACACAAATTAACGAAAGACTTGCCATGAATGTCTACTTGCAAGAAGAGGATAAAATAAATTGTTACCTTCATATCTCGCAACCTGTACAATCTGTGTTGCACAAATAAAGGGTAAGCATTGGTTGCTGCTACTCCAGTTTCTTGCTGAAGAAGCAAGTAAATATCTTGAAGAAACTCCCATTCTCCCTTTGCGATGATCTGTTCTATAGGATAAGCTTTACTTGGTTTCGTCGCAGATGCATCATAAGGAGGAATGTTGCGAGCAATAGTTGAAATTTTGTTTTCATCAAGAGCTTTTTTCTTAACATATTCCTCGTTAAGTTTCTCATCAAGGACCTTAAGAGCCTCATGATCATCTCCTAGGTATAAAGCGCGTTTCTTCTCGTCCTGCATAGAGAAAAAAACATTATCAATATACTAAACATATAAATCTCTCAACAATCTTGATATGGCATTCTAAATAGGTACTGATCAGGGACTAAACTAATGCTATGAATGCTGCAGCCTTATACATGTAATGATACCAATAAGACTGATGTTGGCTGGTTCAGAGCACAAGCAAGTGAAGCTAATATTTCAAAAGAAAAACTAGAGTACGCATACCTGATCAATATCCTTCTGTGTACCATAAAGTTCGGTAAGTTCTTCCTTTTTTTTCCCTTAGTTTTTCTTCGCTAAGTTCGGTGATGAGCTCACTTGTTGCATCTTCTTCAGGTTTAACTCTTGGCTCCAATCTGATTATCTGCAATTGTAACCAACATTAGCTTCAAATCAAGATCCTTTAGAGGAAGCTAATATTATCCAAAAAAAGGAAGCTATTATTAATTTCGTGACACAAACCAAATGGTCAACTCTTAAATATCATCTGTTTTTTTTGTTTTCATAACAATACTCTCAAACTAGAGTTATCCTTAGATCAAGAAAATTTTCACTATATTAAGAAATATAGAAATTTATCACTAGGTTATGCAATCTAGTGATTAAGAAACTAATTTTTCAACCTCATTAATTAGAACAAGTTTTTCTCTACGTACCAAAATAAAACAAAAAGTAACACAAGGAATTCGATTATTCAACCTTATTGTGAGCAATTGGTAGAATCTTTAATGTCTGAGTCTCTTTATCAAGAACACCTAGTGTATACATACAAATCTGTCGAGTTGCTTGCTCGCCGGTGCAATTTGAGCCAACAAACTCTACGGTTGAGCCTTGCGGGCTTACAACAACCTGAAGCCTTTTCTTAGACGTATCCTTAAGCTTGTAAACCGTAACCCTGTCGTCGGATTTTTGATTTTCCGAACAAGGATCGTACCCTGAAGAGAAATAAGCGACGATCGGAGAGATTCTATCAGACTTCTCGGATATTTGGTTGACTTTGATGTTCATTGTCTCGTCTTCTTCGAGATTCTCTGTTTCTCTTGTTATCATTTTTTTATTTATTCTTTGTTTGAACTTGTGATCCTCGTCGTTACAACGGAAGTTCAACGAAGTACAAAGGTAGACATAAAAGGAAACTCACAAAATGATAAACCCTAGCTTTCTCGAGATTGTTTGGAAAAATTGCAAAACAAAGCCTTATAATGTTTGTAAACCCTCGCCTAACTTCACCCTAAATTTTAAACCGCCTTAAACATAGCCTATTTGACTATTTCAATTATAGCTGTTTCGTATATAGTCCTAAATTTTATCAATATCAGTTAGTGGTGTGTATTAGAATCTTATTGGAATTTCTTTAAACAGAAGGTTGGATAGAAGATATTTACCATACACTATATGTTTATGCATTTAATATTCAAGACAAAATTAAACCACTGAAATATCATGTTAAAGCTTGAAATGCATATCTAATTACGGGGTTGGTTGAGAGCAGAAACCAGGAAAATATGTGTTGGAGTAGAGAAGGGTTGGTTAAGGAGAAGAGTGATAGAGAGTGTGAGATTAGGGGTTTGAAAAGAGAGGCTAATGATCTGATGCACAAGGTAGAGACTAAGACAGAAGAATGATGAGAGGGATTCAATTTATACGAGTGGATTTGATTTGCAGTGTGAGGAGGTGAATCAATTCAAGAAGAATGTGGTTCAGAAGAAGATGAAAAATATTACATAACTGGTTTAGATAGGTACGCTCCACAACTGTTTACGTACGGAATATTACAAACCATAAGAGAGAGACAGAGAGATGAGGAAAGAGAGAGTTCATGTTTATACTAAAAGGACTCTTTTAATATCTATGACAAATATTGCATAAAAAGACCTAAACAGTCGTAGTAACTGCTCCTTACTCAGTTAGTGGGTGGCTCATCTTCAGACACAACCATCTGCGGTTCTTCTCCTTCTTCAGAGTTGTTTTCTTCACATGCGGTTCCAGAGTTTTCTCCAACTTCTTGTATTGGGGTTGGCTCCTCCTCTTTCTTCTTCAGCGTCTCTATCACAGCCATCACTTCTCTTTTCACCTGTTTGTTTATCACACAAACTTTACGTCAGCCCAACCCATTTCTCAAACATTTCAGGCAGAAATTGTGGCCACACGGAGTCTGCAACGGCATGTATAAGATATATCCATTAGTACTAGTTAATTATGAATCATCATTCTTGTCAAAATATACAAAAACTGGAAAAACGATAAAGTATTAATGACACAATCAGGGTCTCATTCCTGTAATTACCGATTCAAGAATTAAAGTGTGTTTTACTGCGGATTTAAATTAAGTATCACGAACAGTTTCAGGAGTTTAAGAGCGGAATTCACTAAATTTGCTGAGGACTTTTAGTTTAAGATTCTTAAAATAATGGTTGCATGCAAAATATTTTAACAGCAACTTTATTTTTTTAATTTATGTCTCATTTAAAAGTCTAAACCCCAAGAAAGCCCTAATAAGTGAATGAGAACATCAACAACTATACAATTCAAAAACAAGATTAAAATTCCAGCGATCCATAAGAGTCATTTAATCTACGAGTGAGTAAAGAGAGAGCAAGAGTTTGAGAGAGAGAAGTAGAGAACGAACCGTGACTGGCCTTTCAGGAAACTGGAGGTAGATGGTACAGCAGAAATTATCATGAAGAGCAGCTAATACGGAGGAAGAGAGAGAGATAGCCGTGCTCATGTTCAACCAATTAGCCTTACCTCCTGCCGGCAAAGAAGAGGTCGTTATCATCAAACAGCCATCACAAGAAACGATGACGCCTAAACCCAAGAGAGCTCTACCCATTGATCTCAACGAAACCTACGATGATGAGGCATTGAAACCGCTAATGCCTGAAACGGGGATGGATATGGGCTCTGATGATTAGCCATAGGTTGCACATTCCCAAGCCACTAGCGGTCGTGACCAGATAACCGGGTGGGGCCGTAGCCATAGCTGGTTATTTGGTCAGGACCTCCAATGGCTTGGGAATGTGCAACCTATGGCTAATCAGCAGAGCCCATATCCATCACCGTTTCAAGCATTTGGCAATTTAAATACCTCATCATTGTAGGTTTACTGAGATCAATGAGCAAACTCTCTTGGGTTTAGGCGTCGTCGTCTCTTGTGGTGGCTGTTTGCTGATAACGACCTCTTCTTTGTCGGCAGGAGGTAAGGGCTAATTGGTTGGACATGAGCACGGCTATCTCTCTCTCTCTTCCTTCGGGAGGGGACGGGATACTGAGCCATTGTAAGAGAGAAATGCAAAGAGAGAATAGGAGTGAGAGCGAGAGAGAGAAGATGTGGTGGAGAGGAAGAAAGAAAGTGGGGGAAATATATAGAAGAGGGAGATGAGATGAGAAGATGCGGGTGTTAGGTGAGAGCGTCTTTCAATTTTTCAAACGAATTACATAAAAAGAAAACCCATAATGAAAAGAAGAATAAAATCTACGAAAATCTTTATCAAAAAAAAAAAAGAAGAATAAAATCTACTAATTTGACAACAATTGATTCAGATGGAAACTATTTTTCATTTTTTTTTTGTCTTTCTTCTTTTAATTTTGAAACTTTTCTAAACTGAGCTAGATTTGACTATCTATAGATAGGCTGAAATCTTGAGAAATGTTTAAATACAGATAATATCCAGTGGCATATTTCAATATATATATTTTTAATCATTTCTAATAAAATGTTACCTTTATAAATTATATGTTTCCAATTTTTTTCAGATTTGATTTCTTATTTGGAAACTGTAAAATTCAATTCCTTTTTTACTGGTCAATCTGTCATTTTATTTCATTTTTTTTTACTTGCCAACCTACTTGAGATAAATCCTGTTTGGTACTTGGTAGTGACTTTATTTGGTAGTCACTCTCTCCAAATCTTTCCCCATTCCAAGGGTCGTATCCTCCTCATGCATGACTTTTCTCAATACAGTAGACCTCTATAAAACAATACTCGATAAAACAATAAACACTATAAGATAATATTTTTCTCCGGTCCCAACTCGGGCCAGTGTAAAAAATAGCATAATGCGATAAGATGATAAGACAATAATATTTTTGAAACTCCTATGTAAAAATATAGTCCCAACAATAAGCTAAGATAATAATTATAAAACTAATGCATATATATCTAAGACAATTTAGTAAAATATGACTCCAATGTAGTTTGTCTTTTCTGAAAGTTGGATTCCCGTTGGAGCTCATCTCGAATTTTTCTTATTGCATCTACAATTTCTGGATGTATTCTCAACATGCAGCCAAAAGTTGTGAAGAGTTCTCGAAGCCACAATTGCATCCTTACGTGTAACTACTTGCACATGTCCTTCCTCATCATCTTCAACTTCATCTTCACCATTAAGAACAGTAGACATAATTTCTTATAGACTTTGAACTTCTGAGCATGAAATATGTAAATAACAAAGTATAAGGAAAATTTGAATAAAAAATCTGAAAAAATATATTTCTATAAAGTTTCTTGTTTTTGATAGAATATTTCTATAAAATAATAATTATTGTTTTATCGATAAAATAATAACTCTATAAGATAATAAAATTTCAAAGTCCCAACATTATTGTTTTATAGAGGTTTTACTGTATTAAGTCAAAACATCCGAATGGATTCTTAACTTGAATTTTCTTTTAGACCTTTCTTAAATATAACTTTGGCTTATAGCATTCTTTTTGTTAATCTGAGTCCACATACAAAGTCGAACTTTCTCTGAGAACTGATGCCAACCCTTATTTCTCTAGCTCCCATTGCCTTGTACTTTCAAAGGCCAACATCCCCGTTTTCATTGAACTTGTCCATCTCAAATCTGTCTCCTTTGTTTCTTGCAGATAAGCAATTCCATAAACCAATAACCAAGTATGGAAGAAATCTTCATAGACAAAAGATGAACAAAGTTGATTGTGAAAGAAGCTACAACTTATTCAATGTTTTAAAGACGAGATCAAGGATCGAGAACACTTCATGAGTTAATTGGATTAAGTTTTGGTTGATCTAATCCAAGAGACCTTGTCTTCGCTTCACCCTAGTACCGTGAAACTTCACATTCATCGTTTTCACCAATTCTGTAAGATGCAATCTCTTCCTCCTATCTTGCTTTGGTTCCGAATCATCTTCGTATCCTTTTGCGTAGCCAACCTACGCTCTGATACAACTTGTAAGTTGTAACCCATACTGATCGACGCCACTCTCCCTGGATTCAATTTGATGAATCTAATCTCTCTAACTCTCAGTAATATTCTTTAAACGAAGAGAGAAAGAAGAACACACACGATCGTAGAGTTCCCTAAACCGGATACAACTTTCTTCAGGATTTTGTGCTTAGAATTCACTATGAGCTTACCTTTACAGTGTTTACAGAAAGCTTAAGATACAACAATAGAGGAGAAAGTTTGATCGTGGAGAAGAAGACCTTTTACTGTTTGTAACAACTTACTCTCTCTTATCCACCTTTTAAGTTTTAACTAACTCTCCAGATAGGGCCATCGATACACTGAAACTGAGCCCATCTCCTCTCGGCTTAAATCTGTATTCCTTTGGCATATTCCTGGTTAAGCCCAACTTGCTCATTTGACCTCATTCAACTCTTATGTAACTGGTTTAGATAGGTACGTTCCACAACTGTTACGTACGGAATATTACAAAACAAAAGAGAGAGAGAGACAGAGAGAGATGAGGAAAGAGAGAGAGAGTTCATGTTTATACTAAAAGAACTCTTTTAATATCTATGACAATTATTGCATAAAAAGACCTAAACAGTTGCAACTGCTCCTTACTCAGTGTCCAATTTCATCCTTTTAGTTGGTGGCTCATCTTCAGACACAACCATTTGCGGTTCTTCTCCTTCTTCGGAGTTGTTTTCTTCACCTGCGGTTCCAGAGCTTTCTCCAACTTCTTGTATTGGGGTTGGCTCCTCCTCTTTCTTCTTCAGCGTCTCTATCACAGCCATCACTTCTCTGTTCACCTGCTTGTTTATCACGCAAACTTTATGTCAGCCCAATGAACTCATATATTTCTTACTAATTTATAAAACTGATGTTATAAACTCTTCCCGACAACACAATACAAAGAAGAAACGATCTGTTTTCAAGATTTTGATTATTAACCTGTGGGTTCTGAAGAAAGTCGGAAATGTCAGTCGGGCAACAAGGGCACTTCATGACGTTTTTCTGTGCACGCAGTATGCGACCGCCTCTGCTTCTCTCTCGCAGCTGTGTTACCCCAGCAAATGTAGCTTCCAAGAATGCCTTGCAGAAGTTGTGAGCACAAGGCGTTGTCACTGGAGAACTCATCACTTCCCGACAGATTGGGCAACTAAATTCTGTGTCAACAAAATAAGAAAAAAGCCAAACCAAACCAGAATTTAGATGTGTATAGGACCCTTTAAAAAAAAAACAGACATGCACATAAACGGACAAGCAGACCTTTCAAAAGTTTGTCCCTCATAGTGAAGTTTTGTGCCACCATTATGGCTTTCTTCTTCCTCTTCCTTTCTTCAGGATCCAAAGCCTGAACTGCCTTTCTGATAGCAGGGGGAGGCTTCATCCACTTCCAAATACCCTCAGATTTCTGAAAAAGTGAATGTAGTATGTTACTTTCTTATGTGTCAAGTAATATATCATGACACGAGGAAAAATAAGAAAAGAAAGAGAGGCTATGCTTACATCAAAATCCCATGATGGACTTTCCTTTCTCTCAAATAGGTCAATGGCATTGTTAAGCTCTGGAATATTAGGCAAAGGTCTTGGACAATCACCATGCTCATCACTGCAGAGTATAATTCAACGCTGATCAATAAAAAAAAATATTGACACTTTCAAAACAAAAAGAAAACAATTATATATCAAAACCTGGTCCACGGAGCTGGCTCATTGTCACATCTAACAAACAAGTAACGACATACCATATAAGTACCCTATAGAAAGAAAAAAGAAACAGAAGATTAGGGTCATGAAAGAAAATCCAACTCTGCATAACAAAGAACAATTAGCTTTATTTGAACCTGTATTCCAACTTTTCTCCAGCACTTCTCAATCCTGTAAACCCCATCATATCTCACTCCTTTCTCTCCAGGGGCATAGGAAGAACGCTTCTCCTTGTGAGACCTGATAATTTTGTAAACATGAAGAACTGAGACAACTTTCTGAAGAGTATAAAAAATCATTCCATTTCAATGAAAGTTGAAGAAAGAATGCAAAAAGTGAGAAAGATGTTGAGCTAACCTTACAACTCGGACAGGGTATCCCATTTTGCAACTAAGTCTAAGAGCTTCGTTTGAATTTTTAAATTTCTGGTCAGAAGATTGATCCTTGTTCGTTCTTTTGTTACCACTTAGATCTCTTCCTCCACTACAAGACACAATCACACATATTCATGGCAAAGACAAAAGATAGAATTGACAACTCCTAATGTAAGTTAAAGAAAAAGGAAGCAAACCTTCCGGTGTAGAGAAACCATTCTCCATGATCCTCGTCATCCTTATAACCTCCAGAGAGTGCCACAGACTGCGCTCCATACTGTGATTGCCCAGAAATCCCAGCAACGTGCTGGTAATGAGCTCCCCACTGCTTACAAACCTGTCTGTCTGCCCAAGTCTCTCCAACTAAAACACCTTGGTTCCTGGTTGGATCATTCTCAGCTGGAATAGGACCAAAGTGATCAGATGGTATTGTCACAAAAATCCTGCCACCAGCAGCATTTGACATGCCTGTTTTCTTAGCCCGCTCAGTTGTGAAAGCCTTGTCAGGACGGTTCTCGTTGCTGACGAAGTGATACACTTTGGCTTTCCCCACATGAGCAGATTTTGCGACCTTGGCCAAACGAATCGCAGAGACTAGGGAAGCATTGATGCGAGGGTCGTTCGCCATTTTCCTTGGGATTGCACTCTTGCATTTCATACATTCAAACTTCCTTTTCCCAACCCATTTCTGAAAACATTTCAGGCAGAAATTGTGGCCACACGGAGTCTGCAATGGGATGTACAAGATATATCCATTAGCACTAGTTAATTATTAATCATCATTCTTGTCAAAATATATACAGAAACTGGAAAAACGAGAAAGTACTAAAGACACAATCTGGGTCTCATTCCTGTAATTACCGATTCAAGAAATAAAGTAAGTGTTTTCCTGCTGGATTTAAGAGAGGACTTTTAGTTTAATACTCTGAAAATAATGGCTGCAAAACATTTTAACAGTGACTTTAATTTAAATATTTACGTCTCATTTTAAAAGTGTAAACCACAAGCAAACCCTAATAAGCGAATGAGAACATAAACAACTATACAATCCAAAAACAATATTAAAATTCTGGTGAATCCATAAGAGATTTAATCTAAGAGTAAGAGAGAGTTTGAGAGAGAGAAGTAGAGAACGAACCGTGACTGGCCTTTCAGGCAACTCGAGGCAGATGGAACAGCAGAAATTATCCTTAAGAGCAGCTAAAACATCAACATCTCCACCAGAATTTCCCCCTTCGTTTTCTTTCTCGTCTTCGTCCTCATCGGATCTACCACTCACCAACTGCTGCTTCCTCTTTGCTTTCTCTGCCTCGGTCAACGACTCATCGGCCTCGATCGCACAGATGGCTGCTACAAGAACCGAGCCGTTGGATTCAGTTCCGGCGATTCCGGAAACCGGGACGGGATCAACATCGCCGGAGCAGTCCGGGCACTCCCACTCCCGAGTGGATTCTAGGGTTTCAGGAGGGGACCTGAGACATGACACGTGCCAAGGCGTACCGCAAGTGCTGCACAAGAGACACTCAGTCTCCTCGTGAGGCTTCACGTTGCAACGCATGCAGACTCCGTCGTTGCAGGGATACTGAGCCATTGTAAGAGAGAAATGCAAAGAGAGAATAGGAGTGAGAGCGAGAGAGAAGATGTGGTGGAGAGGAAGAAAGAAAGTGGGGAATATAAAGAAGAGGGAGACAAGATGAGAAGACGCAGGTGTTGGGGAAGAGCGTCTTTCATTTTTCAAAAGAAGAATAAAATCTCCTAATTTGATAACATCTTATTCAGATGGCAACTATATTTCATTTTTTTTTTCTTTCTTCTTTTGAAACTTTTCTAAATTGACCTTTGAATATCTATAGATAGGTCACGAATATCTGTACCTTTGAATATCTTAGGAAAAATATCTTATTATATAAAATAATACAAATAATATCCACTATTTCTATTTTATCAACTTTTAATACAATTCAACCTTTTAAAATTAACTGTTTCCAAATTTTCTTCCATTTTTTTATTTCTTATTTGTAAACTGTGAAATTTTAATTCTTTTATTACTGGTCAATATGTGATTTAGTAAATTTTTGAAAAGTTTTTAAGGTATTTTTTTTCCTTTTACCAGTAAAAATTATGAAATTGAAAATACAATGTACTGTATATAGTTTAATTATGACTAAAATAGAAAAATAGTTTAGTAAAAGTAACTCTTGAAATCTTTTTATTTTAATTTTAAATTATATATGTAATTTGTTTTTTCAAAATTTACAAATATATAAAAGCCACATATAAACAACTTGTTTTGGTTTACCTTGGAATCAATACGATAAAAACATGATGTATCTCCTCCATATGAATATATGATTGACAACAATTCAGAATTTTCTTTTTATAAGAAGCTGGTACACCTCATAAAATACTTTTCCAGTCTAAACATTTTAATTAATACACATGACTCTAGAGTGTTACACATTGCTTAAATCGATTCAGCCTTCGTCGCTTTATTTCTTCTCTCTAATATCTCTGATTTTATTTCTACTTACATTACAAGAGATTGGTCAAGGTGGCATCACTCTTTTTTTTCAAGTCCGAATATCAACGGACGCGAAAACAAAAACAAAAAAAAAACACAAAAGATAAATGCTTAAGAGAAATGATATGATCAGTGAGAAAGTTGTATATGACCAATGATAGCACTAATCAAACATAGTGATCGAAAGCAACTCCATATATATTCGATTCATTCCCACACAGTCATCTGAGTTTATATTGTTCTTATAAATGATATATCTATTATCCCCAACTTGTGGTAACACTCCGGAGGTCTGTGCACTAGAAACGTCTTATGAATGTCTATCTGAAGTCCCTCGTGAAACAACATAGATAAATTCATGTCAGTGCACATACCTTCCCAGACCTAGCTCGACCACATGCATGAATTTCTGATGATATTCTCTGACGGTTAGCTCCATGCAGGGCCGTCCCTCACCTAAGGCAAGTAAAGCATGTGCTTTAGGCGCCAAATAAAATATATAGATTTAGGGGCGCCAAATAACAATAAGCTTCGAGTCTCATACTTAACAGTTTTTTTACTTTTTAAAAAACAACCAGTTTTTTAATGGGCTCAAAAAATTTTTTTGCTTTAGGCGCCCAAACGGTACGGCCGGCACTTCCATGAACCACTCGCCTTGGCACATGGACTAACCTTGTATGTAGGGCACACTCAAAAACATCTTAATACAGGGTACTATGTTAAAATCTTAAAACATCGTATTCGTACAATTAGGAAACTTACAAGCGCTATTGCCCTAAAATATTAAAACATCATAATTGTACTATCAAAATCTTAAATCTTTAGTTAGATTTTGAAAAATTCAATATTTTTTTTTTGCTAAATTTAACTAAATTTTAATTAAATTAAACAATTTTTTTTGTAATTAGAGTAGATACCTGGAACCGATCCGTACCCAGGCAGAACCGAACTGGACCCGACTTGAAAATAAAAAATATCCGAATGGTTCTAAAATTTCTAGAACCCTAAGACCCGAAACCTGAAAAGAACCAATCTGAACCCGACCCCAAAAACTGAATTCCCAAACCTATTTCAAAACATTTTTTAATATTTCATTAATGCACACCAACCAATATATTAATAAAAAATGGGAGTTCCAAAAACCCCTTTGTGTTGATCAAAAAGAGGACTTTAATATTATCATTAATAATTTTGTTTATTTAAATTAAAACATGAAATTCCAAAAGACACTTTGTGAAAATTATAAATGGGAGAGATCTTCTTCACAATAATCACTAAGCCCTTCAACTTTCCTTCGATACCAACGAAGAATCAACAAACACCTTCAGCTTTCCTTTTCCTTCGATACCAACAGTTTTTTTTCTCCACGGCAATGCAAGGTTCCTATTCCGAGACTGCCACTGAATCGGAATCTGAAAGCTCTCAGCATTCTACGGTTACTACGGCTGCTTCAACGTTACCAAAGAGGAAGTGTAAGCGGTGTAAGCGGCTAAGTGAAGAGGTCACAACAACCTCAGTGAAAACGAAAGGGGCCAAGGTAGAAACAGATTTGGTTAGTGAAGAGGCCACACCAACCTCAAAGAAAGCAAAACCGGCCAAGGTAGAAACAGATTTGATTATGAATTCTTTCGTTGTTGGACATCTTGTTCGTTTGGGACTTAGTGAAGAACGTGTGAAGGAAGGGTGGAGTTTGGTGCCAGTGGAGAGGAAGAAGAAGATTGAAGAAGAGTATAAAGCTTTGATGCTCGAAGAAATGCAACGTTTGGCTAGGAAAGCTAACCTTTTGCGTGATTTGTTTGCTTGAAATGTAATATCTCATTTTGTGTTTCCAGTCTTTATGAGTCTGGTTTGTTTTCATGTTTTATTTTTATTCTTGTGTGGTTTGTTTTTTGGTTTATCTTACCTTGGATTTTTGCTTTTTAAGTTTAAAACGCTATTATAATGAAACGCTATTATAATGAAACGTTTAAAACGCTATTATAATGAAACGCATCTTTCCTTTTTTCCCTTGGATCAAAGTATGTGTAGGTATTCATTTTTTCACTTAAAGTTTGATTGATCTCTTATATTTTCAATGGTAATAATAAGTTTCTCTTATATTTTCATTGGTATTAAGAGAAAGGCAATCATAGTGATCGGAACCAACTCCATGAATTTTAATTATCGTACAGAGTCATTTGACACAATAGGATGTAAATAGCCTTTCTATTACACAAAAGGATATATATTTTTTACTAACCACATAGTACTAAGAAACAAAAATATACTCATACACGTTACATTACGAGCCATTACACAATATTTAGACTATAGAGGCTTTTCTTATGTGTCGAATATAGAAAAAACCTGAGAGGCTATTTACATGAATAGGGCTACTTAACAAAGCTTCGTACACTGTAGCTGTCTGAAATGTCCATGAGCGGCCAGATTCCCTGCGATGGCAGTATCAACGATTTCTTTGCCTGCATCACTAGAAACAGATGTCTTGGATGACGTAAGCATTAGAAAAAGAAAGTCCATGACACATCCAAGAAGAGGAATTTGCGAACAACTGGATTTCATATCCATATTGAGACAGTTTTGAGATGCAAAAGTAAATCTATGGGAGAGTTGTGAGAGAGAAGTGTATGAGATGAAGTAGAAAAGAGAAGAGGAAGTGAGTTTATTATATTGATGAAAAAAGACTTGGTCACCAAGAATCACAAACAAAATTGCCTTAGTCCCCAAGATTATATAATTTGCTCAACATTTGAAACTTTCAAAAGTACGTAGTTGAATTCTAATTTGTCCCTTTGTGAAATGATGGTCACTGTATTTTATCATTATTTGGACCAATAACATAAAAATTAGTAATAATTCAGTTTAATCAACACGTCATAAGATTCATATTCCTCTGTTCATAACACAGTATTATTGTTTATCATATGATCAAATCAGTGATTTGCAAAGAATGTTTTTTTTTTTCATTTGTACAATTTATCTATACTAAAACATCAAAATGGCTTCTTGAGATACATTCATTGAAGGATCAACACAATCATCATCATCATCATCACTCATTATCTTCATCTTTGTGTTCATAATCCTCAACAACTCTGTTGCTTTCTCCTTAGTCTCTTCTCCATACCCAACTTGTAAAACCAACAACACCTTCTGAAACGCTCCTAAACGCACGGCTTCCTCCACCGCAAACGCGTTCTCTGTTTTACACAGCTTCAAAATCACCGATAAGGAGCTCTTCGTCGCTGATTCAGAAACCTTTGGAATCTTCTTCACCAAAAGCGGCATCACCAACGCGTTTTTCCTCACTTCCTCTCTCCCTTTTTTAGTTTCGCAAATCGCGTCTAGAACCGCTAACGCTTTCTCGCAAACGCTATTATTACCGTCGATTATCATCTCCACCGTCAGATTCACAAGACCGATGTCGAGAAACTCAGATGCGTTATCCGGCTTTTGAAACACCATGTGAGAAATCGCCATTAACGAAGATTTCGTTGCGCTAGACGAAACCGAATCACGAATCAAATTCACCAGCGCTTCCGCGACTCCGTTCGCCACCGCAAACGCGTGAACTCGCGTTTCGTCCGACGCGAGAATCTCTTTCAGTAAAAATGCAGCGTTTTCACGAACGGAATCGTCTTTGCTCTTCAACAAACCCGCGACACAATGAAACGACGACGCAGACGCAAGTTTCGTTAAACCCTTTGACCCAATCGGAACATTCCACGTCAGCAGAGACAAAATCTCCTCTAACATAGCCGTTAATTTCTCGTCTCCCGAGAACTTCTCGAAACACTCACATAAAACAAAACCGACGCCGTTTTCGTTCAAACACTTTCGACTTTTTTCACCCTCAGCCTTCAACTTCTTAATCCTCTCGATAATCTCCCCACATTTTTCGTAATCACCACGACGCGTTGCAGAGGATAATTTTCTACAGATCTCGTTGACTTCATGCGGCATCAAAGGGACACGTGGCGTTGGGATACGCTCGATCAACGACGATCCTATCTCCACGCACCATCCTTGAATCATCTTGCGAATCGTGTGGTTCGGAATCTGATCGTGTGTGGTCAAGATCGTGTTCGTGACTGGACACGTGTTGTTACCTGATTCGATCCATTTTTCAATGCTTGTGCGATCGTAGGTAATGCCTGTGGAGATTATCACTGGATCTTTCATGAGATCGATTGAGACTGGGCATAGAAATTCCGGCGGTATAGTTATCTCCGGTTCTGATTCTGACCAACTTGTTACCGGAGTTATCACCTTCTTGCTAGCTCCACGTAGTCTCATTCCCCATATGAAACCCATCTTTTTGGTATAGCAAGATTTAAAATGTGACTTAAAGTTTTTGAGTTTTTTTTTCTTTCTTAGTCATATTTATAGGATTTGGTACAAGTGTTGGGTCAAAGTCAAACGAATTATAGAATTAGGGGAAAAGAGAGAATGAAGAAATGTTTAATAGGTCTAATTTGAAAGCTGTTTGGTCTAAGGAAGTGGGAACTTTTGACCATTGAACTTTTCAAGGAAGAAAAAACGATTAATGCAAACCAATCTTTGCGTAAATGTAAGAGGTCCCTCAAGTGCTTGTGTGATCTTGCTTTGTCCAAAGCCAGAAAATTCGTCACTTTTGCGATATCTTTAGAGATTGTGATCGTTCATGCAAATGTTTCTAGCAATTAGATACATCACATAAACCATGTGCATGCATTTAGTCCTATTCAAAATCTGCATGCTCCTCCATGGCTCCATCACAATCTTCAAGTCATCGCATGAGCCAAAAAAATTCTATAGGTCTCACATTTCGTTCAACAATGTCAAACAAAGATGTATTTTATAACCATATAACCAAAATTTAGGAATACTTAGAAATGACAAGAAGCTTCTTATTATCTTCAAGCACATTTTGTAATTATTTACAAGTTCATAAGATTAATCAAACATTTTTTTCCATTATACTATCTAGTACAAAAACTCACAAATTTTTTAGAGGAAACCACAAAATACTTGTTTTATTGAATTAAATTAAAAAATACTACTGCAAATGACTGAAAAAGAATTTTATTTTTTAGAGTATTTTTCAAAATAAATACTATTTTAAAGCAATATACAGTATTTTTTTTAAAAATAATCAACAAATTCGATTGTGTTGAGATGAGACTTATGATTCTCAATTCCGTTTATTCAGGTCGGTTCAATTCGGTTAAGGATGTAGTTGACTATTCTTCGAAATTTTGGATTCGATCTCTCTCTTTCTTCTTCGCTCTCTCTCGCAGACAAACAGAGTTTCTCAGCAGTCATCGCCGACGCTTGACCTCGACCTCCCTCTTTCTCTATCACTCGCAATCTCGTCTACAAGGTACTCTCACGAGGACTTTCTCTCTCTCTTCTCTATTTCCGCTGATTGTATCTTAAATTCGATTTCTGAGAATGTCTAAACTTTAGGCTCCCTCTCTCTCTCGCTCTCGCAATCAAATTCTCTACCTAAATCGATACAATTCCTCTGTTCATCGATTCGTAACTTCTTTTTTCCGATCAGATTTGACCACTTTTTAATTTCCCGATCTATTTTTCTCTCTGTTTTAATTAATATTGGGATTTCATACAATAACTTTATTTAGGCAAGTTTGATTTTAACCTTTTTGTAATATAAAGCTGAACAATTCTTCTTTTCTTCTTCTCTCTGTTTTTAAGGTTGAAGTCGTACTCTGCTCAATGACGACCGATACCTCTTCCGTAGATATTTCTGTAAGTTTTTTTTCCGTTACTCTTTGAGATTTTGTCTTATGCTAAAGTCAAGATCTTTGCTAAAAAGAATTGTTGTGATTGTGGAAATATTTTTAGTTTCTGGAGGTTTTCTGTGATGTTTCTGGTAAGAACTACCGATTCACGACTGGGACGAAGGCGGAGTTCGCTGTCTCAGTGATCAATAGGAAGCTTGGTTCGTTAAAGTCACGAGTGGTTTACATCGAAGCTGTGAAAGAAGGTGAAGAGGGCATCAGTTTTGGGGATGATGCTTATCTTGTGAATTATGGAGATGGTTGGAAGTTGAAGACAGTCATTGATGCTGACTTTCCTGGTAAAATCAATTTCTTGTCAATTTTTAAAGACTTGGTTTCAAGAACGTGTGGATTTGATTAAATTTGGTTTGTGTAGTTTTGGTTTCAATGTTCTTGTTTTGAAAATGCTTCTAATGCTGTTCCTCTTGTTACATAATCTCAAATTTTGGAGTTTATGAAGTATAGTTTAATGTCAAGAGCTACAACGAGTCATAGTGACAATATTAGTATAAGATTAGGGTGAAATTAGCAGTTGTGATTTTAATAGTTGGTGTTAGTAATGAGTCTCTTAGTTTTATGCTTTGTTTCTAATCATTTTTTGTTTGTTGTTGCAGTAACTGAGAAAAAGAAGGTCGTTTTTCAGCGGAATTTACCGCAGCAGTTTCCTTTTGTACCATCATCAACGGTAAGTTTCTTGTTAGTAACTTCATAGTGAGATAGTGTTACGAATCTATCAATAGTTTATGGTTTTAAATCTCTTTGCTTTTTGTTTTTTTTTTTCTTTGTGATTTTCTTGCAAACCATCCATTGTAATCGTTGTGTAGAATGTGGCTCAACGTTTTTTTGGCGGTTTGGTTTGCAGAGTTCCAACGGTTTAAAGTCGAGAAGGGATTTGAAACCAGAAGGTGAAGGAGAACAAAGTCTGAAATACATGTGGAGAATATTTTTTGCATTTGTGTTGATGTTTATTCTTGGTGGGCTCTTCACTGTGGCTCTAGAGAACCTTCCTAGACTAATATTGCTGTTTAACAACGCTTCTTAGTAACTGTATCCAAACACAAACATTTGGAGACGACTTCTAAATATGGTTAAACAGAGATTGGCCGGTTGCAATAAACTTTAGCACCCTGCATGTGTTTATGTTTTAAGGCTGAGAGAATTTGTTTATAACGTGCAAAGGCAAGAAAAGAAAAAGTTTGACAAACTTTATTATCTACAACTTTTTGTTATATTGTCCGACAAAAAAACAAACTGCTACGGTTCTCATGCCACAAAATTTCTTCTTAAACCACCCACTCATGCATCTTTGAAACGGTGAAGATGAGAACACAAGAGATAAAATGGTCCCTTTAGGAAAAAGTCCTAAGGAAAGACACAAAATTCATATCAAGTCCAAATTTCTTTAACTGTCCAGTGACATGTATCCCAATTATAATGAAAGTCACATGTCTCCCTAAGTAACCACTTTTGTAACCACTTTTGTTTTTGTTTTTGCACGCCTATAAATGAGGCATCTAAGTCGATAAAAGGACAGACATAGAAACAAAAGTGGAAAAGAAAAAAAAAATGTTCTTAAACGATAAGAGAAATAACAACCTGAATGGAGCAATCTTGTTGTTCTTTTACTTCTTTTGTGCTGCCTTTGCATAATCTGTTTAATACGTACAAAGGCAAGAAAAGACAAAGTTCGAGAGACTTTATAATATACAACTTTTTGTTATATTGTCATTGTCCGACAAAAAAACAAACTGCTAGGGTTCTCATACCCACTCATGCATCTTTGAAATGGCGAAGATGAGAACAGAAAGAGATAAAATGGTCCCCTTCAGGAAAAGTCCAAAAGAAAGACACAAAATAATTCATATCAAGTCCAATTTTTTTAACTGTCCAGTCACATGTATCCCAATTATACTGAAAATCACATGTCTCCCTAAGTAAACCACTTTTGCAACCACTTTTGTTTTTCCCCGAGTAACCACTTTTGGGTGCATAAAGCACAAGAATAAAACGTGTACAGCCTAAACAAATTTTTTTATTTTTTGTTTGCACGCCTATAAATGAGGCATGTAAGTCGATAAAAGGACAGACATAGAAACCAAAGTGGAAAAGAAAAAAAAATGTTCTTAAACGAGAAGAGAAATATCAACCTGAATGGAGCAATCTTGTTGTTCTTTTACTTCTTTTGTGCTGTCTTTGCAACCATTCAATTAAATCCAATAGGTACAACACAATCCAGCAACGCCGTGCCTTGTAACACTCGCCCTTCGAGTGATAATGGTGCGAACGCTTTGGTCGAGCAAATGCGAGACCGCCCACCAAACGCTTACTGCGTTCAGATCGAGTCTTGCACCAAACTAATCACTCAAAAGCCTACCTTCCAAAAGTATGAGACTCGTCCGTTCAGTGTTGGCGGATTCAACTGGTATAAATCAAATTTTCAACTTCTTATCAACATAGTTTTAATTGATTATGTTGCCCTTTGCTTATCCGGGAGGTTATGTGTAGGACCTTTATCCTGGAACCGTTCGGGAACAAGACTAGTTATGGGGATTGGATCTCTGCGTACGTTGCAATAGACCCTTTAGGGCTAGTTGGAGAAACCCGTGAGGTTTATGCTGCTCTCAGTTTTTTGGTCTATAGTAAGACTTTGGATCAATACTGGACATCTATGGGTGTGTAATTTCAACTAATAATATCACGAATAATTTATATTTATAGCACACAATATATATAATATGCAAAATATAATACATGCAGACACGGAGGTTAGACGTTTCCATCAATTCAGAACAACTTGGGGAAATCCAACTTTCGTCCAACATGGTGACTTTCAATCTCCAAATAGAGAGTACATTTTCAACAATGACCAATGTGTATTTGGCGTAGACATCAATGTTTATCCTTACTTTAACAAATGGGAGGTGTTATCAACCGATAAGACGGTCCACGAGCCTAACTCGTGGAAGCTTATGCGGTTTTCGACATTGGACAAGGACTTTTACACCTCCGATGAATTCTCTGTTGGAGGGAAAAGATGGTGAGTCCACACATATGGATATCAATAAAATCCTTTAAAATTATATTCAACTTCTTGTTATATATTTATTTCAGGGCACTTAAGGTGTATCCAAACGGTAATGGCACTGGAGAAGGAAACTCGTTGTCTCTTTATGTGATACTTAGTGGAAATACAAACTTGAAGCCTTATGAAAAGGTTTATGTTCAAGCAAAGCTGCGAGTTCTTGACCAAAAGCAATCAAAACATCTCGAAAAACCAAGTAATTTTTCTTAAGTTTATATGATTAGGGTTTTATGTCTACAAGCTTTAATGTTTTTAATATAACACAATTTTTTGTTTCTTTTGTTCTTGACAGTTCTATCATGGTTCGATACCCCGGGAGATGGTTCTGGATTCGAGCAATTCGTGTCTTTGTCTGGTCTCCGAAATCCAGCTAGAGGGTTCGTCGTCGATGATGCGTTATCCGTACAAGTTCAATTTGAGTCTCTCTCGTCTACTAATTTTTATTCTAGCAATGATGCTCAATCTATGAGTACTTTTTAAATGTCTTACCTTGTCGGATATATATAAATAAGAGGTTTCACTTGCCTTCTTCTACCATTTTTTTTTGGGTTTTAAGGTTAAGATTCTTCTACCATTTAATCATGAGTTTTTTACGTTTGGTTCATGTTTAGTTTATTTTGAAGAGTTTTTGTAATATACTAGATCAAAATGGATGTCCTTGATTTGCGTGCCTTCTTTTAATGTAAGATTCTATATCTATTTGTCCTGATTATTGTCCAAAATGTTTTGCACTCCAGTTTATTACGAGTAGTTTTTTTTTTTGGGATAGAAGTTAAAAGAGTTTTTTGCATGCACATGAGTGTTTTTTTTCCCCCCAAAGACTTTAGCACTCCATTTGATGTACTCAAGTACAGAACAAGTGGGTATGAATATGATTAATAGAAATCAGGACTCGGTCTTTTATTTAATCTACGGAAAAAAACTGACAAAACGAAAAGGGAAAAAGAAGAGGGACACAATCTACCAAGAACGTAACAGAAAAAAAAGAGGGTAATTTGCATGGAAAAGAAAAATAGAGATGAAAATTTGCAAAAGCCTCTAATTGAGCTAGTGGCTTCTCAAGTTTTAAGCATGAGAATGGTGAACATGGTAAAGATAGTGCTGGTTGTTAAAGACGCAAGTCCAACAAGTGCTGTTTATGTTTCCAAAGCTTGGTTCCTTTGGCATTGTCAATGGTCTCCTCGATCTACACCCAAAACAAAAACTTTAGTAAGACTACATAACATTGTGAAGTCATATAATAAGATGACACTGACCTTTGTGGGAGGAATGGTCGGTCGAAGAAAGGCATCAACTGAGCTTTTGGAACCATTTCCTTCCTCAGCATACGAATCTCTTCTTCTTCGATCATCTGTTCAATGGGTAAGTTTTCAAATGTCTTCTCAAACAGAAGTAAACCGAACTTAGCTCTTTTAGTTAACAATGTTCCGGTTTTTATCACTATATGTACGGTAAATAGTGTAATTTACTTCAAGGATTAATATCAATCCAACTATCAGCAAGGTTAGCATCAACTTCAGTATTTTCATTTGAAATGGTTTATTCTGATTATCCATCTTTTTGTAATGTTTAAGAGTAGAACCCATGCATCTTCCCATGAAAGTTGCAATAGCCATTCCCAACTAAGAAATTCGAACGAGCGATCAGGGAGACAACTTTTAGAAGGATCTAGGTAACTTCACTAGCTTAAAACTCACTTGGTCTCGAGAATTCCACAAATAATAAATAAAATATTCATATAATTAGAAAGTCCCGTAATTTTGGTTAATGTTGTTCTCTCGTCTATGCTTTTTTTTTGTAAGTTACCTTTTGCAACCTTTCCTCTTGTTTCTTCTGCAGTTTCGTGATATAATAATTAGTTGCAACCTGCGAATACGATGAATGAGCTCCATGGAAAGTGAAAAAAAAATTGAAGAAAAAGTAACAAATATTGAGGAAGTTTGAGTCAACCGAATAGTTGAACATTGCACGTTTCACTGCTCTGTCGCCAGAATGAAGCTTAAACTCAAGAGGCTTCTTGTTCTCTTTTGCTGGTGCCTTTGCAGCATTCTGATTAATTAAAAAATAAATAAAGTCAACAATCGTAGAAAAAATATGTTAATGTAGTATGATCGTATTTTAGCTAGTATGCACACATGGTGAATTCGAACATGACCTGATTTAAAAGAACTATATAAAAAATTAATATATTTGGGAACCCTTTTTTACTACAAAATTTAACTAATCAAATAAACGTTATGCAAATTTTATAATCGTTAAATAGTTAGAGATATAAACCGAATTGAATTATAGAAATATAAAGTTATAATGATATAAACCTTAATAAAATGAGGGTTATAGACTTATAGTAGATATTTTCTTGAGTATAATAGTTTCATGTAACATATGCATTTTTCTTTTCTTCTGTGAGTTGCTAGTATTGTTTAATTGAAAAGAATTATATAGAATCTCTATCTGGGTACCTTAGTGGCGACTGCCTTGGTTTTGTCATGGCCTTTGTCTTTGAGTTCCACTTTGGTCTACAATAGAATTTTCAGTAAATAATTGAGCAAAATTGAATCCCTGTACGATAATTTACATTGATCATATATTTATGTACATTCTATGAATTTTGTTTTTTTTTCCGACCAAGAAGTACTGCACGAGGCAGACATAATGTATATCTAGCTAGAGTAGAACTCAACTTGTAACTTTTTTGATAATCAATTATTAGTCAACTAATTTTATATAGAAAATGGGGTACCGCACCTTTCCGGATATACTATAGCTTGAAAATGATAACACCACACCAAACAAGAACTCAAAGGTGCACTTATGGAAACTTTTCATGAAGTATATAGCATTTTTAAAGACTATAAATCGTAGGGATATATAACCCTAAAAATTTCCCGTTAATTTCATTATTACTATCTATAGGACTTTCAAACTGTAACTCAATTATATGAAACTGGCAGAAAATATTTTAACATAGGAATAATTTAATTCTTTTAGTTTGACGAAAAACGTTTTGGCAGAATTATTGTTTTTGCTAAAAACCTTTACTAAACATAAACTTATGTTCCATCAAATGATTCTTTTAGGCCAAACATATATATACATGATAGAGTCTTCAAGCATGTCTTTCCATTTTCCCAAATTGGTCATCATGGACCCACAAAATATGCGGACATTTGAAAAAAAAAAATGTCGAGGATAATAAGGTTAAAACTATACATACACATTAACATTAATTAAAGCCTAAAAAAAAAACTCAATGTAAATAAGAAATTAGAATCCTCATCTCACCATTCCTTTACCGTTGGAACCCAGGGCGAGTACAGAAGAAGTTGGACTTGTTTTCCCTAACTTTGAAAAGCAAGATAAAGAAACACTTTGTTAATATAACTCTTTTTGTTTAGTTGATGAACAAATTACTACATACGTGCAAAAATATTTACATGCAAGGTGTATATAAAAATATATAAGTGCACGAAAGTAATTAACAACTAAAGCAACCAATTATCAAAGTTAACCAATTATTGAATAACCTTGGGTGAGGCTTTTGTGTGTGATAATTTTCCAGTACACATGTTTAAGAGAAGAGATTTTAAAAGTGGTTGTTGTTTAGAACAATGTATTAAAAAACAACTCAACCAAAAGCCAAACTCCCTTACGAACTCTTTTTTTTGTCACAACTTAATATATTATGAACTCTAAATTAAAAAGAAGTGAAATAAAAATATTACTTGATGAGTGAAAGGGAGAAGAGATGAAGTGAATTTATAGAGTGAAGGACGAAGCAAACACACATACAAGTTTGGACATTAGTAGCTGTCTTAAGTGGCGTCTGTTGCTGCATCAGTAACAAGCTTTAATTAGGGTTTTTCTTCATAACTTTCTTTGTTAATTTCATTCAATAAAATTTCAGAAATGAATACATATGTCTCTACAAGTAATGCGAAGTCTTTGTATGTAATTATGTGTATGCTGTTTTTGGTTGCATGCAAATTTTTATCTTTAATTATTGCGTTAATCTTTACATGAAAAAAATACCATTTATATTTTTACCTCTTTTTGTAACATTTTCTGATATGCTATACCAAAATTCTAGAAACACAATGATGGTGCAAATACTCTTTTTGAAAATTTCGTTAATAATCTATGTCACAAAGACAATATTCTTTTTAGAAGTTCTACAAATAGAGTTAAGTGGATTCAAAAGCGAACAAGTAAATATATAGAATTAGGAACTTATTATAAAGTAATTTAAGTCAAAACATGAGAAACTGAAGACACGTTACGTAATCAGTATGACGGTCGTGTAGACTGTGTAGTGAACTTTACATCCGTTTGTAGTGCCATGAATCTGGAACTTGAACTATGGATCTGTATAACGCAGATGCTCCTAAGTCCTAACCTTTATGTTAACATGAATCCAAAAACTTACATATATGCCTTATATCCATTAAATAATAGCTGTAAGCCTGTAAATTGTAACTTATAGCTCTAAAATCACATGGGATACTAATATTGTTTTCAGCTCGGGCGGTTTATGAGAGATGACATAACCACTTATAGCTATAGAGCATATTGCTAATAGGCGTAGTAGCCGGGATTATTTTTCATTTGTAATCGAATGTGACGTTCTCGATACATTTCCAAGCTACTATAATAGTCTCATATTTTTTTTATTGTTATATCAAAAGGAGTTAAGAATATAATTCAAGAAAAATGTATTGAGAAACATTTATCAAAAAAAAAAAAAAAAAAAAAAAAATTATGCACATAAGTAGTATAAACATATTTTTTCATGTTGATATATAAGCAATTACGAGAGTGTTAAAGTTAATAATATTATCCGACAGAAAAAAAAAACTGGTAGAGCTCTCATGCACCAAACTTTCTGATTAAACTTCACACTCATACATTTTGTAAATTTCCTTGCGCCCTCCATGTTCCTTCACATCTCACCTTTAGTCAGATATCTATGCAAACATTTTTTCAGTTCTTAGAACATTACAGTCTCAATTAGAACATACAGTCTCAATTAACGTCAAGGCAGACATTCACTTGTAATGTTCTAAGAACTGAAAAAATGTTTGCATTTAGAAATTATGGACAATGTTTGCAATATATAAACGCAAACGTAAATATTAACGTTCACATTAATAAACAAGATATCATAAAAGCCAACTAAGTGAATGCTACTCTTTTCACATGAAGTTAAGAAGCAAGTGAATGTGGTTCTATTACAAGAAATAATGTACAAGGAAATAGGTAATCCGTAATCCTATACGAGTAGCTAGATATAACATTGTATTTGTACACTTCGGAGTCACGTTCTCTTTAAGGGACTCGTGGCCCTGTTTTTACAAACAATGATTCAAAAAGTTAACCAAGAGGTTGTTAGCCTAACAAACTTCAATCTTGAATGTTTCTTGGTGAGTCATCTATTTCAGAGAAAGTGGTCGACAAATTTTTTTTATAATTTTGTCTTATTATTATATTATAAGCAGGGTGAACCTTTTATTTTTCTTCTGCAAAAAATATGTGACAATAATGTAAAAGGTTAAGAGGAATGTCATACTGTTATGTTAGCTCGGTGATTGGAAAAAGGAACCTAACTCATGCAATCCTTTAATCTCAAGTCTTGTATTTTTGTGTCGTGGGCATGTCAAAAACACCAACATGCATGATTATGGTTTAGTGAAAAATTGACCACGTAACATCTATGAAAGACATGTGTGAGACTGACGTAATAGTCTGTATTTATTCATTATTATTCTATGCTTGAGCTAATCTGTATTCTATCAATATCATGAATGGGGCAATTCTTTCATAGCCCCACAACTAAAAAATGGTATACAATACCGGCAAGTCGGCAACCCCGTAGCTGTATACCATACTAGACTTACTAGTGTATGAGACTATCAGTTAATTACTTCCAAAATATTTTGACCGTAAAATACTAAAATTCAGTTATATTACTTATAAGTGTTGCAAATTATTAAAAATAAATGATACAAAACACACTTTTTGTAGTGCACATATTTTTTCTTTTTCATCTCGTCGACAATATATTTAAGATTTATCAAAACACATGACACTCACGGGTTTTTTTCTACAAGTATCTTGCCGTTTCTAGAGCATTTTGGTCGTAAAAATGTAGGATTGCCAATCCCTGGTTTGAGATGATGATGATTTCAAAAAAAATAGATGATGACGGTATGCAAAAGAAGTGAACCGCAATTCAACACTGATTTGAGACGCAATTTTTTTTTTTTTTTTTTTTTTTAAGTCTTGTTTATTATGTAAAGTAAATAATATCATTTCACAATGACACATGTGACAATAATCCTATGTCCCAATATAAATGATCAAATTAATACACTAATACTCGATATATAGAAGATTTTTTTAATGATTTATTACATTTTTTGCTTTTGTTTTACTTATATTTTGCTTAACTTCTTCATATTTTTGTCTAATTTTTTAATTTATGTTAAATTCTCAGTAATTATATCTATCTAATAAAATAAAGAACGTTAACGAAGAACTCATGTAATGAATCAGCGTTCATACTATTAACCATGTCAAACGCTCCTATAATAAAGTTGCTCATACTCCAATGGTTTATTGGTTTTCTTGAAAAACTGTTTTGACATATTTTTATATTTGGTTATAGAAGTTGCAGTTGTTTGCGAAGCAGAGGGAGCAGAGAAAGCAAAAAAGAGAGAGCCATGGAGCTATTGACAGGCAATGAAGGTCTTCGATTGAATATCATGGAGTCGAATTCAGTTGACGGTGATGTTTCCGAGTTAAAAGAGTTTGTCGTTCATTAATTAGTTCATTAACCCAATTCGGTTTGAAGTACTAAACCATGTCTAATTCACTTTAATAATACAATTTTCAGTTTATTAACCAGTTCAACTAAACCGAAATAAAGAATTGAAAATTATAAATTTTTTCACGGATATTAAAAAAAAAAGTTTTTTCTTATATCTCTAATTGATTTATTATATATGAATAATTAGTGAATTAAAACTTTAAAAAAAACATAGTGAACTAAAAAAGTAGAGATAATATTGGAAAAATTGTATAAAACGACAAATAATATAAAACACATATTTAACTCTAGAACAAAAAGAGAATATTTGTTTCTTTTTCTTATATATTAATTTGAAAATAGCATAATATTTGTCATTAAAAACGCAATATTTTTGAATCAATGTTCTAGTTAACGATAACCACAGAGAGAACATGTTTAGCGAGTGACTTTAGATCTCATAGATTTGACTTGCATGAAATTAATCTGGAAGTTAGATTTTCAATATAAATTTAGTTTGCAGATTATTTTTGCACAAAACCTATGTTTCAGTTTCTGGATGCAATTTCCCATATAGGTGGATAACTAACTCTTTGTATTGAGAACAAATTCATTCAGTTTAATATATATTTGTTTTGCCGAAAAAAATCATATTCGATTAGGTTTTATTTAGTTGTAGTTTAATTTTGGTTTAATTTGATTTTTACATAATTTTTTTTAGGTTACCCTGGTTCGGTTGCGGTGTAACTCAAATCCAGTTCATTATCACTTTAACCGGATAGAAAATTAATTGACCAAGTTCAATTTTGATTTTGACCTATTTTTGGTCAAAAACTGGTTTAATATGGCTTTAGTTTGGTCAATTTTATAACCAGATCTGTTTTTAAAATGCTAATGTGTCTACTAAAGAGAGAAAAACCTTAAATCCACCAAATATTTTTGCAGTTGATCTTCAAACTATTCCAGGAAAAGTTTAATTTTTTTCCGGCAAATACTGTATTCCCGTTTAAATGTTTTTTTCTCAATTTGGTTCGGTTAAACCAAAAAATTCCGATGCACGTTGAATTCGAGTCCTATGATTAAATTTATTTTCGGTTTAACAAAATACCGGTTCGGTATATTTTGGTTCTAGTTTAGTTTGATTTTACAAAAAAATTCTCGGTTTCCAATTCTACGCAGTCCCGGTTTTAAAAAGTAAACTTTACATTTTTTTTTTTCTCAAAAGTAAACTTTACATTTACCATCGGGAAATTGTGGGTTAGGGTTTGAGGAAATTAGATTTGATTTATTTGGGAATTTTCATGAATTACAGAGCAAAAGATGAGGAATTTCTGGTGTTTGGTCTGCTTGCTCTGCTTTCTGTCTGTAGCGGTGAAGGCTCGTTCGAGCGAGATCGTCGATGCTTTGCTTTCGATAGCTAGCGACTTGGGTTACTCGCAGGCAGTTGCAGAGACTTGGAAAGGGACTGATCCCTGCCACCCCCACTGGTATGGCGTTTTCTGCATAGGAGGCCGAATCGACGCGATCGACTTGATAGGAGAGAACCTCACAGGAGTGATCTCTCCCCGGTTTGCGGAGATCACATCTCTGCGTGTGCTCGACCTTTCGCAGAACCGTCTCACCGGCACCATTCCCTCCAAGCTCACGAGGTTGAACCTGACGGTCCTTGATCTCTCGGACAACCAGCTTCACGGGAAAGTGCCTCCATTCAAGAACACAGTTGTAGAATTCGGGGGGAATCCGGGGATTGAAACCGACGGCATTGATGTTGTTCCGTGGCAGAGAGGTAGCAAGACACCGGGGACTGTTCGTGGACTGTCCATTGGGATCATAGTCCTCAGTGTTCTGCTCATCGTAGGAGGATGCTTAGTTCTGTACAGAGAGATGAGATGACACGAGGGAGGCGTCCGAGCCAAGAGAGGTGAAGGCATTAGACTAGTATTGAAGCCCATCCTTGTTCTTCATTTATGAGATATTCAAAATTGTATTTGTTATTGGTGACAACACTAAGCCGTTTTATATTTTTAGCATAATACTTAGTTTTTGAGTTTCGTTTATGTGTGTCAATAAGTTGTAGCTGATATCTTACGACCCCAGTCTTTATTTATACTCTTGGCCATATTGGGAACGCTACAGATTGGGAACCAGTTAATGCGGTAACTGCTGTTAATCTAATGAAGAATCAGCTCGAAGATGTGAAAGGGTTTGCAGTCGCTGGTTGATGTATCTTTTAAGCCTTTAGGAATCTCGCAAACAATCATCTCTAGTATTTGACTTATATGCTGCTTATAACTACCTACTATAATAGTACAAACAATCATCAGTTAATCCTTTTCACAGTTTTTATATACTCCCCTATTATAACTACCTATTCACTTAACTAAAAAGCTTTTTTTTGCCTTTAAATTAATTTATTGCTTTCAGCAATGTGCATGGGAACTCCCAAAGTGGATCGATACCAAATGGATTCCGGAGTCTAAGGATAATCACCATATCAGGGCTATATATTAATCTGTGTACGTTGATCTTTGATTCAATGCTTTTAGTTGCAGAAATATTTCCTTATTACAGTTTCATCTCTATGTTTGTCTGTAAAATCCTTACCAACGTCTTGGCACAACTGTTAAAAGATTTTTTTACTTTATTAATTGTTTGATGTGAAAGTTGGTTTCGGATTTTTTTTGTTAGTTAAGTGGTAGATTTAGAAAGATCTAAAAAGTTTGAAGGTCTTTTTGTAATAAAACTTTGAAGGTCTCTCGTTTTCTGGGAAACGAAAAGAAGGAAAAGAAAAAGGCAATGACAGAGGTCGATTCTGCCGATTTCACCAAGGTAGAATCGACGGAGTCTTCTCCGCCGTTGAAGACAGATCCGAAAGAGGTCTCCGATGCTGAGGCGGCAGAGGACACAGCAGATAAGCGAATTCTCCGAGCTGGAGATGGCAAGGATCCGGAATATGTGAGACAGCGAAAGGTGTATACGGAGCAGTTTCAAAAGAGCGAGGTAAATAAATAAATAAATATATCTAACTCCTTTTAGGTTTAGGGTTTCGGAGATTATAATCGTTGTTTCTCCTTTGTCTATGATGGATTTTAGGGTTACGATGTGGACTGGGATAGCTTCGAGTACGACTTCGCTGCCGTCAAATTCGAATGGGGAGGAGAATTCGATGATGTGATGAGCAATAAAGAGTTAATGGGTTTGCTCATAAAGACTGCCATCGACGAAGAGAACGAAGAATCTGTAAGAGCTTTGCTTTTGCTTGATTGATCTTCCTCTTTTAATTTCTTCTAATGATTTTCTTTTTCTCTCGCAGGGAACAGAACTTGTGTTTGTCAAGTACGTGAGTGCCAATGTAATGGGCGTCCAAGGTTTTCTGTTTTACATAACCTTTTGGGCCAAAGATGTATCAGAGCCAAATCCAGAGCCAAAGCTTTACCAAGCAAAGGTGCGAACGTTCATGGATAAGATCAAGGTTCGTGACTTCAGGCTCAGGCCCACACAAGAACCATTTGTTGGATGAGGTACATTTTCGAACTTGTTCTACTTCTTGAGTTGAATCTGGAGGTTATCAGTGTTTAGCTCATGGCTGTGTTGTGTCTTTTTACACTAAATACTTTTTTTTTTATCTTCGATGCATACAGATGATGACGACTTGACTTGCGGAGACACTTTATCTGGAACATTAGTCCTCTGGTAACTATATGCAGTAATACCCTGATTAATTATCGTGTTTAGATTTCAGACTTACGTATTGTAGTTAGCTAGTCTTTTAAGTCTTCCCCCGATAAGCTAATAACCTAATGCTAAACAAAGAGAGTTTGAAGAAATAACAAAAGAGTAGGAGAATCATAGTATGAAGTGGGGTAAGCTTGCTTCAGGGCATTCGTTCACAGCACCGAAGAGGAAAGCGTGAGGAATGTTGTCACAACTTTAAGTCTATAACGAAAGTGCAATCACTAAATTGTTGGCGAATTGAGACATACGTATTTTTATTATTTTAAGACTAAATTATTAGTGATTTGCATTCCAAACAGCAGTGCATTCATTTCAAACCACCACAGCCGCTAGTACAGCTTGAGCTTGCAACAAAATGAATGTGATATGCTGTACGATTAACGTAAAAATTCTACTAAATAAAAAAAATAGTGTTTTTGGTGTTGTCCAAATCATATTTTGTGTCGTCTATCACTCCCAGAGCTTCTCACACTTGCAAAAAACTATCTCATCAGTCTAATCTATCCACGAAGGATATGAAGGAATTATCACGTTTCTACAGACTATATGCCCTGCAATTTTGTAAAAGACTGAAACCGTCTTTGATCCTTTGCCCGGAGACATTCGAAATAGTTTTTTGGTAATGTCATTTCTCTTTGTAATAAAAGTCTCTAATTAATGACAGCAAAAACAGCACTAAATTGAAAATATTTTCAACGTCTTTGTTTCGTTTAAGTAACATAAACATCGATTAAACACTCCCAAATGTGTTCTAATTAAGTAAGATTCTGAAAGCATATGATCATAACTTCATACATAAGCTTAAAACTAAAGATATCGACAACTAGGCTTAACATGCAAAATAATAACAAAGAAAGTATATGATTAATCCCTCTACGTTTCTTGTTAAATAAATCAATGGAGTGTGGCTGCAAAGAATTGTAGGAATATCGTGTCAGCTACGAGAGGCGAGAGTTCAACCAATATCGTTACTTAAGCTCATAGCACAAGTGCATGTACAGTACATTAATAGTTAATCAATGTCTACATTCAACTGGTGAAGGCCCCAATATTACCAAATTATTACTTATCATTATCATAGTGGTTATAGTGATTGATTTTCGATGTGATTAAGTCAAGTTCGATACCTGGTCAATGCATCTTATATTTGTTCTTATTTGATAATTATATATTTTGATCAATACTTTAAAAGAAAATTATCAGCTCTAAGAAAATAAGTAAAAAAATTAGAACTATTATATATTTATTTTAATAATTATATTAAAGAAAAAACTTAATTATTAATTTTACCTAGGCCCCCATAACCCTGAGCACGGCAGTGCCATACCTAGTAGGGAATCCGGGGATTGATATTCCTCCTTCGAAGACACAAAAGATAGTTCGTGGAAAGTTCATAGGGATATTAATACTCAGTGTTATGCTCATCGGAGGAGTATGCTTAGCTGTGTACAGAGAGATGAGATTGATAGAGATGAAGCCGTTAGTAGACGAGGTCGTGGATGTTGAGAACAGAGTCTATATGTTGGGGATTCTCAGGGAAGTTACAGAAGACTTTAGGAATCGCAACGTCCTCTGGAGAGGCGGGTTTGGATCGGTTTACAAGGGTAGACTGCGGAATGGCACATAGATAACTGTGAAGAGGATGCAACGATCTGTGGCAGGCGGGAAAGGCTTGGATGAGTTCAGAGCAGAGGTTAGCGTTCTGACCAAGGTTTTCATATGTTTCCTCAATCTAGTAAACAAGTTTTTGTTCCAACCATGATCTATTTGAATTTATAGTCTCGAATTTTAACATATAATTTCTATTTCTTTTTATCATTTTTCTTTTTTTGCTTTTGTTTTGCTTATGTTTTGCTTTTATTTTTCTTATTTTTGTTAATTTTTTACATATAATTTAAATTCTCAATAACTATAATAACTAAAAAAATACAGAATGAAATATTCATGTAATGAACCAGCTGGTTCAAGTAGTTCAATGAAAATCATCGATGCAAAGATTAATAGAGGTCCAAAACGAAACTAATATACTCATATAAAATATATATTGGTGATCAGACGTAAATATTGATAGAGAAAATGAGAAAACCCGTACGTGCATCTTCCGTTGCAATGTAACCAAATGCTCCAACATATTTTTTAATGTTTGTTAAAGGATTTATTTATTTTATACATTATTTTATTTATTTAGTTTTGCGTATTCTATTAAAATGCTGATGAAAGTGATACATGATGATGAAAATACATACATAAGAACACAATGAGATTACTATGACAAATGACAGCCACACTACGGAGAAAATCTACTCTACAATCAGAGGAGATTAACCAGATTGAATTAACCAATCAGAAGAAGTATTTCGTAGAGAACACTCTGATCAAATTCTATTCATTTCATGAACCTATTTCATATTAATAACTTTCAACGGGAGATTTTCTTTATTTCTGAAGCGACAACCAACAAATACAACCCCGTTTGTGTCTGAAGCGAGAATCTTGTACTTAGCCTTTCTACCGAGGTTAGTGCACCCGAACCCTAACGTCTCCGCCAAGATTCTCTGAACATGGTTGGCCACGGCATATGGGCTTTTCTCGGATGCACACGTGTCCCCAATGGAAGCTGGTTGAAGAAAGTAATCTCGTAATCGTCGGGTTCATTTTTATTTATATCCTATTAATCCTAACTAGGTGATAAACCCGCGCGTCAACGCGCGGTAAATTAAAACTTTTAATTAAAATTTTCAATTATTTAATAATATTATAATATTTTTGTTTTGATAATCATGCTTTTTTATTTTACAGTCTACAACATATGAGTTTTATATTTACACACATAATCAATTGACCAAAATGTACTAAAAATTATTGGAATGACCAAAACAGATGCATTAATTAAGTTTTAATTATAAAAGTTATACTACTGACTATATGTACTTGATGAAAGTAAAATAGAAATGTATTTGATGTAAAATATATATATATATATATATGTATTTTAAAGAAGAATGTGGTTAGCTAGCTAGTTTTTTTTTCATATTGATATGCATGTTGCTATAATAACTAAATGTATTTACTGAAAATAAAGTAATACTATATTGTAAAGAAAAATGTAGTTGGCTAGCTAGTAATTCTGATATTCATACCGTATGAATCATACGCATGTCGCCATAGTAAATCTATCTTTCCCAGCGTATTCATATTCAAAACCAGCACTGCATGCATGTGCTAGCTAGTATTTCTTCATTCACGAAATTAAAGCATATATTAAGTACAAGAAAGACGTCCTCATCATATATAACGGGGAAAAGGTAATATATATCTAGTCTAAAACAAATGACCTCTTTCTAGATGTTCAATTTTTTTTCTAAGAACTAAACATTTTATTCATCTTACGTTCTTTCCCCCAAAGGATACCATTTACAAAGAATGAAAACAGCAGAAGAAGATGAAACAAGAACAGCAGGTAGGCTAAAAGAGAAAAGAGAAACACAAGTGAAGCAACAAATATAATGAAGACTGGCCTCCTAAACACCGTTGGAATATGGAGTAGAACTGTAGAAGAAGATTTATATCTGAAAGCAACGTAACCAAGTTGTAGGGTAGGTCTCCATTTTGCGCAGATGAAATATTGGCTTCTTGGACTTCTGATTGACGAAGGGGGCGATCCCCATCCAAATAGCTTTCTAGATGTTCGGTTTCCTATTATTTTCTTTCTTCAGATTCGCATTAGTTAATAGTTATTGTATTACATTGACCGATTTCCAAACTGGATTTATCATTCTTCGACTAAGAACCCAATGTGGTGATTCTTCCGATTAAGATTTAAGCACAAGAAGAGGATATAACTACTCATATAATTAAAACAAAAAATGTATGTATCTAGAGTTTATAATATTGCTCTTTTAAATCTTCTGCGGTTTCATTTTTCGTCTTAATTTAGTTAAGTGGATGTGTAATAGTTAAGTGCCTTTTAAAAGAAACACATCTTCTACTTCGTTCTTGCGGCTCTCTATGTTACTAATTACGTAAAATTGTGTGACAGTTAGAAACACTTACTGAAGAAAGGACAAGGAAAAGAGAAAAATAAAGTTGTGGCCACTTTCGATCGAGCTCAATGCGAACATCAAATATGTAATCTATACAAAAACTATAGTTACAAACTTTGGGCATCTCTTTTAGGTGTTGATAAGGCCTTCGACACACACCAAGAGAAGCAAAAGACTTAAAGTCAGTAAAAACAGTATATGTTCTTTACACTTCTTCTTACAAATCTTAAGGAGCCACCCGAGATTTAACAAGTTCGTGCCGTTAATCGGGTCACTACGTTTGGCCGCGATCCTTCCCGAAATCCAGTAGATCAGATTCAGAGGTTAACAAAGAGATGACGATGACAAGAACCCTTTTCAAGAATCTCATTTCACTGCATTTCACTCTTTCCCTGAGAACCATAAACATGTTTTCATTTGTTATATTCCTCTCCCTTCCTAACCGCGTGTCTCTCTCTAAACACGTATTCTGCTATTTATATAAAACACAGGAAACCTATAATTCCCACCACGTTGCTGTCTTGCACGGATTCATTTAAAATGAAACTTACTCTTCACTTCTTGTTTTGTACGCGACAAAACAGATTTGTTTTTTTCTTTTTTTTTTCAAATCAGAGGAGCGACAAACGGAAATTTAATACGTGGTCCTTCACTCTTTTCCTTTAGCTTTAATACGTCATCTCCACGTTTCCACCGTTAAACGGAAATTTCACAGCCGTACGTGTACCCATATATTAAACAGACGAAGATTTCTCTCCTTCTACATCAACTACTCAAAGATGTGGTAGAAATAGAAACAGAGGGATGGTTGTGAGAAAAGACGAGGTGACCACAATGACGATGAGAGAAAAGGGAACAACAAACCAACAATTACGACAATGTCAAACAAAATGGTGATTGTGATTCAATATTTTGTTGATCAGGAATATAGCGAGAATACTCAATATATAACAGAGGAGGGATGATCGTGACAGACGCGAAGGATTATGAACACGACCAACTGGTAGGGTCATTGGGAATCGCAAATCTATAAACTAACAACGACAATAGTGAGGGCTTGAGTGAGTGAAATCGAAAACTGATGCAAACTAATGCAATGCAATCTATATATAAATTGTGAAAAGATGCCACTACTGTTTGCAATGGAAGAGAAGCGTTAGTTCTGATTGCACCTATCTACAAATCATACCTTTTCGGGTAAACTTAAAACGATTAATTGAAGTTGTTTGTCTGAAAGACTTGCCCACTCTCGATATCAATAACAGTAGAAATCAAATACGAGTCAGTAAACGATTATATCCTTATACATCGATTCAGAGACCCAAACTAAATGGTGGCTGTAATTGGCGATTATATAGATCAGGACAGAATTTAGAACTTGGGAGAATTACCGCTAATCGATTCAAGTACGATGTCGCAAAAATAATGGAAAGATGGTGGTTATAAACCGAGAAAACCACATTCGGAACAAAAAGGGTAATCGTGATGAGACACGAATCGAATCACAATGCACAACAAAAGAAAGCTACCACATCTTCAATATATAGTGTGAGAAGATGCAACTCTGGGTTTGCGACTGAGAGAACGCGATCGTTCGCAGAGGAGAAGTCGCGACTGTTTCTAAACGCACCCCTTTCGACAGATTGATTACATCTTTTCGGCAATTTTTGTTTTTGTTTAATCTTGACTGTACGTTTGATTAGTTAGATAAGGTTATGACCGTTGGATTAGATTTCTTTTGCCTACAAAAAAATGCTGATGTCAGCAAACACAAAAGTGAGTTTGCTATTATATATTGATTAAATCAGGGTTTCTCACTAAATCACATTTTTTTGTATTTATCAATGCCTACGTACTACTTAGAAAGATGCGAGATTTCTAAGTAACGTACGTTATATTTTCTTTCTATAAAATTACCTCACACAACGACAAGAAAGTTGTAGAAATCGTCTTGGCCGGTCGTGCAAGACCTAGATGAGGCCTCCGACCATCAAACATGTTACCGACACGGTTCAAAACAGATTGATCGATGTCAACTTCACGTATTAAACCGGGGACAAAACCGAACCCGTTCACGATCAGCTCCATACCGATGACCTCATCGGCTCCAAGATGATCCTTAGCAAACCTCTCCACCATAACTCGAGGCATTCTCGTCACAACTCACCACTACCTTTTTCTTACACGAGCTGAAAACCCTCCACGTGTCCATGCTTACATCGTCCATGTAGAACTTTGGCAGTACGGCTCTAGCTACCCGTTCGATCTCCAATTCGCGGAAACCAGCCGTCGCTACAAAGATCATAAGCTTAAGAGCCGCGTTTTTGTAGCCGAGAACGTCGAGGAACAACATGATGGTGAAACGGATGAGACCAGAGACCTCGTAGGCCACGAGCATGAAGTAAGAGTATGAATCCTGGTTCTTCAAAAGTGTCCCTTCAAACTCCGACACGACCGAGGACGAGTTTGTTGTCAATGACTCCATTGCCATTTTTGATTCCTCTTTTTTTGTTTGTAGAAGAAAATGATTTTTTTTTAAAACTAATGAATGAGGTTTCGATTGATATTGTCTCTATTACGTAGAATGAAATGCATTAGGTAAGTTATCTAATACACACAAAGATTAAAAATTGAAAAATTATCCTTTTTTTTTTGAAAAAGCTAAAAACTCTCCTTTTCAAGGATTGGTCACTGGTCATGTTTTATGGACTGGCCCGCTCTCGGAGTTGCCACGAAACTTCTAAAATACTTCGCAGCTCTACCCCATATATTAGCCATATACTTTCTTTGGCTTATTTTTGCATGTAAAGTCTAGTTGTCGATATCTTTAGTTTTAAGCTTATGATCATATGCTTTTAGAATCTTACAACACATTTGAAAGTGTTGAATCGATGTTTAAGTTACTCTAAGACGTGGGAAATATGTTCAATTTAATGCTGTTTGTGCTGTCATTAAAGACATGAATACGAAAACGTCTAAAGCATAGTCAGGTGGTATTTATACGTTGATCACAAGATCTAAGATCTAAGAGTACGAACAGAGACAACGTTCGATTCTTTGGACCAGAATACGAAAACGTCTTAAGCATAGTCACACAACTCACAAACAAATATATGAAAACCATCAGAGACCATTTTTTATTTTGCAAGTACATATTTAAAAAAATGAGAGAAAATGAATCGTTTCTTATTCCTGAAGCAAATATAATACGACAGTACATTTATCCTTAACCGATAAGGCGAGAAGCTTACACAGTTACACTTATCCTTAACCGATAAGGCAGTACACTCGAACACTCAAAATTGTCTCCTCTCTTATCAAATATATACAGTGACTCAGTTTTGAAAATGCACTAAAGCTTTAAGCAGCATTATAAAAAAGTTTTCATCGAAACTCTCTTGAGCAATGATCACTAATCTCATGATAAACATCATTGACATTGTTCCGTTGCATTTAAAACAAAATCGTATTATTGACATTGTTCCGTTCCAGATAAAGTGTCTTCGCAAGTCGTCATCATATGTATGACTGTATGCATTGAAGATTATATAAGGTATTCAGTTTAAACGACACAACACAACCATGAGCTAAACACGGATAACCTCCTGATTCAACTCTCAAGAAGTAGAACAAGTTAGAAAATGTACCTCTCATACAACAATTGGTTCTTGTGTGGGCCTTAGCCTGAAGTCACGAACCAAGATCTCATCCATGAAAGTTCTCACCTTTGCCTGGTAAAGCTTCGGCTCTGGATTTGGCTCTGAAACATCTTCGGCCCAAAAGGTTATGTAAAACAGGAAACCTTGGACGCCCATTACATTGGCACTCACATACTTTACTAACTCAAGTTCTGTTCCCTGCCAGAGAAAAAGAAATTCATTAGAAGAAGAAATTAAAAGAGGAAGATCAATCAAAGCAAAGCTAAGCTCTTACAGATTCTTCGTTCTCTTCGTCGATGGCAGTCTTTATGAGCAAATCCATTAACTCCTCATTGCTCCTTTCATCATCGAATTCTCCTCCCCATTCGAATTTGACGGCTGCGAAGTCGTACTCGATACTCTCCCAGTCCACATCGTAACCCTAAAATCCATCATAGACACAGGAGAAACTACGATTAAAATCTCCGAAAACCTAAACCTAAAAGAAGTGGAGATCAATTTAGTTACCTCGCTTTTTTCAAACTGCTCCGCAAACATCTTTCGCTGTCTCATATATTCCGGATCCCTATAGTCTCCAGCTCGGAGAATTCGCTTATCTGCTGTGTCCTCTGCCGCCTCAGCATCGGAGAACTCTTTCGGATCTGTCTTCAACGGCGGAGATGACTCCTCCGATTCTGATTCTCCCCCAAACTTGGTGAAATCGGCAAAAGCGACCTCTGTCATTGCCTTTACTTTTCGTTTTCTTTTTTTGTTTCCCAGAAAGATTTCAAGAAAAACGATAAGTGAGCGTATGACCTTAAATTAATACCAGTAAAAACGTTTATTACAAAAAGACCTTCCAAATTTTTAGTTTTCATAAATCTACCACCTAACTACAAAAAGGTCCAAAACGAATTTTCTGCATCAAACAATAATAAACCAGACTATAAATAAACCTTTCAATACCGTCTTAGGCTTTTAACACTTGTGCCAAGAGATGGCTGTTTGCGGGATTCCTAAATGGTAAAATGATTAAAAGATACATCAAACAGCGTAACGAATAGGATGAAAATTGAGCATACAAGTGATATACCGAAGAAGGTTTAAACTTTCAAATTTGAAATGCAAAATGATACTTTTACTTTTTTTTGGGTTTGTTTATTCTGTAAATTAAGTAATATCATTTCACAATGACACATGTTTAAACCATATTATTAAATGACACATTTCACAAAGGCTATTTTGACCAAATAAGGTCAAAGTCAAAATTACAGTTAAAGCTTGGTCAGTTCATAATTGGAATTGACTACAGAACCGTGGTAAGCCGAAATTGTTTAAGTGAAATCAAATTTTTTCTTTCTGAATTTCAATTCAATGCTGTTTTGCTGTCATTAGAGACATTTATTACAAAGAGAAATGGCATTATATTACGTGATATACAAAGTGTACTCAAAGAATAAGGTTGGGGTTTAGGAGCCCAAAGTTATTAAGTCGGTCCCATACTTGTATAAATATCTCTATTGTGAATGTGAATAAGATCAAGTCAGTTTAATATACCTTATTCTACACATTACCAAAAAAAACTATTTCGGAAATGTCTCCGGGCAGGACACATAGTCTGTAGAAACGTGATAATCGTTCAATTCAGTGCATGTTTTCGCTGTCATTAAAATTGTTTACTCTCTTATAATTGATTAAATTATTCTAGAAAACATTAATATATAGCATGTAAAAACAAAAGCAATGAGTTACTATATTATTTTATCAGTGCGAACAGAAAAGACATGATCTTTTAAGTAATAGGTATACTTACATGATCTTCGTATATGCTTTCTTCTTCTTCTTCTCCAAGATATCTCCAATCTTATAACAAATATATGATTATTGTTAGTTTTGCTTCTCAAAACTTATATCGATCTCAACCAAGAATGTACTAAGAGTGTACATTCTAAAGAAAAGATTGCATTTGATGTAAGAATGTACCTTTTAAAGAAAATATTGCATTATTATGTTTGCAAAACAAATATTGCATTAGGATGTTTTCCGGCTTAAGGTCTCCGTGTATATAGCTCTGACTTCGACGAGACAGAGTGTGAAGGTACTCAACGCCTCTCGCCACGTCCAAGGCAATGGTAAGGCGTCTGGTCCACTCGAGCGGTCTCAGTCCTTCCTCCCACTTAAACAAATGTCTGCCTAACGAACCTTGAGCCATGTACTGGTAAACAAGGTGCCTTTCGTTTCCTTCGAGGCAATACCCACAGAGAATCACAAAGTTAGAGTGATGAACTTGGTCAGAACGCTAACCTCTGCTCTGAAGTCATCCAAGCCTTTCCCGCTTGCAATAGATGGCTGCATCCTCTTCACAGCTATATATGTACCATCCTGCAGTCTACACTTGTAAACCAATCCCAAACCCACATCTATCAATATTTACGTGTGATCACCAATATATATTGAACTAATCTTTGCATCGATGATTTACATTGAACTAATCGAACCTGGTTCATTACATGAATATTTCATTCTGTATTTTTTTAGTTATTATAGTTATTGAGAATTTAAATTATATGTAAAAAATTAACAAAAATAAGAAAAATAAAAGCAAAAAATAAGCAAAACAAAAGCAAAAAACAAAATGATAAAAAAATAGAAATTATATGTTAAAATTCGAGACTATAAATTCAAATAGATCATGGTTGGAACAAAAACTTGTTTACTAGATTGAGGAAACATATAAAAACCTTGCGCTAACCTCTGTTCATGTTTGAAAGATCATGAAATCTGCGAGAAAAGTGTTCCAGTTCATCTATAAGTTTACTTATAAGTTTGTTATCAAATATATGCTTATAAGTTTGTTGTTAGAGTATAATTATGCTATTTTCATCTATTTTACTTCTCTGTTTTTATTTAGTTATTAATCATTCTCATACTTTCGATTAATGCATTTTCTTTAGATTTGGGATTGCATACTTTCGATTCAATCAATCTCACCTGATTTATTGTCTGTTTTGCATGAGGATGAGTGTGGAGACTTAAGATTACGACACGTCCGTGTGTAAACTCTTTTTCTTTTTCAATAAAACTGGGAGCTAGCTCCCGCTGCTTTACCAAAAAAAAAAAATCATTCTCATTACACTCGAGTGACTTAATTATCGTATCTATCGAAAAAGTTTGTTTTAAGCATATTAGAAAGATAGAGAAAAATAAAATATATTTTTGGTGTAATATCCACACATGTCATGGGCAAAAATGAAAACCGAGCCAGCCTGAATACCCGGACCAGAACCCGGCCCGAATACCCGACCGCATCCAAAAATACCCTCGTTTTGCTCCAACCTCTCTCTCTCTCTCTCTACATTTTGAAATCCCCCACTTCTTGTCTCTGTTGCTGCTCTTTCTCGTTGAACACTCGAAGGTACGAAATTAACTCTCGCTTGCTTTTCTCTAGTAACGTTTTGTTTTGTTACTCCTGGGTTTGTTTTTTCTTTCTGAATTTCGATTTCATCCGATTTGTTTCTCGTAATGTTGCTTCAACCCTCTTCATGTGCTTCATCCCCACGAAAAACCGTTGCTTTAACTCATAGCCTTCCGTTTCATTTCTCTGTGACTCTATAATCTCCATTAATCGATTTTAGTTAATTTTCTCCTTTGGATTTACCCATTTTCGCTCTACTGAGACAGAGAATTTAGGTCTTCTGCTTCTCTTAGGAACCCTTTATATCCCAGGATTTGAAAAATCATCTTCGTGTTAATGTTATATCTCTCTTAAAAACCCTAACTTTGGAACTCTGTGCAGTCGCACTGTTTGCACAAAAGTTGCCACATTTGTAATTGAGTCCTTTTGTTTGTCTCAGTGAAGAAAGAAGGCTACAGTGAAGCTTTTAATGGCGTGTGAAGAAGAGAAGCAGACTCTTACTCCAAAGGAAATTATACATGAGAAGTTTGGTGCCAAAGCAAGTTACAGAATTGAGCAAGTTCAAGCTTCTTCTCCTCCAAAAGCTCCATTCTTTTACTACAGATGCCACTTGCAGCTACCGGAATTCTCCGTTGTGTCAAATGTCTTCAAGAACAAGAAGGATTCCGAACAGTCAGCTGCTGAATTGGCTCTTGAAAAGGTATGTTTTTTTGGTACATCTCTCTCTCTCTTCTGTATCTGTATATCTTTGTTTCCTAAACTTTAAGAAGACAATCCACTATTCATGTTTCCAGCTAGGCATTCATCCTCAGGATGATGATGATGATGATGATAGTATAACTGTGGAGCAAGCTTGGGATGATATCGCTCAACGCTTAAAGCATATATTCTCTGATAAGGTTAGTTTAATAGGTCCAAAAGCAATTTCCTTTTTATACAAATGACTTTATGGATTTAAGTTGTTTCCACTACAGTTTCTCTCAGCTGATCATCCTCTGGCTAGTCACATAAGAGCAATATGGCAAAGAGACGGTGAACGTTGCGGATCAGTTCCTGTTTCTGTCATTTCTGCATTTGATGAAACGATTATCAGCCGCTGTGAAGTGATTGACCCTTCAGTGGGATCAGATCCTGTCTTGGCCATGTCCTATGTCATAAAGGCTGCTGCAATGCTGTGTGACTACATCGTCTTATCTTCCAAAGTAGATGCATTTTCAAGGATCAATCCAAACTATCACGCAATTGTAAAACCTACTCATGTGGGAAGAAGCGTAACGTTCAAGGCCGTGTATATACGATGCACCATTGACGGTGAAGAGGTTGTTGAGCCAATCACTCTTGCTGTCTCTCCAGGCCAGTATTACTTGGATGTGATTGCTGAGAAGCTTGGTTTGGAAGAAGGAGGCTTAGTGTTGATATCCAGGACGGTTGGCAAAAATTGTAGAGTATACTCTGCAATTTCTAAGTTGAAGACTGATAACTCGTGGAAAGCAGATGGGAAACGCCCGGTTGCTGAGTCATCACATTTGGAGAAGACTCAGAATGCGAAAGCAAGTCTTGTTTGTGGTCAAGATGTTCATGGTGATGCCATCGTTGCATCTGTTGGTTACATGTCCCATGGAGATCTTGAACATGATGATGTAACCTTGAAGTCATTTTACAGGTCTGTCTCTACTATACTGTCTTGTTTTTTCCTTTTGTGTGTATCTTCTTCTCATGTTTTTTGTGGTTTCTTCTTGTAGGATATGTTGCGGTGTGTCTCCTAATGGAATCTATAAACTCTCAAGACAAGCATTAATCGCTGCGCAGCTGCCATTTTCGTTTACTAGACAGTCTAGTTGGAGAGGTCCACTTCCTAAGGAGATTCTCAGCATGTTCTGCCGCCAACAACAACTATCTGAGCCTGTCTTTACTATATCTACTACTCCTGTGAAACCACTCTCAGACCTATTAAGATCCTTCAAGAAGTTGAAAGACTCAGATGCTACCAAGTACAACGAGTATAATATGAAGAGGAGGGGAAAAGAGAGAGTACTATCATCAGGGTATAGATGTGAAGTGAAGATTCTCTCAAAGTCACAGGATTTGGTTCTAGATTGTTCACCAGGGAAGCTCTACAGGAAGGAGGATGATGCTATACAGAACGCTTCACTGAAAGCACTCTCATGGTTTAGTAGCTTGTTCGACGACCTTGATGCAGACGCAGAACAGCCACGTTACACGAGTGAAGATCTTGATTGGATGTTTGAACGGAATGTCATGATAAGAGGGGCGTTTCCAAGCAGTGAAAAGAAGAAGAAGCTAAAACGATACGGTGGTATGTATGGCGAAGAAGATAAGAAGCGTGTTCAGACTATACAGAATGGTTTTTTGGTTACTATAGGCTACTCTGTGTCTGTGGAGGTGGATGCTGATTTTTCCAAGAATGGTAAAGGTTTGAGAGAAGTTGTTGAGAGTAGTAAAGAGATGGAGTTTGAGGTAGGGAATGGTTCTATGAATGCACATCTTGAATCAGTTGTTACTCAGATGTCTGTGGGGCAAAGTGCTTGTTTTTTTACTAATATGCCTGCGGAAGAGTTGGTTATTGCTGCTGCAAATGATTCTGTGAGGACTCGCTCACTCTTATCAGGTAATGAATGAATGCTTCTAAATGTTTTGAATATGAAAGTCTTGAACTTTATTTGGTTTTGAGAAAGAATCTGATGATTTGTTTTGTTTTGGTTTTAATGCACAGAAGTCTCAGCAGGTTTGGAATACAAAGTACATTTGTTGGCAGTGAAAAGGCCAACAGTAAAAGTGTAAACGAATGGAGGCGGCGTGAAACTTTGCTACATTGTAATTTCTGTCTTTTTGTTTCTTTGCTATAAGAATTTGGATGGTTTGATCACTCTTATGTTACATGAGATGGTGGAGGTTTAATTCGCATTGTAACATCATCACTCTTAATTTTCTCTTCACTTTTCTAATTTCCCGGTTTATCTTCAAAACTATTTCGCGGGAAATTGATTTTTTTCTGGTTACTGTTCCGGTTTGAATTTAATTTTCCGATTTGATTCGGTTAGTTGATAGGGTTCATTTTTTTTTTGAAATTAAGTTAATTCCACTTTCGGTATAATCAAAATGCCTGTTCGGTATAATTTACTTCTACTTTAATTTGATGTTACTTTTAAAAATTTCGGCTTACTACGGTTTTGTATCAAGTCTATGAAACCGATTTGACAAAGCTCAATTTTGACTTTGACTCTGTTAACTGTTCCGGTTTGAGTTTAATTTTCCAATTTGGTTCGGTTAATGGACCGGTGACATTAGTTCGGTTAAAGAACTTCATCACTCTTCTTCCAAGTTATTATCGAATCTCTCTTTTTTTGTTTGGGTGCGATTATCGAATCTCTCTTTGTTTCTTATCACTCTTCTTCCACGCCGAAACCAATCAAACGAAATATGATCTCTAAACTCTTTTACACTCTCAAATTCAAAGCTTTTTTCATTTCCTTACACAATTTCTGGGTTTATTCTTCACCATTTATTCCGCGAAAGGTGCGATTAAATCAAAAAGGTATAATGATTCACTCTAGCCGAAGAATGCACACAACTTGTTCGACGAAATTCCTCAAAGCCCAAAACGAGTCTCCTGTCACGTGCTTCTTCCGTGACAAAGCCAGACTCTTTAAATTCCTCTCTCTCCCACTTATTCTTTTTTATCTTCTTCCTCCTCACTCGTTGATACTTTTTTTCCCCGCCTCTTCTACTCTGTTTCTTCTTAAAGCAAAACCTCTCGAGAGACCAAGAAAAAACTCAAGATCATTGAGGATTGTTACGCTCCCTTGTTCATGGCGTTTCCTTGCTTGGGAGATGTCGAGTGTGAGAAAATCTTCAAACTTGCCAAAGATTTCTACGTTACAGCTGATTACGTCAAGGCCTTGGAGGTAATTGAAGATTTATCTTCCGTTCAGGGAAGGGACAAAGGTCTCGTGTGTCACCTGCAAGGTACTATCTTCAGCAAACTAGCGAAGAAAGCAGAGAACACGGATGTGAAATTCACATACTTTCTGAGTTCTGCAGAAGTCTTTTCTCCATATCAAAATCTCGCAGCGATTGCGGCAGTTTCACTCTTTCAATCGGCGAAACTGATTGAATCTGTCTCGTATTACCGAGCATCTATGCGCAAAGCAAAACAAAATGTTGATGTTGAGCAGAAAGTGAAGGATGTGGTGAAGCATATAATCGAGAATGCACAGTCAAAGATCGCTGAATCCAAGAATGGATCTGATCTCGTTAAAGGGTCAAGAAACCGTGAGCAGCAAGTTAAGGAGCCTGTGAGAAGTGAAGAAGATACGAGAAAGAGTGAGTCTCCACTCGTTAAAGGATTGAAGTCATACTGGGCGGGTTTGAATGTTGAGCAGAAAAGGGACTTTATCAAAGTAAGCATTGAGGATTTTAGAAGCTATGTCGAGAGATTGTATGGCAGTGAGGGAGGAGATGCTTTGCAGAATTGTTTCACTCATGCTGGTGGAGAAGTAAAGAAATGGAGATTTTTCTTGTGTCGAGTTTGTTTAAAGGAGTTCTTTCGTGCTGAAGAATGCAAGAAGCATTTTGAGCAAGATCATGGTGCAGCATTTAGACTTCTCACAGCAAAGAATATGGCTCAGAGTATAAGTAAAGACTGGGGTCGTAAGATATCAGCTACAGATTGGGAACCAGTTGATGCAGGAGCTGCTGTTAGTCTAGTGAAGAATCAGCTCGAAGATGTGAAAGGGTTTGCATATGTGAATGGATGGTCCAGAGACTGGCCTTTGGCTGTGGATGAAGCTCGGAGTAAGCTACTTCAGGAAATCCGGAACCTCCTTGTCTCCTTTTGGGACGGTAAAATTCTCTCATGCAGCGTTCGAGATTACGTGATGCGTTATGTGTTTGACCAATTTGGGAAACTTGAAGTTTCAAAAGATGTTCTTATCGAGTGTCACCTAGCGGAAACACCTCAGGGTATCTGCTTCTTGGGTTGTAGTGAGCTCAATCATATCCTGGAGTATCTCAAAGACGTAAAGTGTGAAAGGAATGATGGTACTGAGCTTGTTTGCAGAGCAGTGGAGAGTTTCTACGTTGGTACTCAAGTCAAAGAAAAGATCGACTTTGACAATGAGATTTCAAGTCTGCTTCTGGATAAGAGACTGCTGCAAGGCAAGATTGCTAGGTTCGATGATGAAGGGGTAATCAGTTTTCTTGATTCTGATGCTCACTACGCCAAGGCACAAGCTCATGGCAGTGATATCTTATCCTGGTTAACCGAGCCATCTTCAGGAGATGAGAGCTTTCGATTTCCCAGAGCTATCAGGGCACATAATTTTGATATTTGGTCGGCTGTTCTGAGAGCTGTTCAGTTCACGTGTAGGACTCTGGCGGCCAAATATGTAAAGAAATCCAAGCTCCGAATCTCTGAAGAATTTCTGGTTAGAGCCGAGGAGTTTTGTAAACATGAAGATGAAAGGAGAATGAACACTCCGGAAGATCAGTGGAGCAGATATGCATCTCTTCTGTGCAATGAATGTGAAAAGGATAAAACGACAGTTTACACTGACACAGGTGTTCTCGAGAAACAAGCGTTCTTCTCCCTAGTACGAGATCTTCTTGAAGGAGCATCAAAGCTGACATTTGATTACCCTTATTCACGAGAATCCCTGAATGCTATACGTGAGCGTAAAAGTCTGAGTGATGATTTGGTGTTGAAATCCTTAGACCACCTGACATCAGTGGTCACCAGGAAGGTTCGTTTCTGAATTCTGATCTGAATCTTTATCAACAACAGGATCTCATAAAATTCTTATCTTTAAGTGTCTATTGATTGGCAGGTTTCTCTAATTGGTTCAAAGATTTTGCTGATGGAAAACTCAAGGATTCGTTTGCTGGAAAGCCTTACCAGACTTTCTGTTTTTGACTACCGCTCTTACATCCTTGGACCGCTGAAAGAATTCTTGCTGGTTGGTTTGAAACTTCAGTGTTACACATAGAGTTTTGATCTTCCCTGTGATTTGGTCTTTCACTTGTGCCTTATATGAATTTGATGTCTCATTGTCTAGGAGAAAATAGTAGAAATGGAATCCAAAGCCAAGGCAGCTGCATTAGAAGCAGAGATTTTGTTCGATGAGAAGAAGCAACCACAGTCAAATAAGAAGAGAAATAAAAGTAACAAGGTAGATGTTGTACTCGCGGAGGAGAAGAAACCTCAGTCAAAAAAGAAGAAATATAAAGGCAAACAGGTCTGAAAAAGTTCTAAATCGTTTATATATGCTTCGTTGAGTTTTTGATTAGTTAAGAAGGATGGTCTTCATGGTGTAACAGAGAACTTCAACGAGCAAGTCGAGTCCCCATGATAAGACTGTTGAACAGTAAGTTCCTCAAGTGTCTTTTTTGCATATTGATAAATTGTTTTTGGGTTTCCTCTAAACCAGACTGTGTTCTTACATGTCCAGTGAAAAATCTGGGAACGTTGAACCGGAAGGTGAAGAGGATTCTATGGAACCAGATAATACTCTTTCAAGTGAAATGGGTCAAGACGAAATTTCAACCAACACTGACAATCAAGAGGAAGCTGCTAAAGGTGACCCTATTTGTATAAGTGCTTCTTATTCTAAACTAATTTTGCTTGAGATGTATGATACTGATTTCTTTCATGCGCCATCTTCAAGATATGCAAAACATGAGTGGAGAAGATTCACTGCCGAAAGATTTTGAGCCAGCAGAAAGAGCAGCTGCAATCAGATATAATTCAACTCTTGACATGACGCTGAAGGTAAAGCAGACACCAACGAAACAGTATATCTTTGTTCTGAGATGCATAATTCTTACTTTCTTGTTTTCTTTGACAATTTGGGCTACAACAGGCCCTTTGTAACATTAAGGCTCTTAAAGAGTATTTGGCGCACAATCAGTATCAGTTTGCTCAATACTTTGAAGAAAAAGTTTCTTCTGCACTACGAAACTTCTTTGTTGCTGTTGTGTCGAAAGAGATAAAAGAAGCTGGACTCTGTGGTTGCCTCCTGGAAGACTTACTTGATTCCCTAGAAGAAGTTCACTCCATGGTTTGTGCTGATAAATATAAGTTCAGTTTTAGTTTTAGCTCATTCCAAGATCGTTTTCTTAAATATCTTTTTTTGTGTGTTTACTCTTTTCAGTCAAGTGATGCTGCTGAGCTACTCGTATCCATCCTTGAGTTTTGGCCTTGCTGGAGGAGTCCAGAAATAGAGAGTGTGGTAACTCGTCTTTTTACGTTGGAAGAAGATGAAAGAATGAGTTGTAGCAGATGCAGAAAGACCCCAGATTGTCCAGCGAAAAGTTCTTGTCGAATTGTTGTGGCTGCAGATGCAGTCAGAGACGTCAAGGTATGTTTCATTGATCTTCCTTCATTGATCTTCAAGGTACTACAACTTAACAAGTTGTTCTGTTGTTATATATATATGCAAGGCTGCTTTTGGTAATAGAAAGTTTGAGGACATCCTGAAAGTGATTCGCATGGGTGAGAAAATGGTTTGTGACATTGGAACCGGAGGGTGTGGAAAGGAAAACTTTGTTCATCGCATTATGACTAAATGCCCGCCTATCTTCACAATTGGTAAGTTGAATCTTATTTAGTCATGTCACTGATTGTGCTATGTGAATGGACAATGATGAAGTTTTGTGGGTTTGCAAACATAAAAGTCTTAGAATGGGAGAAGGATGAAACTGAAGAGGAAATATCAGAAACGGCAAAAGCTTTGGAGTGGGAGATAGATATGAGCAAGCTATACGAAGGCTTAGATCCAAACAAACAGTACCGGCTTGTGTCAATGGTATTAACTAATCTGAAACTGTGTCAGAAGTTTTTTCCTATTGTTCTTCTGTATTTCTCTGTTATAGTCTAAGAATATGTGATGCAGGTTGGTTGTGGACCTTGTGGTGAAGGAGAAGAAGAGGAATACATCTGCCTTGCTTATAAAAAGAACCGGTGGGTCAGATTCCGACGTGAAGCTTCAGGAAAAGAGGTAAGACGAAACATTGCACTTTGTCTTTCTTGAGTTGAAAGGTGTGAACTTGAGACATATTATTGATATATATGCTTCACAGGTTGTTGGTAACTGGAAGACTGTAGTCAGATTCTGTGGAGAAAGGAAGATTCGGCTGAAGATTTTGTTTTATGAAGCTTTCCAAAGGTCTTGAAAGACTTGTATCGACATGGGGACTTATGGGAACTTACCATTCATGTAAAAGCAGTTGCACATTCTAGTTCAAAAACAGTGTGTTCGTTGTCTGTATATATCAATTGAGATTACAAAGGAGTGAAAGTTAACAGTTTGTGATTATCATTTCAACCATGAAAGATGAAACTGCCGAGTTTGGGCCATATGTACATTTATATGATAAAAGATAAAAAAAATTCTCTTTTCCTCTGTTGTACTCGACAATCTTATTATTATGCCTTTTCTTCGTAGTTTGTTTGTATACTGGCTACAATATCTAGAATTCTGTTACGATTTTAAGATAAGTTTGAAAATTTATTTCTTTATTTATTTATGTTATATTGGATTTACATTGGTACATAAGTTGTTAGCCTATGATTTTCTTATAATTCTTGAAGGAAAATAAAGCGTAGGGTTTTCTCATATATCGTCCATCAAATCTGAAGCTGAAAGTTTTATGGAACCAAGAGGTCAACTGGAAATTTTATCCAACAATAAAGAAGAACCTGCTAAAGATATGCAAAACATGCCTGGAGAAGAAGATTCAATATCGAAACAGTTAGAATCAGGACATGAAGAAGCTGCAGTCAGATACAATTCGGCTCTTGACATGACGCTTAAGGTAAATCAAAACCTAGACTCTCTTCTATCCGATTCAGATCATTCTTTAATTACTTTCCTTATTTTAATCAACAAATGGTGCTACTACAGGCCCTCTTGAACATTAAGCTTCTCAAAGAGGATTTGGAAGAACAAGTTCCTTGCGCACTAAAAGAAGAGGGACTCTATAGTTTCCTCATGAGCAACTTTCTTGCTTCCCAAGAAGATGTTCATTCCATGGTTTGTGCTTGTAAATATAAGCAAATCCGTTGATATTGTTGTCTTAAATATCATTATGTTTTCTGTTTTTGTTTTTAACTCTTCTCTCAGTCAAGTGATGCTGCTGAGGTATTAATAGCCATCTTTGAGTCATGGCATTGCTGGAAAAATTCAGAAGGAGAAAGTTTGGTGACTAGCCTTTTTACACTGGAAGTATATGAGACAATGACTTGTGGAAGATGCAGAAGGAAGCCAAATTATCCAGAGCAAAGCTCTTATGGACTTGTTATGGAAGCAGATGCAATCAGAGACGTGAAGGTATGTTTCTTTTCCTCTTTGTCTTTCCTACAGAAGCTACTACTCTATTAACAACTCAAGAAATCTATATGCAGTGTGCTTTTAGAGATAGAAAGTTTGAGGACATCCTTAAAGTGATCCTCATGGATGATAAAATGGTATGTGACATTGGAACCGGAGGGTGTGGAAAGGAAAACTTTGTTCATCGCATTGTAAGTAAATGCCCACCTATCTTCACAATCGGTAAGTTTTATATAATCCATGATTGTGAATCTGTGATCTTATGTACACTCTTCATGATAAAACAGTTTAATGTTGATGTGTTTTGTGGGTTTGTAACATAAAGTGTTGGAATGGGAGACGGATGAAACTGAAGAAGACATAGCTAAAACAACAAAGGCTTTGGAGAGGGAGATAGATCTCAGCAGCCTATACGAAGGCTTAGAGCCAAACAAAAACTACCAGCTTGTGTCAATGGTAAATTTCTGAAACATTGTCTCAAACGTTTTTTCTATTTTTTTTCTGCTACATACTCAGAATATGGGGATACAGGTTTGTTGTGGTGAAGAAGAAGAAGAAGAAGACCACATCTGCCTAGCTTATGAAAAAGACAGGTGGGTCAGTCTCAGACATGACGATGCTTTAGCAGAAGAGGTAAGACGAAACATTAGCCTTTGTCTTTCTTGAGTTTTGATTGTGAACATAATAAAACTCAGACAGTTATTGATGTATGTGGTGTGATGCCATAGGATGTTGGTGACTGGAACAGTGTGGTTAATTTCTGTGGAGAAAGGAAGGTTCGGCCAGAGATTCTTTTCTATGAAGCTTCCCCAATAGAAGAGTGACATTTGTTTAATTCTAAAGTGTTCTTTCTTCTTATATGATGAGTGACTTTAAGACTTTATCAAAGTTGATCATGGAAGCTACTTTAGTGTTGACCCTTTAAGACTTCAAAAGCTTTGCAGATTCAAGTAGATGGGAATTGAGAAAACACTATCACATATAAGAAACACAGAAGCATAAGCATTTGAAGGAGGTTACGTTTAAAAAAAATACAATCTCAGGTCGCATATTCAGTTTCACAAACATGATGAGAACGCATTTGATTCACAGATAAAGCAAATTACTTGTATTACAAGACAGGTCTAAGCTTTACCTCTTCCTCATCACCAAAACATCTGACCCATCTATTTTTTTCCAATGCTACGCAGTTGTATCCATATCCATGCGAACAAACCTGAATATTAAACATTAGAGTTGTTTCTGGTAACATAATCTTCATCAACTGGAACTGACTTGGCTCTTACCATTGACACAAGATGGTATTTGATGCTATTTTTCTGTTATCTTCAAACTTAAATTGAAACTGAGGCTGTTATATATTCACAAGAACAACTGTTGACCTCAGATAAGTTGAAGGAATTTAGGATTTATAATTGAGCTTTGGCGATTGTTATCTCAAAAGAGTATAATGATCGAAATATTATTATTACATCAAAAGAGTTACATTTTTTTTGGATTTTAGGGTATTTGATTCATGTCAAGCTCCGATACAATTATAGGTTCTGATACAATTCTATCGATGTATCAGTGTAAAACAAAAATATCTCTCTTGGCTAAACAACAACATTTGTTGCTAATCGGCTCGGCATGAATGCAGTAAAGAAAGATGGATCAACCCCAGGGCCTACGCATAGTTTCTTGCAGTCGTCATTGGTTGAACAAGGGCCTCTGTAGTAACAAAACATTTGAAACAAATCATCTGAATTAACACGTTTTATCTAGCATCATTCTCTTTCATAATATCAAGAAATAGAGGAAGAACATATTACCAGTTGATTGGGAGAAAAGAAGGGCGAAGATTAAGAGCAGAGAAGCAAGTTGAAACTTTTGTGCTGCCATTTTAGAGCAAGTGGTCATAAAATATTACCAGTAGCTTTAGCTCCTTTTATGTGAAGATGATTTTTTGGTTTTTTCTTCTTGGATTTAGAGCAAATGGTCATATTCCTTCTTATATATAAGGGAGTAGTAGTCTATATTATTGGTGTATCCATTGTAATTTAATTTCTTTAAATGAGAAATATACACATAAATTTTTGTAAAGAAAAAATCTAAATGAAATCATTTCTAACTTATCCCATGAAAATATTGCATTGATTTATATACCATATTCTCTGCAACAAAATGACAAACATTCAAAACAAATAAATAAATTAAGCGTTTTTCTGTCTCATGCCATCTATGTCAACACAAAGAATCCAGTCAAAGAACAAGAAACTACCAAAAGGAAACAAAGTAAAAGAGAAACAGAGTAATTCACCACTTCTTGGTTTAGAATTACTATCACCAGTAACAACTCTGTTTGGTTTTTATTCAATAAGCAAGAAAGGAATTTTATGATTTATATTTGAAGTAAACACGATGATGTGTTAGTAGAGCTGCTTGGAAAAGATCGATAATGCCGACGAAGGGAAAATGCAAAGAAGGTTTTTAACTCATTTTGATAGGAGTTTTGCTGCATGTTGTTTCAAGAATATAGATGTCCTTTGTCCTGACTCCTGGTGAATGATTCTTGTTCATGTTATGTGTCTTCTTATGAATATTCAGATACTTTTGCTAAATATTTGGCAACAAAAGATGGATGATGATTGGGGTAAGAATTTTTCTATTTAGCATTGTTCAATTCTTTGGATTATCTCTAGTTCTTGTATATATGTTCCCTCGCTATGTACTATCTGCATACAATGACATATAGTTTTAATAATGTTCTCTAAGATGATAGTCTTTTTTGTTGCACTATTGAAGTTTTTTTCATTTGGATTCTGATTTTCAGAGGCAGAGGACTTTCAACCACTTCCTGCAAAATTTGAACTGAAAAGTAACTGGGATGTGGATGAGAATGATATCAAGGACTCATGGGAGGAGGAAGGTGAACCAGCTCCGGTATAGTTTCACTCTCAGTATATATCTTTTGATCATCGTCTTGTGTGTGTAATTTGATTCTTGAGATTACAGCTAATTGTAAAGGCTGCTACTGAGAAGGCTCCAAAGAAAGCAGCACCAAAAGTTGTTGAAAAGAAAGGTAAAACTGTTGAAGCTCCAAAAGCATCATCAAGGGAAGAACCTTTAGATCCTATTGCTGATAAACTTCGCATGCAGAGGTAAGAGTCTAGTTACATTTCACTTTTATATCCTTCTTCTGCATTAGTTTAAAAAATCATCTTCGTGTTATATCTCTCTTAGAAACCCTAATTTGTGGGACTGTGCAGTGATCGTTTAATTTCTGTGGAGAAAACAAGGCTCGGCCAGAGATTATTTTCTTTGAAGCTGCCCAATAGACCTGTGACATTTTCTTAATTCAGAAGTGTTCTTTCTACTTGTATATGATGAGTGACTTAAAGGCTTTAACAAAGTTGATCAGGCCAAGCTACTTTAGTGTTGACCCTTTAAGACTCCAAAATCTTTACAATATCACAAAGCATTAATTTATTCAATGATCATAACAATTCTTTTTAACCTCCAAAGTATCATTCTTCTTCTAAGTTCCTCTCCAAAACACTATTGTATATCATTCTTCTGCTAAGTTCCTCTTCATAGCCTGCAATTCAAGTAGATGGAGTTGAGAGAACCAATCTCGTTGTGCTAACTTCCATTCCAAAGCAACTTTTGTATCAATCTGGTCGTTGACAATCTTCTCCCTTTTCACAGCCTGCATATTCAAGTAGATGGGAACTGAGAAAACACTATCACATATAAGAAACAGAGAAGCATAAGCATTTGAAAGGAGCTTACGTTTTCAAAAAACACAATCTCAGGGCGCATATTCAGTTGCATAAACATGCTGAGAACAGTATCCCAGTTTCCAATAACCTGTACAAGCAAGTGAACAAAATACATGACTCAATTCACAGATAAAGCAACTTACTTGTAATACAAGAAAGGTCAAACCTTTACCTCTTCCTCATTGCCAAAATATCTGACCCATCTATAGTTTTCCAAAGCAACGCAACTGAACTGATCTCCATGCGCACAAACCTAAATATCAAACATTAGAGTTTGTTTCTTGTCACACAATCTTCATCAACTGGAACTGACTTGAGCTCTTACCATTGACACAAGATGGTATTTGGTGTCTGGACAATGACCTTCTTCGTATTTGTATATCTCACTAATATCCATTTCAGTCGCCAGAGCAGAAACTGTTTCGTATATCTCTTGTTCAGTCTCATTCTTCTCCCATTGAAGAACTAAACAATACATGCAAAAACGCTCAAAACCATTATCATGTTGTTGAATGTTGATCCTCTAAATAACAAGTTAAAGCTCTTACCAATTGTGAAAACAGATGGAAGTTTCTCTATCAGACGTTGAACGCGGCTTTGTTTCTCACATTTGCAAACCCTTCTTAAGTTGTACTTGATGAGATAAAGCATCTTCTCAAACGAGAAATGCTCGAATCCAGACTGTGATGACGATAAAACCAAGAAATCGTTTTATTAGCAAGAAAAAAGACTTCGATTCTTGTATGCTTAAGTGAGAAAAAAGATGACTTGCCTTTGTTTCTCTGAGTGAATTAGCAACGATGGTTATACCATAATAAGGTTTAGGACGTGGATAATCTGTTTCCGTTCTGCATCTGACGCAACTCATTTTCACCATTACGTCGAAGACAAAGTCGTGATTCCAGTCAGGGAGAAGATTCAAGACGGTTACTAAGATCTCAGAAACACCATTTTCTTCCTGGAGAGTAAAAGAAGAAGATGAAGAAGGTTGAGAAATAGTAAAATACACAAAAAAAAAAAAAAAGGTTTAAAATGTTTGAGAGAAGAGAGACCAGAGGAGGATTGCGACTTAGTTCGCTGAGAAAGTCATGATAATTTAGGCTCAAAAGATATTTTGTGAATCCTTCGTGTGTTTCTTGACAAATGGCTAATTTGACATGGCTTATGAAAACGCGAATCTTCATCAGAGACTGCACAAAAGAAAAATCACATTCTTGAAAACTTAAAACAAGATCGAGAAAAATAGAGTAGTGCATAATCAAAATCTTGCAAGAACCTTGAGTATCGTATTAAGAGCTAAAACACAAGTGGCGTGCTTCATCGGAGAGTTTTCTTGCGTTTCAGAGAGATCATCACTGAAAAAAAATAGATTAAAATTCTTTCTTCATCAGAGAAATTCTGGAGAAAAGCATCGAAGGAGATTGAATCTAACTAACTCACGGATCTATTTCGTGGTCGATTTGTTTGACTTTCTCTGATTCTGGAACATCTGATGACGACGCCATATCCGTGGTTCAAGCAAAAACCAACCCTTCTTCTTCTTCTTCTTCAATAACAGTGGCGCTTTAATTTATGATTCTTTGGATTTTCTCGAGAAAGTAACGGCGAAAGAGAGTTTGTAGAGAGACAGAGACGAGAGGAAACGGTTTATAAAGAGAGTCTCAAACAAGTTAGTTAGTTAGTCCACGTGAGCGTCACGTGGCTTAATACGTTAATAAGAGCGCGCGAAAATTAAACCTGTAATGCTATGAATTTGAAGAACTGAAAACGGTGTCGTTTTAATAGGTTATCTTGTTTAATCAAATAGTGAGTGTGAGTTTACATTGAATCACTGAATCATTGTACGAGGGTTTACCTACTGATCACTATTTAATTATGTACATCTGAAAAAATTTGAAAAAAGATCTTCTGATGGAAATAACAACCTTGGGGCGTGGTCGTTTTAATTCGGTTAAATTTCCATCTTGGTTTAAGAGTTTAATAATAATAATTAAATATATCAAATATGTGTAGCGAAAATTAAACCTGTAATGCTATGAATTTGAAGAACTGAAAACGGTGTCGTTTTAATAGGTTATCTTGTTTAATCAAATAGTGAGTGTGAGTTTACATTGAATCACTGAATCATTGTACGAGGGTTTACCTACTGATCACTATTTAATTATGTACATTCTGATAAAAAAATATTTGACTCATTGTTTTACAACTTTAGATGGAGAAGTTCACTAGCCAGACATAATGTATATCAAAGAATAGGCATGAGTATTTTGAGTATGGAGTACTCTCTATCCACCTCTATATTTGTTTGTTTGTTTGTATTTTGATCAAGAAAGAAAGAATCAGTTTATGTTTTCGAAACTTGTTGTTTTTCAATGGATCCGACGGATTTGAACTTTTAGGGTATTTGATCCATGCATGTCAAGCTCCGATCGATGATACCATGCATGTATCAAATACACTAAAATTTTATGATATTTAAATACAAATAATCTTGGAAGATTAGAAAATAAAGTATTTTTCAATTTCTATTTCAGTATTTTCGTGTTCGTGTAATGTGGTGTAAATTGAAGCCACGGTTGACGGTGGTCAACTTTCGGTGGAGAGGGTTTTTTTTTTTTTTTCGGTGGAGAGGTTTAAGGTGGGAATAAAACAAAAATGAAAATGTTTTTTACAGTAATTTTCCTGAATACTTTTTTTGACCAACAGGTTTTCTTAATTAATGCAAGAAAAAGAGAAATTACAGCCCAATAGGCTATAGTGTTTGGCCGAAGCCCAATAGCAGCAACCAGTGAATACTTTAACGTTTAAATCTATAGATACAGTCATTCAGTCATTACAAAAAAAAGACAATATTCTCCTTTTATCGGGAAAGTTTTTTATTTTATTTTTGTCAACTATCGGGATGTTTTAATATACATGTATATAATTTTAATCAATGATAGCAAAAATTCTGCTATAAAGTGATTGAAAAAAAAAAAAAAAAAAAAACGGCAATTCTTTCAAAGACCTAATCTTGCTTTGTTAACCCTAATTTTATAATCTATCTTCTCCACAGCCTCTCTACTGGCTACTGCAATTTGAGCCCATCATGATCTCCAAAAAAACTCAACGAACGAAGCAAAAAAAGAAGAAGACAATTCATCAGCCACCGTCGTCGTTTTCTTTAATTCCAGACGAAATCACAGAGAACATTCTTGCACGTGTCTCGAGATGGAATTATCCGTCACTTTCTCTCGTCTCAAAGACATTCCACTCTCTCTTATCTTCTATGCAAATCTACAAGACTCGATCTGATATCGGAGCCAAAGAAACATGCTTCTATGTCTACTTAACTTTGCCGAACCACCCATATCCGAGCTGGTTTAGTCTTTGGGCGAAACCTCAACAAGTCGGAACCAAAGGGAGATGGGAAAATTGGTATAAGAAGGATCCAAGTGGAAATTCGGTTGTTCCGACACCCTTCTCTTCTTACCAGTCTCTTCCCATGACAAACCAAGGCCAGTGTGCTTTAACGGTTGGTTCGGAAATATACGTAATTGGTGGACCCTATGATAAACCGTCTTCCTTTGTTCGGATCCTAGATTGTCGGAGTAATACTTGGCGTGACGGCCCTAACATGACAATGGCTCGAGAGAATGCGAGTGCGATTTTCCGCGATAAGAAAATATATGTGATAGGAAGGTGCGAGGACTTTGCGAGTTGGATTGAGGTGTTTGACATGGACACTCAGTCTTGGACAGCTTTGCCTGGTCCTGGCGCTGATGAAGACGAGTTACTGAATCATTTACGTGCACGTTATCATTACTGTATATTTGATGTGTTTGAAGGAAAGCTTTGGGTAGAGGTAGGTGGAAAAAAAGAGTATGCTTACGACCTGAAAGATGGTACATGGAAACTTGTAAGAGAGAAATCTCGTTTCTCATTCCCCAGCTTATCGGATTGGTGTGAGATAGACAATATATTATACGGTTGCACTGGCCTTGGAGATTTAATGTGGTCTCCAAAGACTGAGGGCAGAGAATGGAGCAAAATCAAGGGTTTGGAAAACTTGCGAGAGCACCGTACAAAGGGTTTGGAAAGTGGATGGCATTTTAAGATAGTTGGCTTTGGTCGTCAGAAACTTTTAGTTATGTGGAAATTTTCTGGTATCAACCAGAAAAAAAAAAAATAGGGTATGCGAAGATTTCTTTAGAATCAAGATGCAATGGACGTGAGGTTTGGGGTGATGTTGATTGTGTCGATGTGCTTACATTTCCTGTCGAATCATTTTTTCCCTTTGACTGTTTAACTGCTTCTATTTGATGACTCTTAGGGATGGTTTCAGTAGTGCCATTTCTTTTGCTTTGAACATGCTGATTTGTTCTTTGAGACAAGCCTTTCTAATTATTAGTTCTTTTTGTCTTTCATTTTGAAGAACATGTTTTTTTTTATATATATTGGGTGTGCTTTATCATGTTATATCCAGTAGATGAAAATGTTAATAGAGCCATGGAACTAGCAAAAATCAAATACACATATGGCATATTGATCGGGAAGAGGTGGAAACGATCTTCGGAACCAAACTTGGAAAGAAAAAGCAATCTGAACTAGGGTTTAGACCAATAAGAGTCGAAGTTAGACCAATCCTTAGCTTTGTCAGCAACTTCAGTATTTATGATTGTTTCACTGATTTGTGTTTTGGTCCTTCGCTCTCTGTTAAACGATAAAAAGACAATTTGGGTACAAACTTAAAGTTTTGAATCTTTGTTTAAAAAGGGGTTTTTAACACTTAACCTCGAAACTACCGAAAATATCTTATTAAAATATTGAATGATATGAGTTTTGTTGCATGTTGTATTATGTATTTATGTATACCATCATAAGTTATAATGATCGAAATATTTTTTTTTTATTAGGTTAATGATACAGTTATGTCCATGCATCATTGTAGAACAAAAGTATCTTTCTTGGCTAAACAACAACATTTGCCATTAATCGGCCGGCCAGTAAAGCAAAGTAGAAAAGATGGATCAACCCCAGGGCCTACGCATAGCTTCTTGCAGTCATCATCGGTTGTACAAGGGCCTCTGTAGTAACATTTAGCTGAACAAAACATTTGAAACAAACTCATTTTATCTAGCATCATTCTCTTTTATAGTATGAAGAAATAGAGGAAGAAAATATTACCAGTTGTTTGGGAAAAAAGAAGAGCGAAAATTAAGAGCAGAGAAGCTAAGTTGAAACTTGAAACTTTTGTGCTGACATTGTAGCTCTTTTTTTTTTGTGAAGATGATTTTTTTTGTTTTTCTTCTTGAATTTAAAGACAAATGGAAATGGTCATACGTATATCCTTTATATAAGGGAGTAAATCGGTGTATCCATTGTAATTTAATTTCTTTAAATGAGACATAAACACATAACTAAAAAAAATCTAAATGAAATAATTTCTAACATATCCCATGAAAATATTGCATTAATTTTTATACCTTATTCTCTGCAACAAATTGACAAAAATTCTACATAATAAATAAATAAATTAAGCGTTTTTCTGTCTCTTGCCATTTATGTCAAAGCAAAGATCTATCTAGTCAAACAACAAGAAACCACCAAAAGGAAACAGAGTAATTCACCACTTCCTGGTTTAGAATTACTATCATCCATCAATAACAACTCTGTTTGGTTTTTGTTCAATGACTAAGAAAAGGACTTCTATGATTTATCTATGAAGTAAACACGATGATGTGTTAGTAGAGTTGTTTGAGATTGAAATGGCTTTGGACTTCGTAGTGTGTATGGATGGTTTTGATTTTTGAGATCAAATTCATTTTCGGTTCAAACCGGTTTGATATAACTAACTTTAGGTGTAGTTTCAATTTCGGTTTGACAATTTGATTTTTACGTAAAATTTTCAGCTTACCCCGGTTCGGTGTCGGTATAAATCAAATTCAGTTATGAACCGGATCGACCAAGTTCAATTTTGACTCGGACCTGATTTTTGGTCAAAATCTGGTTTAATATGGCTGTCGTTTTTAATTGGAAAAACCCTAAATCCACCAAAACTTGTCGCTGCATTTCGTCTGCTCCACATCGGAAAGTTTTCACCGGCGAATCGAATTGGTTATCTCCATTTCGTTATTCCGTGGCGGCGATTTCTCTTCTCTGGCTGAAACCTACCCTTTAGGATTTAGCCTTTCTTTCTCAGGTAATTTCTCTTCCCATTTTCTCGGTTCGCTTCAATGTTTACTCGAATTTCATTCTTTTCATCTTGCTTGGTAGATGGATTCATCATTAATGTTACATGAATTGCATCATTTTAGCTTCAAATTCTTTTAAATCACTCTTGCTCATGGTCTGCTTGACTGATGAATTTTCATCATCAGTTTTCTCTCAAATGTCTTCTTTTGAATTTAATCCAAAAACCTATTTGATTTACGATTTCGAGAGCTTAATTAGTTGGTTCATCCTAGAAATTTTTGTAATTTATCATTGCCTTACTCAATTTCTATTGCCAAAACAACGCAATACGCAATTTCTATTGCTACATTCTTTTGATTATGTATGTATACGGAAAAATATCTTGTTAAAATGTTGAATAATAGGAGTTTCGTTGCATGTTGTTTCAAGAATATACAAGTAATGTGTGACTTAGAATGTAAGCATTACCATTGAGAGAGCCTTTGTCCTGACTCCTGACGAATGATTCTTGTTCATGTTATGTGTCTTCTTGTGTGCAAGTCTTCAGTTGAATTCAGATACTTTTGCAGCAAAAGATGGATGATTGGGGTAAGAATTTGTATATTAAGTATTGTTCAGTCCTTTTCATTTTCTCTACTTCTTGCATATCTGTATACAGTGACACATAGTTTAGCTATGTTCTCTAAGATTATAGTCTTTTTTTGTTGCTCTATTGAAGTTTTTTTCATTTGGATTCTGATTTTTCAGAGGCTGAGGACTTTCAACCACTTCCAGCGAAAGTTGAACTGAAAAGTAACTGGGATGATGAGGATGTGGATGAGAACGATATCAAGGACTCATGGGAGGAGGAAGACGAACCTGCTCCTGTATATACTTTTTCTCAGTATATACTTTTTCGATCATCGCCATTTTTAGATTACAGCTAAGTGAATAACTTATCTTTGATTGTTTGGTGTAGGCACCTGTAGTAAAGCCTGCTACTGAGAAGGCTCCAAAGAAAGCAGCAGCAAAAGCTGTCGAAAAGAAGGGTAAAACTGTGGAAGCTCCAAAAAAAGAATCATCAAAGGAAGAACCTTTAGATCCTATCGCTGAGAAGCTTCGCATGCAGAGGTAAGTGTTTATGTTTAGAGACATTTTCACTTTTATATATATGCTTCTTCAGCATTGGCCAGTGTTCTTATTGTTCTTCTTAATCTTAGGCTTGTGGAGGAAGCTGATTACGAAGCAACTGCTGAACTATTTGGAGCAAAGATCGAAGAAAAAGGCGTCGATGTTTTTATTCCCAAGTCCGAAACCGATTTCTTGGAGTATGCTGAATTGATTTCTCAAAAACTTGTACCGTATGAGGTATATGATATATTCTTTTCCTATAGTTTTCTTCTCTCAGCTAGTCGTTAATTTGTCTGCGTTATTAACTGTATTCGCTGTGTTTTGCAGAAAAGCTTTCACTATATTGGGCTGCTCAAAGCAGTGATGAGACTTTCTGTGGCCAGCATGAAAGCAGCTGATGTTAAAGACGTTGCTTCGTCTGTTACAGCAATAGCAAATGAGAAACTCAAGGCAGAGAAAGAAGCTACTGGCAAAAAGAAGACAGGTACACATATTTCACTCTCTGTTTTTGCTTCTTTACTTTTGATTTGTAGACATTGTGAATTAGTTGTTCTGAAGGCTAAGCATGTCTCTGTTTCTGAAATGGTCAGATTCGTAATTGTAAAATTGGTAATTGCTTTGTTTAAACTGTGTTTTTTGTTTTGTAGGTAAGAAGAAACAGCTGCATGTGGATAAGGCTGATGATGATCTTGTGACTGGCCCTTATGGAGCGATGGACGATGATGATTTCATGTAAAAAGAAAGGCATTTTAGAGACTGCACTTGCGCAAGTTTTGTTTCACAGTTTTCTTCACTCATTTTGATTTGAAAATTATGTAGTAAACGATTTTTTTTTATTGGTAAACGTTTTGTACTTTATAAAAATTACTAAGTTAATTTTGTCGAATTTAAGCAGAGAATGAAACAAAAACTCGTTTGTTTGTCTCAAAAGTTCCTTATATGTATAACTCACGAGTCACAAGTCACAACATAGAAATCTCAAAATGGAAAAAAACTAACAAGGAAGAGGAAAAACAGAGAATGAGAAAGTAAAACTAAAGATTCAAGTCTCATAATGATCTTAATCAAATATGAGCTCACAGGTGGTTGAAGCTCGGGAAGAAAGTGCCAACTCCTTGATCATCTTTTTGAAACACCAAATTCAATTGTATCACCCAAGATTGTTGTGGTGCTCAAGAGACGAGCGTTCTTCAAGATGTAAACCCCAATATCTATATCTTGTGGTCTCCTAAAGTATCTTGACCATTTGAAAATTTGTAGACACGACAACAAGCATTTAGGAACATCACTGGGCTGATTCCAGTAAACCACTGGATAACGATAGTTATTATCAGTCCCATGATCCTGATACCAACCAAAAGAATTAGATAAAGTCACCATAACGGTAAAACAAAAAAAAAGGTTTATTTAAGAAACTTACTTTCATGTGAGAGATGTCTAAAACTTGTAAGTTAGGAGAACCTTTGAGAAACTTTCCTAGGAGATTCGACGAATCCATTTTGCACAAACATAACTTCAGATGTTGAAGCTGCTTGAAAACAAAACCACCACCATAAACATCATCCTCTCCACCTTCTTTTCGGATCTGTATTCATTGTATGTGGTTAACAAATGAGATTGAAGACTTGCAATATGATAAATGAAAAAAATCTAAATTACCTGTGCACATATCGTAAGACGATTGACAGATGTGATGGATCCAAGAACACTCTTGAGAACAAAGAATACAACATCTACATATGCTTCTCTTAGCTTAGGCATGTTCTTAATCTCACAGTAGTGTCCTTTACTATTATGATCCTCAAGTTTGAAATACTTCAAACAAGGAGTATCTATCACATACCTTTCTAAACCCAAAAAATCATCTATAGAGAGTGATAATCTCTGCAAAGACGGGACGATAATAGTGATCTCTTCCATAACTTCGAGATCATCATCAAAATGTATTGATAGTTCTTCAAGAACAGGACATATAGATAGAAGCCCTTGAAGAGTTTCTTTACCTTTGTATACAACCTTTTCAAGTTGCAAAGTTTTCAGAGATGGGAGACGACAAACCATTGAAGGAACATCCGTGAGAGTCACGAATTCAAGTTTCAAGATCACGAGCGAGTTGCAGGTATAAAAGTTGCTCGGAAATATGTTTTCTTCCTCCGAAAGATAAGAAATATCTAGCTCACGTACATGGCGAGAAACTGCGATTTCAATCCACCGTTGGATATCTTCAGGTATGATGTATGCATATATTGTCTTGAACCGCAAGCTTTCTATGACCGGAGTTCTATGTAATGGCAGATTCTTGTCAATAAAATCCTGAAGTGAAGGCTGTAAATATCTTGTATAATCATACTCATCATACTCAAGTTTAGGCGACCACATCCAAAGAAACTGCCATTGTTTCGACAAGATGCTTGTAGAGACAGCAACTTTTGTTGGAAGATAAGATAATATTTTGATTAGCAAATCATCAGACAACCCACTGATTCTGCTCATATCTTTACAAACCCTAACCCTAACGGATCGTCGAGGAAACTTGAGTTTGACCTTCCTTTTTCCGACCCTGAAAAAAATAAGCAAAGAAAACAATCAAGGGAACATAAAGCCCTAGAATTGATTTATAAAAGGTACCAATTCATGTGCGGAATTTATGTTTCGATTTTAAGAATATGTATACGATGATGAAATATAAAAGTATAAAACTTAGATTACGAATTCTATGTTTTATTTATTTACCCTTTTATTTAACTCTTAAAGCAAACCAATAGATAGGTCTACAAGAACAGGACATATAGATAGAAGCCGTTGAATAGATTCTTTACCTTCAATGTAAGACCTTCAAGTTGCAAAGTTTTGAGAGAAGGGAGACAAACCGTTGAAGAACATATATCCATGAGAGTCATGTATTCGAGTTTCAAGATCACGAGCGATTTGAATACTTTGTAGCTGCCACCATCAGTAACAATACTAATTATTGGCATAGGAATACCTTCCCTTCCATTGCAAACAAAACGACAAAGCCAATGAAATAATATCATTACGTACATAAGGTAGAAGCATGGTGAGGAATGCTTCATATGATCACCAATTTAAGAGGGCAATTTTGTTAGAGCTTAAAAGAGACTAACAAGAAGAGAACTAAAGCAAGAAAAAAAACCGAAATTTCTTGCTTTCAAATAAAAAGGTGAAAAGACAAAAAGTTCGACAGAAAGAAGATCTCCAAGGCCTATGGAGATCTCAGCACTCCCAAGAGAAATTCACTCCTTAGTGGAGAGACTCCATACATATACATGTGAAGTAAAATCCAAAGCACATATATACATAGGGAAACACAAAGCTTTCAAGCTTTTGCTTGCATAGGAATATACAAGAACTGAGTTAAAATAATCTTAAGACAAGATACTTTTTGCAGAGGCAATGAAGGCATCGACAAGGTGGAGCCATGCTTCACGCCATGGACAATCAAAGCACATAAGTACAAGAACCCCTGTCAGCGCAAGCACACAAGTTGAAGCAGTACTCCAATAGAAAACCACCATGTCAACAACAGCTTCATCGTCACCAGCTTCTCCTCCTCCATTATCTGCTTCCTCAGAATTCTTCTTAGCTTCACAACTTTTATTGGTCGGTGGTCCACATAGAAGAGGATTTCCTAAGTAGCTGTTCTCGGTAAACGTATGAAACTGCCCTCCCTGGGGAATGGTTCCTGATAAATTGTTGTAAGACACGTCAAAGACAGCAAGAGATCTGAGGTTGGATATATCTAGTGTTGACAAATAAACCAAGGGACGCAAACCAACTCCGATCTTCCCTGTAAGTAAGTTGTTATCCATTCTCAACACGGACAATGAAGTGAGGTTTGTTCGTCTTGGGAGAAATGTGCCACTAAATTTGTTGTGAGAGAGCTTCAAGAGTTTTAACGAAGAACAACCTGTTACAAAGCGTCTAGGTAGCTCTCCAGAGAGGTTATTATGAGACAAGTCCAAGTAAGAAATGTTCTTCATCTCACACCCATAGACGATGGCAAATTCCCTTGTAACCCATTTTTCGATCCATTCATATATACTAAACTCGGAAGCGCCTTGCCAATATTACCAGGGAACAGTCCACTGATATGATTTTCAGAAAAATCCAAGACCTGCAAATCATGCACCATTGTAGACATCTGAAAGCTTGTGAAAGAATTATTCGTCAACTTTAGGACTTGTAGTTTTGGATTATTCTCCAAGAGCCATGTAGGAATGTTTCCAGATAATCTATTGCCGGATAGATCAACTAAGCGCAAGTTCTTTTGGTACACCAAAAAGTAAGGGATTTCCTCCAAGCTGCAAAATCGTAGTACAGCAACACTTAGTTGAAATTTTGGCTGCCAAGTACTCTCTGTCTCTATCTTCACCATGTCAGAAGATGTTGATGAAATTTTGAAAACCTTGAGATTTGTGAGGCTGGCAAGTGGATTGAGTGAGAAGAAGCCTTGAAAACTATTATCTAACAATGATAGATATTCGAGGGACTCGAGGCCACTGAAACTTGATGGTAAATTTCCACTTAATTGATTTGATGAGAGGTCAAGAAACCGCAGCTTTTTCAACCTACCTAAACACATAGGAAGCTGGCCTACAAAATAATTTCCTCCGAGATCGAGCTCCCGTAGATTCTCCATTTCACAAAAAACTGCATGAAGGTAGTTTGGAAATCATCAAGATGATGAGAACTATTTAATAAGAGTAGGTGTATTCCTCTCAAGAGTTTACGAGACAAACTTTTCTTATGTAATGTATTATGGATAATCTTGGAGGTGAAGCAAACAAACATCACCTTCTATTGGTATAGGTCCATGGAAATCATTCCGAGCAAGTCCCAAGACTTCCAAGTTAGTCAAATTCTTTAATTCTGAAATAAGGCTAAGACAAAAAGGTTGTTATCTTGAAAAAAAATGATCCTATTGGATAAGTAAATTGTTAAAAATTTGAGCAAACTTGCCTTGCAATTCCATCGAGCTAGAAAATCCATTACCTCCAAGATTCAGAGATTTCAGCTTTTTCAGGTAAGAAAACTCTGCCACAAAACAAGAGACACAAAGCAAGAGATCTCTATTTCAAGATGGCATGAACTAATTACAACATTTATGTGTTAATTACAAAACGCAGACAGGAATTTTTGTAAGGATAGTCACAATTGACGTAGATACCTCTTACTGGCATGGAGCCGTTAAACATGTTGTCACTCAGATCCAGCATTTCCAAATTTGTCAAGTCTTTTAGTTCTGAAACAGGTTCCAGGAATGATAAGAACTAAAGTAAAAAAAAAAAAAAAAAAAAAAAAAAAAAAAAAAAAAAGATAGTAGAGATTACTATAAAAATCAAACAGTTCAACCAAAGATACACCAGCAATAAGTAGGGTGTGGTAGATGGAACATACCTTTAACAGGGAAAGGGCCATCCATGTAATTTTCCCCAAGAAATAGAGTTGTGAGTGACGTAGCAGCATTAAGAAAGAGAAATATGCTGTTGTCGAACATATTTGACGAGAGATCCAAAATCTCCAGGTTTCTCAGTCTCCTTAGGCTTTGATAACCTAAAAATAAATTTTTGTTAACAAAGTATACAAAAGTAACATAGCCCACTCTAATCACTCTATTAAGTTCCATTATAATTTTAGTCTGTTCTACATGCAAATTCTGATTTTGAGAGTTGATCAGTACGGAGTATGTTTGGAAGGAAACATGAGTGATGGTTGGATTGGATGTAATGCTACATGGCATAGACATCAGCAAGTTAGTAGATATAGAGGAAGGTATATCAACTGTCAAGAATCTAGACTTCGAACTTTTTCATGCAAATAATTTTTTTTTTCCAAATAGAGACCACAAGAGGTAATAAAAAGGAAACATTGGGAGAAAGAAATCTGATATACCTTCCACATCATCAAACAATCCATTGAAGCTGGACTCGGATAGATCCAAACTTTGGACCTCTTCAAAGGGGTGCAGCAAAGAAAGATTTAAAAGAGAAGTCCCTAAAAAGAACGGTTTACCAAGGGAAAGCTTCGTAACTCGCCTGCTTGTACGATTGCACTTAACACCCCACCACCGACAGCAATCGCTCTTTGTGTCATTATTCCAAGTAGGGAGAACAAGGCTAAGCCCTCCTTTTATACTGTGTAAGCTCACGTGTTTCTTGAGCTCTAACAAAGCGTTCCTCTCTTTAACAGTACAGCTTTCGTATCCATGTATCTGTCCCAACAAGATTATCGCCCAGATCAAGCTTTGACCCAAGAGCACTTTCCCTTCCATTGGTTTGAGCCAAGAGAATTACAATCGGAATTTTTGTTTTTTCTAAAATGACTTGTAGATTTGATGTTGTCCAAATATATGTATGTTTATAAGTATTAAACGTATAGGAATCGGAAATACACAAGTTGCATAAGAAAAATATTATTACAAAGTCAATATTATCTTAGGTGGAGAAACATTCATATAATATAACATCCTTGTGGCGTGCTTCGCATTATCAACTCCAATGAAGCTTTATGCACTGAACTATGGCGAGTTTGTAGCTGTTTTAGTCACCTTAAGAAGATATGACTAAATAAATTAAAATTTGTCTGCATTAGCCACCACAATTTCCTCATCCTCAAGAGTACATCTTATAAAAAAAATCTATATCACTCGGTAAATATTTTCTACAGATAATGGATGAGGAGTTGGAATCAACTGAATCGAAATCGAGTGTTTGGAAAGTTTACACAAACATACAACACTAATAAATGTGTTTCGTCTTTCTTACTTACACTTGGAAAAGCGTTTCTGCGGACAAAAAACGGCAGTTAGTTTTCATGTGGTCCCGGGGACAATTATAATTATATTTTAAAGACTGCAATTTCCACGTCGATGACAAAACAATTTTAACTCCTTCACTGTCTGAAAAGCCGTCTTCTATCCAACCTCTCCGGGTAAGGGTAATGGATTCCCAATCATAAAAATCATTTTGACTTCTTCAATTAAAAAAATTCCAACAACAGAGATCCATCAGTCATGGAGACAACGACCACCACTCCTCTTCTCCCCGGTGATCCTCGCCGATGCAGCTGGCTCCGCCGTCGTCTCCGCCTCAAAAACCCTCTTTCCTCTGAACTCTCCGGTGCCGTAGGTGATCTAGGCACCTTCATCCCAATCGTCCTCACACTAACCCTAGTCTCCAATCTCGATCTCTCCGCCACCCTAATCTTCACCGGATTCTACAACATCGCCACCGGCCTCCTCTTCGACATCCCCATGCCCGTCCAGCCTATGAAATCCATCGCCGCCGTCGCCGTCTCCGAGTCCCCACATCTAACTCCCTCTCAGATAGCAGCCGCCGGAGCCTCCACCGCCGCAACGCTCCTCCTCCTCGGCGCCACCGGAGCCATGTCTTTCCTCTACAACCTCATCCCTCTCCCTGTCGTCCGCGGCGTCCAGCTTTCTCAAGGTCTTCAATTCGCCTTCACCGCCATCAAGTACGTCAGGTTTAATTACAACACTGCCACTCTCAAACCCTCTTCCTCTCCCCGTTCCTGGCTCGGCCTCGATGGCCTTATCTTGGCTCTAGCTGCTCTGCTCTTCATTATACTGTCCACCGGCTCCGGCAGCGACAGAGACGTCGTCGTCGAAGATGCCGAGAGTTCCACCAACGAAAGCCAATCTCGCCGGAGGAGACTTCGTCTTCTGTCTTCGATTCCTTCTGCCCTAATCGTGTTCTTAGTAGGGTTAGTGCTCTGTTTCATACGGGATCCGTCGATTTTCAAAGACCTAAAGTTTGGTCCATCGAGATTCAAGATTCTGAGAATCACTTGGGATGATTGGAAAACCGGTTTTGTAAGAGCAGCGATTCCTCAGATTCCATTGTCTGTGTTAAACTCAGTGATCGCTGTTTGCAAACTATCTAATGACTTGTTCGACAAGGAACTCTCAGCGACTACAGTTTCCGTCAGCGTTGGTATGATGAATTTAATTGGTTGTTGGTTCGGTGCTATGCCGGTTTGTCACGGTGCTGGCGGTTTAGCGGGTCAGTACCGGTTCGGTGCAAGGAGTGGTTTATCGGTTATCTTTCTCGGGATTGGGAAACTTGTTGTTGGTCTCGTGTTTGGAAACTCGTTTGTGAGGATTCTTAGCCAGTTTCCGATTGGAATACTTGGTGTTCTGTTGCTATTCGCGGGCATTGAACTCGCCATGGCTTCCAAAGACATGAACACGAAAGAAGATTCCTTCATCATGCTTGTCTGCGCCGCCGTGTCCATGACCGGCTCCAGCGCCGCCTTAGGGTTTGGGTGTGGAGTTGCTCTTTACTTGCTACTCAAGCTAAGAACGTTAGACTCTTCTTCGGTTACTCTGTTTTCCCGGTCGAACGATGGATCGCCGGTTGATTCGGAAGCTGCTCCCTAAATTGTCTGAATTTCAATTGCCAAATGTATTGTTTCGATTGGTTGAAAATGTATGTACTCTTTGTCAATACATAAAAAAGTTCATTGCTATGAGCCTATGACTTTTTGCTTCGTGATTCTAATTTTTAACACTTGTATTTTCTAAAACAGCGAAAGGTAAATAAAAATTAGTTTACATTTTATTGCAGTTAAAGTCCAAAATATACACATTCTGTCCAATATTATAAGCAGTTTGGCAAAATGTATCTGCACAAGAAAATGGATGTATTTGGATGCAATAATGTCTAGATACATCCACTTTTTTTGCAGTTACATTTTGCCAAATTGCTTATAATATGGGACAGAGAGAGTATATAATTAGTGGATTATAAAACTTAAGAAAGTATTTCTTACTCTATATACAGTATGTATAGCTATCAATTGTGGATTCTATTTCAGCAAATAGTTAGTATATTGAACATGTCATTTTGGATCTATGTATACGTAAATATGATGTTACATGGGTTTTGTTACTGAACATATCATTGGTTATCCTCGAAATGTACATTCACTAGAATATTCAATATATCTTCGGAGTATAAAGTAACACATTTCATTTCGGTTCGTATGAGCACGACAAGTCATATTTGGAGTTTGTATCTTTGTTAATACATATTTGATTTTTGCAGCAACTAGCCAAAGACGAGATAACAATCCAATCCCTAACGATAGGAGAAAGCCGTGTATCAAATGTTGAGGTAACAAAGAGAAAATGACTAAAGACTTAAAATAGACAACAACACTTTCTATGTAATACGAAATTCGCATAACAACACAACTTTAGTTTCATTACAAAATGAGATTCAATTGGTAGGATTAACGACCCTAATTGCATCGAATGACTTCTCAAAAACCTCATATTTTATCCGAAGATATTCATTCCAAGTGACTGGCCGGTATATAGCCGGTTCAACCGGACCAACGATTTTGGATATTGGTTTTATCTCCACGTCACCAGCTGGACCACCCCACAAATACGCAATCGAAATTCTTGACCGGGTTTGGTTAACTCTAGCTCGGTGAACCACACTCATGATTTTACCGTTGGATAAAATGTGAAAGAGGTCGCCGATGTTGATCACGAGAGCACCAGGAACCGGTTCTACCGTAACCCAACCGGTCTCTTCTCTAAACACTTGTAGCCCTCCCATGTTGCTCTGGTGCAGAATGGTTAGGATGGTGGAGTCGGTGTGAGCGCCTAGACCCATGGCTCGTTCTGGTTCAGGACAAACCGGGTAATGGTTAAGTCGTATGACGCCTCGGCTCATGTTCTGAGCCCATTCAATGTCCTCAACGGTGACACCAAGAGAGCTTAATATCCAAGAGAGAAGTCTGCTCGCTAATTTTTCCATTTCGCCCTTGTATTCTTCGATTATTCCGCTGCAGCCACAGTAACAAAAATGAAAAAAAGATTTAATTAATTACAGAAAAAGCCTTAATTATCGTAATCTACTTTTAAAAAACCCCAATAATCTCCATAATAGATATACGGAACACATTTCTATATATTGCAAAGAAAACTTTGATATTATATATTGCATGTGTGATCTCATAAACCATAGTATACATAAGTTCCATTTCTTTGAAACAATACTTTAGTGAACTATATGTATGAAAAGTGTAATGGACGTTACCAATATTTGGTGTAATCATGGGGCCAAAGAGTAAGGAAATGGTCGGCATAAGAGGCATCAGCGATTGTGAACCCTTCGCACCACATTTTCTTCTCGAAGAAAGGAGTCATTCGAGGTTCACCATAGCCACTAACTCCTTTATCTGAGGAAGCTGCTTCGAGCTTCCTCTCTGATGACATATCGAAAAGGGTTTTCGAGAGAGACTCGACATCGTCTATGAGCTTCTGAGGAATCCCGTGGTTGGATATCTGAAACGCTCCCCACGTTTTACACGCATCTCCTAAGAGAGTGATGACGTTGGGGTCGAAGAGGTCGATGACCGGAACGGACTCTTCCACTGCGGAGTCGGAGGATGTGAACTTCCAGGTGAATGAGTCAGGGAGTGTTTGGAGACTGCCTAAGTTTCCGATGGATACATCTTCTGTTATTGAAGGCATGGCTTGGTGAGATAAAGAAGTATGAAAAAATGGAATGCTCATGACATAAACAATTATACTTAGGATATATATACACATACACCAGACACACACAAACACACATATGTTATGAATATATGGAGATCACAACAAGTTTACTACATGCATAAAAGATGAGGATAAAATCAGTTTTCAACTCTGTCCTTTTCTGTTGAGCTAGAAACCGAAAGGATTTTATTAAGCATATAGTGACTACTGAGAATATTTATCCACGTAGGTCGTAACGGACATTATTAGTTTTTGTAATTATTACTCAAGTTTCAGTTTTATTTTGTAAAATTCCAGTTCCCAATCAAAACTGAGCAATTTGATTGGATCCACGTATTATAACGTTAGGAAATAGCAAACCTGAGCAATTTCATTTTTTAATTACTTACATTGATTAAAATTAGTAAAAAGTCAGTTTCTAATTAAAGCTAGCTAGCAGTTTTATTGGATCCACGTACTAAAGCCTTAACTAGAACAAGCTGTGGGTTCATGCATGGTATGCGTTACAATTTGTTTTTGTCATTACTAGAGAGATCTTTGATGACCTCAGATTTTGATTCCTTTGAATAAATTATCCTCTTGTAAAACATTTTTTTAAAAAGATTAACAATTTTCATTTTTTCATAAAAAGAAATTTAAGTTAAAAAATAAATAAAACATACCTTTTTCATGTATCTAGATAAAGTGACTCGTGTTGTGAAATCCAGGAACCAACAACTAATCTAAATGGTTACTCATATTACTCTGATAAAAATGTACAAATCAGGACATTTGGTCTGAAGACAGATTGTTTCTAATAAAGGAAAGAGACTGACTAAATTGAGTAGCTTTGGTTGCAAGGTACTGTGGCCAAGTGAGAAATGTGTAAAAGAGGAGAACATAGGATAAAAGTTGAACAGCTTCCTATGTTTTTTTTGAACTTCAGTGCTCAAAGAGCTTGAACTATTTATCTAATATTCTCCTCGCTCCGAGATCTTATTAAAATTGTCATATTTTCTTCGCCTTGGTCCTTGACTCAATTATATTACATTCGGCATCAAAATGATACAGCTCAAACTAGTTATTGTGTATAGAAGTGTGAAGGAAGAGTTACATCGTATGGAATTTGACTTATGCACAAAACCAATGTTACATCGTATAGAAAAAAATAGGATATGATGTTGTTTTGAGATGAGTGAGAGGTCTACTTTCTAGAACAACCAATGTTTTCTCTTTGGCTTCTGTTGAACTGGAGCAGCTGCACTCAAAAAGGTAAGATCATAATCAGTGTCCTCCAGCTAAACAAAGTCACAATTTTGGTTACATTTCCCGAAACACAAAAACAAACCTTGAATATCGTATAAAGAGTTATAATGCACCTCTGACCAGAAACTTAACCATAACTCTGCACCATTCCAAAACAAACAAAGCCACAACTTCTTTGTAAGATTGCATTCGTCAGATGATGCTACTTCAGATCAAGTAGCGATAAGTTTAAGGTGAAAAGGAATTATTTTTTCCGAGTCTCACCGCGCTTAGGTGCTTGGAACTGAGGCATAATCTCAATGAAACAAGTGTCTCTGAAAGATGTCAGCAAGCATATCTTTGCTGCAAACTGTTCAAAAGAAGATACAATGGACATGAAGAAGACTAGACAGAAAAAAAAAAGCAACAGAACTGTCTTTTTGAAATGAGAACAATGTAAAGATCATCATTTAACTATATCTTGAGTAGCACTTCGAGTGCTATGGACTTATGGAGACAAAAAGGAAACTTACCCTATCTGCTGCAGCTTGAAGAGTAACATGGTCTCCCCATTCTCCATGCCTGACATTTATGAAACATACAAATTTCTAGATCAAACAAAGTAGCTTAAAAGACTGATGAGAAATGAATATGTTTTTGCACAACATACTTTGCCATCTTCTTGTAATATCGTTTGTACTTCATCGGAACATAACTTTCGTACATAGAGCGATTGTTCTTGAGCTGCAGCAACAAGAACAAAACAAAAGGATTTATCCAACTGCAACAATGGTTTAATGCCTTTTGTTCATGGCTAATAACTCATAAGACATCTCACCTGTTTAACAACTTCTTCCCTCACTTGCTTGTGGTACTCTGAAGATCGGTATAACTGGTCAGAAAGTGCTCGGAACTGAAAAAAGAAGCACTCAAATTTCTCTATAAGATATGATTACACAAACAGAGAGAGAGAGAGATGAAGAAGCTAGTTTGAAAATCTAGCCTCTTATCACCTGACAATTTCCATCACCAGAGACCTTTAACTCACACAAACCATAAACATTTAGCCTACAAACACAAATCAAACTTAAGAATCAACAAATCAATCTGAAAGAAAGCATTTGACTTTCTAATAGGAAACATTATACAGTTATTACACTAACATTTTTATGAGCGTCCTATTTAGATTAAGAAGATAAGCAGAAGAAGAAGAGAGCATAAGAATAACCTTTGAAGAAGGCGTTGGTGATCGAAAGTGGCATCGTTGAAGTTGGGAATATAAGTATTTATCCGTGGAACATGCTGCAAAACAAGAACATATGTATACATAGACAGAGAATCAGAGAGAGAGCTAAAGCATGTAGAAAGATTTCATTCTGAGACTACAAACCAAACTTACAGCCACAGGAGCAAGATTGGAGAGGCGTCTGGCTACAGCACCATCTAGTTTTGTGTACTCTTCAGATAACATAAGAGCAATCATCCGATCATCTTCCGTATCCTTTTGACTGCTCCAAGAAGTCGAGCTCGAAGAAGACTCTCCCATGTTTTCTTCTCAAGAAAGAAACTTTTGTAGTCGTCCTACAATAGGAAAGAGAGAGGCACAAGGATCAGAGGAATTGCACGAATGGATCGGATCTGGGATTGAGCCAATCATCAACAACCACAATCGGATCTAAAACAGAATCGAAGGATAAAGATTCCAAAGAGAAGAAAAGATGATACCTTTCCGATTTCAAAGAGTAGGTCTTGGCGATCTGTTCTTGCGACGGCTGCAAGAAACAAAGTTTGGATCTTTTTTTCACCACTTGATTAAGATTTTTTGGCAGTTGGTTGGCGGGTATCTTACAGGAGTCCAGCGAAACCGCGTTCTTTTGTCCTAACAATAAGTCAATCTCCATTCTTTTTAATATATAAGCCAATAACGTTGAACAACTTTTTGGGTCGGAGGAAAAATTTTACATCAGAAAAATCATCATCTATGAAAGCTGAAAATGTTGAAATCGGATTTTCAGAGATGAGAAAGCTAAAGAATTTGAGTTCTCTCATCGTTACTGTAGATAAGACGAGGTTGAGATCAGAATTACCTGAGTTTCGGAGAAGGAGGCGGTGTGATTGATCGGAATATATCGCCGGCAATTTCAAAAGGAAAGGATAAAATTTTCAATTGTTCAAAATGACGAGTTGTGGTACGGAAAATTGGGCCAAAGTCAAAGGTGGAGTCTATAGATTATTGATTGTCTGTGGTCAACTCTCTTACTTATGGGCCTTTTTGGGCTAAACGTTTTGGACAAGATTCAAGATTACAACTCTTACTTATGGGCCTTGAAAAAAAATCCTCAAATCGATGTTGGCCTCTCTGTAGCATGAGGAGGCATAAGGAGGAGAACATGGAGATAAGAGTTAATTAGGAAACATGGAGTTCACTTCAAATGGAGGCCAAGATCAACCATATATATAAAGTTGGTTTCCATAACCACTATTTTCCCTCATTTATGTATGAGTGAGATTTATAAAGGAGAAAAACTCAACTCCTTTTTATTCATCAAAATCTAACTTGTAATCATGTGAAAGGAAAGGAGAAAAATGAGCAAGATGTAAAGATTTATGATTTAGGAAAACTTCCCTATAACTAAAAGAAAAAAATTAAAAAAAAATATTGACAACGGTATTTACTATTTCTACGTGTTATCGTAATTCGTATATATCGGAAACATGAGTGAAAAGGTTTAATATGTTTCCAATAGGAACTAGGATATAATTATTAGGTTAGATTCGAAGAATCCATGTGTATAAATAGAATTGAAAACTCTCTCAGAGCTTAGATTGTTAGAACGCTTAGAGAGTTTTAGAAAAAAATAGGGTTTTTGGTTTCTACGTGCTAGAGATTCTTTGCGTCTGGCATAAGTTACAATGGCGGAATCTTCGATTCTCATGTTGAAAGCTAGGGATCTTCTTGCGACTCCAAACCACGAAGGATTAGCGATTGTTGTTGATAAACTCTTTATGGATCGTGAAACCGACGAATATAAATCAGCTAATGCTCTGTATGACTTCTGCGTCGATAAATTCGCAAATCTCTTAACCCTAAAGCTTCTCAAGGTGTATGTATGTTCTTCTTCCAATGAACTCGTTAGATCCCGATCGATCTATCTACTTTCTGAAACTCTCACCTTATTCAGAAGCCGTAGTTATGAATTCTCTCGCGTCTCTTTGTATGAGATCAAGCCGCTTCTGATTTCTTGCTTAACAATGCAAGAAACCAGAGAAGCTGACATCAAAAGCCTCAGACGAGTCGTGTCTTTTGTTACCTACAATGTTATGATGTTAGATAATAGCGGATGGGACGAGCTCAGTGAATGTATCCTTGAACTCGCAATCAACGAACCTCTAAAGGCTTTTCACATCTTCATCGATTTGCCACGAGTCGACGAGAAGTTCATCTACAGGTTTATGGAGAGAATCTTAGAGGAAGCAGAGAAAGTATTGCTTAATCCTGAGGAAGATAGAATCGAAGATTGGGGTTTGGCTTTACAGACTATTGTTAAAATGGGGATTCAGATTTTGGATTCTGAGATGAAGATTGATCTGATAAAGAATCTTCTTTGTGTTCTTGTGAAGTCAGCAAGTGAGCTAGTGGAGAAGGGAATGGAAGAGTTTTTGCTAAGAGGTCTTGAAGATCTTGAGAGGTTCTTGTCAAGAGACAAGAACTTGCATAATTACAGTACGGCTCAATGCAATTTTGTGTCGGTCTTCATGTTCAAGATCAGAGAACTCGGAACACACACCAATGAAGCTGCGAAGAAGATCAATAGGTTGATTAAGTCTGACAACAATCCAGCTATCAAAACCAGCCCATCTCTTATACAACAACAACCACAGGAAAAGCAAGATTCTGTTTTGGAGAGAGGAATGGCGGAGCTAGCTAAAAGTCTCACAGAGTGTGAGGTTGATTGGATGCACACACCTGAGGCTTAGGAGTTTTTGATGGTTATTCTGAAATTGTCTCCAGTTTCATGTTTTACGATCATTGTTGTTTTTTTTATTGAACATTAAATTAATAGGATTGAGTTTTTTATTTTATTTTTTTCCTTTTTTTTTGGTTTTAATGAATATGAAAATCGAAAGAATGTTTCTGAAACGTAACAACAGAAAATAGTGGCTAGAAAAATATTTTGTGCTCCATATTTTTTTTCTGTTGCATGTTTGTTCATACAAATTAAGAGATGAGTTTTGTCCACAAGACATCCACGAAGGTTTGCTTATCGTTTGAATGCTCTTCACTTTGCTTAAAGGGTTAGAGCCTAAAAAACAATTTGTATATGCTTTTTTTTTTCGATGCCTCCATTCACTTTAATACTTTCCATAATATTATTAGTATTGAAAAGATTCAAGCTTATTTCAGTTTATAGAGTCATGACCTAGTTTGTGACTTTTTTGTTTCATCAACCAGGTGCTTCATATATGCTGTTCAACAACCTCGTGAAGTTATATTTGAAAGCAACAAGAAAACTGTTAGATCCGAGATAGCACTCGTGACTATCAAAGATGTGAGTTTAGGAAACTGGAATGCTTAATTCGACTCTTAGATTATCAAGAAAGTTACAAGGAAGTAATCTCGCTAACAAGCCTAGCGAGATTATGGCGATGAACAAGAGAGAGAGTAAAAGCTAGTATGAAGGCCTAGTGATTCTAGATGATTTCGGATCCCTTTCTCCATGGGGGGGTCTTCAATATATAGTGTTGATAATCGGCCGTCCGATGAATATTCTCCTTCAGGCGAGATGGAAAACTTCCTCTTTTGCGATATGGAAAACTTCCCTTTGTTCTTGATCTCCTTCCATTCTTTAAGTCGGCATGAAGATTTATTTACATTTCTCCATGGATTGTGCCTTTCTCTTCAAGTCTTGCCTTGTGTTAGGCCTAAAATCGGATTGGGCTTTGACTTTACTAATGATGACGGGCTCAGGGAAATGTGCTAATTTCTCCTCTAACAGAAACTGATTGGCAAGTTTTGCCACTTCTTCTCAAGAAATCTCCAAACCTAGAAACTCACTAGTGATCAAGGTATGAAAACAAACTAAATCCAATATATTCTCTCTTTTATTTGTTTGATCAGATCTCTTAACTTGTGACAATTCTCTAATCAAAAGAGAATGCATGCGATAACTAAGAAAACAAAATGTCTAAACTGAAAATATGAGATGATTTTCGTGACTAATCAAAGAATAATCTCTCATCACAACCGGAGGTCCAACTGTAAACCGGAATAGAAGTAATGTTTGATACTTTGATGATATACGTCCGGTTCGGTGGGATTCTGATATTTCTGAGTCAACAAAAATTAAACCGGAGTTAGATCTCAAGTTCGGTTTATAATTCAATTTCGGAATAAATAAAACGCAAACTTCTTCAAACCCATCTCTTTCCAGAAGATTCTCAGTCAAACAGAGAGCCGAGATTTTCTCGGGAAAATTTCAGAGTCTGGTGCAATGGCGAGAACTCCGGATCTTTGGCCGAAGGCCATGGATCTTCTCCGTAAAAAGAGTCTCAGTGAAGTAGCGGAGGCTTTATTCCCACTCCTGATGGATCAAGAAACCACCACCCAGTACCGATCGTCTCTCGCTCTGTACAAATACTGCGTCGATACTGCCCCAGACGCCTTAACCCTAAAGCTCCTCAGTGTCTATCCATCTTCTTTCTGCCCCATTTTCCGATTCCAATGGATCCATCTCCTCTCCGGAACCATCACCTATCTAAGAAACCACAACTTCAGATTCTCCCCAACCTTTCTCCCTCGAATCAAACCCCAATTGATCGCCTGCGTGAATCTGAAAGAATCAAAAGACTCCGAAACCAAAATCCTCGCTCGAATCGTCTCTTTCGTAGCCGAAAATGTAGCAGCTAGCGACGGAGAATGGATTGAGCTTAGCGATTGTATCATCGACCTCGCGAAGAAGGAGCCTCGCAAGGCTTGTCTCGTCGTCCTCGATCTCCCCCTTTCCTACGGGAGATTCATCAACCGGTTCGCGAGATTGATTCTGGAAATGGCGAAGGTGCTGCTCAATCCCCAGCTCGTCGAATCGAAAGATTGGAGTTTGGTTTTACAAACCGCGATCAAAATCGGCGTTTTGCAATCCGATTCGCGAAACGCCGTTGAAACAATCGTTGTTGACACAGCGGAGAATCTGGCGAAAAATGGAATTACGAGAGAGCTTCTTCTCAAAGGAATCGAAGATCTCAAGCTGTTCTTGGCGAGAGATGGGATTTTTAACAGATACAGCAAGGAGCAACTCGTTTACGTCGGGTGGTTAGTTTTCCAGATCTCAGCTTGTTGCCACCAAAGCATAGAACAGAGCAAGAGAGTCTCTGGTGAGGTTTTGCGAGTGATGAAGAAGCCGAAAAAGCACCACCGTGAACACGGTGGAGAAGGATTTGAGAGTGACTGGTGTGAGTACTTGACTGAGTTTCCAACGGAGGACTTGTTGAGAGTCTTTGCGTCGACTAATCTCGGAGAGAGGTGCAGAGAGTTAGCGATCAGACGGCTCAACGGTTTGCTCTCTGACCACGCTTCGAAGAAGGAGAGGATTGAGATTCGAGTGATGAGGCTGCTCCAGAGAGATCTCATCGAGCGGCTCAAGGAAGAAGGACTCGCTGAGCATTTGTTTATAGTGCTAGGTGAAGTGGTGGTCCACGTGGCGAACGAGCTGGCGAGCTCTCAGGACGACAAGTGGTTCGATCTCTGGCACTACATTGCGACGGAGTGCAAGACGGAGTTCAAGAAGGCGGTTTATATTTTTCAGTGCTTGACGATGATGGTTGATGCTGATAAAGACTTTATGGTTCCGACGATTGAGAGTCTGATACCGGAGATTAGCTCGAGGCTGAAACCGCCGGGGGATTTGTTGGTGGTTGTGGATGAGAGGTGTTGGTCCGCGGCGTTTGTTGGTGCGTTCTGTGTCGTCGTTCATTTGGTGGAGATTAGGGATCGCGTTGAGACTGTGAAGGAGGTTTTGTTTAGTATGGTTGGTTCGGTGAGAGAGCTTGTGGAGAGAAGAATGGAGGTTGAGTTTGTGATGAGAGCTTTTAAAGATGTGGAGAGCATTGTGAAGAAGCAGATGAGTTGGTATAGTACGGGGGAGTACAGAGTCGTTAAGGGTTTGCTTTGGAGGCTTGGTGAGATTGAAGGCATGGAAATGGAGAGTAAGGATGTGTTGTTTAGAATGGAGATGAGTCTTGAGAGGGGAGTGTTCGATGCGCTGAAAGGTATCCCGAAGAGTGAGCTTGATTGGTTGAGCAAACCTGAGGCTTAGGACTTTTGTATCATCTGAAATTGATGCATGCATGGAGGAGTTTAGTTTTTGATGTATAGAAGAAAAAAAATTGTAAAGAGAGACGGAGATGGATTAGAGTTTCCAAAATGTACATATTTCTCAAAACGCTTGAATAAAAGTATGTTTCCTATTCTGAAAAATGTAACAATTACATTGGATCTTTCACTTGGTGATTGGCATGAGTACTTATCTTGCTGATCAGCTTGAACTTTGACAACTTCGAGACACCTTAAATTCACAATGAAAGGTCTCATTTGTTTCACTTCTGTACAACATCATCCATAGCTTCACTGGACACGAAGATAAACAGCAACTCGTCTTCTTCTTCATCATGTCATGATCGCAAACACTCACATCTCCACATGCATCAGTAGTCTTGTCTATAAGACTCTGAGAGTGAAAGGGATAACAAACATCACAATCAGAAAGTAAATATGTTAGGTTTACTTTGTTAGATACTTAGATTAGGTTGTTTGTTTATTGTTTTGACCAAAGGCATACTTAAATTAGGTTGTTTGTTTTCATACGTTGATAACTAGAGTTTCTAGTTGGAGATTTCTTGAGCAGAAGTGGACATTCCTTGTGGCAGTCAAAAGATAACTTAAGTACTTAACGAGGTTATTATATTCGGAAATACAAACACATATAGAAATGGATTTACCAACAGAAATAAAAATACAATTACAACATACAGTATTTGTTAATTTCAACAGAAATAGTGCCGTATTAAGAAAACTTTCTCTCTCTTTTTTTCTTTTTCTTTTTGGTAAAATACGAGAAGTTTGTCTCACAAGCATTGTATAATGAATCATTCGATGGATTGGGATGACATGTCAACACCTCAACATTGTCAAATGGGTATAGTTTCGATGAGCACGGAGACGATGTGTTCTTTCAAGAACTCGGGGTGGACGAAAGCATCTTGGTACCTATAGAATACGTCGATGACTCGCGAAAGGTTAAGGATTCTCATCAAAAGAGGGAAAGGATATGAATGAGGCCTCATTAGCTCCTGATTCAAGTCTTTCCATGCATCTGAAGCAATGTTTCTTATCACTTCAACGGCTCTTTCCTTGGAAACACCAAACTGCTTCATATAACAATCAATGCCCGTTGCTACATGCTCCCTTTTGTGCTCAAACTGCAACCACAATATGTCAAATGTATCCCAAAAGTTAATGAGGATTCCAAAACTTAGAACTTTTGATTACAATTGCGTGCGTGCTCACCTCGTAGCTAGAAATGTCATCAGTGAACCGACATATCGTCTCAGAAGCTACTCTAATTTTAGGGTGTGAGCTTAACCATTCATAGGCATCAAGGTTCGCGACATCTACCATTCCTGCGAATGCCACGGCTATAACGCCATAGTAACCAGATGAAAAGATAACATTCTCTTTATACTCGTCAAATGTAGCAATGTAATCCTTCTTCAGCCACTTTGCCTCTTTTATATATCCACTCAATGTTGATTTAAACTGATTGTGAATAATATTTCAAGTTAGATGTGAATACTCATTGATAAAAATTAATTTAATCAGAACGATGCTCAAAGTTGATTAGTCTTAACTGATTTCTTAAGATGGAAGCCACAACCTGACCTCCCTTCCTTCTCAAACTGCTCTTCGATTTTATCATAGAAATCTTCAGTGACGCGGTACATGTGCTTCATGCTGTCAGGTATCCCGTTAGGGGCAGCGGGAAGCCACCTGTGAAAAGCCATCCATCTTATAAGCAAGAGTGCATCGAGAATTTCAAAAATTTATAATACAAAGATTATGTTTGCGTACTTTTCCATTGCATCTGTGAAAAGCTCAAGTTCCTCCAGTGTGCCATAGGCATCATATATGTCATCAACTACCGTGAATATAATTAACGCAATAGCTAATATAACTCGTGCTTGATAATATTGTGGCTCGAAATATGCTCCAAGTGACCACAAGTACAACTCTGTTACTCTATGCCTTGTGTATGGTACTTTAGATTCCATTTCCATTTCACTGTACCACCTGAAATGTTACGTAAATAAAACTCTACTTCATGCAAGAAAAAGTACGTGTATAATATATAGTTGAGCAAAGCCCATATAGTTACCTTGTAACGCAAGCAAGCTCTTGGCGGTGCAACATTTGCAGCAGATGAAAATCTATCTTTGCAAACTCTTCTGCAGTAATAAAGCGTCACAGGACTCTTCTGCCTCGTAGTATGAGATATACTGTCTTGTTTCTATCCTTGAGATGCCTTTGTGGTACGGATGTTTTAGAGCATTCTTGATGCGTATTGCTAGATGGGGGCTAGATTGAGAAATATTAATGACTTCTTCTAAACGAGACCTTGAGAATGCGAGAGCTTCGTCTAATATGTCTTCTACATGAGTGCACTACTGTGCAGCTTCGTACAAGCTTAACATCCCGTTTGCGTCTTCCAGTAAATGTCCTTTGAAGCTTCCATCTCCGGCCTTGAACTTATTAAACACATCTTGAGATGTGTAAATAAAAACTTTGGTTAAATGAATAGTTTGTAGTTTCTCCATTCGTATATAATAAAGTAAACTAACTTACCAACTGAAAGTTTGAAGCCGAATTGCCTGAAAACTTGGAAAAGTATTCCAACCGTGTATAAATCGCATCCCTCCTCTCTTATCATCTGATTAAAATCAAGACTACCAAATGACTTCTCTAGCTGCTCTACGATGTCTCTCTCAAAGTGATAGGAGACACCAAGGCGACATAGAGCATCGATGAACTTAATGTTCTCTGTGGGATTCTCTCTTGAAGCCATAAACGATTCATTCACAACCTCCTTTAGCTTACTATGCTTTTCTTTGAACGTCTCAGTTCCCTATATATATGGCAATCTAGCTAATTTTAGTATACATGATCTGAGTAAATCAAATCATAGTAGGGCTACTTAAAAAGTATTCCGATTTTAGCGTTTAAAATGAAAATGATATACGTACCAGGTCAGACTGTGAGAGAGAATCTAAGAGACCTTCCCAGATGTTCTCTGGATAATCAGCTAGTGGACGGTGGACTTCACTCGTCATGCTAAAACTTTCAGGTATACAATTATCTTCTCAGCTCAAAATATCACTTGTGGTTCCACAAAATTTCCACAATATATCAATATAGTGTTTCTTCACACCTTTAAGATTGGAGGAAGGTGATTTCAAAGGAAAATAATAAAGGATTGGAGCGTAGCGCTCAGCACATTAGACATGTAACTAAAATGAGCTGTGCTTTAAAATAAAATTAGTAAATGTCTGCCTACTTCGAATAATAAAATCTTACAATCACATGCCTTTGATTGTAGAGAGCTGTTATCCTTACCAATTACCCTTTATTATACTCTCATTAGAATCGTTTGAGAGTATTATTTGGATGTAAGATTGTTTTTTGTAAAGTTGAAAGATTGTGTAATCTTTCAATCACATGCTTCTCATATCATTATGTTATCCTAGAATTAAAGTACAAACTGTCACTATATTTTAAACTTTTTCTTAGGGTTTTCATTATATGTAAAATGTGTTGAAGTGTTTTATGTCCATTCGAAATAGTTTTCTCATCTCTTTGGTTTTAAGAATCTTAACATGTGAAACCATCATAATGATGCCAAAATGAGCAAAAGAACACCCAAAAATGTTAAGCTTCTAAGATCCATCGAGGTTCTGCTCAAGTATTGAGAAATAAGCACATTTTCAAAGAAACTCTTCTCTATCTCTGTCTTTCTTTACAGTTTTTTTTTTCCCTTTTACATATCAAAAACTATACATAAATTCCAGATGATAACAAAACTCCTAAGCCTCAGGTTTCTTCAACCAATCAAGCCATCCCTTTGGATACTCTTTAACCACATCTTTCACTCCTCTCTCGACAATCTTGTTGATCCTCCACAACACAATCTTACTCTCCATTTCCATGCCTTTGATCTCATACAGCCTCCGAAGCAAACCCTTAACGAATCTGTACTCGCTCGCACTGTACCACTTCAACTCTTTCTTCACAACGCTCTCCACATCTCTAAAACCTCTCCTCACAAACCCTACTTCCATTCTTCTTCCCACAAGCTCTCTCACCGAACCAACCATAATACACAAAACCTCCTTAACAGTTTCAACGCGATCACTCATCTCTACCAAATGAATCATGGCACAGAACGCACCCACAAACGCCAAGGCCCAACAACTCTCATCTACCAAAGGATGTTTAAGCCTTCTTGTTATCTCCGGGAGCAGATTATCAACCGCAGGAATCACAAATTCTTTATCCTCAAGCCACATTGTCAAGCACTGGAACACATAAACAGCTTTCTTAAACTCTGTTTTGCATTCTGATCCAATGTAGCTCCAGAGATCAAACCATTTATCCTCTTCAGAGCTCAACATCTCATTAGCAACGTGGAACACAACTTCACCTAGAACTCTAAACATGTTCTCAGAGACTCCTTCTTCCTTGAGACGCAAGATAAGATTCCCCTGGAGCTGTCTCATCACTTGAACCTCTATCTTCACCTTCTCCGAAGTGTGTTCAAACAGTACAAAGTTGAGCCGCTTGATTGCTAATTCTTTAGACTCCCCTCCGATGTTCTTCAACGCATAGACTCTCAAAACATCCACCGGAGATAACTCCGTCAAATAGTCCCACCAGTCACTCGCAAATCCAACATCTTTCTCATACTTTCTCGGTTTCTTAAGCACTCTAAGAACCTCACTCGTGACTCTCTTGCTCTGTTCAATCGTTTGGTAGCAACAAACAGCGATCTTGAAAACTAACCACCCGACGAAGAAGCGTTGATCGTCGTTGTACCTACAAACAATCCCATCTCTCGCTAAGAACTTCTTGAGATCTTCAATCCCTTTTTGTAGAAACTCTTTCTTCACCGTTTCCTCAGCTGGCTTCAGAACAATCCTCTCAACGTCGGTTTCTGAATCCGAGACCTGAACAGCGATTTTGATTGCGGTTTGCAATGCCAAACTCCAATCTCTCTCTCCACCACCGAGCAGCATCGTCTCGGTTTTCTCCAGAATCGGTTTAGCAAACCGGGTGATGAATCTCCCGTACGCTAGCGGCAGATCGAGGACGACGAGACACGCCTTCCGGGGATCGGTGTTCGCGAGCTCGAGGATGCAATCGCTGAGCTCGTTCCATTCTCCGCCGTTGTTGTGGGCTACGAAGGAGACGATTCTCGCGAGGATTTTGATGTCGGATGGTTTGGATTCTTTCTTCCATAAGCAGGAAATCAGAAGGGGTTTGATGAGATTGAGTTCCGGGGGAGAGAATCTGAAGTTGCAGTTTCTTAAATCGGAGATTGTTTCGGAGAGGAGGTGGATCGCTCGGAATCGGAAAATGGCGCTGGGAGAAGATAGATAAACGTTGAGGAGCTTACGGGTTAGGGAATCTGGGGAAGTGGCGACGCAGTGTTCGTAGAGAGCAAGCGACGATTGGTGTTCGCTGGTTTCTTGATCCATGAAGAGTGGGAATAAAACCTTCGCTACTTCTTCTAAGTTTCTAGTGTTGAGAAAAGCCGTGGCTTTCGCCGTGAGATCCGGAGATTCCGCCATTTGTATTCGGATTCCGCCGCTTACGAGTTAAGCTTGCATGTGATTATATAATGATGTTGTGATCGAAACCCAATTTTCACAAACCGAATTACAAAAAGTTGACAACTACATCCTCACTCAAAAAAGTATAATGTTTCAAGCTGCATCGTCTCTGGCTATGCCTGTGGTGTTTCCCTATCCATGCAGGCGACCACTTATTCGACCTCTCCGGAGGTCAAAGACCTTCAAGCCTCTCGCATGCCTCCATCTCAAAGGAGCCAATGGGTACACATACATCTCTCTAAATTTCATTTTATTTCTTTTGTGAAATCGGTTACGTAACTATAATATTCATATCTGATTTTGAAGAGCTACATATATATATATAGTAGACCTTAACCTCAAAATCAAGATTAATCGACTTGAGGATTCTTGCTACTATTCCAATATCTTATTGAATTTATCTCCATATGGCAGAAGGAGTGGGTTCCATGAGATTGAACTTAAAGTTCGGGATTATGAACTGGATCAGTTTGGTGTTGTGAATAATGCTGTTTATGCAAACTACTGCCAACACGGTTAGTTTAATTAGTAAGATATGTCCCATTTTCACTAGCTGTTGTTTGATTACATGTTTTCATACTAAAGGTCAACACGAGTTTATGAAGAGTATTGGTGTCAACTGTGAAGAAGTATCCCGTTCTGGTGAAGCCTTGGCAATTTCTGAGTTGACACTAAAGTTCCTTGCACCTTTACGTGTAATTTTGACTCTTTTCTCCTAGATTAACAATCATATCAATGTTTTGCATATTTATTTGATTTCATTATACAGAGTGGATGCAAGTTTGTGGTGAAAACGAGGATATCAGGATTATCTGTGGCACGCATTTACTTTGAACAGTTCATCTATAAACTTCCAAATCAAGAGGTTAATTTTGTTGCTCTCATCAAAACCTTTTCTGTAGGTTTTTTACTTGTGTTCTGATTCTGATCCTTTTGGTAATATAACTGACAAAATCAGCGTATTTTGGAGGCAAAAGGAACGGCGGTGTGGCTTGACAACAACTATCGTCCTGCTCGTATCCCATCTCATATACGCTCTAATTTCGTTCACTTCCAACGGCTAATCGTCACCGTTTAATTCTTCCCCGCATTATTATGATTCACTACATAGAATGAGTATATTTGTTGACAAAGACAGAGAAAAAGAAAAGAATATAATTAGTACGTCTTATGAATGTTTTTTTTTTGTTCCATGATATTTTAAGCGTGCAAATTATTCATGTTTGCTGTCTTATGTATTGTGTATACATAGTTTATCTAATAGAATTATAGGTCGTTTATATGTAATCGTGTGAATATTATTCTAGGGTTTTGTATCTAGACTTTGCATGTTATATTTACGAAAATACTAAATGAATACTATATTTTTAAAGATACATCCAATTAAATAGCACGATGTCGATAAAATTTAACACAAAACGTAAATTGGAAGAAAAAACTTTTTTACTTTATTCAACAACGTAACATAAGCCAAAAAAAAACATAATGATTGTTGAATATTATTATCTGTTTACATCGTGTGCCTGAGAATGAACACTACAGCACTTTTTTCTCTGTTAATCTTATAGTACCATATCCAATGATCTTCCAAACGTCAATTTTGCCTTTATTGGAACTCACCTAAATTTTTAGATTTTTGTTGATACTTAATGCAATTTGTTATCAATCCATATGAAATTATGGACCAATTGTTGGGTATATATCACTTATTCTGCCAAATTGCTGGATCATTTGTGGAGTCGATTAGAACAACTGCATAAATTCATGATCAATCAACAACTCGTTACTTCTCTGTTCCTCTTTATTTGAATAGCACCATATGTTCATATCGGCTGTTACATCTTTTTTTTTTTTGGACGAACTATGCTTATATAAAGATAACGCTCAACCTCTAGCGAGGGAGGAAGTGTTACAAGAGAAAAGACTGGACTTAGCCAGGAGGTCAGCCTCAACATTTTTAGCTCGAGGGATAAACTTAAAGGTAACGAAAATAAACGAGGTCTGAATAGACCTAATGTCTAAGAGGAGACATTGAATTTTGATTGCCATCAGAGCTGAGGAGGAGAACTAACTCCTGACAGTCCGAGAAACAGACCAAACTTAAAAAGTCAGCAGCTCTCGCAGAGATGAGAGCAAGCTTGACAGCGAGTGCTTCGGCCGCCAGGGCTGAAGGGATAAAACCGTGCGCCTCTGAATCTTGAAACATGACTGCATTATCTGCAGATTTAAAGATCCAACCAACACCACATCGACAACTATCCGCAGACCAGGATGCGTCTGAGAAACAAGCGATGAGACTACCTGAAATAGGCAAAGTCCAAAGATCAAGGTTTCCAGTCGGCAGATCTTGGTCTGGGGGAGGCTCGTGAGCTCCTTGCCAAGCTTTAGCTTCCACAATGGCCTTGTGGAGAGAGTCTTCCGGCGAGATGGTCTTGTTTTCGAAGAGAAGAAGGTTTCGTGCTTTCCATAGGAACCACACAATCCACGGATAAAGAGGTGTCAGGACCACACCAGTAGGTGGTAGAGTAACCATCTGTTTCATAGCCGAGAGGAAGAGCTTTTGATTTCCACAGGTTGCTGGATTTGGCTTATTGTGAGCCCGTGCTAGATTCCAAACCTTTTGTGCAAAGGGACAGTTCAAGAGGACATGCAGTACATCCTCCGGAGCCCCACATCTGATGCAGCGACCATCGGTGTCTAATCCTCGAGCTATGAGGGTTGAACCAACCGAGAGAGCTCCAACCGCTGCTTTCCAGAGAAAGAACTTGAGCTTTGGGGAGGTTTTAATGCGCCAGAGATTGGACTGCCAATTAAACCCATCCGCAAAGCTCGGGGCAGAGTTGAGCTTGGACATAGCGTAGCCAGATTTTGTGGTATATCTGCCTGATTTCACCGGAAGCCATCTAAGGGAGTCTCGCACAGGGGAGGAGCTCAGGATAATTTTCCGGATTGCTGATTCATAATCCGGAATATGTCTTCCAAATCGGCTGTTACATCTTAAGCAATTAGTTTTCTACAAACCTACTAAAATTAAAGCATCGCCACCAATTTTAATAACCAGATGTAACTTCTACAAACTAACCGACGAGCAAATTAAAGACCATAACCTTTAGTTCGTAACAATTTACATTTCATTTGACATTCATTTATTAGCTTACTGTGCCAGCTTCTCTGATTTTGGGCCATTTCTGCATTCAAGCCCACTCTTTATACGAGATTGATAATCTTTTGTGCTTGTTCCGGTTGATAATCTTTTCCCAAAAGGTTAAAACCACCAAGAGAGTTATTGGTAAATTCCGAAAACAAAGAATTGAATCAAATGTGAACCTTCAAATGAATTGGACCTCGCACATGGATGAAGTTGTTGGTAGGAGATTCATTAGGTCATTGATGGAGTGAAAAGAAACTTGTCTTGCTGATCAATTACTTGAAACCCAACTTCCACCACTTCTCTCATCAAATTCTCCAACAACAAATGTTTCGTATATTTTAATTCTCTACAACTTCCTCCATACTGATAGCAACTCTAAGCGTCATGACAACAAACAACAACTACTTCTTGTGCACAAGACCCTAAAAGTATGTAAAAACAAAGAATGATAAATCTTTGTTCGTGCATTGATATTGATAACTTACGAGTGAGACGCAATTTGGCATCGCCTCGATCATTACCATGGCATGAACTATTTGTAAGACTAGATGAATACTTTTTTTAAGTTTTTTTTTCCTATTTATATACATTACTTTTAAAAAAAATTATTTATAATACTTTCAATTTTAAGCTATCGTCATACAACCACGGGACATAGTTTGATACTATCAATATCGATCTAGGATTTAGGTTTTCTTGGATCTTCCGAATCAATGTTGAGAAAACTCCGTTGTCGTGCCTGCGTTAGAGCCGTGTTTGGATACATCTATCGTTTCATTTCCTTAAATGTAGTTAATAAGATAGGTTATAGACTCCTCGAGAAATGTAGATTAGTTTTTTTTGTTCTTTCTTTTTAATGGTTTTGCCATAGATGTGGATCTAGATGGGAAGATGAACAAGTACATGTTTGCCACATTCAAGATTGAGAGTAACAAGTAGATGGGAAGATTATCAGGCTTCAAATGGAAATAGACCCACGTGCTCTTTAAGTTTATGGATTCTATATATTTAACCGACGAGTTCATGACAATAACGGTAAAATCTTTTAGCCATCGTCTAAGGGTACTTGGGTCTCCGACAACCATTTAAAATCTAAATACGGCCCTAAATCCTGTAAAAGATAAAGAGAAATAGAAATGAATATGGATATCTTTTTGTCTATAAGCTAAAAGCTTAACGCCAAAATTGATAAAAATGGCTATTATGTAAACTCAATTCTCCCGGTTTGAATTTCTGGATCGTTCTAAGAATTTTTGCTGTGGACAAAAAAAAAGTTGATGAAAATGGCGATAACATGAAATAGTTAATATCAAAGAAGTACATTTTAGAGTTCTTGAGTAGCACGGCAGTACATATGGTATTTGATTCCGATTGACAAAATTAGGGTTCGTAATTTGTAAGAGCAGGAAAGATTATGAGAGTTGAAAGTTTTAGTCTTTTAGAGTTCAGCGAGAGCTCGCCCTGAATTCGTCATAAATTGCATGGAAACTTGAAAATATTTATATTTTGAGACATGATTAAAACATGTTATATATATATTTTTCAATAGAGGGGATATATTTTTGAAAATTGATTAAATTTTGTTGAAAAGAAAGAAATAATAGAAATTTCTAAAGTTGTGGTGAGGACACGTATCAAGAAGCTAAGGTGTTGAACTGAGCGTGCTTTACGCTCGTGAATTATATAAGGATGTGGCGACTCAAAACACTACTCAAGTTCACAACTTCTCATCACATTTGGGCATCCTCACTCAAAAATAAGTACAATGTTTCAAGCTACATCGTCTCTGGCTATGCCTGTGGTGTTTCCTTATCCATGGAGGCAACCGCTTATCTTACCTCTCCGGAGCTCAAAGACCTTCAAGCCTCTCGCATGCCTACATCTGAAAGGAGTCAATGGGTACACATACATTTCTCTAACTTTTTTTTTTCTTATGTGAAATCGGTTGCATAACTCTATATATATATACTAGATCCTATGCTGAACTCCAGACTATTCTCCAAAGTCCTTTTTTTTGTCAACAATACCCCCAGTCTTTAAAAGATTCAAGTATTGCTTGCTTTCCACTATCTGATTTTGCTACTATTTAGTACTTCAAATGGCAGAATGAGTGGGTTCCATGAGACTGAACTTAAAGTTCGCGATTATGAATTGGATCAGTTTGGTGTTGTGAACAATGCTGTTTACGCCAACTACTGCCAACACGGTTAGTTTAATTCGGTTGCAAATATTTTCGCTTCATAAAATTATTATAAACCCTCGTTTAGAGTTGAGTTGAGATGTGTCAATAGCTAGTAAGCTATATGCCTACATCCCATTCTTACCAGCTGACGTTTCTTGCTAACATGTTTTCATACTAAGGCCGACACGAGTTTATGGAGAGTATCGGTGTCAACTGTGAAGAAATATCCCGTTCGGGTGAAGCCTTGGCAATTTCTGAATTGAACATAAAGTTCCTTGCACCTTTACGTGTAATTTTTTACACTTTTCTGCTAAAATATTTGTAACATATATTATAACAATATCAATGTTTTGTATATTTATTTGATTTCTTTGAACAGAGTGGAGGCAAGTTTGTGGTGAGAACGAGGATATCTGGGACATCTGTGGCACGCATTTACTTTGAGCAGTTCATCTTTAAACTTCCAAATCAAGAGGTTACTTTTGTTGCTTTCATCAAAGCCTTTGTGTAGGTTTTTATTTGATTCTGATCCTTTTGGTATATAAAAAAAAAAACAGCCTATTTTGGAGGCAGAAGGAGCGGCCGTGTGGCTTGACAACAACTACCGTCCTGCTCGTATCCCATCTCATATACGCTCTAATTTCGTTTACTTCCAACGGCAAAACGTCACCGTTTGATTCTTTCATGCATTATTATGATTTAGTACGTAAGATTGAGTACATCTTATGAATGCTTTTTATTCCATGTTGTAAAAGACATGATATTATATCGTATCTTGTTACTTGTCTATAAATTTATCGTGCTATCTTATTGGAAAGAGCCACCACAAATGTAAACAATGATAATTCACTTTAATGAGCAAAGTCAACAACAAAGAGTCGAGATGTATGATCTTGTCCGCTTTGGGTCTAAGCAGTATAGCCCGCACGGATTTTTAGTTAGGTTTTGACTCCTTGTCTAAAATTTCGATGTGAGATTTAGATTGATATTTCAACAATCCCCCATTCAAACCAAAAACCACATAAATCTCTTCAGCGAAATTTGGCACACATCTTGTACTCACTTAGTCACCTATGGAACTTTTTACAAGGCTTTGATACTAATTGTGGGGGTTTTTCAAACCCATGTCCAACTCCTCATTAGTATGACATTGTCTGTTTTGGGCCCAAGTAGCATAGCCAGCACGAATTTGTTTTTGGACATCTTCCCAAAATGCTTTATACCAATTAGTCATTAGAATGTATAATATCCAATACTAATGATTCCCAAAATACATTCTTTGTCTAAAATTCCAATGTAAGATTTGGATTGATATCAACAACTCAGCAAGTCAACAACATACAGTCACTAGGTTTTCTTTTAAGTTAGGATAAAATTTCACGAGTTCAATATATTTATAATTTTAATACATATCATTATGTGTGAGACCTATAATTGTATTTCGTGTTTTATGTATTCTTAAACATAATACTATATAAGAGTAATAAATGTTAATGCATTTACAGGTGTAAAAAAAACATTAAAAATTTTCTGAACATGACTCCAAACTATTTGATAGATTAAAGGTGTTAGGGTGATTTTGTACTATCCAGACAAAAGACATATGGATGAACTATGCCACGACCACACCAACTACAAAATGGTTGGGTCCCAATCCCGATTGAAAACTTGTCTAAGCATCTGCAATTAATTTAGGGTCGAGAGTTTAGATTTGGGAAAGAAATTAAGAATATATGTTTATGTATTTAGAGAAGAAAGAGAAGTAAAAGAGACTGATCATGAAAACTTAAACTCAACAACCTTCGTTTTTATTTTTATTTTTATTTTTTTTTTGTTTAACGTTAACTTTTTTAGATTTTATATTGTGAAGTCAATGTATATCTACATATGTAATTTACATATTTGATAGTGGGAGAATAAAAATGCATATTGCATATACTTTTGAATTAAATTGTCATTTTCCGATCGACAACTAGAAAAAGAAGGTCATTTTCCCGATTAGAAATTAGAAGGTCATTGTATGTTGGGATTGGTTGAGTTTCATTATCCTGAAGAATTTGAATTACTCATCCGATCCCCTTGCTTTCCTCTTTTATAGGTTAGTAAGACAAGATCTCGTACAAAATTAGGTTGCTGTCTCAGTCCATGTAGTTTGGGATTGAGTGTCATCATCATACACCATCATATCTAGCGTGGCTGGTGGAGGATGTCACAGAGGAGATGGCGACTACAAAAACTGTTAGGAAAGACATAAGACATTAAGACCGTCTTTCAAAGTTCAAAGATGAGAAAATAAGTATAAAAAGTCATACGTATGTGTGTAACTATATATATATATATATAATCAAGGTTCAATGATTATATTTTTGTGTCTGTGTATTGTTGGAGCTTAATTGTAAAGTTAAAAGCATGTGAATTAGTTATGTTTCGTCTTGATCTTAATGGATTCAAAAAGTGATGCTACAGTAAAGTGATATTTTAGTTACAATATTCGGCTTAAGGCTATGATATTGAAGAATAAGAGGAAGTAGTGAAACCCAGTATGTGATTAGAAGTTTTCAAATGGCAACAAAGTTGATGCGTGATTTGGAATATATCAATGAATTATGGAGCTAGAATCTTAAAGTACAAATAAAATATCATCTCCAATTGCTTTGTCACATTTATTGATTCTTGGTAATGGTTTATTGTTGTGAAACGATCCATGCTTTATGTATAACGTAAATCTTATAATCTCGTTTTCCAGTTTTCCTTTTCCTTTGTTTGCCTTTTCTGTTTTCTTTCCCCACCTTTTTCATGTGTCTACCTAGTTTCTGGATTTTTTTTTTTAAATCAATAATATTCAGACAATATTGTTCATTCTTAATCTTACCTTTAAAAATATATATTGAAACATGCATACCTAATTTCTTAGTTGTTCGTTGATACTTAATGCAATTTGTCATCAATTTGTATGGACCATATCTATGTCTTTTTGTTGCCAAATGATTTCTGCATTACTATTTTGATGAAAAACCCTTTACGTAATTTACTTATAATAATTTTATAATGTAAAGATGACTGTTGTTGCCAAAAAAAAAAAAAAAAAAAAAAAAAAACAAAATGTAAAGATGACTGTATCCACCAGGAAAAAAAAACACTTCCGCCTTGTTCAGTTTCCTTAAATTTCTGAACTTTTAGGTATTATTGAACTTTTGTGACAAAAAAAAAGAAGATATTATTGAACTTACAATCAGTCAAATAGTTTCCTTGATTTTTTTTTTTGTTTTTTAATTATTGAACTGTTATAGGTTGTATAAAAAATGGTCCGTACTCACTAGTCACTACTTCGAAGAGCTCAATGCAGTTGGCAGTTGGTCTATGTTTTTTGTTTCTTCATGAAAAACAACTCTGTCAATACCATGCTTATGAGAAAGAAGCGCATAACAAACAACAGTATGTTAGTTTCAAACAAAAAAAACAATCGTACACTACAACAAATATGAGTATTGATAGCAGACGATTAAAGCTATTATATGGTTTTTATAGCGTTTTCATGATTACATCTGACGCTATAATAGAGTTGCCACATACAATAGCGTTTTTTGTCTGGCGCTATCATATGTCAGTTTATAATAGGTGTTTATTTGTGATGCGTTTACATGTTTAATAACACAACATTGTTGTTATCATTATGTATGCAGTAGTGTTTTTGAATTGTTATACTAATATGAACAATAGCTCACTTTTGATGTTGTAAAATATTATATAGTAGCGTTTTTGGGTTGTTATACTAATATCAGCGTAGCTCACTTTTAGTGTAGCAAAATATTATGCTCTAGCACTATTTTGTAGTTATTAAGCTATGATCTATTGTTTTATATAGCTTGTTGAAGCAATAATAGTTATACTCAATACTAGATTTGTAATGCATAATAGTATCGATCCTTTTTGCATAGATTGAAGATGGTACAAGGTTGAGAGAGCAATTGAATAGGCTCAGATCTTTTAAAAAAAACAAGTTTTATATTAGTGCAAATAAAAAAGCGCATAACCGAAAATTATTTGGCTAAGTGTTACCGCTTCTAATGATTTTAGGCTCCAAAGCTAATTTTTGCTTCCCGCTTAGTTATTAAAAGGCTTAGCGTTTCTGAATTGCTATCATATCTAAACCTAATCCAACAAACATCTTTAATAAGTTATCTTAATGTGCTATCAATAAGTTCGTAAGTTCGTTACACATATAACAATTAGCACGTGCACTTTACTTGTTTGTTTCAGTCGCCACAAACAACACAATTCTGTGTCGAATTTTGCACGTGCACTTAATCACTCGTTGATATTATACTAAAGCATTTCATGTTTTGCCTTGACATGTTTTTTTTTTTATTATAAAGAATAACCTTGACATTTTTCATTAATAAATATTACGTCAACATGCCCAAAATGTTTTCTTTTTTCGTACGACGTAGGCCTCTATATAGTACTATATTAGTCACTTTCTTGTATTTCATTGTGGCTGGTTCCTTGACATAAAAACAAAACCAAACATGGGATCCGTGTATAAAATATGATATGGTTTATTATTATAATAAAAAAGAACAACGTACATAAATATGAGTTCTTATTTGCAAACACAACTTGCAACTTGAAGGGTAGTACGAACTCTGAAAAATAAGATATGATGAGCAGCCCCGTTGCAGACATCTCCTCTAAGTCTGGTCTCTGGAGAGATCACTTTATCGAGAAAGACATACAAACACAATAAGAGTGATAACGTGTACAATATATAACGTAACTCTCATATATACTCATACGTAGAAGAGTCCATATTCTTCAGACAATAGGTAAAGGTCGACCTCTTTAGTCATTTCGACCAAGAACTGGAGCAGCCTCTCTGGGTGAGGCACCTTCTCATCAATCCTCTCGTACTGAATGTTCCATTTCACCACATTTCCAGACCCTTCTTTCGTGGGGCTCACCTTCATCGTTTTCAAGAAGCTCTTGTAATCTTTCTTCAGAGGTCCCTCTAACACCCTCCACTGAATTACATTCTTCTCCAAATCCATCGCCTCGATCATATCTTTCGACACCCTTGGCTCTCCATCTGCACCGAAACGCGTTTATAAATCAAATAGTTAATGTATTTATTTTTCATTATAAATATATTTATTGTTGCCATTACCAAAAACTAAGTTCCACAAAAGTATGCTTCCAACTTTGCCCCATTCCCCTTCAAGCAGATCACATCCCTGAATATAGCGAGTGGCTTTAGACAAATGTTGTGATCTTCCGGTGAACATGTGAAACTTATTAGCCGGAGTTTTGATCTCCACATCTACCCCAACTACCTCCTCCAACATTTTTTTTTTCCGTTGCTTTGGATTTTGCAATGAGAATGAGTGATTCCCTTTGGAGTTAATAGCTCCTTTTATAGAAAGCATTGAATAAATAATATAAATGACGAGTGGTTTAAGTGAGAAGTGGCCTGATTTGATTGCTAGAATTTACACATGAAATTGAAGTCAAATACAATCAAAGTCTCTTATGACCAAAGCCATTGTATAAATCTATTATCTAACTTGAATCAGAATAGCTAGCACAAGACTTTAACTGAATAACAATAGATTTCAAACTCTTTTAACGAAGAGATTGTATATACAAAAACCAATAACACTACACTCTTTGAATGGAACTATTTTAAATAAAGAAACATACACGAGTAACACTAGATTTTGTTAGAGGATTTAAAAACAGCTCTTGAATAACAATGGATTTTGATTGGATTTAAACTCTTCTAAAAACCTTTACTGAATAACACCCCTTTATGTTTATTAAGTAAGTTTCTTTTTAAAAGGTTGTTTGAGTAATTCTCCCTTAGGAAAAAAAGATGGAAACTATAGGGCAACCACTATCTTAGGTTAATCGTCTTTAATCCTCTTTTGCTTTATGTTATCATGTTTCCCTATTTCTCCACCTCAAGATCCAGACGTAGTTCTCTGGGACCTCCGCAGCTGCCAATTATTGGAAATATTCACCTTGTCCGTAAAACCTCACAAATGCATTCATTTTCAATCGCTATGACAGTCGTACAAATTGTTTAGTAACATTGTTAACTGTAATCGCCCGCTTTAGCAAACTCCAGCAAATGCAACGTTTAAACCACTTAGACCCTTAGTAAGTGGTCTAGCCCAGTACACGATACATCGCCTCCAACTAACTCAATAATTATTCCTGAATTTCCCTAATTTACTTTGAATATGTATACCATCGTACTCACAGTTGTTCGTGGACCAAAATATGTATAGATAAGTTGTTAGATAAACTGTGTGGTCGATTTAAACCGTGCAATAAATTCATAACTAAATCTACAACCGTTTAATTAGTACAACTTTTTTTCTTAATAATTTCGGAATGGGTACATATTTTAGCGAGTAGTTTTCTACAAAACAACCAAAAATAATGCTTCGCGCCTAAAATTCAAAAAAACAGATGCACAATCATTCTTTATGAAAGTTGGCAAGCAAAGTATACGACCTTTAATTCGTAAGAATTTTCATCTCACTGCCATTCATTTATTTGTGTTGTTCGTAGGCCAAAAGATGTACTCCCAAGTTAAGAGAGAGAATAAAACAGTTATACTTGGGGTTCAAGCCAATGCACGTCCAGCGACATGAAAACGGATAGCTAAATATTTAAAAAACATATTAGGTCAAACCAACCTATCAACTTATATTTTACCACGTGCTTTTTTGTTATTACATTTTCATCATAAAAACTATTACAACTCGCGATACCTTTTAAATTACCCCCACCACACCTTTTTCTTTCTTACATCACATCATATGTATATATTGCATAGCTGTGATCAAACATGATGTGTTTCAGACCTCCGTTTTATGAAAGTTTATGGCAGATTTGATGGTTTCGAGCGATTCCACCACATCATCACATAGTCGATGAGGATCTGGGATTGTTGATGTATCAACAGCTAGATTGATAACAATCTTGTTTACATAGCTTAAATAATGGATAACGAGAGCCTTGTCAAAACAATAAACAAACAGAAACAACAATTTCATTAATTTCATCCAGATTTTTTTCTTTTCTAAATGTGCTTAAGAAGGTTATAACAAAGTACAGAATTAAGAGAAGGAAACAATATACTTACTTGGGGTTCAATTAATGCACTTCCGGCGACATATGATATTGGATGGCCAAAGAAACTTATTTCTTCGTCAGGACCTCTCACATTTGAAAATGTCATTGTTGTGTGGCCAAACATCCTATCTTTAATACTTTGTAGTACCTGTTATATTTTTCCAATGAACAAATTAGCATTATACATAAAGATATATTGATTAAATTAGTTGATAATGGTGATGTATTATCCACTAAAAAAAAAGAGAGTGGTGTTGTATTTTACCTTTCCCCCAAAAAAGTTTAAGGTGAGTTTAATAATTCCATACAAAATGAATGCTTCCAAAGATATTTTTTTCCTATCCATAATAGTTTTGGCTCGTCTGACGTACTCGAGCGGATCATCCTCTGACTTTATCCATAGAGGAAATAAAATAACAGCCACAACGTTTCCCCATCTACACTTCGAACCGTTCGCCATCATATTAGCCAGATCCTACATTTTCATATTTTGTTAAACTCTTTACATTCGTTTTAATTAATAATATTTTTTTGTCTGTATAAATAATTCAATATGTAGTTATGCGAATTATCACCTCTATATTAGCTGCTGGTCTTAGGTTTACAGCTACAGTACTACGAACACGGATCTTTTCCAAGATTTTTTCTTTCTGGACCATTGTATATCGATCTGTCAGCATGTTTAAATTATTAGAACTATTTTTAAGGACGTATTAACAATACTATCCCCATGATAAAAATAAATAAATTACCATATTTTGTACTCAAATATTTTGAAAGACCGGCTTGTGTCATTCCGAGAAGAACATCATTCACTGTCTGCAAAAAATAAAAATAAACCATAATCAAGTTGATAATGTAAAAAATGAAATCAGTACGTTATCAACATAGAGCAAAATAACAGTACTTATATACCGTGTTCATTACGTTCTTCACTAACTTGACATCATCGAAACTTATTGTCCGATGGATAACCTTCCAAGATCGAATCCCATTGTTTGTATTAGCCATAAGAGGATTTTTGGTATCCCGCAGAAAATAAATTGTAAGAAGAGACTTAAACACATCAACAATAGTATAGAAAACGGCCCTTATCATTAACCAAAATCCAGTAAACAACCACCAAGCCGAAGCCTTAGAAGCAGTAGGTTTTCTTGTAGCTGTTTTAGTGGAAACTAGCGCGTTTGGGTCTGATGTTTTTCGAGCACAAGCGAGTAAAAGGGACATAAGAGACATTCCATCACCGATTGAATGATGAATTTTGGCCAGGACCACAGATTCCGCATTTGATGTCTTTATGTTGAGTAAATGAAACTCCCAGAGAGGCTTGGACATGTCCATTGGAGTATTAGCAATGCTTGAAGTATAATCTTCTATGAACTGATCAGGACTATCAATGTTGCCATAGTCAAGATCCGGAACGATAACATGATCTTCTACTCGAACCCTTACAGGAATCCAGACCGATTCTCCCTTTTTCTGATAGTCGATGTCCTGAAAAGTTTTTAATATTTGAGTAATTAAAGACAAAATTACTTGTGTGTGTGTATAAAGAGACAGAGAGGAACTTAAATTCTTTAGTTTTATGATGATGTTTGGTAAGCGAAAATAAATACAAAAATTAATTATTATTATGGTTGGTTTTTACTAAGAGTTTAATTATATATCTTCATTTACTTCTACATGCCTTTGAATATATGATGGCGTGCCATATATGGTCGTCATATTGTGTGTCCCTTATTATCAAATAAAGATAACTGTATGTGCACTTACCATCAATTTGTTTTTAGACAACACGATGAATAGTCTAATCTGAAAGTGCCAAAAACAATCGTAAAACAAACAAAAAGATTCAGTTTCTATATTGACCGAAAAAGTTTTAAATACCTAAAGTTTTATATCACACCCACTTTAAGCGTATATAAATTGAGACAACCATTAGAGATATTAGGTATTTAAGACATTTCTGTCATAACACCCACTCTAAGCGTATATGTATAACAATATCAATCTGTGTGGAATATACGATTACCATTTTACTAGAGAATCTGGGAGCATTGATCAATGTGTTCTTGATGCCTTCGACAATGGCGGAAAGGTTAAACGGAATTTTAAACCCAAAGGTTACTACAATGAACATTCCTGGTGAACTGAGCAACTGTGACATGGGGCTAAGCGGCTCCATTGCCACGGTGTCGAGCTCCTTCCTCACCAGGTCTTTTCCCATTTCAATAGTTGTTTCGATTCTTCGCTTTATAGTTAGCCATACTCTGTTCACTTTTTTATACATGTTTTTAGAAAAATATCATGCATGTCATTTCTTTATTACTTTTATTTAACAGGGGGGTGGTGGATGTTTGTTTTGTGGTTGTTTGTTTGAAAGATTTCTCGTGTAGTTGAGAATTTATTTCTTCCATTTAAATATAATAAGTACTTTCACTGTTTTACAATAATTGTTGAAGGTTTTTATATACATATTAAAAAAAGTAAAGATTCTATTACACCCCTAAAACCTTTCCTGATCGACCATTGAAATTCTTGAGTGGAATTGAGGTTAAATTAGATATTTAGTACCAAAATTTACATTGAATAAAACCACTTATACCAGCTTTCTTCCTCAAAGTTCTTATTCTTTCAAAAAATAAAACAAAAAAAAAGAAAAAAAAACTTATAGGACTAGTTTATAGCCAAAACACTAATAGTAGTCAAGAGAATTATCACACTTGATACAAACGAAAGCAAACTTATAGGACTAGTTCATAGTCGTTGTCTATGGCTTGTTTCTTCTTCTTTGTAGTTTCCTTTCTCCTATTCATTTTCCTTTTTTTTTGCTCTGGTAGATTTGCATCATGCATCATTCAGAGAGGGTTAAACATCACTTGATGATTCGATCACTCTCTCATGAGCAAGACATTCTATGGTAACTGAAGTTTTAAAACAGGGAGTTTCAAGTCGCCACCATAAAATCCGTATTAATTACCAATGAGGAAATAAAAGCATTTAAGTGTTAATAATAACATAAGCTTACTAAACAATAAAAAAAAAACAGTACGCACACTTTGAGGAATTATTTAACACATGCGACTAATTTAAGCGTTTGATATGGATCTACTTGTCTTGTACCATAAACAACAAAAGTGTTCACTCCGTGCTTTCAATTCAACGTAGAAACTTCTTAAATCATAAATATCTACCTGCTGATTAGTATGGTACCAGTTGTTAGTAGTCTTGGAGAAGTTGACGATGAGTCTGTGGTTATGAAATTAGTGGAAACACGTGAACAATTCTTATACAACGACGTCACATAGAGTGTGATTGTTGTTTGTTTCCCATATTTTTGCCGCAGAGTATTTTATGGGCTCTCGGCCCAAAGTAACAGTCTTTGAATGGTCAATCTGAGTTTACGTGAGTAAATAAATTAATTTTACTTACTTTGATACCAATTGGATCCATTGTAGCACACATGCTAATTTAAAAAAAAAATCGATCGACAGTCAGTCTTGAGAGTTGAGTATCCCACCCTTTGGAAATCTGGGTTCGATTCCCGGCAGTGGAATATTTTTTTTTCTAAATCCGCTGTAGCACTCACACTAATTTGAGACATTGTTACATAATGTAACATCTAGGGCTGACCGCCCTTGGAAATCCGGGTTCGACTCCTGGCAGCGGAAATTTTTTTTTTTCAATTCATCACTTTGGATCTAGAATGAGCTTTTATTGTCTTGAATAAAACAAGTGCTTCCGACCAAAAAAGAAAAAGAAAAAGAAAGAATAAAACAAGTGCATTCCTTTGTATTCCTATCCGTAAACCATACCCTCGAGACTCGATGAAATTTCAAACACATTGTGCAGCGTATATTTATGTGTTAATTAGGCTGTTCAATCTAACAGTAAATTTTTTTTTCTCCGAATTGAATGTTAAATTAATTCAAACCAAAAAAAGTCATTGTTACATCATGGTGCTACTATAACTAGAGAGTGGAGCAGAGTAAGAAAGAAATAAATTTAGTTACAAAGATTGTGAAAAAAAAATAATAATAATAAATGTCTCAGAAGCTTGCGAACCAAGTCTGCATTCCATTGTCAAATCTTGCGTCTCCCAAGTTCCGATTCCGAATAGAGGTAAGTCTATTGCGAAATTATTAGTCGATACGTTGCTTCAGGCAAGAGGAAGGCGTGGGTTGCTCCCCATGACGTTGTCCGTTTCTTTCCCTCCAAATCCAGAAGATTGTTACTTGAAAGACATATCTCTTTAGAAACAGAGATATCATGTTCTGTTCTGCATCGATCAGAAGCTCAACAATCGCATCCCATTGTGTTGTGAATTGAGCGCCAAATAACTTCCGCGCAAGAGCCACCCATACTTCCTCCGAGTACTTGCAGCCAAAAAAGAGATGATTACGGCTCTCCATATCTCCACAAAAGATACACGAACTACCGACTCCGATGTTCCATCTCAGCATTATGTCCCCCGTTGACAAGCGATTATGCATAGCAACTTAGCAAGCCAAGAGGTGAATGAGTACTTGGGCGTAGCATAGGAGAACCATATACCCTTAGACCAGTGACACATAGGTTGCGCCAGAGCACATGTATGCAGTATGCTTTGTAGAGAAGCTGGCTTTAAATTTGTCTCCCTTGTGGCGCCACACAAACAGTAATTAACAAGAGGTAACGACGGACTCAACATTCAGCTACAAGAGTTTCTTCTTGTCCAAGTAACAAGAGTTTATTCTTGGTGTAGTTGAGAAATTATTTATTCCATTTAACTATAATAAGTATTTGTCCGTGTAAGTTTCTTTACTGAAACAATTCCCTACTGTCTTTTAACTTGCCAGAATTGAGAGAGCATCAAGATTGCATATGGAGTTTAAGTAGTTTTTCACCCTGAACATCTACTTTTCCATGTAAATTTCCCTTTACAACCTCTTCAATTGCAATGATCGTTGCATTAGATGAAATCTCTGATTCATATTCACTAACTACGGAAATAAAATCTATACGACTAGTTTATATGGCTAAACACTAACAAAAGTCAAGAGAATACCGATTTAAACACAAAAGAAATATTAAAAGAGACAAATTTGGTAGAAGCTTGTCTCAGGAACCCATTGTTGATCATACCATCGACCTTGCACTCGCAGATTATAATACGTATTACTATTATATTTTCAATTTTCTACCCAGAATGTAAGGGTAGGCCTCACTTGTCATTGTCTATGGCATCTTTGTAATTTATTTTTCTTTGGTGGAGTTGCATCATCATTCCGAGAGGGTAACACACCACTAGATGATTCGATCACCTTGTTATGTACAAGACATCATATGCTAATTACTGAAGTTCTAAAAGACAAAGTTTAAAGTCGCCATCATAAATCCGTATTAGCAATGAGGAAATAAGTGCATAAGTGTTAACAATGATATAAGCTTTCTAATGTATGGACATTAATTATAAACAATATAAACTGTAAGCTTACGTTAACGAATTATCTAACACTTGCGACGGATTTAAGCGTTTGATATCATACTTATATCATAAACAACAAAACCGTTCACTAGCTTCATGCTCTCAGTTCAACGTAGCAACTTCTTAAATCCTAATTATCTACTTGTTCAGTAATATGGTACCTCTTACTTGGTAGTAGCTAGCTTTGGAAGAAGATGACGAGTTTGTGATTAATTTGATTAGTGGAAACACGTAAACAAAGCTTATACAAGGTCACATATATATTTTGCCATTTAATGGGCTCTCGGCCCAAATGAACTAAAGGTTATTTTTGAATGACTAAATATAAATAAATAAAGTTTACTTACCTTGATACCAATCAAATCCGCTGTGGCACACAGGCTAATTTCGATAATTGAGTTTCTGAGATTGTTTGAGAGTTTGTATCCCACCCTTTGGAAATCCGGGTTCGACTCCCGGCAGCGGAATACTTTTTTTTTTTTTTAATTCAAGACAAATGAAAGCTTCAAAGATGCAAACATTGAAAACGTTACTTATTCTAGGAATACTTTTCATTTGTTTAAACCGCAACAAACATCTTTAAACTCAGTTTTCTTCATCACTTTGGGCCTAAAAGAAGCTTTTATCGTCTTTGAATAAAACAAGTGAATTTCTTGGTACCCCTTAGCCTTTTCCTCTATCGTATTTTTCTCTAGGAACCATGATTTTCTTGAATCCTCGAGGATTTTTTGACATATGGAGATGATCCGTAAACCATACCCTCGAGGAATCACGGTCTATATCAAACATTTGAACTTCTTCACAATTGTTGCATTTACAAGGTTTCGGAAGAGGAACGAACAAGATTGCATATCAAGGTGAGAGAGCATCAAGATTGCATATCAAATGGAAGTAGATTATCACTTTGTTTACTTACTTCAAGTGTTTGTGAGCTGAAAACTACGACGTCCAATGACAGATAAGATAACTTGGTCAGCTTCTTCAAACTCAATATTCAGTTGGCAAGAATCAATTTTGTCAAAAGACAAGACACATAAGAAGAGTGGCCTTTTGTTCGGAATAGAAGCATTTGCAGAAACACGCCCAAATCAAGAGGAGATGTAAGAAATTAACCAAACAGAGACAATAAAGCGTCCAATGTATAAAATCAGAAAAATTAAACAATTTTTACGGGTAGAAATTAAGATTAAATGATGATCATACAGGAATAACAGGATGATATTATATTTAGTTGGCAATGGAAAATTTTTGTCTGATCCATAGTTACGACTTCACCCTCCAAGACCTCCAAGTCCAAAAGAATTAGGAATTCGGCTAGAGTTCATATTCGACTGCAATTTAAGCTCAAGTTTAAAACAGTAATCTCAGTAAATGAAACTACAAATGAAGAAGTATCAAGTCTCTGATTCAGAATCTGATGAAACTACAAATGAGGGCAAGGGATTCTCTGAAGAGATTGTGTCTTCATCAGAAGATAAGTCAGATACTTGAAACATCTTCCTTAATTTTCCACCTTTTCCCCGTTTTTTTTTCTTTCTTGTCCTTAGTTTTTTTAGCTGCCATCTCCTTGATAGATACTGGAAAGGAGACAAAGATTATCAAGAAATGGACGTACAGTACCAGAAAAGTCCCCACCAAAAGACATTAAAACAGATAATCAAACTAAACAAAAAAACTGTGGTTCCAAGCAACTACATGCTAAGATCATCTAATTCTTTTGACATGGAGAAAGCTAGCAGCGATGATTAGTTTCATCAATAAAAATGATCCATCTGCCCACGATTTAAATGAGTCATATGGAGAAGACGTTGTTGACACATACATAAATAATGTTGTTGATTTAAATGTATGTGTCAACAATGTCTTCTCCATATGACTCGTTTAAATCAAGTCAAAGTTATAAATAAACAATCTATGAACCAAACCTTCATGAATGCTACGAGGTCCAATGACAGAGAAGATGACATAAGATGACATAAACAATCTTATGTCATCTTCTCTGTCCTTGGACCTCGTAGTATTCTCCTCTCTGGCATACTTTCCTGGTTTCACTACAACTACTGCAAACACACATCAACACCCCAATTCGTATAAGAAAGATATGAGACTCCGCGGCGTACGCTTTGGTTACTCTCGGCTCTGTGGTGAGGTTTTAATTTATACAGCTAGGGTTTTTATCTTGGCGCCGACTCTTTGATTGTATAAAAGTAAATTAAAGTGATTTGACCTAAAGAAAATTGTAATGGTCGGTTAATGAGCCCACTGAGTTTACGTTAGTGAATAAATTAATTTTACTTACTCCGATATCAATTAGATCCGCTGTAGCACAGGCTAATTTCAAAAATTTCGAACAGCAGTGTTGAGAGTTTGGTATCCCACCCTTTGGAAATCCGGGTTCGACTCCCGGCAGCGGAAAACTTTTTTTTTAATTCAAGACAATGAAAGCTTCAAAGATGCAAACATTGAAAACATAACTTTTTATGGGAATACTTTTGTCATTTGTTTTAACCGCAACAAACATCTCGGTTTTCTTCATCACTTTGTGGTTTTCTGCATCACTTTGGGCATCGAAAAAACTTTTATCGTCTTGAATAAAACAAGTGAATTCCTTGGTATTCCTTAGCCTTTTTCCATGAGGAGTATAAAGTTATAAACATCAGCTCTATCGTATTTTCTTCTTGGAACACGATTCTCTTGAATCCTCGAGGAATTTTGGGCAAACTAACCATACCCTCGAGGAATCACGGTCTGCATCAAGATTTTCAACTTCTTCACAACTGTTGCATTTAAAAGGTTTCAGAAGAGGAACGAACAAGGTTGCATATCAAGTTAAGAGAGCATCAAGATTGCATGTCAAGTTGAAGTAGATTATCACTTTAACATCTACTTTTCCATGTAACTTTTTTTTTCAATCTCTTTAATGATAATTTCATCCGATCAAATCTATGATTGATTATTTGTTCCGTGACTTTTTGTGTGTTTCTGAGTCTCTTCAGGATTTTGCAAATGCAGACACCTATCTTGTGGTCCCATGGCACTGATGACAAGCTTGTGATCTTTCAAGCTGCTCTTTCAAGGTTAATGCACCTGCAAGAAAACCTTATTAGGAGACACAATCATAATCATGCTAGATTAACATGACATAAGTGGATTGAGATAAACACCTTCTTGGCTTAATCCACAGATAAACACGTTTTATGGACTTGTTCCTTCAGAAATCTCTTGGTTTATAATGGCATGCACGTTCTTTACTGCTTCAAGTGGAGAGCCCTAACACATAAAAGTTCAATACTTGAGCCAACGGTATAAATCTCTCGAACAGAGCCCTAATTTAGGTTTTTGGGTTTGCCAATCTTTGAGTTAGATGAGTAAATAAATAAGGTTTACTTACCTTAATACCAATTAGATCCGCTGTAGCACACAGGCTAATTCCTACTGCTCTCTTGAGCACAATTGTGTTACGGTTCTGTATCCCACCCCTTGGTAATCCGGGTTCGACTCCCGGCAGCGGAATTTTTTTAATTTTTCAATGTATATCAGTTTCTGTTTAGTAAATAAGTATTGTTTTACCTAGGTAAAGAACAATAAGATCCGCTGTAGCACTCTGGCTAATTTCTGAAAATGTTTCTCCTCAACGTTACTTGTTACTTCTAGGGCATTCCACCCTTGGAAATCCGGGTTCGACTCCCGGCAGCGGAAAACATTTTTTTTTAATTCAAGACAATGAAAGCTTCAAAGATGCAAACATTGAAAACATTACTTTTTTATGAATACTTGTCATTTGTTTTAACCGCAACCAACATCTTTAATCTCGGCATCTCCATAACCCATACCCTCGAGGATTCACGGTCCACATCAAAAAAATTAACTTCTTCACAATTGTTGCATCTAAAAGGTTTCGGAAGAGGAACGAACAGGATTGCATATCAAGTTGAGAGAGCATCAAGATTGCATATCAAGTTGAAGTAGATTTTCAATTTAACATCTTTTCCATGTAACTTTCTTTTGTCAATCTCTTCCATCACTACCTACGGAAATAAAATCTATAGGACTAGTTTTTTTTTTGGGGGTTATAAAGCTAAACACTAACAAAAGTCAAGGGAATGCCGATTCAAACACAAAACAAAAATTAAAAATGAGAGCTTTTTTTTTTTTTTTTTTTTTTGGTTTTAAAAATGACAAGTTAAGTAGAAGCTTGTCTCAGGAACCCATTGTTGATACCATCGACTTTGTATTTGCAGACCTCAATATTTCTTACTACCATGTTTTCCAGTTAAGTAGAAGCTTGTCTCATGGGTTATGGGTATGACTCACTTGTCATTGTCTATGGCTTATTTGTAATTTTATAGTTCTTTGGTGGAGTTGCATCATCACTCCGAGAGGGTAACACACTAGAAATTATGATTCGATCACCTTGTTATATATGTGCAAGACATTATATATGCTAATTACTAAAGTTTTTAAACATGGAGTTTAAAGTCGCCATCATAAATCCGTAATAGCAATGAGGAAATAAGTGCATTTAAGTGTTAGCAATGACATAAGCTTTCTAATGTATGGACATTAACTATAAACAATATAAACAGTAAGCTTACTTTATCGAATTATTTAACACTTCCGACTGATTTAAGCGTTTGATATCATAAACGACAAAACCGTTCACTAGCTCCATGCTCTCAGTTCAACGTATCAACTTCTTAAATCCTAATTATCTACTTGTTCAGTAGTATGGTATTGGTACCTCTCTTACTTGGTAGTATATAGCTTTGGAAGAAGATGACGAGTTTGTGATTAATTTGATTAAACACGTGTGAACAGTGCTTATACAAAGTCACATATTTTGCCACTTAGTGGGCTCTCGGCCCAAAGAAACTAAAGGTTATCTTAAAATGGTCAATCTTGAGTTTTGAGTAAATAAATAAAGTTTACTAATCTATATACCAATCATATCCGCTGTAGCACAAAGGCTAATTTCGGAAATTGTGATGAGAGTCCTAACAGTGTTCAAGAGTTTGTATTTCACCCTTTGGAAATCCGGGTTCGACTCCCGGCAATGGAAATTTTTAAGCTTTTTTTCTTTTTCACAAAAGTAATATTTTTGTGGGTTTTATAGGGACCAGATTAGAGAGCTTTGACTTCGTCCCAATATATATTTACGTATATTTTTTTTTTCCCTTTGGAAATCCGGGTTCGACTCCCGGCAGCGGAAATTTTTAAGCTTTTTTTCTTTTTCACAAAAATAATATTTTTGTGGGCTTTATAGGGACCAGATTAGAGAGCTTTGACTTCGTCCCAATATATGTTTAGGTACATTTTTTTTTTTGATAATATGTTTACATACATGAAAGAGTCAATGTAACTGTAGCTAATATAGTAACAATCGGCCCGAATTCCTTTTAGTAAATAAATATTGTTTTACACAAATATTTATTACAGAAAATGGCAGCACACAGGCTAATTTCAGAAACTGTTCAAGTCCATGATACTTCTATTCCCAAGTCCATTAATCTTTTTTTTTCTGTTAAGCCTCCTCCAGTCGTCCTCCATTTTCCAAGTTTTAAGAAAGGCGGTGCAAGATTCTTCTTCTGAGCTCTTGCTTTTTCAGGTGAAGTGAAGAAGTCTCTTGATGTCGTTTTGGGTTTTCCTTCATTTAATAATCTCTTTCTCACGTCGTAATATTACAGCACAACTAATTAATAAAAGCACTTGTAATCTTCCACTCGATGAACTTCTTCCAAAATCAGTGTGCAAAAACTAATAAAAAAAAAAAGCAAAACCGATTTCGAGCCGGTTCAATATAAACGCAACAAGAGACAATGATGGACTCGGACACTCAGCTACAAGGAGTTTCTTCTTGTCCAAGAAACAAATGTGTGCACATATTGATTTTTTTTTTACCTTGACTAGTTATACTTTTTAGAAATTATAAACTAAAGGGTATTAAGAAATGTGTAAAATAATAGTATGTTTTTTAACATTAACTTATACATACTTTTAGCACAAAAAAAGCATATATATACTTTTAATTAAAAGTCAACTGAAGTTTGAGATTTACTTATCTATATTAAAATTTGTGATTGTTTTATATAATTAAAAGTCACCCGGCCCGTGAATAATTATAAACCGATTTTATAGTTTTAGTTTAAAAAGTCATTTGTACAGAGAAAAATGAAATAGTTCAATCCGATTATGTATTTTCAAATTTGTGATTTTTTTGTATAAGAATGTATTTCTCTAGTAAAATAATTCTAAATGAAAGATTTTTATTTCTTAGTTTAATATAAAAATGTTCTTCAATCTTCCTCCGTTAATATAGAGGATAAATATATATCCAATCTTAAATATTTGTTTAAACTTAATTAATGATCAAACCTCTATATTTCCCATTTGAGTTTTTCCTGATTAGGTTTAGAAGTCTGAAGTCGGCATAAAAATTGTATAAATACTTCGATCCCATGGTCTAAGAAATACAAGTTATTCAGCGAATTCATTATTTGTCACTCGACCTCTCTCCATAATCTCTCTTTAAACCCTAGAGTCGCTCTTCTCCATGGAAAGGATATCCAACACCAAAGTGTAAGCAGCTCCTGCTGTGGTTAAGGCCACGACGCCTTTGAAGAAGGTTAAGAGAGAGGCGGAAGATGATTTGGAGAACCATAAGAAAGACGTGACTGAGAAGGAACAATCTGTTTCGATGGAGATCTCATCGAGTCTTTCGAGTAATGGAGTTGTTGCAGCTGTTAAAACTGGCTCCATAAACGCCGAGGCAGAAAGCAGTTCGTCTGATGACAAATTATCTTCTGATGATAAGCCTGCCGAGAAAAAGGCTGAAGAAGATACCAAGGCTCCTAAAGAGGAAAGCACTAGTGATGATTCTAGCGAGGAAACTGATGAAAAAGAGATTGATGCTCGTTTTGGCCCTGGTCGTGGTCTTTTTGTCGGTGGTCGTTTTCGCGGTGGTCGTTGTGGCGGTCGTCGCCTTTGTAAGCAGGTTTGTTGAGGTTTTGGTGGCGGGGTCTCATGGAAACGGACCTAGTTTTACTACTCATGTAATCAGACTATCTTCGACGATTAGAAGTGAAAAGCTCTGTGTTTTTTTTTCTTTTCGAAGAAGTTTTTTGGTGTTTTTAACTTGTGTAATACAATGGAAGAATAAACCTTTCAATGTTACGTTTTGTTTAGGTCTTAGTTGAATCTATTAAGTTGAGAAACGAATTCTAAGAATTATTTTTCGTAATCCAAATATTTTACAACTTCTGTGTCTTCAAGATTACATGAATTAATCTCAAGAAATCACAAACACAAGCACAAGTACCATGAACAGCTTCAGAAATATATATCTTTAAGCAACGACCTTACTAGTTTCTAATGTACATCCAAGTCAGAATAAAAACACGAGAATCAGTTCTCTAATGATATTGGTTCTATTTTTTTTTATGATAAATCAAATACTTCATATTTTTAAAAAGATAATTTTTTTTATCAAGTTTCACAATTCAGAATTCTAATTATGTATATTTTATTGATATTAGTAAACTAATTAATCTACTAATACATTAATGAAAGATTTAATAACTTAAGATAAAAAAAAATTAAAATAATAACTTTTCAATTGTATTACATTAAGAAAAAAAGAAATCATTGGTTTATTGATGACTAGATTAAGCCCCGCGTATACGCGGGTTTATTATACAATTTTTGAAATAAGTCTAGAAAAATATTAAATAAATTTGACACTTTAAACAATTAAAATTAAGTAGATTAGTATTAAAACTCCGATAAAATACCTCTAAATAATATTAGATTGGTAATCTTTTTACATTTTTATTATAATTGACATATTTTCCGAATTCATGATACGAAAAATGAATTAATTTGTTATCTTTTTACTTTTATCTAAAATTGAAAGACTTTACACATGTGTAAGTCTGATTGATTGATTAATTCGTGAAAATTTTATTATCCATTGAAGAGATTTTGGTTGATGATTTTTTTTTTAATAATTTTTTACCTAACAAAGAAATTAAACTATGATAATTAGAATATCAGTTCATAATAAATTTTTCCTTTTAATATTAGTTAGTTGCTCGATAATTATTTTATTAGTTTTCTATATATTATTTTTTCAGTTTTGTTTTTAATTCAGGCCATTAGTTACTTGTTTTCTAATTATTTTGTTCGCTTTTTTAGTTGTTTTATACATTTTTCCAATTTTCTTGTGTTAACACTTGTTTTCAAAATATTAGACACAAGTAGCAACAATAACTTTGATTTGGATCCAACTGATCTAGAGTTAAATATTCTTCATTTATATCATGAACTTTCAAATACATTATATTTATTTCTTAATGAGAGAGAAGTTTAATCAAAAACAGAATCACACAATTAAATCATGAAGACTATAGCATACTATATATTATTATTTTTTTTTCCTTTTTGTATTTGAAATATGTTTTACTTTTCCTTTAGTAATGGATGTAAAAAAATTTATTTCTTTCTTTGATTTTCGTTTTTTTTTTCTTTTCTTAGTAAGAGTTATTTTTCCTCCTTTTCTTAGTGAGAGTTATTTTTCCTCCTTTTCATCAAGTAATAGAAGTTTTATTTATCAGCAGACTGCAGATTAAAATTACAAATTTCGATAATGTTTTCTTCGGCCATCTGATCTCCAAAATTTCGAAGTAGTGAATGATGCACAAAAACTTGAATTGTGTTTTCCTGTTTCAAACAAAAGTAAAACTTTAATGTTAATCAATGTTATAATAAGATTGTCTATATCAATATAATAAGATGTTACTAACCTTTTCATCTAGTAATAGAAGCTCAACTCCCATAAGAATATTATTTTCTTCAGGATTTCTAGCTTCCCACTTTCGAATAACACGTACTATAGTATGGTGATAATTTTGATTTCGATCCAATTGACCTATAAACAAATAATTTCCACTGTTCTCTTGAACTTTCTAAGATGATTTTAAAATTAGAGAAAGAGAATCAAAGAAATTTGTTGAATTTGCTTTGATGAGTTTGTGAATGAGAAAAATAGAATACAGTAGCTCTATTTTTATAGGGGTTCATGTAACCAATTTCATACAGTTTTATGATATTTAGTTTACATACTTATTTCATGTACTAATAGGAATTTTTAAAATAGGGGTTTGTGTAACCTATTCCATAAAGTTTTAGGATATTTAGTTTACATATATTCTATGTATTAATAGGTATTTTTATTACATTATTTTCAATTTATTATATAAATTTTCGTTTTTATTATAAAAGATTTAAATTTTCCCTTAATTTTTTTTTCCTTTTTCCCAAGACATACAATATTTTCAATTTATTATAGAAATTTTCGTTTTTATTATAAAAGATTAAAATTTTCTCTTTATTTTTTTTTCCTTTTTTCCAATACATGTGTCACGATCTTAACGAACGTAATATTAAAAGTGACACATGTCGCAATCTTATATTTTATAAAAATCTTATGTGTCGCAACCACGTTGTGCGCATCCAGCTTTATATAATAATTAACTTTAATGGTTATCTCACCAATGGATTCTCTATATTTCCTACTAGATTAAGACCCGCGTATACGTGGGTTTATTTTAAGATTTTGTAATAAAATCATGGAAAAGTATTAAACCAAATTTGATCATTTTAAAGTAAACAGAATAATATTAAAAACCCGATAAAAATATTTAAATAAAATAAGATCGGTAACCTTTTTACGTTTTTATTGTAATTGAATATATATATGATAATATTTTTATTTTTATCCAATATAGAAAGACTTATATATGTCTAAATATGATCAACTGATTAATTAATTCAACAAAACTTTATTATTCCATTCAAGAGATTTCAATTGATGAAATCTTTATTTAATAATTTTTTACCTAACAATATTGAAAATTAAACTATTTAAAATTAGAATATCGGTTCATTATATTTTCTTAATATTAGTTAGTTGCTTGATGATTCAAAAAAAAAGTTAGTTGCTTGATAATTAATTTGTTAGTTTTCTATTTATATTGTTTCTTTCTCAATTTTGTTTTTGACTCAGACCATTATAAATTTTCATTTTCATTATTAGTTAGTTTTTTTTCTAGTTTTTATATCTGTTTAACATTTTTCCAATTAACATGTCTTCACCGGATCAAATACATGTAACGACAATAATTTTGATTTCTATCCAACCGATATAGAGTTAGATACATGTATCGACAATAATTTTGATTTCTATCCAACTAATATAGAGTTAAATATTATTCATTGATACCATGAATTTTAAATACATGATTTTTTATGAGAGAAAAGATTATACAAAAGATAGAAGCACATAATTGAATCGCAATAGCTTATTATATATTGTTTTTTTTCCTGTTCATAATGGGAATATAAACACATATCGCAATTTTGTGAGTTATAAAAATCATGCATATTGCTATATCATGTTGTTTGCTTTGATGAGTTTGTAAATGAGAAAAAAACTACTTTAACTCTCTTTTTATAGGGGTTCATGTAACTTATTCCATGCAGTTATAGGAAATTTAGTTTACCTAACCTATTTCATGTACTAATAGGATTTTATTTATTTCATTAATTTGAATCTTATATGTGTTTGGATAATATAAATTTGATGAATGGAAACCTTTTTCTATTAGGATATGACAAATATTTTTTTTTTCTTTTAACTATAAAAGATTAAAATTTCGTTTTTTTTCCTTTATCTATTTTTTTTTAATTATTATTTTTCCTTTTTTTCTAAGACACATGTCACGATCTTAACGGACATAACATTAAAAGTGACACATGTCGCAATCCTAAATTTTATAAAAATCCTACGTGTCGCAACCACGTCGCGCGCATCCAGCTTTATATAATAAGATTTGTAAGCTTTTCCCTTTTTTACATTAGGTCAAGAAGTCGGCAAAAAGTTGTATAAATCTTTATATTATTAATTGAGAAGTACATTCTAATGTTTGGATACAAGAATTAGAGAAACATCTATTTGGATAGAAGAATAAATGGAAACAAAAGTTGTTTGGATATAAGAATAAGAGAAAAATCTATTTGGATAGAAGAATAAATGGAAAAAATTGTTTGGATACAAGAATAATAACTTAAAATAAACCGATGGTTTAGAAAACTTCCGTTTTCCATCTCTTAAAAATCTGCAAAAAAAAAACTTAACATAATCTAACGATAATTCCAAATCAATAGAATATGCTTTTTGGATTTTCGGGTTTTTATAGACAAGTTCGGGTTTGGGTGAAAATCTGAGACATAATTTTATAGAGATATATATAGAGATATAGAAATTGTTCGGGTTTCTTTGAAAATTTCTGTTCGGGTTAGGTTCAATTTTTTTTTTCAGTTTAGGGTTTTCCGGATTTTTTAGATTTCTGGTTTTCGGGTTTAGATATATTAAAAAAATTGAGTATTTTAAAATTTTGATTAGGTATTGGGGTCGGGTTCCGGGTGAAAAAGTTTCCAGATTTTTTTTGTTCAGTCAGGGTTTTCGGGATTTTTTTGATTTCGGATTTTCATGTTTAGACCTATTAAAAAAGTTTGGGTTTTTAAATTTTTTGATTAGGGTTTTTTGTCGGGTTCGGATTTAGGGTTTAAATTTTCTACACAAAACAACAACGTCACACCGCACAAACGTGCGGGTACTCTACTAGTATATATCTAATATTCAGCAATTCTTAGCCTCTCTTTCCCTTATCTCTCTTAAACCCTAGAGTCGTCCGTCTTGACTCTTCTCATTCTTCTCCATGGATTCTATATCCGCTACCAAAGTTGAAGCATCCCCTGCTGTGGTTAAGGCCATGGAAGACTTATTGGAGATGCATAGGAAAGACGTGCTTGACAAGCAACAATCTGTGACGATGGAGATGTTAAAAGGATTAGGTGATCGTATCCAGCGGATCGAAGAAAAATTGGATTTGTTGATCTCATCGAGTCCTTCGATTCCATAAGTTTTTAAACAATCTAATCCTTTCTCCACACAACCTGGCATGCCTCCCTTCGCACCCACTCTGATACACCAAGGAACAAAAGAGGGAATTGACGCAAAGGTCGACAGGACAAGCTTCGGGAGCAATCCGTTTGGTGATAAAATGGATAGTGATGGTCCTTTTGGTCGTGGTCGTGGTCGTGGTCTTTTTGTCGGTGGTCGTTGTGGCGGTCAAGGTTTTTGTAGTACTTGTTAAGGTTTTGGTGGCGGAGGCAGAGACGATCTCATTGAAACAGGCCTAGTTTTACTACTAAGATAAGAAGATTATGCTCGAGGATTAGGAGTGAAAAGCTCTATTTTGGAAGAAGATGAAGCTTTTTGGTATTTCTTTTTAAACTTAAGTGTAATACAACGTCCTTTTTCAATAGTTCAGTTTATCTCATGTTCTAGTTAGGTTTTTGTTCAGACAATAGTTTAATATATTCAGTTAAGAAACAAATTCTTTTGCGTGCCTTGGTAGCCGTCCCTGATATGTGGTGGGCCACAAGCCCAAAACAAATTTGGGCCGAATTTTTTATAAAAAGAGAGAGAAAAAAATAAAACATAGTAAAAGTATTAAGGAGGCAGAACGGATATTGTGTTATTGTTCTGTATCCCACTCTTCGGAAATCCGGGTTCGACTTCCGGCAGCAGAATTTGTTTTTTTTCTTCTTTTTTGTTTCAAGAGCAATATTTTGTGGACTTTATTTTGACTCAGCTTTTTAGAGAGTTTTGATATGAACTAAAGCACCGCTTCTTGGTAAGTGACCATAGTTGCTATCATTCCCTTAAGGGATGCCTCAAGAGACAGTTTTTATTGAATGAAGAGAATGATTTGTACAATTTAAAACCTGAGACATTACTTCTTTACAATTTCACACTAACCATGAAAAACTCGATTATGCACACACTAACCATGAAAAACTAGATTAGGCAGAGACTTTAAGCTTATACAACCCCCTAATCCTCTTCAAGCTCAGGCTCGTTCATCGAACCAACCTCACTATCAGGGACCGTTTTAGCCAGCTCAGTCACATCTCTCCCCACAAACACGTTGAGTCTCCACAACACAACTCTACTTTCCATTTTCATGCCTTTGATCTCATACAGTCTCCGAACAAGACCCTTGAGGAGTTTCAATTCACTCATACCAAACCATTCCTTTTGTTTCTTCACAATCCTCTCCACATCTCTAAACGCTCTCCTCACAAGCCCAACTTCCATTCCTCTCTCCACAAGCTCTCTCACTGCATCCACCATCTTAATGTATATGTAAACTTCTAAGCATCTTTAAACACGCCCAAATTAGGAGAAGATGTAAGAAATTAACCAAGTAGGGAAAATAAAGATTAACTGATGATCATACAGGAATAACGGGATGATATTTATGTAGTTGGCAATGGATAAATCGTGAATGCTTGGTCTGATACATGGTTTACGAGTTTCATCCTCCAAGTCTAAAAGAACAAGTCAGAGGTGGAATCATGGTTAGCAAACGGTTAAATGATGATCATACAGGAATAACAGAATGGAATATTGACAACGTGAGGAATTTGGCTAGAGTTCTGGAATTTAAGAACAAGTTTAAAACAGTATTCTCAGTTACCTCTTTGGATTATGTGGATAATCTGAAAACTTCGGTCCAAGGAAGAAGTATCAAGTCTCTGAAACTACAAATGAGGGCAAGGGAAGAGATTGTGTGTTCATCAGAATCTAAGTCAGAGACTTGATACTTCTTCCTTAATCATCCACCTTTTTCCCCTTTTTTTTCTTCCTTGTCCTTTGTTTTTTTAGCTGCCATCTCCTTGAAAGATACTTAAAAGGAGACAAAGATTATCAAGAAATGAAGGTACATTACAAGAAAAATCCCCACCAAAAAAGACACTAGAAAAGATAATCAAACTAAACAAAAACTGTGGTTCCGAGCAACTATAGGCTAAGAACATCTAAATCTTTTGACATGGAGATTGCTAGCAGCGATGATTATGACTACGATGACAGCTTCATCAATGAAAGTGATCCATCTGCCCACGGTTCAAAAGCCTCTAGCTGGTACTGACGATGATGAAAGTGTGCATGTAATCATAATCATCACTGCTAGCTTTTTGGTTTGTCTCACTCGGTGGATTTAAAAGAAAATAAAAGGTGTTCCCACCCCAAAAGGCCATGGAATTTGGTCAAAGAATATAGAAAAATCGTAAAAGAAGGAGATGAGACTCCGCAGCCGACGCTTTGGGTTCTCTCCACTCTGTGGTGAGGTTTTATATGGCTAGGATTTTTAACTTGGCGCCGACGCTTTGATTGTAGCCCTCATTGCCGCGAGTGATTATGGGCTCTCAGCCCAAAGTAACTAAAGGTTATCTTTGAACGGCCAATATTGAGTTTATATGCATAATTAAATAAAGTTTACTTACCATGATACCAATCAGATCCGCTGTAGCACAAAGGCTAATTTCAAAAGTATCGAACAACAATGTTGAGAGCTTATGTATCCCACCCTTTGCAAACCCGGGTTCGACTCCCGGCATCGGAAATATATATTTTAATTTTTTTTTTAGGCGCCTCCTCCATTTTTCAAGCTTTAAGAGAGGTGAAAGGTTTCGGAAAAGGAACGAACAAGATTCTTCTTCTGAGCTCTTGCTTTTTCAGGTGAAGTGAAGAAGTCTCTTGATGTCGTTTTGGGTTTCCTTCATTTAATAATCTCTTTCCCACGTCTTAATTATGATTCCAGCTTATAAAAGCACTTGTAATCTTCTTCTCCGTGAACTTCCAAAATCCAAACCCATTGTGTAGCGTATATACTATGTGGTAACTAGTAAAATAAGCAAACCGATTAGGATCCGGTTCAATATAAACGCAACAAGAGACAATGATGGACTCAGACACTCAGCTACAAGAGTTTCTTCTTGTCCAAGAAACAAATGTGTGCACATATATATATATATATATATATCTTTTGACTTTTACTAGTTATATTATATATATATGTGATGTTGAATTAACGTAGACTGTAACTTAGCTATAAACTACATTGAATAGTATTCTTAGTAGAAATTACAATTTCAAACTAACCTGACATAGTATTTTTTATGGGTTCTGGGCCCAAAGTAATTAAAGGGTTTTGTGTAACAGTCTTTAAACGGCCAATTTTGAGTTTAGGTAAGTAATTAAACATAAATTAAATTTACTTACCTTGAAACTAATAAGATCCGCTGTAACACACAGGCTAATTCCTACTGCTCTCCTGAGCACCTATTGTATTACTATTCAGTATCCCACCCTTCGGAAATCCGGGTTTGACTCCCGGCAGCGGAATATTTTTTGTTTTTTCCTTTTTTTTTGTTTCAAGAGCAATATTTTGTGGACTAATGAATATGAACTAATGAATCTCCTCACCACAGCTTCTTCCAAGTGACCATAGTTCCTTAAGTGAAGAAGCATCAAGAGACCAGTTTTTATTGAATGAAAAGAATGACTTTGTACAATTTAAAACTTGAGACATTACTTCTTTACAATTTCACACTAACCATGAAAATTTAGAATATGCAGAGACTTTAAGCTTATACAACCTCCTAATCCTCTTCAAGCTCAGGCTCGTTCATCGAACCAACCTCACTATCAGGGACCGTTTTAGCCAGCTCGGTCACATCTCTCCCCACAAACACGTTGATTCTCCACAACACAACTTTACTTTCCATTTTCATCCCTTTGATCTCATACAGTCTCCGAACAAGACCCTTGAGGAGTTTCAATTCACTCATACCAAACCATTCCTTTTGTTTCTTCACAATGCTCTCCACATCTCTAAACGCTCTCCTCACAAGCCCTACTTCCATTCCTCTCTCCACAAGCTCTCTCACTGCATCCACCATCTTATCTTCAATCACTTTAACGTCTTCACCGTGACTTGTGATCCCCACCAAGTGAACAATGGCACAGAACACACCCACAAACGTCAAAACCCAGCAACTGTTATCCACCAACAACTCTCTCGGCGGCTCTAGCCTCTTGAATATCTCAGGGAGAAGACTCTTCATCACAGGAATCAAAAACTCATCATCCTCAAGCCACATTGTCAAGCACTGGAAGATATAAACCGCTCTCTCAAACTCTGTTTCGCTCTTCGATTCAATGTACTCTCGTAAACCGTACCATACCTCAACTCGTATAGTCATCATCTCATACGCAACGTGATAAACCACCTCACCGAGAACCTTAAACATGCTCTCAGTGATTCCTTCTTTCGAAAGGCAAGAAACGAGCAAAGGCTGGAGCTTTCTCATCTCTGAAATCTTCATCACCTCTTTCCTTGAAGTGTGATCAGAGAGTATGAGGTTAAGCCGTCTAATCGCTATCTCTCTGTACCTCTCTTCAACCTCATTCGATGCAAACATTGTCAAGATTCCAAGTGGTGATAACGTTTTCAAACGATCCTCCTCTTCTTGTGGTTGTTCTTGTTGTGGATCGTTGCTAGGCTTAATCAAACGATGGATCTTCTTCGTAGCTTCCTTAGTGTGTGCTCCGAGTTCTCTGATCTTGAACATGAAGCTGGAGACGAAATTGCATTGAAGCTCATTGTAATTGTACAAGTTCTTGTCTCTTGACAAGAACCTCTCGAGATTCTCAAGACCTCTTAGCAGAAACTGCTCCATTCCCTTCTCCACTAGTTCTCTCGCTGATTTCTCAAGAACCGAGAGAAGTTTCTTAACCAAACCGAGTCTCAGCTCAGAATCCAAAAGCTGAATCCCCATTTTCACAGCAGTTTCTAAAGCCAAACTCCAATCTTCTACCCTATCTTCCTCAGGATTAAGCAACAATTTCTCTGCCTTCTCTAAGATCTGCTGCATAAATCTGTAGATGAATTTACCGTAGAGTGGTGGCAAATCGATGAAGACGTGAAAAGCTTTTGGAGGATCGGTGTTTGCGAGAGAGAGGATGCAATCGCTGAGCTCGTCCCATCCGTTGTTATCTAAACTCAGGACATCGTACGCTACGAAAGAGACGATTCGACTGAGGATTCTGATTTCGGTTTCCTCGGTTTCGTCCATCTCGAGGCATGAGATCAGAACGGGCTTGATCTCGTGGAGAGCGACGAGGGAGAGTTCGAATCGGAGGTTTCGGAATTCGGCGAGGGTTTCGGCGAGGAGGTAGATCGATTGGACTCTGACGACGACGGAGGAGGAACATTGGTACACCTTGAGAAGCTTTAAGGTTAAGAGGTTTGCGAAATTGGTGGCGCAGTAGTTGAAGAGAGCAAGCGCCGGTTGAAATTCGGCGGATTCTTGACCCGATCCGAGATGGTTGAGAAGGATCTGTAATCCTTCGTGGCTTGGATTCGCCAGAAGTTCTCTGGCTATCAACAGGAGATTAGAAGATTCCGCCGCCATTTGCAACTTCTGCGGATTCTGTGTGTAATCTTTCCCGAGAAAATTTGTGTTGTTCGTCTTTTAAAGATGCATTGTAGCGGTTGATACAAAACAAAATCTTAACTGAAAATCCGAATCAAACGAACTGAAATAAATGAGGTTTGATTAAGATTTTATCTAAAACCTTTTGAAATAAATGGGGTTTAATTAAGATTTTATCTAAAACCTCATTTGCTTTTCCTTTAAAGATCCTAAAAACTCTCATTTGTTTATCTTATGTAGAGAGAATCTTGTGTGTAGAGGATAAATATGTTCTTGTTATGCTATGCAACAAAGTTAATTTTGAAAATCATCGATTAAACAGAAGTAAACCGTACCAACAATACATGATTTCACTTTTAATTAAACCGATAAACGAGACCAAAAAAACTATTTCATACGTACGATTTTTACATGGTTATTATAAAACCACTAACCAGTAAACCAAACCGAAAACCAGCTTAATTTGAAACAGAACCAGCATGATCTCAAAACAACAGACTGATATGCTTCAAAAATAATCAGTAGAGTTTTGAGTTGAGTAACAAATTCCAAACAAAAAAAAGAAGAATAAAACAGGAGCCAATGAGCACAAAACCTACACTTATATGATAAAAAAAATGCTCGACTTCATAGACTTTATTATAAACTAGACGCTACTTCCTTCAATTCCTCTTTTGAGTACCCTGAGGGAAATGAGCCTTTTCTTATCACCAACTGGCATCCCTGAGAATTAGAGACGCAACTGTATTTTTTTTAAAAAGATATCAAAAATTATGAGTGTATGTCATATAAGGTCTCAGCATTGGCATTGATGAGGTAGGTCTCATCATAAACTGGTTAAGCCATACTTCATCAATACCAATGCTGCGACCTTCTATGACATTTTCATGCACCTGCAAGCATCATTATAATTAAAGAGCAGCAGATCGTGTTTGAGCTTAATGGAGCTTCTCCCAAGTTTGATTCAAACAATTTTCTGGTAGAGATGCTATGAGGTCCAATGACAGAGAAGATAACATCTGCAAACTCATATTGAGTTGGCAAGAATCAATTTTGTCACGAAGACACATAAGAGGAGTGAACTTTGGTTCCCAAAGTTACACTAAAACTGAATCATGCCAGCTCAACATAGAGTTTGAAGATGTTAAGTTACACTGAAGTTTGCTTCAAACTGTTGAATTACCTAAATCCAACGAAAAAAAAGGAAAAAGCAAAGATCAGCCAAATAACCAAAACAAAAATGTAAATTTCTAAACTTATGTAAACACACCAAATCAAGAACACACACGAGAAATTAACCAAACAGAGAAAATAAAGCGTCCAAGGTAAAATCTGCAACAATTAATTTTCAACAAAATTTAGAGTAGAAATTAAGATTAAAGATGTTGCTTCAATAGCCTTAAGAGTGAAAGGCTTTCCAGGTTTCACTACAAACCCTGCAAACAAACAAACAAACCATCAACATCCTAATTCGTATAAAAAATCAAGTCTTTTGTGTTGTCTCAATCGGTTGATATTCATATTCGTTTTGGATTTAAAAGAAAAAGCAAAGAAAAGAAAAGGTGTTCCCACCCCAAAAACGCAGAATATAGAAAAAACTTAAAAGAAAGTGATGAGACTCCGCAGCCGACGCTTTGGTTTCTCTCCGCTCTGTGGTGAGGTTTTATATGGCTAGGGTTTTTAACTTGACGCCGACGCTTTGATTGTATCAAATCAATTAAAGTGATTTGACCTAAATTGATTAAATTTGTCGACAAAAGAATATTGTAATGGTCCGTTAATGAGCCCACTGAATAAGCCTAAATTGATTAAATTTGTCGACAACATATTGTAATTGAGCCCACTGAATAAGGAAAGAAATAGAAATTTTAAAAAATTGCATTAAAAAAATAAAATAATAATTAATTTAAAATACGAAACGGATATTAAAACAATGAAAATTACAATAGATGACATTAGGTAACTAGTCCCTCTATTTTATATTATAAGCAGTTGGACAAAATATATCTGAAAAAAAGTTAATGTATCTGGATAAATTTCTTCAAAAAAAATTCAATAGTATATTATACTAGAATAAGTCCAATCATTATATTTCAAAAGAGACTAGGTTTTTTGTGGAACTTTATGCTTAAATATAGTATTTTTATTCTTTCTAGTTCTCTGTTTCATCATATGTGACATATGTGGAGTTTTTTTGTTAATCTTATCAACTTAAATTAAGATTCTAGAAATTGTGGTAGACCAAATTTAAGTTGATAAGATCAACAAAAGAAACTCGATATGTGTCACACATGCTGAAACAAAAAACTAAAGAGAATAAAAACGATAGATGCAATATTTAGGCATAAAGTCCCACCAAAAAAACAAATTGCATGCATCTTACGCAAACATTAATTGGACTTATTCTTTAATATTCTATTGAAGTTTTTTGAATAATTTATTATGTGAAATATTTTTAAATACTAAACATATTAAAATAAATAAAATCTAAAAGTACAATTCAACTAATTGAACTTTAATCTTTGTGAAAATACAGAAAAATAATTCAATTAGTTTGTTTATAGAGAACAAATTTAAATCTTATAACGGTGTTAATCGAGTTTTTTTTCCTTTTATGTTCAATTTTGGTATAATTTACGTTTTGTGGATATAGAAAACATGTTAAAGCCTTTACAACAGTGGTAATCCAACAGTGGTTATTTGATTCGTTTTTGTTGTGGATATGTTAATCAAATTGCAAGTTTTATAGATCAAAGATAGAGAAACGTAAAGGGAAACGCTACAATGTCACCAATGCTACAATGTCACCAATGGCGTCTCTAAGAGTTTTCCATCCCAACCTCATTGTTATAAACAACTTTTTACAATTATGATTTAAAATATCTTAAATGATTTAAAATATGACCCTCTTACTATTTGTGTTATACATAATAATTGACCAAAATCTTTTGTGAAATGTGATTTAGTTATTAACCTATAGATAGTGTCGAAATCTGTAATCAATCAATCAAAGGAAATTGAGAAACTTAACTGGAAACTATAACGAATCGTATCAAACTATGCAACGTGAATCTGAAAAGTCGAAGAACTCTGAAGCGTATTTCAAGTTTTAGTATTCGCAGATGCAGAGGCGACGAGAGAATCCCTACAATCACCTGTGGCGTTTTAAAGAGTTTTCCATCACGACATCACAACTATAAACAATTTGTTACACTTATAATTTATCTTATGATCCTTTTAACTATTTGTGTTATGCATAATTGACCAAAACCTTTTATAAAATGTGCTTTAGTTATAAATTGTCTTCTACAAAAGATTTTAGTCAATTATGAAGGTATTAACTTAAAAATATTTAAGATAAATCATAAAGGTATTAAGTTGTTTATAGCCGTGCGCTTGTAATGAAAAACTTATAATAAAACACGACTGGTGATTGTGGCGTTTCTCTCATCACCTCACTACTTTGACCCTTAAAACTTGAAATCTGCTTCAAAGCTCTGCAACTTCTCAGATTTACCTCACCACTTTGCATTTTGGTATGATTCCTTAACCCTTTCAGTTAAAATTCTCTATTTCGTTTGATTGGCTGATTACAAATTGCGACATTCTCTATAGGTTAATCGATTATGTGTTCGCTAGTCCCGTAGGATTTTGGGTAACTAGTTGTTTATAGTCGTGAGGTTGTGAGGTTGTGTTTGTAGTATCAAGGTCACTTACTACAAACACCCGTCACGTTTTAAAGAGTTTTCATCACAACCTCACAGCTATAAACAACTAGTTACCCAAAATCCTACGTGATTAGCAAAAACATAATTGATTAACCTAGAGAGAGTGTTGAAATCTGTAATCAACCACCAATCAAAGGAAACAAAGAATTTTAACTGAAAAGGTTAAGGAATCGCACCAAAATGCGGAAGGTGGGATGAATCTGGAAAAGCAAAGAACTATGAATCAATTTGAAGTTTAAGGGTCAAAGATGGTGAGGTGACGAGAGAAACGCCACGATCAGCAGTCGCGTTTTATTATGAGTTTTCCATTACAAGTGCATTGCTATTAACAATTCATTAATTAGACTTATGATTTATCTAGGAGATTTTAAATATGACCCTCTAACTATCTATGTTATACATAATTGACCAAAACCTTTTTGTAAAATGTGCTTTAGATACAAATTGTCTTCAACAAAAGGTTTTAGTCAATTATGTAATACATAGATAGTAAGAGGATCATATTTAAAAAAATATTTAAGATAAATCATAAGGGTTATAAGTTGTTTATAGCCGTGCGCTCGTGATGGAATACTCATAATAAAAAGCTGACTGGTGATTGTGGCTTTTCTCTCGTCATCTTTGACCCCTAAAACTAACTTCAATTTGCTTCACAGTTTCGACTCTTCAGATCCTCAGCTTTCGCATTTTGGTAGGATTCCTTCCAGTTTCTCTATTTCTTTTGATTGTTTGATTACAGATTTCGACACTGTCTCTAGGTTAATCGATTAGGTGTTTGCTAGTCCCTTAGGATTTTGGGTGAGTTTCGAGCCGAGCTTCTTCAGAGGGTTTTTGAGTTATTCGATTTCTAGGGTTCTAGATGAATCTATGATTCCATTTCGCTAATTCACGCTTGGGTTTGTTAGATTTTCTACCTTTCATGGGTTTTCCCCCAATTTTCGGTCCTCAATTTCAGCGATTTTAGGCTTTGTTCCTCTATGCGCCGTGGTAGGTTTAATCAATCATTATGCTTTTCGGAAACTTCTTATCGACAACGAAATTGTGAAGATTGAGATCGTTGAATCGTTGAATTTCTCTGTCGTTGAATTCAAAATTTTATTTTTTGATCGCGAAATTTTTGTTCAGTGAGTTGTTTCAAACTCGGGTTTGTGGATTTGCCATTGGAGTTAAATGGGTTTATTTGCTCGTAGCCTAGTTTTGAATTTGGTGTCTTTGGTGTGCTTGATTGCTCTATATGTTCATTTGTATGTGAAATTTTGGTGGAATTCATCATCTGCAACGTCTCTTAGATAGCTAGAGTGCTTGTGTGTTGAAGATAATTGCAGTAAACCACTCCTAAACTAACAATTTTTGTATGCGTTTGACCAGATAGTAGCCATCCTGACATTGTCAAATCGTTCAAAGCTTGGTCATTTGAAGTATTGAATGATACGGATACAAGACAGGCATGGAGTGCAACAAAGACGAGGCGGCGAGGGCAAAAGAAATTGCAGAGAACAAGTTCAAAGTGAAAGACTTTGCCGGAGCCAAGAAATTTGCACTGAAAGCTCAAAGCCTGTATCCAGAGGTGGAAGGCGTTTCTCAGATGCTAGCTACTTTTGATGTGTACATCGCTGCAGAAACCAAAGTAAACGGGGACTTGAACTGGTATGGGATACTCGACGCAAGCCCTCGCGATGATGATGAAGCTTTGAAGAAGAAGTACAGGAAGCTTGCTCTGACGCTTCACCCTGATAAAAACAGATCTATAGGATCTGAAGGAGCGTTCAAGTACGTGCTGGATGCTTGGAAATTCTTGTCAGATAAAGAGAAGAGAGTAGCTTATGATCGCAAGAGGAGTATGCAGACTGTTTATCAGAATGTTACAGTTTCAGCTTCTAACAACGGCTTCTCCAACTTCGGCAGGACTAATTTCCCTACTAATGGGAGCACTTTCGCCAAGCCTAGTGCTCCTGCAAATGGGAAGACTAGTGTTCCTGCAAATGGGAGGACGGCGATGCCGAAGAACAATCCGACTACTCAGAAGAACAATCCGCAGAAGCCAGCTGGTAGTGCACAGAAACCACCTGGACGGGCTTATCATCATCCAGCAGCACCAAGCTCATTTGCTGCATCAGAGCAGAGGACTTTCTGGACAGTCTGCAGGAGATGCATGTTGCAGTATGAGTATCCTAGAATCTATGTTAACTTTAACCTCCTGTGTGCTAATTGTCGACAGCCGTTTCTAGCAGTAGAAGCACCTAAACCGGGTGTGTCTAACCTTTGGAGTAGTTCCAGCTCCAGCCGTCTCAAGCGAAACATGGATCCAAGGTCAGCTGCAAACCAGGGTTCTGCTTCTGATCACTCCAAGTGGACATTCTCAAGAACCAGCAGTGCAGCTCATGCTGCAAGTGTGGTTCAACAGGCTTACGAGAAGGTGAAGAAAGAACGCGAGGATGCAAAAGCAGCAGAGAGAAGGGATAAGAAGAGTTCCAAGAGGAAGAGCGATGCTGATTCGTCTCCTTCTGGTGGTGGTTCAGTTAAGAAGAGGAAAGTTACAGGAGAAACTGATATCGGTTGCTCTAGTGGAAGCAAGGTCACTTACTACGTGACTGTTGAAACCGGAAAGTTACAGCATGGAATCGAAGAGATAGCGGATCAGATAGCTCCCGGGATCAAGGAACAGATTAGCGAGGAGGATGTAGCAGGAGAGGTAAGAGGTGAAGTCTCGTCAGTGTTATGAATCAGCTGAGGGAGGTTTTTTGAGTTATGCAGGGATAATTGTGATTTGGTGTCTTTAGGCTATAATTAACCAATCGCTCTGGGGTATAGTTTGTAAGATGAGTCATCTGGTTATCTTTTGGTTCTAACTTTGTAGAGAGAGAGGGAGAGATGGGTCTTTCTGGGGCAAGGATAGAAATTTTTAGTTTCCAAATTTTTTATTTAAGACAGTGTTGTGGGAAGTGATATTTGTAGCAAACAATGACTTGGTTTCAAGACTAGAAAAGTATTCTTATTTCAAAAAGTTTCTTCCTATTTTCTGTCCTTCATGTTTTTTTTAAAAAAAGGAAGAAGATGAACTTTAAAAGTTTGACTCACTCTAACGAAACACCAATGCCAACGACGAAGAGAAGATATGAAATTGGATAAAGCCCACCGAAGAATGTATTAAATAACTTGAAACCAAGTCATTGTTTGCTACAATTACAAACATCACTTGCCACAACACTGTCCTAAATAAAAGATTTGAAAACTAGTTTTTGTCCTCTGCCCAAAAAGACTCATCTCTCTCTCTCTCTTTTACAAAGTTAACCAAAAGATAACCAAATTACCCAACTTACAAAAAAGTACTCTTATTTCAAAAAGTTCTTCCTATTATCTTTGTCCTTCCTGTTTTTTTAAAAGGAAGAAGATGAACTTTAAAAGTTTGAATCTCTTTAACGAAATGCCAACGACGAAGAGAAGATATGAATTGGATAAAGCCCATAAAACCAAAAGCCTTATAAAACCAAAAGCCCAAACTGAATTTACCGAAGATTGTTCGTATGTGATTTCTCAACCTGTCGTGTGGATTACCATATACATAGTAGAGATAGGAACCCAATGGTTTGTAACCCTAGCACAGAAAATTACACATAACTTTACCAAAGTGACACCGAGATATATGAGGACTTCATTTTGGGTATTGTCCTATCAACAAAGTATTCAAGCTCAAGGTATTGCGCCTGCGCCTGTCAAATGATTATCAAATTTTGACGTTAGGAAATGAAAAATCATCATGAAAATTCTTGATGATGGTTTTTCATTTCCTAGCGTCGAAACTCGATAATCATTCAACACACACAATACTTTGAATATTTGGTCGATAGAATTCATACTCCAAAAATGAAGTCCTCCTATATCTCAATGTAGTCTTGGATAAAGTTATGTAATTTCTTGTGTTAAGGTTACGAACCATTGAGTCCATAAATCTACTACATAGCAATCCACATAAATGTTGAGAAATAACATAGTTATTATTTACGTTGTGCTTAGCGTGTAAGATCTCAGGTTGAGAATTCCTATAGAATCTATTAGCAGAAGAAAAAAGAAAAAATTGTTTAGATAACAATAAGTGGAAGCCGAATCTGTTTGCCCTAATTTCTTCTCTTTGAGACACACTTTCCGAGGTCACCACTACCACTTTGACTCCGATTTAAGGATGAATCGACGGAGCTACGCCTTCTTTTTCCCGCCTCCGCTTGGTGACCAATGAAGCTTTGTTATCTTTCGCTAGTGTTTCTTTCGATGGCATTCTTTTGAAGTTGGCCGCCAATCTTGAAGGTGAGTTTGTGACCTGGGCCGCTTTGCCCAAGTCATCATCTAGGGTTAGTTATCTCTTCTCACTTTCAAGGCTGAGCCTTTATAATTTTTATGAGTTACTTTTGTATTATTTTGCCTATATTTCCTCCTTTGGTCTACAAGTGGTATTGCTCTTATTACTTTTACCGAGAATCGATGTTTTATTTAAGGAGAGTTATCAACTCTTCCTCGTTTTATTTGGAGAGATTATTGACAATCCATTTTTAAAAGGTTGTTGTCTCTTTTTTACTTTTTAATTATAACAAATGAATATATGGAAAAAGGTATTATATAACCTACTTGTGATAGCTGTAGAGAGAGTCTACCGTGTGGTGCATCTCCTCCACATATTAGTTTGAGTCCTTCCATAGGCTTGGAATTTACCCTGAATTATAAAAAAAAAAAACAACTTACTTGTAATATTATGCATGACAATGGTGTAAGACTCTTTGAATCTATTGGTCTCATACTAACCAATCTAATATAATTTACATTTTTGCGGATTTCAGATACCTACAATGAGAGAACTGTAAAAATTTGTTTCATTTATCTTAAAAAATCTTCAAATTTTATTGAGAATCTAGAGATCTTACCTCATCTACTTCGGAATGGCACATTAGCAAATTCAAAAAGATTAAAGGGGATCGACTTTATTAGGAGATAACAACTGCAAGATATAAATTATGGTTTAGTTCCAAATTACAAAATTGATTACTTTTAGTGGACATATGCAGGACGAAAAACACGAAGATAGACAAGATAACATGAGATCTCTTCATGATGTATATTATGTGAACTCTACGGATCTGGATTTTCGAACCGATATAGGTATAGATGTTGTTGACCAAAAAAACAAGATTACTTTTAGTGACAACAAAATTAATGAAACAAGATTTAAAGCCGCTTCAGTTAATCCTTATAGAAATCATTGTCTTTGTTAGCTTCAATCTGAAAACTAATTATGGCTTTGACCTAATCTAAGAATGAACATATATATCCTCAAACTAATTTCTATCAAACGTATCTTCGAAACAACAATACACTGCATAATTAGGAATCATATATATCAAACATGCATTAAAACAATCATGAAATCCAATTAACTAACCTGAGTAAATCGCGTTTCTGAGCTCTGTCGAAAGCCTTAAAGATAAATCTTTTGTTATATGAAATATGAATTTTCAGCTGATTTGTGAGGATGCGGCAGATTTAGTGGGAGTTGAAAGCCTTAAAGATGAATCTTTTGTTATATGAAATATGAATTTTCAGATGATTTGTGAGGATGCGGCGGATCTAGTGGGAGTTCCAAGAGAACGGATTGTACCTTTATAGTTGGGATGACTTTCTTTTCTTTTTATATCTAGGGCAACTAGAAATGAGCAACGTCGAGAAATGACCGACAAAATTTGGGCCAAAATGTGTAAATGAAATTTGAGCTATATAGTTTTTTGAAAACAGATAAGAAAATATTAAATTGGGCTCAATCTCATTTAGTTTTATCATGGGCTTTGATCCAACATTTAACAACTAATATGGGTTATGATGAGTGAGTAATTTGTTCATTATTAAATATTTAAAATAGTCATAATATATATAAGAAGAAGAATCAAAGATTTTTGGGCTCAATCTCACTTAATTTTACTATGAGTTTTGATCCAACATTTAACAACTAAATTGGGTTGTGGTGAGTGAATAATTGTTCATTATTAAATATTTAAAATAGTCATAATATATATAAAAAGAATAATCAAAGATTTTTGGGTTCAAAATAAGTTCACTCACAAGAATTTGGCAAAGGATTTCCTTATATAGTTATATTTTAAATTTTGAGATTTTGTGAAGATCTATAGTAATTGGTCGCTTTGAGGTATGATTCATTTTGGTATTACACCACCAAGTTGGAGGACTATATCGATGGAGACAGAATTCATTGATTACTTTCAATGACAACAAAATTAATAGAACAAGAATGAAAAATTGATTACTTTCAAGATTAAGCAAAACCGCATCTCTTCCTTATTAAATTTACTATCTTTGCTAACTTCAATTTGAAAACCAAATAAGGCTTTGACGTGATCTAAGAATGAAAAATACTTATCCTCAAACTTATTGATATCAAATTATTTATAACAACAATTAACTACGTTATTAGGAATGATATCTATCAAATCGACATTAAAACAACAGTGAAATCCCAATTCGCTAACAGTATTGCGAAAACTCTATATATTGATCTTTCTTTCTTTTTTTTTGAACAAATTTAAATTATATATTGATCTTTCTTTAAAGTCTTTTCTTTCCTCTTACACAATCTCACAAACTATATATGAACAAAAAGTGATGTTGTTAGTTACGACAAGAAAACAAAAATCAACTTTTGAGTGAACTGTTTTAAGACACAGTTACATTCCCATACCCAAAACTCTAGATAGTGAAAGTCTTTCTCGTTGATTATACAAACCCCCTAAGCCTCAAAATTCGTTAAGCTAGCAAAGGCCATATTCCTCTCCACAATCTCGTTGATTCTCTTCAACACCACCTTACTCTCTATTCTCATACCTTCGATCTCCAAAAGCTTCCGAAGCAAACGCTTAACCAATGCGAATTCGTTTGTAGTATACCATTTCAACTGTTCCTCAACAATGGTTTCCAAATCTCTGAAAGCTCTCATCACAATCCCAATCTCCATTCTTCTCTCCACAAGATTCCCCACAACCTCAATCATCTTCTCTTCAATCTCCTCCACAGATCCAGCGTGACTTTCAACTTCTACCATCTGAATAATCGCACAGAAGGCACCCGTAAACGCCAAGACCCAGCCAAAGTTATCCACCAAAAGATTTCTTGGTGGGTTTAACATTCTTCTTATCACAGGAAGAAGCTTCTCCATCACAGGAACCACAAAGTCTTGATCATCAAGTGGCGTGTTTAAGCACCTGAAGATGTAGCATCCTCTATTAAAGAACTCAGTTTCCTCACAGTGGGATGTAATATAGTCACGTAACTCATTCCACGTGTCGTCCTGGACCTCGAATATCTCTTTTGCAACGTGGTGCACAACTTCTCCGAGGATCTTAAACGTGTTCTCTGGGGTTTCTTGCTTCCCAAGGCAAGTGATGATCAATGGCTGGAGTTTTCTGATCATTGCAACGTCGATTAGTTTCTCTTTAAAACTGTGACGAGAGAGCAAGACGTTGAGCTGTCCCATCGCTAACTCTTCTTCCAAAACGCCAAGCTTGTTGGATACCACCATTTCCAAGATCTCCAACGATGACAATGTCTTCAAATATTTGAACCCTTGGAGACGAAACCTAACTCCATGATCTAAAGGGAAGAAATCAAAGCTGAGTTTCCGCATTTGTAAAGATAACTCTGACAAGAAACGGCGTTGATCTTCGTTGTAATCATACTTGAACAGATTGTTTTCTCGTGAAAGGAACTTCTCGAGACCTTCAAGCTGTAGTTGCAAGAACTGTCTCATCATCTTCTTCTTCTTCTTCTTCTCCACAAGCTCATTCGCTGACTTCACAAGAGTGTAAAGAATGCTCTTTATCAAGTAGTTTTGACTGTAGTTTTCAGAATTCAACACCTGAATCCCCATTTTGACTATGGTTTTCAAACCTAGACACCAATCTTCTTCTTCCTCAGGAACAAGCAACACTTTCTTGGCTTCCTCTAGAACCCTCTCCATAAACCGGTTGATAAACTCCAAGTTCTTGATCGGTGGTAAACCGAGAAAGACGTAGAAGCTCTTGAGTGGCTCTGTATCTGCCAACGATTGAATACACTCGCTGAGCTCGTCCCAGCTTCCGTTTTGCAACGTGAGAACATTGTAAGCTACGAAAGAGACGATTTTCCCGAGGATCTTGGCGCGAGATCTTGTGTTTTCTTGCGTTGCAAGGCAAGAAATGACGAGTGGCTTGATTTCTTGGAGAGCGACGTGAGAGAACTCGAAGCCGCTGCGACGATCTCGTAGCTCCTTGAGAGTTTTGGAGAGGAGAGTGATCGATCGTAGCCTGAAGACCTCGTCGGAAGAAGAATCTTGATACACCATGAGAAGCTTTTTGGTTAAGCAGTTTGCGAAATGTTTGACGCAGAAGTCGTAAAGAGCCCTCGCTGGTTTATGTTCTTCGGTATCGTTACCGTTGATGACGAAGAGTTGATCGACAAGAATCGATAATCCTTCGTGGCTTGGAGTTGCAAGAAGATCTCTGGCTTTCAACATAAGATTCGATGATTCTGTCATTTTCCCGAGAAAATTTCGAGTCTTCGTCGTCTCAGAATTATTTTTTTTTTGTGGTGAAAAGGTTATAGACGAAGATCTGTAAACCGGACTTAACCTTTATCCGACTATATACGTAAACAAAATATTGGGACTTCGCTCTTTAATAAGCTGGTCCACATACGGCCCACAAAATATTGGTCTTGTGAAAAAGAAAGAAAACTCAAAAAATTCCGCTGCCGGGAGTCGAACCCGGATTTCTAAAGGGTGGGATACAGAACTCTCAACACTGTTTGATCGTTAGATCGTTAGTTTTGAAATTAGCCTTTGTGCTACAGCGGATCTTGTTGTTATCATGGTAAGTAATTTTATTTATTTACTCATCTAAACTCAAGATTGGTCGTTCAAATACCTTTAGTTACTTTGGGCCGACAGCCCATTAAACACTCGAAGGTAAACCGGGCCTTAACCTAAATCAAATGCAGTATAAACGTTGGTTTGATTTTGGCTGACTTCACAAAATTCCAAATCCTACTTAACCGAACGGAAATTAAACCGGAACCAATGTTTTTATCAAAGTGAGTCACATTTGCAAAAACGAAAATAGTAAAAGGGTCATCTTCTAAATCTCTGAGATAAATGGAAAACGTTTGCCGCTATGAGGGTACAAATACAAATATGTAAAAGTATGAGGATCATATTTGAAAGTCTCTCAATTAAATGTGGAGGCAGCTGCTATCCGAAAGTCTGATACGAGAGATCATCGTTTTCTAGGGCTTTTTGGTGTTCTCTTCCTCTCAAGTTTGAAGCCTGAAATCTCCCAACACAAATCGTAAAATCTCAGGTAATTTCTCTCTAACTCCTTACGATTTTGCTATGCTCCTCGAAATTAAGTTCTTTTTGCATTTAGAAATTCGTTTAACCGGCTGATACACCAATTCGACTTTTGGGATCGATTTGATTTCGCCACTTCCGTCAGAAATTGGTATCGAATTTTCACTTTTTCTCTTCCGGGTTTTCCGAAATTGAAATCCTTTGCGGTTTAATTTTACATAAACATAGATAGATATTGCTTTGCAGTTTTTTAATTCAGATGAATCTAGGGATTTTCTGTTCTGCGATCAACGGCGAGTTTTGTTTATTTCTGTACATGTTTTTGGTTCTTCCTTCAACAGTAAAGTTTCAAGCTTTAGCTTGATGTATTCTCCTAATCTGTTGAATTTCTGTTTCAGGTTTTGAGCTCGTTGGCTTGTTTTTTCTGTATCTCTCAACATTTTGCCAACATGGCAGAGATACAGACAAATGGAAGGGCGTATGAGTCACTATTGGAAAAGGTTCTTTCGATGAACATTCTTTCCTCTGACTATTTCAAAGAGCTATATGGTTTAAAGACTTATCATGAGGTAGTTGATGAAATCTACAACCAAGTTAATCACGTGGAGCCATGGATGGGTGGAAACTGCCGTGGTCCTTCGACAGCGTATTGTCTCCTGTACAAATTCTTTACCATGAAAGTTACAGTGAAGCAGATGCATGGGCTGTTGAAGCACACTGATTCTCCTTATATTAGAGCGGTGAGTGAATCTCTTAACCATCTTTTTGCTTTACCGTTCTAGTAGAATCTGGAAATATCTATTTGCATCTTCTGGCTTCTTCTTGAATGTCAGTAACATCTTGTGTGCTGTTTGTTCCAATACTTGTTCCTCTCCCGTTATTTGATACCAGCTAAGTCGTGTCTTAGTAGTCAATTTAATCACAGAGAAGGTAGGTGTTTCCTTTGCTATTGAAATAATGAACTTACCTCTGGGTTTCCATCTGAAACTATTCTTTTCTTGTCACGTAGTGGAGGTATGAGCGTCGGCATAATTGTTCTACGTGTTTTCATAACAGATTTTCAGAACTACAAACAAAGTTGGGATGTCATTCATTCTTTTGAGTTGCTGAGAGTTTCTCCAACCAAAATAAATAAGACCTTTCTTTGCTAGGAGTATCTACAATTCAAGGTTTGAGGTGTCTTTTCTATTTTAGATGCTCTATCTCTCTAGGATCACCTCTGTGGCCATTTAATAGTATAGAAACTAGCGTCTGTGAGAAATAACCTGTCTATCATACTTCAGTCTTAGTTGGGCGCCTTATATTGATGTATCTCTAACTTCTTACTAATTTTTTTTGCTTTGCGTTTTTCCATGCTATAACATATTGTCTGATATGTTTTCTATGTTCATTGCTTTTGATCTGACCGCATGGAACTGAATGTGCAGGTTGGATTCTTATATTTAAGATATGTTGCAGATGCAAAGACGTTGTGGACATGGTACGAACCATACATTAAAGATGATGAGGTAAGCCATTTTTTAATCATGTTAAAGTCTCATGAAAAAACGCACACAACCTTCTATTCACCATCTGGGTTCTTTATAGTTTCTGTCGAGTCTAGCGTCGTATTTTTCTATAGTTCCGTAATATGTTTTTGTTTTTCGTATAGAAGCTCTTGTTAAGTATTCTAACTGAGATGATCCTCGATCCATGAAATAGAGAATGTCTCTTTTGAGTTAACTGTCTTGAAAATTTCGTTGACCGCTTTTAGGATGTATGGGATCCTGTGGCCTATTGTTTAGCAAATTTGTTGGCATAGGTTCATGCTATCATAATACACTCTTTAGCTTGTTTGAACATGGCTCTGCATTTCTATTGTTTGTATACCGCTTACATTAACATATTCATGTATTTTTCTTTCAGGAGTTTGCACCAGGATCAAATGGACGAATGACAACAATGGGTGTTTATGTACGTGATTTGCTTCTTGGACTGGTGAGTCACATGTTGTTATAATTGTCAATTTTGTTTCTGTGTTCTGTGAATTATCCCAGGGAAGGTGTTTTTGGCTGGGCAGACTTGGATGCTTTTCGGTTTCTCCAGAGTCTAAACATGAATATATGTTACTATACTTTGCAGTGATAATGAGAGAACTTTGATTTGTCGGTAAGATGTTGTCTGGTAAATTTAAAATCTAGGAATATGTACTTATACTCTTTAAATTCTTCTCATTTGCCAATTAAAATGGTAGTGTGAACGTTTCACTAAGTTGTGCTTTTAAAGAGCGTTTGATCATATAAGGTGTTTTAGAGTCATTTATCTATGCATACTTCTGAGTTACTATGATACTTTAATGTCTCAATGATGCTAATTCTTGAATCTGACCTACTCTCGTTTGTTTTTGCAGTACTACTTTGATACTCTGTTTCCACGCATTCCTGTTCCTGTCATGCGCCAGATTACATCAAACCTTGAGAAGATGAATTTACCAACGAAACCATCTGGTTCAACAGGAGACATGACTCGTGGCTCTGAAGACACTGCTCGTCGTCCACCATCAGTAAAAGCATCACTCTCTGTTTCATTTGGCCAGCGTGCACCTCACCGTGCTTCCACCAGAGGCTCCTCTCCTGTTCGCCGTCCTCCACCTTCTGGATATGACAGAAATGGAGGCGATGAACCACAACAGCGCTCCCCACGTAGGAGTCAGAGCCGAGACTATTCTGACAGAGACTCAGATAGACAACGGGAAAGAGAGAGAGACAGAGACAGGGAGAGGGAGAGGGAGAGAGATAGATACAGAGAAAGGGAGAGGGATTATGGTAATGATAGGAGATCGAGGCGTGACTATGAAGGTAGAAGCAGACGCAGTGATTATGACGATGATAGAAGCAGACATGACCGGAGAAGCAGGAGCAGGAGCAGAAGTAGAAGCAGGAGTGTGCAGATTGAGCGTGAGCCGACTCCAAAGAGAGATATTAGCAGCAGCAACAAGGAGAAATCGGCTGTGACCATGAACAGCAATCTTGCAAAGCTAAAAGATCTATATGGAGATGCGAGTAATCAGAAAGGCGATGAGGGGATTGGAACAAGGAGGGATTCAAGTTCAGAAGAAGTGATTAAGCTTGGTGGTTCTTCTTGGAGGTGAAAAAAACAAACAACAAAAAAAGAAATACTGTGGATTTTAAAAATTCTTCTTCTATTTTGTAGGATGATGCATGTTGTTTTACTGTGTACTGTTATGATTTCCAGCAAAAACTATTTGACATATTCCTGAAGTTACAGTTTTAGAGAATTGATCTTTATCTTGAATCTGTAAGACTTAGTGATGTGTTTTGTTTTCAGTTTGTTACATGATATTTTCAGTTATTCGAAATCTTCAAGCTCGATAGATTCTGTGTGCAAGACAAAAACACCCTAAGAGTTAAGTAATCTTGTCAAAACTTGTTAAAGTTTCTACCAAATCCGAAATCTCTCCAAATGTCTGGCAAATGATCACAAACTCATAATCCAGACAATGCATATGCATCTCTTCAATTTAGCCAAATACTAGAATACATCCCCTCTAAGTCAGTTGAACCATGAATGTATCTAATGATGCAGTCATAAATGGAAATCATTATTGAGTTTTTGACCAGTTAATTAAGCGAATTGACTCGCTTTCACCACGTATGGACTACGGAGCAAAGCAAGTCCACTGAATCAAGATTATATTTACCATAATTAATTAGTTTAATTAAGAAAGTTAGAATTTTATGTAGAATGAGACATTCAAATTTCTCGGTCAATATTCCATGAACCATAGACCAAGGAATGAATATGTTGCCATACACATGAACCTAATGAAACAAACTATTATAAAAACATAGGTTAACCAAGTGCTTAATCACAAATCCCTAGTTAATCAAATCATTCACTTTCTGAAACTACCTCAATTTGTTTTGACTCTCTCAATGATGAATTCTATGAAGCTCTTGATCATCGTTGTGGTCATCTCCACGATTTTATTTCCGGTTTTGGTCCAATCTCGACAGTTGAAATCAGATGAAGTGATTACGATGAAGACGAAATCAGATGTGAGTCGTAGGATTCTTCAAGCGTCAAAATATATAGGATATGATGCATTGAAGCATGACGTACCAGCTAAGCAACGTGGTAAACCGGATTTACCAGACAACAAATACAAACGACCTTGTGATGTCATCTCACATTGTTACCGGTTTACGAATTAAACAAGAATCCTCTCTTTCTGTTTCTTTTTTCTTTTTCTTAACACAATTCTGATTCTTTTCTTTGTTGGCAAGTTTAATTGTGTTCTTACGATCACATTATAGTTCATTTTGATGTGTTGCATTTAATTTTGTTCTTAAACAATTTAAATCATAATTTTCATTATTGTTTTACGACGCACGCACCTATCCCAGCCAATTCATGTGATGAAAGTTTACTGATTACCTCATGGCTTCACCATTGACAACAATTACTTGAGAGTTGAAACTATACGTTTTCGCTATAACAAAGAAGTGGCATAATTTCCACTAATGCAAAGTAAAAAGAAAATGTAAAAAAGCCGAAAATAAAAGTAAAACTTTTGTAACAAAAATGTAAGATTTCCCAAGTCACAATAAGACAGTATCGAAATAACAAAATTGGACGAAGTTGAGAAATTAGGACAATTGACAATTACGACAAGAAGTCCAAACTCTACATATATGTGCATGAAAGAAGACAATTGTCCCCAAAAATATTATTCGATCCATCGTCTCATACCATAATGATCATGGCTCTTTCTCTTCGAATCATTATCAAAGCTTTTCTCTTAATTACCGCCACTGCCTCATCACCTCCCGGCGGCTTCACCATCGAATTAACCCACCGTCACTCTAACTCCTCTTCTTCTCCACTCTCCAGTGACGACGATGGATCATCTCCTTACGCCGATACCGTCTTTGCTACAACCGAGTATCTAATGAAGCTACAAATCGGTACACCTCCTGTCGAGATAGAAGCTATCTTAGACACAGGAAGCGACCTCATATGGACACAATGCCTGTGTTAACTGTGACGACCAACAACAAGCTCCCATCTTCGACCCTACGAAATCCTCAAGCTACAAAGCCAAAATATGCCACGACGGCCCTTGTCCTTACAAGTCTACCTACGCAGACCAAACCTATTCCATTGGAACGTTAGCGACCGAGACGGTCACGATACAGTCCACTTCAGGCCAACCTTTTGTGATGCCAGAAACCCTAATCGGTTGTGGCCACAACAACACAGGGCTTGACTCCAAGAGCTCAGGCATTGTGGGTCTAGGTTTGGGAGCTTCATCACTCATCTCTCAGATGGGAGAAAGATCCTTAGGTCTTTTCTCTTACTGCTTCACCGGTCAGGGAACGAGCAAGATCAACTTTGGAGGAAACGCTGTCGTGTCGGGAGATGGGACAGTAGCAGCCGATATGTTTCAAAACAAACATGGTTTCTATTACCTAAACCTAGACGCGGTCAGCGTTGGAGATAACCGCATCGAGACGTTAGGGACACCGTTTCACGCCTCAGATGGGAACATGATCGTAGACTCTGGAGCCACTTTCACGTACTTGCCCGATAGCTACTGCAAGAAAGTGAAGGAGGCAGTGGAAAACGTTGTGAGAGCGGATCGAGTAGCTTCCATGGGGGACATGCTTTGCTACAACTCGGACGATATAGAGATGTATCCGTCGATCACACTGCATTTCTCTGGCGGTGCGGATCTTGTCTTGGAGAAGTACAATACGTATATGAATAGAGGAGGAATGTATTGTCTAGCGATCATGTGTGTTGGTCCGACAGAAGACGCTATATTTGGTAACAGAGCGCAGAATAATTTTTTGGTTGGTTATGATCCTTCTTCGATGGTCGTTTCTTTCAAAGGCCACCGATTGTTCTGCTCTGTGGAGTTGAAAGAGATAACAAATTAACCTAGAGAGGAGGAAAGTTCTTTTTTTTTTTTTTTTTTTTTTACTTTTCCTTTTTATTAATATGGTTTAGAATATGGTTTTGTTTAATTTTTACTTGAGCAATTCTTTCTACGTATTCGTCTTCTTATTTATAAGCATAGTCCTAAGAGAAAATGTTGGCCACAATACACGTGCGTGTCAAGCATTATGGATGAGAAAAATTCAATTAAATCGCAGTGTCCGTATTATTATACCGGTGGTTTACCGGTCCGATCCGGGTTTTAAGAAATTGGATTGTTCTTGTAAATCTATCCGTAAAATTGAGGGGGAGCTTGCTCTGCTCTGCAACTGAAACATCGAAGATGGATTCTCTTCGTCTTCTCCATCCTCTCCATTGTCTCTCTACCACTCTTTTTATTTCTCAGCCAAATTTTCGTATGATTCGTTTCTCATCCTCCTTAAAACCGTCACTCTCGAGAAGGCGTTATCTCTCGAAACCCTTGACTCTCTCATTTGCTCTTAAGGAATCAGATTCTCCTCAACCCGTAGAAACAAGCTCGAAATCTCTTCTCCAGCAACTCTCCGTAAGTTGAAATCTCTATTTTTTTTTCGAATTCATTTCTGATTCCGAGTCAAAATTGAAATTGAAATCGAAATCGGTGTGTGTTGAGTTGTGTTGTTGCAGAAGTGTTTCGAACTTCCATCAGATTACTTCCAACAGCTACCAAATGATCTTCGTCTCGATGTAAACCCTAAATTCCTCACTGCGTAAAACTTAATTTTGTGGTTTCGCGACGCCTTTTTTTCATGTGGTGAGTTTTTTTTTGTTTCTTTCCAGTTAAATGATGCTGCTTTTGATCTCTCCAATGGACCCATCATCGATGAGGTTAGTTTCTTATTAAGTAATCACTTCATTTTTGCTAGGTAATCACTTCAATTGCTAAATATTTCCGGTTTCAATAATTGCAACCTCTCAAATCTATTTTTGTAGTGTGGTCAAGAGCTTGGGGAGACCTTACTGAATCTCTCCCGTGCTTGGGAACAAGCTGATACAGCAACTTCTCGCAGTTTAGTAAAGAAACTTCCGGAGCTGGACAGTTCATTAACAGGTGGCAACAAATCAGGTAACAAGTAGATGGTTACATATATTATTGGTTCTATTCTCTTGTAATCATACTCGTTTTAACGTTTTGTTATTTGGTTCAGCCTTAGGGAGGCGTCTGATATCTGCAGGAAGAAGGTTCAAGGGCATGGGACAGTATGGTCAAGGTGAATTACAGAAGGTACCTGAAACGTAGGTGTGGTTTCTTCTACTGTTTTGATTATGTTTACTCGGTGAAACGTCAATATAAGTATTTCTGAATCTGAAATAAACATTCATGCCTGCAGCAACTAATGTTGCTGAGAATTTGCAGATTGCTAAAGCGATGATTACTACTGGAGAGGTCCTATCTGCAAGTGCATCACCTGCTTCAATCAGTAATGAATCTAAGTCGGAAACAAGGATGCTTAAGGTAAAGCAGAAAACGTCAAATATATGGTTTCTCTTGTATGTTCACTGAAGTTACTGTGCAGATGATAACTCTTTGTTTGAAATGCAGTTTGGGAATCTTCAGGTTGCTGTGAGTCCAGAGAAAGCCTATGCCGGAGCTGCCATTGCATTCGTCTTTGGGTATTTGTGAAATCTTGGTTATTTCTTTATAGGTGTATCACTCTCTTAACAACATTTGTATCTATACTTTGGATCAAACAGGATACTTTCATGGCAAGTCAGTCAGGGGATTCAAAGCACACCAGAGAGCTCATTGCAGTATGCAAATGACAATGCATTGCTACTCGGAAAGGTTGGTGGATCAAAACATTCTGCTCTAGTAGAGTATATACTATACCGCTTTCTGCTGTTTTGAGGGTTTGTGAATTGATGTTCTGTCATGCTTTTTGTTCTTCTGGGCAGTCTCTGAGAGGGTCTCTTCTAGCTATGTTTTATGCGTCAACCGTTTTGTCAGGCTTCACAACAGCTGGGCTTCTCCTGCTCGCTAAGCAGCTTTCATCAGAGAAAGAGTGAATCTTTGATGATGACACACTTCCATTTCTGTATATTCAGGGTCATTGTATCTACAACTGGATTTATTTTGTTCTACTATTCTGTCTGTCTATGAAACTATGTAAGCAAATATTATCTCATAGAGTTAAAGGGAATATCTTTGTTATGAGTAATTGAAGTTTGTCAAGCAATGTGGATTACATGAGAGAGTTTGATGTTTCAGGATTAATACATGCACAAAAGTTCATTACTCTCAGCACAACACCACTTCCAGAGTTTATGCTTTGTTGAAAGAATCACTCACGAAGTTATCCATGAATCACTCTAAGCCGCGTCACAACAGGAGAGGCGATATTGAAGAAGCAAGATGAGCAAGTGAACTTTTCGAGTGACCAACCATATGTAAATCTTATTTCACAGTTTCTTGCAATTGAACCAGTAAGTTGTGTTCAATGCCACAGTCGATATGGAAATAAGAAATTGTTAGGTACGTGAATTATAAGTTTCCATATCGACTTAAAACGGGTCGGGCCAATTCATGAATCTATACTTAGCCATGACATCCAAGGTGTATGATACGAAGACCAGAGATCGATTGAAAATACGTAATATGAAATTTTAAGCGAGAACAATGGAATTCAGATGTTGATGATGAAACTTTATTATTCAAATGATATGATATAATGAAAAAGGTAATTCTAAAACATTATCATTAAAACGTCCGTTTGTGTAACATTATAGATATATCTCTATCTATTTAGGCATTGACTTCTTGAAACATCCCTTTAGCTGATGCCCTGCAAATACATTGCCACCAAGAAAAACCATGTCAACAAACACGTTTACATACATGGAAACATACGTTGGCGTATATGAGACATAAATATTATTATGCATACCGAGGGAGCACAGGTGCCTTGTGGCATTTAGTACCAACGCAATCGTGAATGCACTTGTCTACTCCGACATAAAATATTTCACACTTGGAAATGCACCTCCTATAACAATCTTCATATGATTCACCCTTTGCCGATAATGGCATCGTCGTCAATGCCATCATCATCATCATTACAATCACCAACATACACTTCTTCTCCATCTTTCTTTCTTTTTGTGTGTGTGTGTGTGTGTGTGTGTGTGTGTGTATGTGTGTGTGTGTTTGTTTGTTTTCTCTCGTTTTTGATTTATTGTTTTACTATCACCACATCTATTTATAGCACTTAACATTCTCCATTATTGGAAATATATAGATATTTGTAGTAAGTTTGACTAGGTATAATATAGTTATAGAAGATATATATTTTTTCTACAAAGATCAACGGAAATTGCATTGAATATTTAATTGTTGTCAATCAATGTAATCGCAATGGAGATTTTGTTGTTAGTTATGGAGTTACTGAAATTGACCACGATCAGCGATAACAAAACGTATAGAGGAAAATAATGGAAGATTCTGATGCATGTAATCTAAGATAATGCGTCACACTTGCTATTTTCAGATTTTCAATAGACGTGGTATGTAATGAATAAAATGATATATGGAAATCAATTTGAGATCTATGATATGTGTAACATTTACATAAGAAGTCATCAATTCGAGTTTCAAAATTTCAAAAGAAACTAAAATATCAAAGGAGAAGGATGAATTGATGACTTCTTAGAGCATGTCCAACGCTAGTCGCTTGAGAGGGAGCTTAGAGAAAAAATAAATCAAAAATGCTGATAAAAAGAAGCTCTGAAGCTTATTTAGGCGTGACAAGCACTGCTGCTTGTGCAACGTGTCACATAGTAATTGGAAAGAAAAAATTGAGAAGGAAAAAGTAAACACATTTTCTCTTCATTCTCCACTTTTCTTTCTCTCTCTTCTCTTTTATCTATTTTTCTCTCCAATGATAATTTTAATAGTAAAATATTATTAAGCGTTTTATTAAGCACCCACCATTATACATGCTCTTATGTAACACAAGAACGCTACTATATATACGTTTTGGAAAGAGGAACAAGACAATGTCTCAACTTTCAAGGATCATAGAACTTTTTTATCTCAAGAAGTTTATGTAGAGACATTTTTTTTGGGTGCAAATGTGAAGAAATTTATGTTTATGTTTATGTAGAGACATTAACACAAGTATATGTAAAAAAAAAACGTTTTTTAATCCTCTCATTCTCTATCTTCCAAGCAGATGGATCAACACCAAGATGCAGGTTTTTGACACAGAGAGACGAAAACTTGGGACAATGTATTGATTAGTTTGAGAAAAAACCAAAACGACATTCATTTAGCATTCGTGCCGTTTTGTAATCATAAAACGCCGTTCAATCTCACTTGTCTATACACTCGGAACGCTATATGGGTAAGAAACTAAGAATCAAGCCCAAATTGAAAACGACGCGTTTCATATTTTCGGCCCAGAATATTTTTTCAACTTTCCCGCCTTCCCGGAATTTTTCAATTTTTGGTTTTATCATTTTCCCCAGGCCTTCCCTCCTCCTTCCTGGGGTCGATTTACAGGAAATTCTTAAAATCAGATAAACGAATCGACAGATTCGAAACCCTAAAACGGAAAAAATGTCGACGTGGCAGTTATTTCCCGATTCCGGCGACGATGGTTTCCGGTGGGATGTCGCTGGCCGGATTATTCGGTCTGCTGACTCCGACTCTACGCACGAATCCACAGCTCCTCTACCTTCCATGGCCGATCTCTTGCTCCAAGGTGAGAATTTTAAATTTGTGGATGCGCTTTGTCGTGTGAGGCTGAGATTCAATCAATTATTGTTTTGATTAAGGATGCTCGAAGCTTATAGAAAAACGAGAAGAATCAATTCCAATGTTCACGACTGGGCTTGGGAAGTCTGTAGCTCTAAACGAATCTTCAATTGCTAGAGCCAAATCGATTTTAGCAGATTCAGGTATTGAAATTTCCGCTATACTTAGTGTTAGTGATTTGGGTTTTAGATTTGCACAACATTGGATGCTCAAATTGGTTTATCTCCTCTTCTCTGAAAGTCATGGTTATGTGCGCATTTACAATTTCAAGGTCTTCTTTGTGCTATTACTTTTGACGTTTTATGCTAATTCTAAAGGAAATGACTATTTGATTGTGTAGAGAACGTTATCCCCAAAGAGAGTGGGCTTGGTGTTCCCAACGCTTTTTTTCAAACAGCTTCTAATAAGAAGGTTAAGGTATCTTCGGCTGCTATGGAAAGAGCCAAGGCACTGTTAGGACTTGAAGAAGGTGATTTGAATGGAGTTAACCACGTGAACCGGTCGTCTTCTTCCCACCAAGAACATGGGTTTGATGCTACAGCGGTTCAGCATCATTCAGTAACTCCAGGTAACTTCAGAGCCAAAACGATTTTAGCAGATTCAGATACGTTATTATACAGGAGAAGACGGTATTATATTTCGCTAGACTTAGTGTTTGTGATTTAGGTGGAGGAAGATGATTCTGAATGTTCCCTGTTTCTTGGCTACTCTTTTAGATTTTCACAACACAGGATGCTCTAAAAGTCTTGCTTTCACCATGATTCTGTGCATATTTGCTATTTCAAACTGTTCTTTGTGCTGTTACATTTGACATTCTTGGCTAATTCTTAGGGAAATGAATATTAGAAATGACATATTTTTAATTGCTGATATGTTACTAAGATTCGATTTGATTGTGTAGACAGTGTTCTTCCCAAGGAGAATGGGTTTGGTGTTCCCAACACTTTTTTCCAGACAGCTTCTAACAAGAAGGTTAATGTATCTTCTGCCGGTTTGGCAAGAGCCAAGGCATTATTAGGCCTAGAAGAAGATGATTTGAATGGATTTAACCACGTGAACCCGTCGTCTTCTTCCCACCTACAACACGGTTTTGATGCTACATCCGTTCAGCATCATTCAGTAACTCCAGGTAACTTCAGAGCCAACGCGATTTTAGCAGATTTAGTTTACAGGGGAAGTCGGAGTTGAATTTGGCTAGACTTAGTGTTAGACTGTTAGTGATTTAGGTTGAGGAAGATAATTCTGAGTGTTTCACAACGCAGGATGCTCTAAAAGTCTTGTTTCCACCACGGCTGTGTGCACATTTGCAATCTCAAGCTGTTCTTTGTGCTATTCCATCTGATACTGCTGGCTAATTCTGTAGGAAGTGACTATTAGAAATGCCATTTCTTTTTTTAGCAGTTGATCTGTTTCTAAGGTTCGATTTTATTGTGTAGACAGTGTTCATCCCAAGGAGAGTGGGTTTGGTGATCCCAACAATTTTTTTCAGACAGCTTCGAACAAGAAGATTAATGTATCTTCTGCTGGTCTGGCAAGAGCCAAGGCATTGCTAGGACTAGAAGAAAATGATATGAATGGATTTAACCACGTGAACGGGTCTTCTTCTTCCCACCAACAACATGGATTTGATGCTACAGCGGCCCAGCACCATTCCGTAACTCCAGGTAACTTCAGAGCCAAAGGGAATTAGCAGATGCAGGTCGTTATTTTACAGGAGAAGTCAGTACTGAATTTCGCTAGATTTAGTGTTAGTGATTTAGGATGAGGAAGATAATTTTGAATGTTCCCTGTTTCTTGGCTACTCTTTTAGATTTGCACAACACAGGATGCTCTAGAAGTCTTGTTTCCGCCATGGTTGTGTGCACATTTGCATTCTCAAGCTATTCTTTTTGCTATTCCATCTTAGTATCTTACATTGTTGGCTAATTCTCTTGAAAATGACTATTAGAAAGGACATTTTTTTAGCAGTTGATATGTAACTAAGCTTATATTTGATTGTGCAGACAATGTTTTTCCCAAGGAGAGTGGATTTGGTGGTGTTCCCAACACTTTTTTTCAGACAGCTTCTAACAAGAAGGTGAATGTGTCTTCTGCTGGTATGGCAAGAGCCAAGGCATTGTTAGGACTAGAAGAAAATGATTTGAATGGATTTAACCACGTAAACGGGTCTTCTTCTTCCCATCAACAACCTGGATTTGATGCTACAGCAGTTCAGCACCATTCCGTAACACCAGGTAACTTCAGAGCCAAATCGATCTTAGCAGGTCCAGGTCATTATTTTAAAGGAGAGTATTGAATTTCGCTAGATTTAGTGTTAGTAATTTAGGTTGAGGAAGATAATTGTCCCTGTATCTTGGCTACTCTTTTAGACTTGGACAACGCAGAATGCTTTAGAAGTCTTGTTTCCGCCATGGTTGTGTGCACATTTGCATTCTCAAGATATTCTTTGTGCTATTCCATCTTACATTGCTGGCTAATTCTCTAGAAAATGACTATTAGAATTATCATTTCTTTTTTAGCAGCCGATATGTAACTAAGCTATTATTTGTTTGTGTAGACAATGCTCTTCCCAAGGAGAGTGAGTCTGGTGGTGTTTCCAACACTTTTTTTCAGACAGCTTCTAACAAGAAGGTGAACGTATCTTCTGCTGGTATGGCAAGAGCCAAGGCATTGTTAGGACTACAAGAAGATGATTTAAATGGATTTAACCACGTGAACCGGTCGTCCTCTTCCCACCAAACTCATGAAAATTTTGGTGTTACAGCGGTTCAGCATCATTCAGTAACTCCAGGAAATATACAATATGAGGGTCAGAGATCTGAAATTATCACTCCATCTTCAAAAGGGCCTCAAACAAAGTTTCAGACTGCTGGTGGAAAATCTTTGTCAGTGTCAACTGAGGCATTGAAACGCGCCAGAAGCCTTCTTGGAGACCCTGAGTTAGGGACTTTCTTTGATGATGTAGCAGCTGGTGATCAGTTTGTTACACCACAGAATGATAAAACGTTAGGTGGTATTACTTTAAACAATGGAAGTGCCAACACAGGTTATATTACTCATGAAGGACAGACAAGCAACCAGCATACATCAGATAGTTTTATATCTCCTCTTCTTCAGTCATCTTCAAAGCAAATTAGATCAGTCAAACTGCAGGGTCTAGCTTCAGGGGGTAATTTGATCAAGAAATTTGATGCGGCTGTGGATGAAACAGACTGTGCTCTGAATGTTACTAAAATTGGTACACATGGACTATCCAATGACAGGCATTTAGCATCTGATAAGGCAGTGAATAGTGCCACGGGAAACGGCTTCATTCCAAGAGCTAAACAATTTAGAAGACCAGTTAACCAGCCACTTGTTGATATAACAAATCGCATTGATACAGCTTTTGCAAACAATAAACAAGACAGTACCAATCAGAAGAAAAGACTGGGAAAGACAGGCTTCGTTTCTCCTTTCAAAAGGCCAAGGATTTCCTCCTTTCAGACTCCAGTAAAGAAAAACGTTGAGCATCCTTCAAGTGGTAAACTATTCAGGACTTTTCTTATGATTTGCTTTGTTATAACAAAGTTTTCATGTGAACTTATTTGGTTGGCTTGTTGTCTATTATCAGGTTTGTCTGTTGTACCATGTGATACACATTATTCCAAAAAGGTGATGTCTACAAGATACCCGGAAAGGTCTCCAAGAGTATATATCAAAGATTATTTTGGAGTGCATCCAACAGCTACGACCACGGTAAAAATATTTTGTCCCTTTCACATGTTGCTGAGTTATATATGCCTTTTAGCTTTTCATTCACTCAAACCACACTTACGGGATGGTTTTAGATGGGTCATGTGCCAGACCATATCAGAAGAGTCAAATCAAGTAATGCCGATAGATTTGTATTCCGTGATGAGTCTTCCTCAAACATGGTTGGAGCTGAAGCTTTTCTTCAGATGTTGGCGGAGTCTGGTGCTTCATCACAACATGCATCCAGAAAGTACTTTCTCAGTCCCTTGAAATGCTTATTCTAAAAAGAAATATCTGTGACCGTAGCAATGAAATTTCTACACCTGTTAACTATCCATCACTGTAACTATGCACTAGGTGGGTCACCAATCACTACAGGTGGATAGTCTGGAAACTTGCATGCTACGAGACATACTACCCAGCCAAGTGCAGAGGAAACTTTCTGACAATCACCAATGTTCTCGAGGAACTAAAATACAGGTTTCTTGATCGTTCAACACAACTCTGTTTTTTTGAGCTCATGCGAAGTGCAACATGGTTTATCTTTTTATATAGGTACGAGAGAGAGGCCAATCATGGCCATTGCTCTGCAATCAAGAGGATTCTGAGTGGTGAGGCTCCAGCTTCTTTAATGATGGTGCTCTGCATATCAGCTATTAATCCAAAGACGAACAATGATTCTCAGGAAACAGTTGGTCCTGATAGTGGCAGCAATGTGAAAATAGAACTCACTGATGGATGGTATGAAATTGCCATTCTTGTATGTTTACCTGTTTGCTTGTCTTTCTTCCTCATGATCTTTTTAAAATCACAGGTATTCGATGAATGCTGCTCTGGATATCGTGCTGACTAAACAGCTGAATGCTGGAAAATTGTTTGTTGGGCAGAAGCTTCGAGTAAGTTATTTTTTCTTCCTGCAAGCTTTAAATATTCTGTTTGGCAATACATATTTTTGGTTCGATCACTTACTTACATCATGCTTATGTTCTTATTTCTTATCCGAAGATCCTTGGGGCAGGACTTTCTGGATGGGCTACCCCAACGTCACCTCTTGAGGTTACTTAGACTTTGGGTTTTATTAGAGTTTCTGAAACTTTCCCATGTTCGTTTTTTGATTGTTTCATCCAACCGACCTTTCAGGCAGTGGTTTCAAATACGATCTGTTTGTTGTTGAATATTAATGGGACATACAGAGCTCAGTGGGCGGACCGACTAGGTTTCTGTAAGTAGCTTTACGCTGTGGACCTTACTACATCCTCTAGTTTTGCAGTTTAATATTGATATTGCATTCGTTATATTGACAGTCTTTTGATCTCTTCTTCAAGGTAAAGGAGTTAGTGTCCCTCTGGCTCTCAACTGTATAAAGTTCAATGGAGGTCCAGTGCCTAAAACCATAGCTGGAATCACACGAATATACCCTGTCCTATACAAGGAAAGGTCAATATAAAAATGTGTGCCTTTTAATGCAACTTGGTCCCCTCTATACTCCTGGCAAAAGCTTATATTTGCTTGGTATATACAGGTTAGGTGAAAAGAAGTCAATAGTTCGATCAGAGAGGATGGAAAGTAAAATGATCCAGCTGCATAACCAGAGGCAAGTTTTCATAGTAACTGTGGAGAGAAACTTTTGGTAACAGTTATTTGATCAATTTCGCACATGCATCTCTTGTTTAAGGAATATTAGGTTCGAAGTGGCTTGTTTTTGGGACAGACAAACAATCTTTGTATATTACTATCTGTTGCTTTGCACTTTCCTCTCACTCTTATCTGACTTTCTTTTCCTGTTGCCTTTAGGCGGTCAACTCTTGTTGAGGGTCTTATCTGTGAGCACCAGAGAGGAATCAATGGTGTCCAAAGCCAGAACGACACTGACAGCGAAGAAGGAGCCAAGATCTTTAAGCTGTTAGAGTCTGTTGCTGAACCTGAACTTCTAATGGCAGATATGACTAGGGAGCAATTGACATCTTTCTCCACATATAAATCAAAGTTTGAGGTAGAATATTGTTTGTGTTTTGTCTTTTACTTAACCGATCTTTTAGTGCGGAATTAAGTAAACTGTTTCAATTCAAACCTCAGGCAGCCAGGCAAAACCAGATGGAGAAATCAGTGTCAAAAGCTCTGGAAGTCGCTGGTTTAAATGAAAGGAATGTCTCTCCATTCATGAGGATTAGGATTGTTGGACTGACGAGCTTAACTTATGAAGGAGAACACAAACCAAAAGAAGGCATTGTAACAATATGGAATCCCACGGAGAGTCAGGTACACATCTGAATCTTTCATGCACATTCTTAAAGAAATTATTCGATGAGAAACGTTTGACAAACTTTTGTTCTTCTAGATTCTTAAAAACATTTGTTGTTTTCTACTACTGTGACACAGATAAGCGAGTTGACAGAAGGGAAAATATACATAATGAAAGGGCTTGTGCCAATGAACACAGATTCAGAAACACTTTACTTACATGGCAGAGGATCTAGCTCAAGATTTAAGCCTTTATCTCCAGAAGCTTCTGAAAGTTTTCAGTAAGGTTTTTTGATGGACTTTCTTTTTTTAGACATTCATACCTGAAATCAAATCTCATCAGTTTGTTTGATTTCCCCTGTGCTCCAGCCCCTTTTTCAATCCCCGAAAACCGATCACTTTGCCAAATCTTGGTGAAATCCCTCTTTCAAGGTTATTCTCATTTTAAACCAAACTTACTTTTGCTTATGTAATACTCTCCTAACATATCTTACTACCACCATCTTTATAGTGAATTTGATATCGCGGCGTATGTTGTACACGTTGGAGATGCGTACACGGATGGTCAGCAAAAGAAGCAGTGGGTGTTTGTGACGGATGGATCCATTCAATATCCACATTCACATTCAGACAAAATCTCACATAGTCTTCTTGCTATAAGCTTCACCACCCCATCCATTGATGACTATCCCATTCCAAATAATCTTGTTGGATCCGTGGTATATATATACAACAAATTTCAAATATGTTCAAGTTCTGTGGCATGACCATTTGAGAAATGTTTTGTGTTCTTCTTCTTTGGCAGGTAGGATTTTGCAATCTAATAAAAAGAGCAAAGGATATGAACAACGATATGTGGGTTTGTGAAGCGACAGAGAACTCAGTCTACTTCATAAACGCAGAAGCTTCTTACTCTTCTCACCTCAAAACCAGCAGTGGCCATATCCAAACTTGGGCTAAGCTCTCTTCTTCCCTCCCCGTTCGTTCTCTTCTATTACCATTTATATAATCTTTACTTTTAACCGGTTCAGTTCAGGTCACTTCATATATATTTTTTGGAGTTACTCTTATAACTATTATTGTTTTTCTCAATTTCAGGTCATCCATCAACTTCGGCGGAGAGTTCTATTTATCATCGGTGCACCATCATCATAAGTCTATAAGTCGTCTCTTTCTTTCTTCTTCTTTTTCTACGTAGTCTAAGTCTAAGTTATCTAACCCTGCTGGTAGCTAAATGTATAATCTGTTATAAACATTTTGATACATTTTTTGTGTGTGCAAAATAAACAATATTTGCATAGTGTATAGGATCGGCGAATTATCTCGAATATTTGATCTGATTTTTCCGAGTTTCCAAGGTCATTTAATCGGTGACAGTACAGAACTACAGATTAACTGACATAATGGTCTCTAAACAATGAAAAACATTATAATGATTAAGAGAACTAACAGTTTAAAAAGCTAACGAAAGATACATTAAAGATTCGGAACTAGATTCCTTTGAAACATTTTTTTTTTTTTTTTGAGAAACCTTTTTATTTATTCAATCTTGTTGCCATAGACGAGCCCAAACACCGAGCTTGAAGCAAACATAAGCTTCTGTTGATACTTGAAGTATCTGATCAGGATCAAGGTCGTCAACACTCCAATCACTCATGCTTATCATCGGATCTAGCCTCACTCCTTCATAACCAATGCATGCCTCAACAATCTCCTCAAACGAACAACCACTCAAACTCTCACCTTCTGAATCTTCAACGTACCCCCTCACGTCAAGAAGTTGTCCGATCTCCAACTGATGTCTACATTGTTCTAGCTTTCTCGCGTCTTGACTATTCCAAACACCGACGAAAGTTGTTTCTTGACTCGTGAGGAAACTGCGGAGGACGTCGGGGACACGGCCGCAGTGAGACAGCTGTATGATGATACATCGTTTACCTACGCATAACTGGAGAGTCTCCGCCGGAGAATGGTAACAACTTTCCGGTGTCCACTGTACGCCGACTCCAACGACGAGTGGGTGATAAGATGGCGAACGACGATGGTTAAAGATGACATTTCTGATCCATTTCCTGATGACTGAGGGCGTCGAGGTTACGGTAACGATCAAATTATCTCCAAAGAAATCGATAAAGTACTCTTGGTGAGTATTATTACATGCAGCGTCTCTGATCGTTGGAGACATTATATTTTATTGATTTTTCTCTGATTTGTATTTGAAGAAGAAAGAAAGAACAGAAACACACTTCTTCTCGTGTTCTTGTTATAGTCGGACGGTATTTAAATTGTACTTGGTGTTTATTAGTGTCGTATTCAGAAATTATCACCATTGGATCTTTGTAAAATGCATGCAGCTAAATTTTAAGGGTTAAGATGCATGTAGGTGTAGGGGCTAGCCTTTCACATCGTTGTGTCTCTATGATGACGTGAATAAGAAGTTTCGTCAAGGACACACGGCCATTTACTCCAAAGTCCAAACCCAAACAGTTACTGATTTGATATTTTTTTTATCTATTGTGTCGGCCATTACTGATTTTGAATTCACTCCTTAAAAGAGTTACACTGTCTAAACATTAAAATCCAACCCACAACTTCATCCACTTGAAGGTTCATAGTTGATCCAATTTTTTGTTTTAGGAATCTACCAGTAACTGTCTTGGTGATTTTAGCCTTTTGAGAAAAAGATTATCTATAGTAAATATCACAAAATCTTTAAGCGTCATTGTTAATTACGCATTTGAAGATAGTGCACGATATTTTTTTAACTCCGATTTCCACCTTTAAGTGTGATCGATTACAAAGTTAATCTCTTCATTTTACAGAACTAATTGTAATCTTGGCCCAAACCCGAGTTGACTATTGGGCTTTTGGGCCACACTAAAACATTCCTAACTCTTAAGTCTGAGAGGAGCGGCGATTCCAAATTTGCAGCAATTGATTCCATTCCGTCGGCAAAATTAAGATCTACCGTTCCGGCTAGTGATTGCATTCCGGTGGCCGAAACAACACTGTGAGTTCTTCCTCTTCTTCCCTTGACATTTTTTTTTGTAGAAAATTCTTGAGAACCCTAGGCTGATTAATCTCACTGTAGTTGGTTTAGTTTATCACTCTTTGAATTTTGATTCGTGTTTATTGCAACTTATGTCTGTATTTCATCTGTTTTTCCTTTTGCAGCTTTCGTTGTTTGATAAGGAAATCAAAATGATTGGTAGTGAAAAATCGAAACACACTCGTACTAAATCAAAGGAGTTAGATAGGATAAGCCAGTTGCCTGATCCTCTGCTCTGTAACATACTTTCTCATCTTCCGACAAAGGATGCTGTTAAGACAAGCGTTTGTTCTGTCAGATGGAGAAGTCTCTGGCTTTGGCTTCCTTGTTTGGAATTGAGCTCCGAAAATTTCTCAGATTTCAATGCCTTTATGAGTTTTGGTGACAGGTTTTTCGATTCTAATAGGGTTTCTTGCCTAAACAAAGTCAAGCTACATATTGAGGACGATGGAGCTGATCTCAAGTCGTGGATTGATGCAACAGTTAAGCGGAAGATCCAACATCTACATGTTCGTTGTACTGCTTGTACTGATTATGAGATGCCCTCAAGTCTTTATAACTGTGAGACACTAGTGTCCTTGAAACTCCGTGAGGTTAACGTTAGCTTGGTTGATGTCAAGTTTGTTTCTTTACCTCGTGTCAAGACTATGCATTTGAAATACATTCATTATGGCAATGGGGCCAATCTTGAGGCCAGTTTCGAGAGACTAGTCTCTTGCTGTCCTGTCTTGGAAGAGTTGAAGATTTTCGCGTATGAGTGGATGTGTCGTAGTGCACAAGTCTATCGGGTGGTGTCTAGATGCACATTCAAGGTAATATACATAATGTCAATTCCAGTTTAAGACATGTACATTTTTATAACATGAAAGCTTGTGACCCACGTTATGTTTTGTCTCTTTGGTCTTAGCTCATCTGTGAATACTCAAGATTTGAACTGTTGCCTCAGTTTGGTTACATGTCTCGCCTGTGTGTTACCCTTCCTGTGTATTATTTGAAGTCGGTACCAACCTTTCTTGAGAGCTGCCCAAAACTGAAATCCCTCATCTTGGTGATGATCTACTTAAACCCTATTTATCTTCTCTGTGAAAGGGTTTTAGCGTATCTTTTTCATTACCTTCTTTTTTTTTTTTCGTTAGGTATGGGATTGTAACTCTGAGGAGATGCGTTCCGACGACGATGATGATATGCATAACCCTATAATCAATTTTGCCTCTGTGCCAGAGTGTTTGTTATCGTCGCTTGAGTTTGTTGATATCAAAACCTGCATCTCGGGACATGCTCCAGAGATGAAGGTAGTAGAGTACTTTCTAGAGAATTCAGCAATCCTCAAGAAGATCACTCTGCGTTTGAATTATTATGATTGTGCAAATGAAAAGTCCTTCTTCAAGATCCTCATGGCAATTCCAAGACGATCTGCCACTTGTGAAGTCGTCGTACTTTGATTCGTACAAAGGCTAGAGATAGAGAGAGAGATGTGAAGCAGAAGCTATTTACCACACAAGAAATGACATTTGTATATTTCTTTTGGAGTATCAAAAAATTCAATACATTGTAAGAATGTGTCTTGTGTGTTTGTGTTTTTTTTTTTATTGTTTCTTGACAATGCTTTCCTCACAATCTCAACTTCCATCCATAAGCTCTCTCACTGAGTCTGAGTAACAGAGCAAAAAACAGAGTTGGTCTTTACTTCTTCTTCTTATCTCTTTGTAGCAGTTTGTAGACAAAATTGGGCCGATGATGTAAAAAGCCCCATCGTAATAAGCAAAAAATGGGCTTAGAACGTAAGAGTCCATAACTAATAATAAAACAAAACACGTGATTCTCACGTGGGTCTTTCTGTAACTCTCTCGCCGTTTCTAGAGGCTTTTCGGTGTTCTCTGTGTTCTGTTTTCTTTTTGAGTTTTAAATTCTGCAAACTTGTAATCTCTCCACACAATAGTTTGTAATTTTTTCAAAGGTACTTGCCTTTTCTTTTTCTGTAATTCTTTGATTCCACCTCCATTGATACACATATTCGACTTGTTTCAAGCTAAATCTCATTGGTTACATGTTTGCTACTACCTTCAGAAATAGAGATCAAGTATTGTTCTTCTGGCATACGAAATTAAAACTCATTTTCACAATTTCTATGGTTTCAGATGAATTATAGGATTAAAGCGTAGTTTTTAATTTTCATTTTTCTATTTCTTTGCAGAGATTTGAAAGAGCTCTTATAGATTCTTAGTGTATGAATTGTTTTTGGAGCCTTAAATTAGTTATGCTTGTCAAGAAGTAGCTGTTGATGGGAAAAAAGTTTCATGCTTTTTGCTTTTTTTTCTGCTCTTAATATTAGGGTTGGAAATTTTTTGGGATTGTTTTGGAGAGGATATGGAGAAGATGGACAATGAGAAAGATCAAGAAATGGATGTGAGATCGGTGGTTGAAGCTGTTTCCGCAGATCATTCCTTCGGTGCTCCTCTTTACGTAGTTGAGAGCATGTGTATGCGTTGCGGTGAAAATGTATCTCTCTCTCTCTCTCTCACACACACACACTGTCACACATATGATTGGCTTGTGATGTCTCTTTTTGTAGCGATCATATAAGAGACGAATGCTTACAAGTGAATTTTTCTGTATAAGCTTAGCTTTTTCGTGGACAGAGAAATTAGTTGAATCTGTGAAAGCAAATCCAGATATGTAGTTATAAAAAAATCGGTCGTATGAGATTTTGTTTGGTCTTTCTCCTGATCATTCTTCTGTGTGTTTTCCAGGGAACAACTAGATTTCTATTGACCTTGATTCCTCACTTCAGAAAGGTATGTCAATACTCGTTTTTGAAAAGTACATATTTTTGTAAACTGTCTACATTCTCGAACCAGAAAAGTCCACAAAGGGTTATCATTTGGTGTAATGATATGTGCTCTCTTGGCTGTACATTTTATTTATACTTTTCTCTACTTTGTGTGTTAGCTTTCAAGCTTACTGATAAACCTACTTCTGGTCACAGGTCTTGTTATCTGCATTTGAATGTCCACATTGCGGAGAAAGGTACAAGTTTTAACAATTTTGAGATGTTTTCTTTTTCAACTATTCGATTTTATCAGGGTGAATTGTTTTAGAAACAAATTCACTAAATGTTGTCCGTTTATTTCTGATGTGAAAATATAAAGAGTGTCGATATCTGATCTGTTTTGTAGAAATAATGAAGTTCAGTTTGCTGGTGAGATTCAACCCCGAGGATGCTCTTACCATCTAGAGGTTTCACCTGGTGATGTGAAGGTTTGATGCATTGTTTCAAATCTGAAAATTTTGTTCTTTTCATTTGGAGATGCAATTACCAATATCTGTTTTTTACTTGTCTCTCACTCCCTAAGCTAGTTTTCTACCTTCTTATTTCTCTGTGTGTGAATGCAGATATTTGACAGGCAAGTTGTGAAATCTGAATCAGCCACTATTAAGGTAAGTTTTCTTGCTAGTTCTGTGACTGTGAATTAGTCTGCTTCTCATGTTATGAAAACTTGACTGATTTGAAGCAAGAAACTGATATAGTAGTTCTCATGAACACATTTTTTTTTTTTTTCAGATTCCTGAATTGGATTTTGAGATTCCACCAGAGGCCCAACGTGGAAGTTTGTCTACTGTAAGTCCTTAATCTCTTAACCACCTTGCCATGAACAGTTAATTTCTAATTAGACCTTTGCATTCGCTTTTAAGATTTTTTGTTTCTCCTATTTATCAAGAACTTTCATGTTCTTGTTTAATTTCCAGGTAGAAGGGATATTAGCGCGTGCTGCTGATGAACTGAGTGCACTTCAAGAAGAACGGAGGGTAATTTCTAACTTTGAACTGAACATTTTCCATATGCCAAGTATGGATTGTTTTTACAGAAAGATTTTGCTTGACACACAGAAAGTGGATCCTAAAACTGCTGAAGCAATAGACGAATTCTTGTCTAAACTGAGAGCTTGTGCCAAAGCAGAGACATCCTTCACCTTCATCTTGGATGATCCTGCTGGAAACAGTTTCATTGAGAACCCGTAAGGATACTCTCAACTTGTAAACTACCAAAAGAAAATAAAAGTTATATATCTTTCTTTATTTGCTCATGACAACAAGTTTACAACATATTACAGATATGCACCATCACCAGATCCTTCTTTAACCATCAAGTTCTATGAGCGAACACCAGAGCAACAAGCAACACTTGGATATGTTGCTAACCAACCTCAGCCTGGACATTCAGAAAGTGGCCTTCTTGGTACACCTTCTGCTTTACCTCATGGAACAGTCGGAGCAACAGCTGGTCATAGAGCGATTGCTCAAAGTAACAGCACTGATATATCTGATAACTTGTTCAGATACTCTGCACCTGAGGAGGTAACTTCTCATTCTGCAACAGCTTTTGGAGTAGTTTTGTTGAATGTTACCAGTTTTATGAATTATGTATGATCACTTGATAACTATTGTTAATTTTCTAACAGGTGATGACTTTTCCTTCAACTTGTGGAGCATGTATGAAGCCGTGCGAGACACGGATGTTTGTGACTAGTATCCTTTCGAATTTTTTTATCTGTACACTCCTTGGTTTTATGTATTTTATGTTTGTTTATCACTTGACGTAAAAACAGAAATCCCTTACTTTCAAGAGGTTATTGTCATGGCATCTACCTGTGATGATTGTGGCTATCGCAATTCTGAGGTTAGGTTCCTTTGTTCTGAATCCATTTAAGAGATTTCGGAGACAAGCTTGGTCTTTAGGTTATTAACTATTTTAAGTAACTGTGACCAGTTGAAGCCTGGTGGTGCAATTCCTAAAAAGGGAAAGAAAATTACTCTCTCTGTTAAGAACATCACTGACCTTAGCCGAGACGTTATCAAGGTTAGTTTGTTTTCATGTATTTGGTGAAAACACCTTCTCATGTGTCATTAACGGTGAATTTTGTTTATGGCGTGTATTAGTCGGACACTGCAGGAGTGAAAATCCCAGAACTTGATCTGGAGCTAGCTGGTGGTACACTTGGTGGAATGGTAACAACAGTGGAAGGGTTGGTGACACAGATCAGAGAAAGTAAGTGTAACCTTTAAACATCTAAAACATTACCCTTGTCAAGTTTGAATCATGCGGATGAAGTCATTTTTAAGTGATCTAAGTTCTGTAGAACATATATAGAGAACCTTGGCACATAAGTCATCATTATCTTAGTACCCTATGTTATTGCTAATGATGCTTTTCATGGTATTGGTTATCATAGGCCTTGCTAGAGTACACGGATTCACTTTTGGTGACAGCTTGGAGGAGAGTAAGAAGAACAAGTGGAGAGAATTTGGATCTAGACTAACTAAGGTAGCAACTGTTATTGAATTTCTTTTACATATTAGCCTTCTCTTGTTCTTGATATGCAATAATTATTGTGGTTTTTATTATGAAGAAGTCTTTTTTTTTTTCATTTTTTTGTCTGTTCTTGCAGCTCCTAAGCTTAGAACAGCCATGGACTTTGATTCTTGATGATGAATTAGCAAATTCCTTTATATCACCAGTGACTGATGATATCAAAGATGACCATCAGCTTACACGTAAGTTCCTTCATCTTCCTTCACTAGAGCCTTAAGTTGGAACCTAAAAAGGATCGAAAACTAAACGAAATTAAGAGGTTGATTTAGTTTATGTTATCAAGGAGAAACAAGTATACAAAAATTGCAAAATGGAATTGACTTAAGTTAGGACTAAACATGTCAATTAGGACAGGACTCTTGTGTATTAAATAATAAGAAAAATGTTGCTGTGTTTGAACTTTCAGATGAAGAGTACGAGAGATCATGGGAACAAAACGAGGAGTTGGGTCTCAACGACATTGATACTTCTTCAGCTGATGCTGCTTATGAATCCACAGAGAAAATTAAATGACCTCAAACCTTAAGAAGTTGTCGCTATATATTGTAATAATCTGATAAGAACAAAGTTGTAACTTTTACCAATTTGCGTACGATTGATTTTACTTTTGAGAAACCTGATTACCAAAGAAAATGAAACCTAACCACACATTAATAAGCGTTAAACTGAATATATTGTTTTTCAGATAAAGGCTATATAAAATTCTTATGCAAAAGTCAACTAGTTAACCAGACAGGAAAATCAATACAATCTGAAAAACCACACACTAATAGACGTTTAACTGAATAATAAAGAGAGTTTTTAGTGATATAAAATGCTAACAAATCCTAAAAAAGAGAGAATAATGAAACATTGAGGCAGGACTGCAGGAGGAGCCAATAAAAAATTTACACGGAGAGAACAATCCCAAAACCTACGCTAATGGAATCATCTGATAAACACTGCCTCTTACTTCACAGACAAGCCACGCTACCTGGGTACGACTTCCTTCAATATCTTTTCTATATACCTGTGTTTATCACATCCGGAGCAAGAAAAAACAACAATACAAGTTGTCTAAACTCTGTTGGTTAATAGTAATATAATGAATCATCTGGACACATGTTCACTAGATACCACTATATGTATTCAGTAACATAACTTTTTTTGTACGGCAACTACATATATGATGGAATGTGTACTGGATAAAGAACTTTAATTATTTGTTGGATACATATAGCATAGTTGACATACAAAAATAAGTTAGGTTAATGAATCCAAGTTAGGACAAACTTCTTCCGGGAATCTAAAAAGATTTTGTGGAATTTATCTTGAGAACTCTCCCTAAGTCAACTCTAATTAAAAGGTGAATTATATTTATAAGGTTACTTCTACTTATTCGGGTTTTCAAAGAAAATTAACATAAACAGAAAATTTCATTAACCGGAAAAAATGAATTGTCTGCATCAAATCGTCACATAAGAAGTAATCTTTACTTCTAATACCTCTGATCCCAACAACTAATTTGGAGTTATAATGTCATAATCGTTACAAATTAAAAAATTCAAAACAACAGTTTAGGAGTTTTCCTTTTTCTATAAAAATACTGGATTTTTTTGCTATAATTATTTTTAATTGCTAATTGATAATACTATCATTTTATGATAATCTACAATTAATTGTTTTTTTGCACCACACTAAAATATTTTGTAAATATTGATAAACTTTACATCGATCATTAGGGTAAGAAAGATTCTATAACAATTTAGATTTGATATTCAAATTGTTCGAAATTCGTACATTTGTTTGTATAAGTGATTTAGATCCGTTTTTTTCTTATGTAAAAACCTCTCAATTTCATGATATATATGTATTGATAAACTTTTCAATTAAGGTAAGAGAGTTTCCTCAAAAAAATTAGATTTCATACTTAAATAGTTCAAAATTTGTAAGTTAATTTTTTGGCGTGATTTAGGTCCGTTTTTCTTTATACAAAAAAACTCATATTCTACATACATTGATAAAATTTAGATCAATCATTAGGGTGAGAGCTTCCACAACAACGATTTAGATCTGATATATATTTGAAAATTCGTAGGTTAATTTTCTGGTGTGATTTAGATTCATTTTTTTTTTGTTTTATGTAAGTTTTCAAAAAGAAATATATGGTTTGGGATTGTGTTTCTTGAGGTTTGGAAACTGGCCGTTTTTTTATATAATTTATCAATTTTTCCATTTGTATTTTCACAACTCCAATTCCACCATGAATGATATAATTTTAGAACAGGAGAACAAAAAAATTGATACTCAAAATAAAAATAGGAATATTACTCATGAAAATAAAAAAGAAATGGCAAAATGGCTTCGTTTCGAAATTGTAAAAAGGGTAACTCATGACTTGCATCGCGGAGAAACAAAATCACTCTCACTCATACGTTATCATCATGATCATCGACTCAACCGCTTAAACCTCCCACTCTCTCCATCTCTCTTCGCCAATTTCAGAATCCATGGAGAAGCCACCGTCGCGTCTGTTGCTTCCTTCGCTTGTACTGCTTTTCTTCATCTACGGCGTTGCTCCGGTGATATCCGACGGCTCCGATCACCGTTACAAAGTCGGTGACGATGTTCCTCTTTATGCCAACAAAGTCGGGCCGTTTCACAATCCGAGGCATGTGCAATTCTCTAATTCAGATCTGAGCTTTTAATTTCTGAATTTCGATCTCTCTGCTCTTCGGATTTTTTTATTCAGATTTCAATTTGGGTTCCTGAATGATAGCAGTCTCAAGCTAGGAAATTCGTAATTACGTAATTCGAATTGTGATGCCAAATTCGTAGGTTCTGTATCATTTCAAGCGATTGAATCACTCCACTCGTTTTTTATTTGAAAGAAAGGAAATGTGAAGTAGTGGATGTTAAATGTAGCCTAAACCTCTGATGTAGATCGCCTTTGATCCATGCTCAAATGCTTAAATCCTTAAACTTCAGTATGCTTAAAATGCTAGCGGATTTGGTGATCTGCTATGTTTGTTCATTTTGATCAGCAAAGTTTGGTTTTTGTAAGCTTTTGTAATCCCCTGCGATGAGCTAATCGGTTAGTTGTTTCTATGCATTGCAGTGAAACATACCGATACTTTGATCTACCATTCTGTTCATCAGGTATGTACAGATGCTAAATTGCTTAGTTTAAAAGGGAAATTCTTGTACTTCATATAGCTGAGGTATATATGTTACAGCTCCGGTTAAGGAAAAGAAGGAAGCTCTTGGGGAAGTTCTGAATGGAGATCGGTTAGTCAGTGCACCATACAAGCTTGAATTTTTGGGTGAGAAGAACTCTGAAGTTGCATGCAGAAAGAGGTTGAGCAGAGAAAACGTTGCTAAGTTTCGAGATGTGATCTCGAGAGACTACTACTTTCAGATGTATTATGATGACTTGCCCATCTGGGGATTCCTGGGGAAAGTTGTCAAGGATGGAATATCTGACCCGTCCGAGTACAAATACTTTCTCTTCAACCACCTTCAGTTTGAGATTTTCTATAACAAGGACCGTGTTATTGAAATCATTGTGAGAACAGACCAGAACTTCCTTGTGGACTTGACCGAGGACAAGGAAGTCGAAGTGGATTTCACGTACACAGTTCGGTGGAAGGAAACAGAGATTCCATTCGAGAAGAGGATGGAGAAATACTCACTGGCTTCCTCAATGCCGCATCACTTGGAAATCCACTGGTTCTCGATCATTAACTCATGTGTCACAGTTCTTCTCTTGACTGGCTTCCTTGCTACTATACTCATGCGAGTATTGAAGAATGATTTTGTCAAGTAAGATGTTTTGCTAGAATGCATAAGATAGTTGAATTTATGACTTTTAAGATATGTATTTGCTTACTGTATAGGATTTTGTGCCTAATAGGTATGCACATGATGAAGAGGCAGCTGAAGACCAAGAAGAGAGTGGGTGGAAATTGATCCATGGTGATGTATTTAGGTTCCCAAAACACAAATCCCTGCTGGCTGCAGCTCTTGGTTCTGGCACACAACTGTTTACACTGTACGTTTTCACATAGAGTTGTGGTGTGATGCTATTTCATTTTACTCAATAACACACATCTTGTTATTTGTATGCAGAGCTGTTTTCATCTTTATGCTTGCGTTAGTCGGTGTCTTTTATCCCTACAATCGTGGAGCATTGTTTACTGCATTGGTCGTCATATATGCACTCACTTCAGGGATTGCTGGATATACTGCTTCTTCTTTCTATTGCCAACTAGAAGGAACTAATTGGGTAAGTGTCCATGCCAGTTTCTGGCTTTTTAGTTGTCTTAGGACTGATAGTCAGCCAAAAATCTTCTCTGTTTGAGCATTTACTAGGATTATCTGGTATAGTTTCTGATATACTTTGAATTGATTGATTAAGAGAGATGCATATTGACTGACTTGGCAGGTTAGGAACGTTATGCTGACTGGAAGTCTCTTCTGTGGACCTCTTTTACTCACTTTCTCCTTCCTTAACACCGTGGCGATTGCTTACCAAGCCACTGCAGCGTTGCCATTCGGGACAATTGTGGTCATTTTCCTTATATGGGCGCTGGTTACTTCACCGTTGTTAATATTGGGAGGCATCGCCGGTAAAAACAGAAAATCCGAGTTCCAAGCTCCTTGCCGTACCACAAAGTATCCAAGAGAGATCCCACCAATGCGCTGGTACCGGAGAACACTTCCGCAGATGGCTATGGCTGGTTTCTTGCCCTTCAGTGCCATTTACATTGAGCTTTATTACATATTTGCCAGTGTTTGGGGTCACAGAATATACACCATCTACAGTATTCTCTCCATCGTCTTCCTTATTCTCATCATCGTCACTGCTTTCATCACGGTCGCTTTGACATACTTCCAACTTGCTGCCGAAGACCATGAATGGTGGTGGAGGTAACATCTTCGTTTAACTCCTTTGCAAATGAAAGTCGTAAGTCAGTAAATGTATCTGACTCTTTTTTTTGTGTCTTCTTGTATCCGAAGATCATTGCTGTGTGGTGGATCAACGGGCTTATTCATATACGCCTACTGTTTGTATTACTACTATGCAAGATCGGATATGTCAGGGTTCATGCAGACGTCTTTCTTCTTTGGATACATGGCTTGCATCTGCTACGGATTCTTCCTCATGCTTGGTGCAATCGGTTTCCGTGCTTCGCTTTTCTTTGTCCGTCACATTTACCGCTCCATAAAGTGCGAGTAAAATATTTGAAGAGTCTTGGCTAATTCAGCTACTACTCCTCTCTAGTGGTGTAGGTAAAGACTATCATACTCTGTTTTTTCTTTGGTTTATAAGTTTTTGTTGAGTAATGTTCACTTTTTCACTTTGATGGTCGTCGTCATTAACAGTGGTGGTGGTTGCGGCCGAGGGCCATTGATCCGAGATCTTTTGTTTATTTCTATCTTGTTTTGGCTTTTGGTAATTTTCACATTATTTTTGGTATTCTCTTGTGGGATGATGTACTTGAGAAGGATAGTGAGACAGTAGAAAAGAACAGTAGTGTCACTTTTAAGCTTTCCTTAAAATTGTGCAGACATCAAACTGCTATTCTCAAAAAGACTAATACAAAAGTTAACATCAGATGCAGCTTTTGTTTAGCATAGTTAAATAACTGATGGAGCATACTCGTCCAGAAAAAACTCAAAACATCTAGAAACTTGAAATGAAATTTGATAAACTTTTGCTATATCAAATTTAACGAGGAAACGTAACACTTCACAACTTTTTGTTCTTATACCAATTTGAATATTTTTGTTTTACAAACAAATAAGAATTACAGTATCAAATTTAACGAGAAAAAAGTAACACTTCACAACTTTTTGTTCTTATACCAAGATTTGCAAATAAATAAAAACTTCATATTTATGAATTGGAAAGCGGTGGCCAAACATCAGATGATATATGCTTCATACTTCCATCTTACGTGATTTTCTCTCCATTGCAGCATATTTGATCATCTTGAGCGATTCAACCATATCGTCACATAGTTGATGAGGATCTGGAATTGTTGTTGTATCCACAGCTAGATTGATGATAATCTTGTTTACGTAGCTTATAAAATGGAGATTGAGCGCCTTGTTTAACATCAAGCAACAACCATAAACAATAAATTTAATTAATCTCAGAGAAAATTAGTCAGGGTAACACTAATTCAAAGGGATATTGTTTAATCTCATCAAAGTTTTTTTTTTTTGAAAACAAGAAAAGTAAAAAGATTTTCTTATAAAAAAGAGAAACTAACAAACTTACTTGTGATCCAACTAATGCACTTGCTGCGACATATGAAATTGGGTGGCCAAATAAACTTATGTCTTCGTGTGGACCTTTCACATTTGAAAATGCCAATGATGTGTGACCAAATATCCTCTTTCCCAAAGCTTCTACTGCCTATTATTTCTTCCAAATGAGAAAAATTAGCATTATGCATTAAACTTTGAAATACATGGATTAGATAAGTTTCGTATTTCACCTTGCCCCCAAAAAATTTCAAGGTGAATTTAATGATTCCATAGAAAATGAATGCCTCCAAAGAGATTTTCTTCCTATCCATAGTGGCTTTGGCTCGTCGAACATACTCCAACGGATCATTCTCTGATTTGATCCATATAGGAAATATAATAGTTCCTATGAAATTTCCCCATCTACACTTTGAACCCTTCGCCATCATATCAGCCAACTCCTACATTTTTATATTTTATTAAAACCTTACATTCTAATTACTAAAAAAAACAAAAAAATCGTTGGTGTAGGATTGTAGTTATGTTGATTATTACCTCTATATTCGTTGCTGGTCTTAGGTTTATAGCTACAGCTCCACGAACACGAATTTTGTCTAAGATTTGTTTCTTCTGGGCCTTTGTATGTCCATCTGTCAAGTAATTTTCAAATATTGCAGCAGTTGTTACTTGTTAATGAAGTATTTTTAACAACAGAAAATGTGGATAAATAATACTGTACTATAGTATCTCGTGGGAAAACCTAACAATATGAAAAAACTATATTATTTCAAATGTTATGTTTTAGTAGCTGAATAGTTATTACTATTCTTACAACAAGAAAAATAACGAGTTAACTATATACTACAAATAAAATATTTGAAATTGGACGTTTGTAACAATAGAAAGTATTTAGAATTATAGATAACCGTCGACATCAAATAATTAGTGATTAGCTTTCTAGTACAAACTTTTAAATAAGAGCGAGTACCGTATGTCCTATGATGGTAAAGTGGTTGAGTAGCTCTGATTTGCCAACTTTAACACAACAAACAAAATTCTGATTTGCAAAACCTATGGTTCCATCTTTGAGACATAATAGTTGTCGATTCAATAATAATTGTTAGAAGACAGAATTAGTTTTGAACAACTATTTCTTTCGGTCGTTCTATCTAAATCATGTATCTTAAACACAAATTATTGAAAACTAAGTTTTGAGTATATATGTCGTTTGATTTAAGATAATATTACTATACCAAAAGAAAAAGGGATTTGAATTTACCATATTTTTTACTCAAATATCTTGAGAGACCTGCTTGTGTCATTCCAAGAAGAACATCATTGACCTTCTGCAAAGAAAAAAGTATTATGAAATTGTTGTTAGTGTAAGACGAAATGATTAATAATCAATGTAAAGAAAATAACGATAAATGTATATACCACGTTCATTGCGTTCTTCACTAACTTGACATCATCAAAACTTATTACCCGATGGATAACCTTCCAAGATTTGATTCCATCTTCGGGGTTACCCATAAGAGGAGTTTTGGTATCCCGCACGAAACATATTGTAAGCATTAACTTGGAAAATTCAATAAGAGTGGTAAAGGTGACTCTTATCATAAACCAAAATCCAGCAATTAACCACCAAGTCAAAGCCATGTAGTCAACAGGTTTTGTTGAAGCCGTAGTAGTAGCAGAAACTAGCGCATCAGGGTCCGATGTTTTTCGTGAACAAGCAACTAAAAGGGACATAAGAGACATTCCATCACCAATTGAGTGATGGATTCTAGCTAGAACTACAGATTCTGCATTTGATCTCTTTATGTTAAGCAAATGAAATTCCCAAAGAGGTTTGGACATGTCCATTGGTGTATTAGCGACGCTTGAAGTATAGTCTTCTAAGAACTGATCAGGATTTTCAATGTTGCCATAGTCAAGATCCGGAACAATAACATGATCTTCTACTCGGACAGTAACAGGAATCCACATCGGTTCTCCTTTTTTCTTATAGTCTATCACCTGAAATTTCATAATTTATGATTAGTGGTATAATTCAGAATTAATTTACTTGTAGGTGCATGTGTGTATATAAAGAGAAATGAACGAAATTAGATTCTTGGTTTTATGAAAAATAACACAAAGGAATTATAAGTGAGAATGACGAAAAATAATTGATATAGACATTATTACTGGAATCTTCAAGCAAAGTGATCTAAAAATACACTGTAACAGAAACTAGTTCATGTATTAATATGGAACACATTTACTCCACACTGTAACATTTTGGGTTTAGTATCGAAGATAAACACATTAACTATTACTTTTTGCCATTTTATTAAAAAATTAAACATAACGTATATTATTTTTATTTTCATGTACGTCTGTATTACCTCTCTTTAATATACTTTTGCATGCATTTGAATATACAACGATCATTTTGTCTCTTTTCTTCTTCAGTTTTTTTGTTCTTTTGAACTTTCGATCATTTTGTCTCCTACATATATTTGTTACTAGTAACACTATGCATGCGTTGCGTACGTCTTCAACAGAAAAAAAAAAGGTTCATATATACTCATGCGTTATGCGTATATACGTGTAGAATAAGAATATGTTTACCATTTTGCTAGAGAATCTGGGGGCATTGATCAATGTTTTCTGGATGCCTTCAATAAAGGAGGATGGGTTGCATCCAACTTTAAACCCAAAAGTTATCACAATGAACAGATTTGGGGAACTTAGCATCTGCGACATTGGGCTAAGCGGCTCCATTGGCGTTGTCTCCTCCTCTTCCCTCTCCATAACTTGTTTATTTTTCATCGTACTATAGTTTAATGATTCTCCAACCTTTGTTTTAGATATCTCGCATTTATAGCATTGCATGCTTCTTCTTTCTCTCTGTTGTCTTTTATTATTAAATGGGGGTTGGTATTAGATTAGGACTTTGTGGTTGTTCTTTTGATTTTATCAACAAAAAAAGTGTTTGTAATTTTTGTGAATTTTCTTGTGTAGTTTAGAATTTATTCCTTCCTTTTGCCATACAAATCATTTTGATTTTCACAAAAATATTGTGTTTAGTAAGAAGAAAGGAGAAATTCATTAAGTATGTGCTATATTAATTACTAAAATTTATATTAATATATTTTTGTTAAAATGTAATAAACCATAAATTAGTTGCAATAATTTTTTTATAGCTACAGCCTACAGCACGACATGGTTTTACATTATGATGTAGAGTTAAAAATGTAGGGTAATAGTGTATATGTGTTTATCTTTTATACTAAGCGTGGTGGTTTAGTGCCTTTGTGTTTCCTACTTACGTAAGAGTTGCTACGTGGGTCTATGTTAGGAATTAATCCCCTCAAGCGTAAATTGATACTTACAATGGAAAAATTAATCGGGCGTAAAATACTCGGATCACTTTCAGATTATTAAAGAAAAGCATTTAAGACCAATGCATGGTTTAGTAAGAAACCATAAATAATCAGGAAAAGAGATTCAAATTACCTATATTATTAAGAAAAAGATACACAACGTAATCCACCATTTTTTAGCGCTTTTTGGTGAAGAAATATTAAGATTGGCAGGTTTAGAATATATGTTTAAGAGAGAGAGAGAGCACGAGGTTGGGTCAAAAATTGGATCTCTTACAAAATCTTCCAAGTCCCATATTAGAAGATTAAACAATGATAGATCAACAATATAAAACTTAATATGAAACTTCCCCTCAAACTGTATATTTGCAATCACATCACTAACAAAAGAACCTAATATTATTCATAAATATTATTAACATAAATAGAAAACCCATTAAATTACTTCTACTTCAAAATCATAAAATAGCTAAAAACTTTCTCTTTGTTACAATGTTACTACTTGGTTTTCTTGTATACATGTAATATGTCAAGTGTGATTTTAACTAGTTCGAGATATTCTGGAAAAGATTCATAAAAAAAATTGTGAGGGTGTGGCCACTTAGCCCAAAGCAAACAACATCATACGAATTAGTGATTTGGAGTGAACTTGCAAAATCCAATTATTAGAGACATGCGCATAAAAAGTGGAGTTAGAGAAGTGAGTATAGGTTGCATCTTCGTTGTGGGAGGAGCCGTCAATGTGATCTTGCAGTTAATATGTGCCTTGTATCGAAAGTCTTCTTAGCTGTGTAGAGAGTGTTAGGTGGAGAGTGTCATTGATACTTCTCTATGGAAAGAGGCCAAGAGGTTGTGTGGTCTTTGGTTTGAAGGAAGAATTCTTGGGATATCAATCCAATTCTCATTCTCACAATAACAGATGTAGGACCACATATAAACTGAAGTGCAAGAATTAGAGAATAAAATAAAATTAAGAATTTTCAGGAATCACTTTCATAAATAGCATCGTAGTACTAGGTTTTCGACTTTTCGTCCTAATTTGTGACAAGTTGCTCAAATTTTCTAAAGAACATATCATATTTTTATCGAAACAATGTTGCAAGTTACTAAGAACTTTCCTCATTCCCGAAGATGAATCCATTGATATCACTGACCCGAACTACAAAAGGTAATATTAAGAAAACAAACCTTCTGGTTGATAAATTATCTACTATGAATAGAGAGAGAGGTCACGAGTTATTGAATGAATAAGACATAAATGGTCCAGCTCAAATGACCAGACAATATAATTCATTTTCTGAGCTCACATGACTTTATGTTATTACGAGCTGATCTTTTGGTCCATGAACAACAATAGGTGTTATATGGGACGCGTGTTCAACAAAATTTATGAACCATTACTAAGTTGGTAGTAGGAGATGCATGGTGTTGTACCTACTAAGCTACTAACCACTTTATTAAATCCCATACCAAATATCGTTGGTTTTGTACTTTTAAGATGTGTCTCATATCGTATTCAGATGGACCATATAGGTGTAAAACCTTAATATACAAAAAGGCACAATATGAATATTTGTAAGCAATTATAAAGAACATAGATATAAATACAGAAGTACCAAAAACCAAACGATACTTGGATCTCTTTTCATACAAATCCTCATGCAGTAGAATAAGAGATAAGCAAACATATGTGTACTTTTATTAGATAACTTATTTAGTTTGCTATAAGTTATTACAAGATGCTGCTCTTTAACTACCCAAACTGACTACCACAAAGCTTCTTGGCCAGATATTTTCTACGATCCATATTGTTAGAAAGCCAAAGAGGCACAAGTAACTCGACAATTACTTAGCGATGTGATCATCCTTAATTAATAGGCTTTTATACACAAATCAAAGGTTGTTCAATTCATGCGATGAGTTTGATTAAGCCATGTCCAAGTCACTTGGTTCGTTTGACCAAAACCGAACCCAAAGGTAATAGCTTCTCTAGTTCGGTCGAGTCTTTGCATATTCAATCCCTATCATGGAACATGTAATGTATCTTAACGAATTTTGCAACTGTAGAGATATCTTGATCATCAAAGATTCATAGACTGATCATACTCTCGGTCTTGATTCTTTCTCAGCTACCATTTTCAACATTTTATATTTTTTTTCATTACTCATCCAAATTCTCACAAGACGCAACTAAACACCTTACAGCTGCAAATCAAAACACACATGGAAGTGTTCGCGTTTAAGCTCTTTGCTATACAACTTTGGGATTTGTAGCTGAATTCAACTCAACAAAACAAAAACAAAAAAAGAAGAAAAAGATAAAACTCTAGAGTATCTCATGTGTTTGTATGAACATGCTTGTCAAGAAACGCTTTAGCCAAGTTACTAAAGCTTACACTGACCGTTTCAGCTGCTGCGTATCTCTCGATAAGATCCAACACTTCTGGCTTCATAATCTCCTCTCTTGTTGCTCTGTTATAGTCACACACGTAATACAAAGCCCCAAGCGCGTAATTCACCTATATTATGAAACAAAAACGATTCTTGAGTTTCCATTAAACACTAGAGGAACACTAACGAGGCGAGAAAGCCTATGTACTCACAGTGTTCCTGACAGGGCTTGATAAACATTTGATTATAAGAGGAATCCCATCAGCTTCGACGATGGTCGCAGCATTCTTTCGCTCTGTACAAGAACAAGAAAAGAGTCAGTAATTGCAATTACGACAAGAACAACTAATGGTTTAGTATCAGCATCAGAGTATATTTTCTAGGTTTTTACCAGCACAGGCGTTGCATATTCCTCCTATCCCAAACTCCACAAGCTTCTCATTTGGCTCTGTTATACAGTCTATGAACAGTTCCAAGACATTTAGCTGCTCCATCAAGATCTCTTCATTACAAGAACGAGGCCGAAAGGAAATTTTATATTTTGGGTTCTGCATGAGCGAACTCGAGGTTACCTGACGTAAGATAGTGTAGTTGTAAGGGTCATAGGCAAAATTTGCCAAGTTTGCTACAATTCTCTCCTTTGTTTCTGCAGGTGCAACGCAGTAATCAATATTTGACTAAAATATAAGAGACAGACTAGCTTAGGCTTGCTAAACTAAGCATTTGAAAAATGATGACAGAAAAAAATTGCCATAAGGCAGAAGCAAGTATTGATCTTTGGATAATCTACACAACTCAAAATTTAAGACATAAAATGCTATCATTTTGCAGGCTTTACATGTGATATAAAGCTTATGATCATACAGCCAAGCATGGTTTTGAACTTAGATATAAGTTATAACTTTAAACGCGTACCACATCGCTTCAATCAAATTCATCTTATACCTAAGTACCCCAACAATCCATATGAAGCCGCACATAGTCCTTAATAACTATACTGCAAATCAGTAATTATACTGCAAATTAGTCCTTAAACCCAGTCCTATGCAACAATACTTTCTAAATGACCTCAACAGATACTTAAGAGGGTCGGTTAAGACCAAAGCACTCATACCTTCATCAGTTGCATTCTGAAACTGACTCACAAGCTCCTGCAATTATAAAGGGACAAACTCAGTTCCAACAATGCTTCTTAGATTCTTACAAAAATCTCACAGACATATACCAAAGCTACGTTTTTGATACACTATCAGGTTCTGTACAAAACTCAGCCTTTCCCTTTTGTAGTCTCAGGGTTCTATCAGGTCCTATACAAAGCTGCGTCCCGGTCATTTCCATGAGGAAACATCAATACATAATGGTTCAAACAAGTTCCACAAGTATTTTCCGAAAAAGTAATCCATTAATAACTTTAAATAGCTCTTAATTCAGATTTTGAAGAAGTAGACACATTCATACAGCTTCCACATTGGCCAAAAGCTTGATAACAGGTGAAAACATTATAAAGATTCCAAAATAGAGTACTCAAAAAAGACCTGTAGATATTGAAGCCTTGGTGTTCCGTTTTTTCCAGTACGTTCCTCTTGTCTTTGATTATTGGTAAACATTCTCACTACTCTCTATCAATACTTGAAGCTTTAAATTCTCTGCAATTCCAAAATCAAACACCCAAAATTAGAAGGGGAAATCGTTAGAAAGCTAAATCATAGCAATTTCGAAAATCGAATAAAGATATTTAGAAGCTACTGAAACTGAATTCAATAAAGATGATGTCTACAGAATTACAACTACAATAGATAAACGCAGAATTGAAGACTAAAGAAACCAAATCCATGCCTGAGTAAGGGTGAAGAGGCGAATGAGAGAGGATAACGGGTTACGGCGAAGGAAATGAGACGGCGAGGCACGGCGAGTCCGGTGAGCGAGCTCAGGGTTGTGTTGTGTGAGATTAAAAAAAAAAAACATAGCAGCAAAATTCATGGACCCAAACACACGCCCAATATTTGGGCCTTCTAAAATAGGCCCAATGTTTACGTTATATACGATAAATAAACCCACTTTGACATAGAGACTGTTGACAAAAAAAAAAAAAAAAAAACCCACTTGACATATATATTTTTTGTTTTTTTCCCTTTGGATTCGTCAGCAGTATTTTACTTTCTATTTTTGGTTTTCATATTTTATTATTTTTCTGTCAGCTACTATATTAAAACGAAAATAATACATGGACCAAGAACTTCTTAGTGGCCACTACACTAGAGATATTATCTTCCAATATTTTAATCGTCATCAAACAATATTGACTTATTGAGTAGATTCGTAAGATCTGAAATTGTATACTTTTTTTAATAAACAACGAATAAAGAAGAAAGAAAAAACATAAACCTATAACTTCGAACACAGAACGAGTGGGCTTGGATTTTCCGGTAATTAATAAACATGTGGCGTACAATTGCAAACCATTCATTCATATCCCTATCTTCCTCTCTCTATCCTTAAACATCACGCCACGTGGCCGACTTTTGGAACATCCCAGAGGGCACTTTTGCTGACTCGGTTGAAAAAGTGCAAACCAAAAGTTATGTTTTCTTTATTTATTTTTCCCCTTTAATGTTAGACAGTTGTACATGAAAATGTCTAAACGGATAAATGGATTTTTTTGTGACTCAAGAATCAAGATATTTTTACAATTTTTGTACTTCACATAAAATACCTATTTAATTTTGTTTATTGTTTTGTGAAGTCGACGGCTACTGAATTCAAATATCTCCTTCTTCTTTTGCAATCCACGCTCGCGTATGTGTTTATTGGGTACTCGCTTTCTTTGCCACATGCTTTTGGTCAAAAAGAGAGCACTCACTCCGTGAATATGATCCTCATTAGACCTACCTATTCCTAATTATTCTAAGTACTGTATATAAATATCTTTTTTTGGGGATAAATACTGTATATAAATATCTGCAACTCCATTTAATTATACTATATTTATAATAAAGTTGGGTAATTCTAAAAAATACCATGCAAATCTGTATACTAAAAAAAATATTTTCCATTAATTTGAATGTTTATTCTCAGGTAAAAACAATGAAAAATTATGCTTAATATGTTTTTCATCACTGTACATAATAGCTGGTTAATTATATTGTTTTGTAAACTTGAAACATCAATGACATCTCTCTCATTTTCTTTAAATTGTGACAGGTTTGTGTATAAAATTTTGCCCCTAATCATTTCGCCAACTACCTCATTTTTGTTAAATAGAAATTTATAATTCACTTAACGAAATCATGGTATCATCCACTTATAAAAACAAACAAAAATGAGTAAAAGTAAGTTCACAAGTCACAACGTTGTCAAACAAGCACGCGCTCCACCACTCGCGTATGGCAGGCTTTCTAGTGGGGAAACAAAATTATTAAAAATCTCCGACAATAAAATTTAACAAAAAAAAAACAGATAATATCTTCTCCGCAAAGACAAAAAGCGAAAGCGAAGAAGATGATAAGACATCCTCCACGTGTCACAGCACCTTTTAACCTGAGCCACATGATAGAACAGAGTTCTCGACTCATCTCGCTTTTTTCCTTTTAAATATTTAAATTTTAAATAAGCTTATGCTGACGTGGCTTAGTTTCTCCTTGCTCTTTTAAAGTAAACCCTTGACTCTGCTCATTTCCACAAAACTACTCTCATTTCTCTCACCAATTTCCTAAAAGAGCTCTCTTTTCTTCTTCGTTTGAGATTTAAGCTGTTTTCCGGCGATATAATTGCGTTTATTAACGGCGAAAACTCACCAACGATTGGGATCTTCAAATTTTCAAGTCTTATTCTTCTTCTACTACCATGGCGATGCAGGTGTGAGATCTTTCTTCTTCTTCTTGATTCTTTTTTTTTATTTTGCATACTGCTTTTGGTTCTATTACTATTGGACATAAGTTATGGAATCCAGACAGATTAAACCTAAAATTAGACAAAGCCAAGAGGAGTAGGTTTTATAATTTCAAGTTCTTGTTTGTCTATCTATGTCCGAAAGAAACTGGAACTGAAGAATATTCGATTGACGCAGGTTAAATTGTGTTATAGACAAGGCGATTTGTGGGATATTATGGTCGGTTGTTTTTATGTATTGAGAACTAGGTAAGCTCAAGTAACCCTAATCATTGATGGTCTTAAACTCTTCTAGATATGCGTATTAGTTGGTTTCAAGACTCTTTTAAACATTTACTTTAAGCTTTATCAAGATCTGTGTTAAGACTTAAGAGAGACTAATTGCTTCTTCTTCATTTTTTGTGATTATAGGAACATTGTGAGAGTTTATGTGACATAGCATCTGATGAGCTTATCTCTTCCACGGATGCTTTTTATCTCAAGGTACTAATTGAGTCTCTTTAATCTCTTGTTTACTCTTAATTGGTTTCAAGTGTTAATTTTTTTTTTGTTTTAATTATAGACAAGAAAGCCTTATACCATCACAAAACAAAGAGAGAAATGGACAGAAGCAGAGCATGAGAAGTTTGTTGAAGCTTTGAAACTCTATGGCAGAGCCTGGAGACGAATCGAAGGTGTGTGTGCTTATTCTAGACTTTAAAAAGTCTCTAATGCACATTCTTAGCAAAAGATTCTGACTTTCATTGATTCTTCCATGGAAACAGAACATGTTGGAACAAAAACAGCTGTTCAGATCCGAAGCCATGCTCAGAAGTTCTTCACCAAGGTATGCTTTTTCAGAATCTTATACATGAAAAAGTTTAAACCTTTTTGTGTCAATCAAGGTCTCTAATCCAAAGTTTGTGTAATAGGTTGCTCGTGATTTCGGAGTTAGCGCTGAGAAGTCGATTGAGATTCCTCCTCCAAGGCCGAAACGAAAGCCGATGCATCCTTACCCTAGGAAGCTAGTGATTCCGGATGCTAAAGAGATGATATACTCTGATCTTGCCGGAGCTAATAAGTTGGTTTCAGATGAAGAAGACCGGTCTCCGACTTCGGTTTTATCAGCTCATGGATCAGATGGTTTAGGCTCCATGGCTTCAAACTCACCTAATTCTTCTTCAGCTGATTACCAGCTCTCTCCGGTATCATCTCACACTGAGGAATCGCTGTCTCCAGAAGCAGAGACCAAACAAAGCCTTAAGCTTTTTGGAAAGACTTTTGTAGTTGGTGATTACAACAGCTCTTGGACTAGCTCTGATGATTCTTCTTCAGAAAACGCTGAAACAGAATTGACACGGACGGAGTTTAAAAGAAGCGAGAGATCGGCGTTTTCTCAGATGAAATCGTCGGTGGTGATGGAGATGAAGAATATGAAAGGGTTCATGCCATACAAAAAGAGGATAAAGATGGAACAAGACAGTGACTGTAGTGTAGTGAAGATGTCATATCCTTTGTGTTTTGTGTAAATCTTTTTTTTTTTACTCAAGTCAGTTGTGAAAACTTCTTTTGATCTCTTAACTTCTGTTTCTGTGTATAATTTTTCAGAGAATTAGGGAGAGTTTTTTTTTGGATTTACATTCGTAAGATCAGTCCAAAGTTTCAATATTTTTGCTGTATCCATTAAGCAATTTATAACTCTTCCTGATACTGTAAGTTGTTGTGCAATGGACTCTTTCTATATTGCGTTTTCAGATATTCTTCTTCATCTTCTTCATACATACAAGAAGCAATGCAACAGACAATCTCTTAACTCGAGGAAACGCGTTTTGGTGCTATGTGCGTTTCCTTATTGTTATTTTCTTTTCCTTAAACTCGATAATTTACTACTGCTGTTGCTGTACTTGGTTTGATCTCCTCTTTCTTTTAATCTCGGCCGTTAATTAGATATTCCATTTACAAAAAACAAATCGTCTAGTGCAAAAACAAAACTCGATCGCGATTTGAAATCGAATTCCAAACGCTTTTTCGTCGCCAAAATCATTGAATGCTTCCCATGAACAGATTCTTAACCCAAAACCCCTAAAACCTTTTGCGATTCCCAGAATTTATTTCATCTTCTTCTTAGCACTCACTTGCTTCCCATTGTTTTCTCGTAAAACCCTAAAAAAATCCATTTTGATTTTCACGGTTTCTTCTTCGCGCTCCTCTGCGTCCCATTTCCAGTCTCGTTTTGGTTGATAATGGCTCATCGTGGAAATAATGTGTGTATGTGAAGACCAACTTAGACACTCGTATCGTGATTCCAATTGGAAGTGAATCTACAGTCTCCCAATTCAAAGGTGAGAAAACCAAAAAAAAATCCGAAACTTTCCCTAAATTGATCTTAATCTGCTTCTAAATTTGTGTAATTGTTTCTGCGTTTCTGATTATCTCTCTACACCATTGTCATTGCGTTTCTCATTGTGACAAAATCACATGTTTTTTTTCTGGTTTAATTGTAGAAATTCTCTGCCGTGAGCACAAGGACTGTTTCCCAGATTTTGGAGACATTCAAATCTCTGCTGTGAAGATGACTTTGTGCTTCACTGTTTGTATTCTTTTTGGTTTGCAACATTATTGATAAAGAGTGTGTTTTTTTACATTTTCCACATAATATAAGGTCGAACGAGGAGATAATTTCTACCGTATCCAAGATTCTATGACTTGGAGTTCTCTTTTCAAAGGCATCCGAGGAAGCTGGTTTGTCTATGTAGATGTTGAGAATGGTGATGTGGTAACCATTCAAGCTGATGCTCCATCGGTTTCCATGGACACCGACGACTCAGCTCCGTTCCAGCCGACACAACCAGCCGACACTGCTCAGAACTTTGGCCCTGAGAATGTGCAACAACCTCCATTAAGCTCTTCAGGTATTCCTCAAGAGAAGTTTGCGTCGTCGTCTCAGAGTGATCTTGATGTTCTTGTTAACTCAGTAGCGACATCTCATGAGAACGGTGACAAAGTCTTTGACAAGGTGGGAAGTAAAGGGGATGCATTTATTGGTCCAGATATAACAGAAGCTGTAGATAATCTTCAAGTTCTTGGTGAAAACAGAATCTTGGAACTTGAAGCTGTTTAGGACGATGTTACAGTAGATGCTGATGAGGGTAAGTCTGTGGAATCTACCAAGGAGAGGAAGAAGAAGTCAAAAAGGGCCAACACCATTTGTGAGGTTTCTTCTGGTGCAGAGATTGTTGAACCTGTGAAAGTTGCAGAGACTGTGTGTAAGGATTTGGAAAGCAAAGTTGAAGATTCTGCAGCTGAGTTTCGCTTACTGAAACCAGGGAGAATTCCGCTCTGTTAAGAGAGAGAGAACTAACGAAAATGGGAGACTGACGGAAGGCTTGCAGACCTCCTCTGAGAGGGGAGAAGTTGGGTTCCTCCTTGAAAACTCTTTCCGTATAGGCCAGAAAACACCTTGCTTAGAGAAAGACTGACTCTCCTACGGACCTGGTGGACCTTACAGTCGAGTGATTGCATCCCTCTCACAAACTATCAATTTCATAAGAGAAGAAACTCAAAATTCTTATTCTTAGTCATATGGTTTTATCAATATACTAAGTTCCTATTTCTCTTACCAGTAAATTGAAGTATATGACTAACCTCGTCCTGGGATACCAAGCGAAAGATTTGGTGTTCAGTTTTGTAAGTATCTCTATGATGCATGTTCATGATCTCTATAACCTCTGTGATAGTGTGATCTATGTTCTTAGTTATGTAAATTGCATTCGTTGACTATGAGCAAGACTTTTTCTTATTTCTTTACTGTATGTATACAGGGTCAAGATATGTGCATTACCACAGAGTTTACAACTCTGGACAACGCCGAAAAACCACTCTTCCTTAAGGATCTGAGAAGAGTTTGGAAGCATTTAGGGACATGTTCCATTTGTGGGAAAAGAAAGTATGATAGGTCAAACCTTTGCTAGTGGATGACTCACCAGAAAAGGCCATGTGTAATCCTGTAAGTAGCTAAACACTTGCAAATTGCAATCAAGGTTTTGTATTCAATGTCATCAATCTTAGTATCTTACATTTAAAGATCGTGTTTGATTTTTGCTCTTTATTCCTTTTTTAGCCACACACTGGAATCTTCCCTTACTCGTACAAGTACACAGACCGTGAAGATTGTGCATTGGGTGAGTGTATTTACCTTCTTAATACTCAACAGCAAGTATAAATAGTTAATAGAGAATCATGTTGTTCCTTACACATTCTCTTTCATTCTTATGCGGTTTTGAGTTGTTGATTCCACACTAATTTTTCATTTTCTTGACAACAGGACCCAATGCTGAGCTAAGGAAGTACCTGGAGAGGTTGGTGGATGCCGAGAACGTTCAGAAGTTTGTCGCAGAGAATCCAATTGGCCAAAGTGCCGTAACTGAGACACATGAGTCATGGGAGTTCTACTCTAAGATCATGGAGAAATACAAGTAAATCGAGCCAGGATACTTTTAACTGAGTAAGTTCTCAGTGTTTTATTGGACTTTTGAGTGAGTATGTTCTTCTCAGTGTTTAGTTGCTCCTTGAGAGCACACGCACGTTAAGTTAGTTATAAGGATCAACGGTTATGTTGCTCTTAGTTAATGTTAAAAGAATCAACGGTAATAATAAAACACATTTGTGTTTTTTTTCTTTCTCTTTACAGTATTTTACTTTGTTATTATTACACAACTTGAACACTCTTGCTTGAACATATTCGTTTATGAAAAGTACGGTTCACATAAATACATAAAGTGAAACATCAAGTGCCAGCTAGTAATGCTGATACTAGCTGGCACTTCTTCACAGAGAGCTTAAGCACCAAACATTCTGAAACTCAATCGTGATTGTGTTCTCTTTGAGCTGTGAAATATAAAGAAAACTAACACAAATTAATACATACTCTTTTATAATTTCTAGTTATTATTCTAAACAATACTTCAGTTTACGTACCCTTTAGTTACTGTTGGTTTTATCAAAGGCTTTGGAGGAGGAGGTGGAGGCTGAGGAATATCACTCAATATGGGTATCGTTTTCACCTGAATCCAAAAAGTAACATTCATGTTTCAATTCTGATCATGTCATAAGTAAAAAAGAAGAATAAATAATCTTTACCAAATTACTGTATTGGAGACTGTAGAAGGAATGGATATATCTTTGCTTTGCCAATTTCTGATCTTTGTTCAAATGCTTCCAGTAGCTATATGTACTTCCCATGTTTAACACTTTGTTGGCATATATCTTCCACGTATAGCTGCACATAAACAATCACATAATTCAAACTATTCTTAGAAATCATTTTCTTTAGATGCATTAAGCTAATAGTTTTTTTTTTTGTAAATGATCTAAACACTAAAAACATTATTAAAACTTATACATACCATTCATTTATGCGTAGCAACCCTTCAGCCGAAAACATGTTCCAATAATCAGGATCAATATTGCATTTCTCAAAGAAATCCGCAATCTTATCGCTCGATTCTTCTCCATTGCTCGGATCAATGTGGAATCCGGAGACACCATCTACAATGATCTCAGCAGGACCGCCTTGGTTCGTGGCGAATGTGACCAAGCCACAGCTCATTGCTTCAATGACAGTAAGACCAAAGGCTTCATAATGAGCAGGCTGCACAAAAGCTCCTCTTGTATCTGCAATACATCTGTAAAGTTCACCGTTTCTTGTTCGGTCGGTCTGAGCTGCGATCCATCTAAACTGACCCTTGAGTTGGTATTTCTCAATCAAAGAATGCATCTTCTTGATCTCTGAGATCTCTTCCCTGTCCTTAGACTTTGAAGGGTCGAAGAATCCTCCTACGATCACGAGGTTGACTAAGTCTCGTAGTCTCTTGTTCTTGGCGTACCATTCCGTTAATCCGGTTAAGTTTTTCACAACATCAAGCCTTGCCATTGAGAAGATGATCGGTTTCTTGTTCACCAAGTAACCACTTAAAGAGATATTAATCAATGTTATAGTTAGTTTCTTCAACAGTCAATTACTATATGAAACCACCAAAAAAAAAAAAAAAAAACTATTGGCATTTACAATTTTCAAAAATATTTTATAAAATAAGTAGAGGTAATATCACATGTAAATGTATTATGGATGTGTAAATGAGTAGGAAAAGTAAAATAGGGAAGAGAGACGTACATGTGTTCATCATTCTCATTTTGGCTATACAAGAGTTCTTCAATGGAAGGATAAAACTTGGTGAATCTCCGGTCTTCCGCGGTAAAAGGGAAGTAAATAGAGTCATCTGCGCCAGGAGCTGCAATGTTGAACCTCGGATCAAACACATTGATGCCAGAGACAACTCTATATAGCCCCGGAAGGCTAAAGCTCATGTGGCTCTCGTACTGTCCCGGCCTCTCTTTGCTGTGAAAGTCAAACCGAACCGGATTAATGTTAATTAAACCGGTTTATTTTTGTCAAAATGGAATGATTCATTTGTCCTAATGAAATTAATTTAATTACCTTCCAGCGATCTCTTGGTAAGTGCTGGCTATGATGAAATCAGCAGAGTTCATTGAGATTAAATCTGCCGTAAATTGAGATGAAAAATGATATTTAGGATCAAACTCTTTCCAGTTGTTGTCGGAATCTCCGTATTTAGTCTTCTCCAAGGCATGTGCAATAGTTGCCTAGGTTTATATGTATGTTTCATTTCAGTTAATTGGTTTTAACATTAAATGAGTAGTTATTTATCTCTATTAAAAAAAAAAAAAAGGCAAAACACCTGAGTAACTCCAAGCTTATTAGCCATGAGTGATGCCACCAAGTTTCCATCCGTATAATTTCCGATTATCAGGTCTGGTTTTCCCTCCAAAAGGTCCAAGATTTTTGTTGTTGCATCCTACTCAATATTATTTACAATTACAAAATGAAATTTCTAGAAGAAAAACAACATAATTTATAACATTCTTATATTTGATTTTTTACCTTGGTGAACCTCTCTAGGTAAGGGTAGATTTCAAAGCGGGAAACCCAACGACGTAAAATGCCATTCTCGGTTACGAATGGAATTCGAAGAATATTTGAATGCTTTGTACCGATAATGGGTTCGAATTCTTGGTTACATTTAATATCCTTAGCGTCTGGGAGTAGTCGTGTTACCTAAAACCAAAGTTTGTGGAAGTTCCAGAAATTCAGATAAAAAATATTAAAATGCACTAAAATTATATAAATGCGTAACATCATAGGTTTATGAATGATCAAAAGATTTAAGACTCAAAATAAATAGGAAAAAGAAAATGAGAAGAGATTCAACGAGAACATACAACAAGAATCTGAGGTTTGAAGTTGAGGCCTTGAGAGTTGATTCTGTGAAGCAATTCATCTTCAAGGGCCTTGACTTGGTCAAGAATGTAAACGATCTGACCGCCAGTATCCGGCAAACCAAGAACATCGGTTTGACCAAAGTAGCCGTGAACCGAGAAGATGACAACGTTGAAGATTCGAGGAATCCTCGCGAAGAATCTATCAATGTTGCGAGGATCAGGAGCTTGAAGGATCTCAGACAAGATTCTCATTGTTTCTTTTACTCTCCCTGCGTTTTCTCCCCATCCTTTATCAAAACCCCACTCCTTAAACCTGTTTTTTTTTTTTTTTTTAACTCAAAATGTAACCGGTTAATTACTAACTTATTGATTATGCTCCGTTGGCAGTTGTAAATGGTTAAAGGTTAAACCTGAGCTCAAAGGCTTGGAAAGGTGTTTCCTTAGGCAGCTCCGATAGGAAAACATCAGCCAAAATCAAACTCATTTCTAGCTTTCTTGCCGTGTTTAGTGTCTCATTGATCATAAGGTTCTGACATTATATAATAACATCATCATAAGTTTAGAATTAAGCTTCAATGATAATTTTTTTATACAAGAATCTACAAATGGAAACCTAAACTCGTAAGAATAAAATTCCAAAGAAGATTATATTATTAGAGGACAAAAAAAGTGTTTGAGAAATTCTTAAAAATACAACATCTTTCGTTGTGCTATCTGAAATTAGCATTCAAATCCCAAAAATCCAGAAGACCACACTTTATAAAAGTATAACGTTTAAAATCCTTTATAAACGTAAATTAAATTTGTGGTTTTAAGGGAAAAACAATTAGTTAGAATTGTAGTATTTTTGAATTAATCTATCCTTGCCGCCAAAAAAAAAAATTTAACCTCTCCTTGATGCTCAAGCAACAACAAGTATTCCACCATAGACTGCGGATTATCGTTTAAACGGCTTCCGAGCTTTGAGGACACGAAACTCAGGCCGTTTCCTATTGAAGACGACAACGAAAGGTGAGGAAGATTGAAATCCAACGCTCCAAAATCCACCTCCAACGCATTTTCATCCTTTGCCCTATTTACAAACTCTTACATTAGTCATGATATCAAGAAAGTGAAAGTATTTTTTAAAGAAAAAAGATGTGAGAATGTGGAGGCACCAATTCTCGTCAAAGAGAAGCTCTTTGAGTTTGAGATACTGCGTGTTTGATAGAGGCTCTACTGAGAGATCGGAAGAGTTAACCTTCACGTATTGCCAATTTCCAGGATTTCCTCTTACTGCAAATGCTACGTGTGGAGGAATTACCACTGCCTCCTGTAGTTTCACTCACATTTATATAGCTAAATTAGTTTACCACAAGATTGTATTCAAATGAATTAACACTAGCAATTTTACGTAAAAAGTGAAACTTCTCAAGTTTATAGGGTTAAGTCTCTAAAATACAATATTTTAAAGTTTTTGTTTCATATGTAAGTTAAAGAAAGTTAAATCACTATTTTTTTTTTCTTTCTCTGAAATACTAATATTTTTCTACCACTCCTTCCTGTACGTTCACTCACATTTATATAGCTAATTAGCGCAACATATATATGGATTTCTTTTTCTTGTTTTCAAATCAATTAACATTAGCAATTTCACGTATATATGAAAGTTAATAAAAATTTAATCAAAATTATAGACGTTTTGAAATAGACGTTTATAAACCTTCATAATATTTGAAAATAATTCCAACTTGGGATTTGACAAGTATATTTCAAATGAATTCTGGAGTGACCAGAAAAATATAAGGGCTTAGAATATTTCAGTCCAAGACCTTTTATATACATGGAAAGCTTCTTGAAATGTTAGATTCAAATAATTTTTCCACAAAAGCAAAAAATGAAAATCAAAAGAGTATGGTGAGACCTGAGTGAAGCACAAGATCTTGCCAAGATCACCTTCCATGACTCGCTTTCGTTGCGTTAAATCATCGATAACAATCTCCATCTCATCCATTAACTGGTTTAATTTCATCACCCGTCTACCTTTCTCAATGTACTTCTCGAGGCAACGTTTTATGTTCCCGCGGTTTTGTCCCAACGCTTCTGGGATCCCATTGCCTAATGACCCAGATGTCATTACCATTGCGTTATGTATCCCAAGACCAATATCACAAAAAGAATGAAAATGCACCTTTTCACGTTGGTTTTGGGTGTTTTTCGCAATGACAACTTCGTCCACTTTTATAGGAGAACTAAAGTTTGAAGGTATGATATATGCCTTTGTGAGTATGTTATTTATGTGTGGGTCATATACCTTTCGTTTTAGGAAAGCCATGTTTTGTCCTCCAACTAATTAAATTGGCTTTAACTTCTTTGTTTTGTGTCTTTAGAACGATTCAAATTCATAAGCAGTGTAACCAAATAAAATATTTTGCCACATGAGACCAATTAGAATCTGTAAATTTGCCTTCACCTACATGTAATATCATCATTATTTAGTTTTTTTTTTTTCGTTTTTATCGGTTGGTAAGTACTCAAAGTCATTATATATTATAAACAAAAAGTCAGTAATGTACTATACTAGTTAAAGGATCATATATAACAATACATCATGTGAACACTAATGTGTAAGAATAAATAATTCTCACATTATCACCCTCAATATAGTCATCTACCTATATTACCAAACTTAGCACTACCAAGAGAAAGAGAATAAAACGAGGTTTTAATGTTTTATTCTACATGTAGATGTAGTAGAAGCAGAGGAAGAGCAACGAAAATTCCAAAAGCATAGAGCAAGATGAAAGTAAGAGATCTAAACGTGGACCATACACACATATTCGTTTCGTTTCATGGCCACCTACAAATACAGACCATTCGATTATTCGTATTCATAATGTGCTCTTATTTTAGTTCTGGGCCATCCAATTATTTTCTCACTAAACTAAATGCTAAAACTAGGCCCAATAAAAGCCCAATTGAAAAACCCTAATTTTCAAATCTTCAGGGATGTAGAGCCACCGACGTTCTTATATAAACACCCAATCGCTACAAAACTGACACAAATCATAATCCTTTTCCTGACCAAAATTCTTTTTTTCGGACCAAAATTCTTGTTTCCTGAGTTTTTCTTTTTTTTTTTGTTTTGTTTTGTTTTTTTTTCTATTCGATGTTTTGGTTTTTACTAAATTCGGAAGAAATTGGGAGGTGATGATTATTTCCCCAGATGATCGAAGCTGATTATACGGAGCGAATTATGTTTCTCTCTTTCAGAGAGATTCCAAGCCTATATTCTGATCCCTTCTTTCTTCCTCGTTTTTCATTCTCTTAAAAAACAATTTAATTTTCACGTGATTTTGGTTGATTGGATTAAGATGGAAGTGAGGATTATTTCCCCAAATGATCGAATCTGAACAAACTGAGCGATTGATTTCTCTTTTAGAGACATCCAAGCCTATTTTCTGATCCATCTTACTCAATTTAATATTGATTTTCTCTTTTAGAGATCGTTTCTGGTGCACATAAAGAGAATGGAATGATGATTGAACATTGTTTCCCTATTGGTTTGATAGCCGAAATGATGGCATCTTACGTATTAGCTCTATCTGACCATTCTCTTCATTTCAATTCTCTGTGTTTAATTTGATTTCTCGTGTGATTTAGATAGATTGTGTGTTGTTGCTTTTTGATGATCTTGGAAAGTTAAATTCTTCTCGGTCTTGATCGAAAATTTCACATATATCAGAGGGCTGAGTTGTCATAGATTGCAAGATTGTCTATAAGACAATTTAGGAGTAGAAAATTATTGTACGAATAAATAGTTAACAAGCTTAGATGTTTCAAGATTCTAATGAATAATTCTCCATAACCGGAACAATGCTATTTGCAAAGAGTAACGGCAATTGGTATAACAATCGAAGTGAGTACCTAATCATATCAGTTTAAACTTTAAATGGCCATATTATTTAAGATAAAATCCAGAATTGTCAGAAAAGTGACCATGACACAAAATCAAATTGTCTAGCCATAAAACAAAGCATTAAAAAGTCACAAAATGATAGCGAAGCTCAGCTGCGAAGCAATGTAATGGCAAACGAGATTGTACAGCCCATAAGACCAAACAGTCCTAGAAAGGCGTATTTCCTGCAGAACAGAGTAATAGAGTTTTGTCAACAAGCATTGCTACGAAGCCGTAATGAAGATTCAATTTTTATGAATCATTGGATGAAAAAAAAAGAGATGTAAAAGTCAAGTTCCAAAAGGACATGACCAAAGAACAGAGCCATGAGAATGAAAGTCTTTTCTTCATCACTTGCCAAACATAAAATAAAAAGGAAGATGAAGCTAGTTCACAAACCCGATAGTGAGACGGTTCATAGGATCTCCAGTGGAATATCCTTTGAAGTAGAAGTATCTGCTAACATTGTAGAGCAAGCCAAGTCCTGCACATATGCAAGGATGCTTCATCCCACCAAGAATCATGAGTATGAAGTACATTGGCATCATCTCTAAAGAGTTCTGGTGACCTCTCTGCAACCACCAAAATTTGATTTTTCTTTCCAAATTAAATCTCACATTCTAATAAAATTGACTCAGAAAAATTTCACAGGATAGTCAGAATCTGAAAAACCTGAACGCAATTGAAGAGCTTGGCGTCTTTGTTTTCTGATTCGATTGCGTATAGTGTTGGGTAAGGAACTTTGTACCTGCAAATTTTATACATCTCTCTACCATCAAATTCAACAACACAATCATTCAATCATAGCTCGATCTGGATCTACAGAGAAATCAGAAAAATTCACACGCGATTACAGAGATTAAACTTCAACTGATCTATCGTGAGCTAAATCAGACGCGAAAAAAGCAACGAAAGTGGATGAGAAGAAAGGATGTGGAAAACCTCTTGCGAGCTCCACCGACTTGGAAACCCATCCAGAGATTGAGGAAGCAGTAGAGGACGACGACGATGACGACATATCCGTACTCTTTCGGAAGAAAATCGATAACCGCCATTGATGATTGTTGTACCGTTTGTATTTTTCCGATGAAGAAACTAAGATCTCGTCGAATGTCGCTGCTACTCCACACTGTATATTTATGACTTTGATTGGGGAAGAAGAAACTAAATGCTCAAGACGACTTGAAAACGGCGTCGTTCTTATGGTAGTCAACGATTTTTAAAAAGTCAACAACAGTGGCGAGACTGCAAGAAAGTTCAACGTAGATCAAATTTCTTACTTCACAAGAAACTGGTTGAGACAAAATTACTAATCTCATAAATTTTATACGTGAAACTCAAATTGAAAAACCATAGAAAAATCGCAAATCGCCAAATCCAATAGAGTTTTCATAGGAATAAAAACATAAAATGAAAAATGACAAAAAAAGCGACCAAGCAATACTTCTACCATTTACTGATGGAAAGAGATCCAACACATATTAATCAATCGGAAACATTGAAACAATGCAAAGAATCAGAGGAACATGGGATTGTGGCCACGACACCAAACCACTCGATCGTCCCACAAACACTATCTTTAACCCTATCCAACGCGAACAAGAAAATCTTTATAACACCCTTGGTATTATTATCACTCATCATGTCATAGTTGAGGGCCTTGAGGCATCTAAAAGCCGCTAGCTTCCCCTCGTATTCTGCCATTGCATGCACATCTTTGAACGGAAACTCCCTCCCGTCACGGCTGACCAATTTTCTCCAAACGTTGAGCTCTGTGCCAAACCACATCAACCCATCCCTTTGAAAACAAGCATAGAGCACGTTCTCCACCACACACACGCAGTTCACTCTACCACTTACCCACTCCCTTGTCTTTTTTATTTTAAGGAGTCTCTCACTTACCATACTAACCATCCTCTTCCCTCTATCTTCTCTCGGATTGTACACTCTGATATCACCGTCTTCAACCATGTAAACCTTCTCCTCCAGCGATGCCGTATGATACTGATCCCCCAGTCTTGGTGGAAGTACTTTCTCTTTCTCCAAACATGTCCAAACTGTTAATTCTGGATCGAACACTTCCACGTGATTCTTCTCATCGCACCCTCAACCGACTACATATATCTTCCCGTCGATTACTCCTAACCACGTGTCGACACCTCTGCATGGAACTTTCATGCTTGGTCCCTGATGAAACTTTCCAGACCGAGTGTCGAGAATCCAAAGATCGGAGGAAGGCCGAAAGGATCCGCCAACGTAGTAGATTTCTGATCCGACAGCTACGGATGAAGAATGGCGCATGAAAGGATGACAAGGGAAAGGAATCGGAGCCAAACGATAACTAATCATCGTTTCCTCACAGTGAAGGAGAGTAAGCCAGTGGTAGGTCTTATTCTTGGGGTTGTGGAGATATACATAAAGAGAATTCTTCTTGTGGAGGAGGGATCGGAGCTCACGGGAACGAATAAGGGACCTTAGGGTTTTTGAGACGTGAGTGAGGTTTAGGTGACAGCTTCTTGGAACGCGGGCTAAGCAGCTTAGAACTATCTCGTGAGGCAATGAAGAAAGCGATGCCAGCTGCTGGTTGTTGTCTTGTGGCTCGTCGGCCTTGGGATTAGATGCCATCGTATCGTTTTTTTTTCTTTTTGACGGCACCATCGTATCGTTTACAAGGACTCAAGGAGAGAGAAACAAAATGAAGAGCCCTAATTAGTACGATAAAGGAGGAGCTGGTTTTAGGAAAATTTAATAATTAAGTCCCTCAACTTCTCCCTTCTTTCAAAAATCGTACGGTAGAGTTTAATTATTTGGTTATACATATATCCTATACTATAAAAGTTGGCCATCTCTCTACAGCTGACTGCCACGTCAGCGCGGGAGAGATGGCCACGTGGCACTCCCTAATTTTTTTTTATGAAACGTTTCAGCTTCTCCGGATTGCCTTGTCATGGTATATGCTCTCCTCCTCTCCGAATCGTTCCGACGCCCTCTCAGACTCCTCCCGAAACCGGGATTACTTCATATCTCCAAACGCCCCATCTTCTCTCCTTCCTTCCAACAACGGCTGACTTCTGATCAAGCGGTGGAGAATCAAAGCCCCTGCCCTAGCCAGAATAATCGATCTGGCAAGAGGAAAGAATTCGAGAAGAAGGTGACACAAATTTGGTTTTACACTCGATTCTTCGTTTCAATCAGATTGCTAATCACGCCAGTGATGATAAATCCACACCCCTAATTTCTAGGTTACTGTAATTTCTATGTTCCACATCACTAATTGGTTCCATGAGTGAGCTGAAGTTACTGTAAGTTTGCTTAATCTATTCTTTAAAGACTGATGATTTTGATTAAGATCTCACACCTATAAGTATGTTTGTGCAGAGATTTGAGCTCAAACATGTTAACTGGTACAATTCCAGACACATTTAGGAGTCTGATTAAATATGATTTCATGTAAGTTTTCAAATCATCAAAATCTTAGATGATGATTAACCCGTGACTCAAAAACTAATTCTTTTTCTTTTGGTGCTTTAGGTTTCTGAGTAATAACTCATTAACAGGTCAAGTTCCTCAATTCATCCTAGACACTAAACGAAGCATGTAAGCGAAAAACTAAATTGCCTTTGTATAAGACCGAACATTGAGGTCTCATCTGTCTTATCGGATCATTCATTTCTCTGTTTCAGGGATTTGTCTTACAACAATTTCACTCAGCCACCTACTTTAGGCTGTACTCAGCTTGATGTGTAAGCATTCTTTTTGTTGTTTCATATTGAGACTTTGAAATTGATGTATGACTTAATATAGTTTACACAAGGAATATAATATTCTATCATGATCGTGGGCTTAACATTGTCTACGTTACTTGTTTACATTTGTTCTCCAATCAGCTTTATTGGTATATAAACTTTCAGGAACTTGATCTCCAGCTACCCTTCAGTAACCGATAACTCGTGAGTCTCCTTTCTTCCTTCCTTTCGGTTTCACAAAACCCGCTTAACCAATGAGAAAATATCTCTTCGTGTGTAGTGCTCAATGGTGCTTAAGAGAGGATCTTCCATGTCCCCGAGATGCACAACGTGAGTTTATACTTAACAGTTAACATTTACATCTTAAAGATTCCAACTTTCAATCTGTATACTCACATCTACACCTTAAAGATTCAAAATTTTCTGGATCAAGAACCGAATGTGTAACATTGTTGATCCTCTTGATCCGGGTTTCTTGCAGATTCTTCTCTGTTCATCAACTGTGGAGGAAGTGGAATCAAGATAAAAAAAGACAAGTATGAGGAAGACTTGAACGGTAGAGGAGCATCATCATTTTTTCCTGTAGCTGAAAGGTCGGGATATAGCAGCTCTGGAATTTGGGTAGGCAATGACTCTGCTCTCTTTTCAGCAACAGACAAATTTAATCTGATCAATGAATCGGTTCCAGAGTACTACAAAACAGCTCGTCTCGCTCCACAGTCACTCAAGTACTATGGACTATGCATGAGAAGAGGAAAAGGAACTTACAAAGTGCAGCTCCATTTTGCAGAGATAATGTTCTCAAATGACCAGGCTTATAACAGCTTAGGGAGACGACATTTATGTTCAAGTGAGTTTTGCAGAACAACAAAGATGAAAACCTTTTTTCAAAATCACAAACTTTTTTTTGAGAAGTATAATGATGTTTTTGCAGGGGAATTTGTTCCAGAGGGACTTTAATATAGCAGAGAGAGCAGGTGGAGTTGGTAAACCATTCACTAGGCAGCTTGATGAAGTTCAAGTGAATGGAAGTACACTGGAGATTCATCTGCAGTGGTCAGGCAAAGGCTCAATTGTGATACCAAAAAGAGGTGTTTATGGGCCTCTCATATCCGCCATAACCATTACACCAAGTAAGTTTTTTTTTTCAATCTCTTTTAAACCAATTTTTTGGGGTGAGTGAATGAATCATGAATGTTCTTTCTCTGTTGTTGTAGATTTCAAGGTTGATACAGGAAAACCATTTTCGAATGGAGCTGTTGCAGGGATTGTAATTGCAGCGTGCGCGATGCTTATTGTTTTACTCCTCAGGCTTGCAGGTTACTTAGGTGGAAAATAAGAGGATGCAAATGGTAAAAAGAAAGAAACATCATTCTCTTGTTCAAGAAATGATCTGAGCCATTTTCAAGATCTTGATTGTTTAACTTTTTGACTTTATCAGAAGAGCTTAGGGGACTTGATCTGCAGACAGGGTCGTTCACATTGAAACAAATCAAACGTGCCACAAATAACTTTGATCCAGAAAACAAGATTGGTGAAGGAGGCTTTGGACCGGTTTATAAGGTAATGATGATTGCTTTGGTTTTTTCTCTTTTCATTTTCACAAGTTTTGTGAGATTGGATTATAAGTACTGATAGGTTTTGGTTAATCAGGGTGTACTAGCTGATGGAATGACCATCGCGGTGAAGCAGCTTTCGTCGAAATCAAAGCAAGGGAACAGAGAGTTTGTGACTGAGACAGGGATGATGATATATGCGTTGCAACACCCTAATCTTGTGAAGCATAATTCATATTGTTTCTCACCAGCTGACGGGTTAGGACCAGTTGAATGTTCATGAAGGTCAAAGTTTTTCTTCAGTATGTGAATAATTCCCTTCAATATATCTGATTACATTCTACTAATGATGAAATATTTCAGCTAAGCCACCTTGCCTTAAGCATTTATGACGTCTCTGCGGATGGAAACCAAGAAAATGAATCGCAGACGCGGGGAGTGATATCGCCATATCGGCCGCGTTTCCGTTGTGTCTTGACGCGAAGAAGATAGAGACTCTGATAAAACATCTTAGATTACAGAAGAAGCCAGCCAAAATGCTACAACGATTATCTCATGAGTATCTTCAAGAGAACTGGACTCGTGTCACTCAACTTCATGGCGTTGGAAAGTAAGTCCTTTGAGATTTCTTCAAAAAATTTGAAAAGTCAATTTTGTGTGTGTTGCAGAAGAGTTTTTGTTCATCATGCTTATTGGAGATTTAATTATATTGACAGGTATCGAGCAGATGCGTAGGCATATTCTGTAATGGAAAGTGGGATTGTCTGAGACCTGATGATCATATGCTAAACAAATGGGATTACCTCTGGATTCGGTATAAAGGTTTATGAGGGTGGGAAGTACCAACGTTGTAAAGTTATCTTCTCTGCTCTGTTTTTTGTTTTTGTTTTAAGACACCAACGTTGAAGAGTTGTAAATTAAAATTTTGTCTTATGGTTCATTAATAGATCTTTAAATCTCTTATGGTTTTAAGTGTTTAATATTGTCAAACACCCATCTTAATACAATATTAAAAGTTAGTCTCTAAATGTATTATCTGTGATTAACAAATTTCACTAATTTTTAACAAGTCACAAGTCACATTTCAATAATTTCAATTATTAGTCTCAAGCATAAGTTTTTTTTTATTTTTATCAATGAGTGATTTTATTTATACCCAAAAACAAATCAAGTATAGATATTTTGGGTCGATACGGTTCGAGTTTTCAGGTTTGGGTTAATAGTCTCAAACCAAAGTGTTTTTTCCTTACGTAGTTGATAACTTAGCCAACTGAGCTTCACTGAAATAAAGAAGAAGATAAAACAAAAAATTGTTTATACATTCAACTTTTGTGCGACTTTCATTCTACTAAATCAACTCAAAGTTTAAGATGATTGATTAATTAACTGAACATGTCGGAGTTTAACCTATATGACACTCAACGTCATTTACACAGTTTTACCAAATTTATATATGATGTCGGAATTGCAACTCATAAGTTATAAAAGGGAGGAAATAAAAAAACTCAAGAAACTAGAAATTGCGTCGGAAAAACTATCGTATTATTATTATCTATAAAATAAAATTTACAAATATGAAAAAGAAAAATAACAAAATTACCCGCGCGTAGCGCGGGCTCAAACCTAGTATGATAGTAAGAAATCTAACTTAATTTTTAAAAAGACTATTGATATACGCCTTACGCTTAAACTTACTTGTAGATCAAGTTTTTTCCTTCAAAGGCTTTTTCAAGAATGGTTTAGTAATTTAGATTATTTAATCAAGACGCTAAAGAAACGGTTTCTTTGGGGCTTTCAAAGTGGAAACCTTCAAGCTACTAGATTTAGCACATGTGAGTGAATTTAAAAGTGTTTCAAGGTATCTCCATTTTTGCGAAATTTGACATATGAAATTATTTGTGCATGCTTCCAGACGAATTGGCCTCGATCGTTTGTAGTGTTCGACCAAGAAGATCGACCAGACAGTTGTAGTGTTCTTCCTATCTGGTTCTATCTTGTTAACATCAGTCATTAGTTAATTTGAAGCAACGAACAAAAACCTCCATGGCTACAGACAGACAGAAACCTCTAAAAGAGTGTCTAGGTGAAGTTTCTGCAGCATACTTCCGAACATTCTCAAAATATTTTCTGTGAGATCTCGTCAAATGTCTCTACTGCACTCTGTATGGTAATGGCTTTGATTGGGGATGAAGAAACTAAATGGTCAAGACGACTTGGTAGTCAACGATTTTTAAAAAGTCAAAAAACAATGGCGAGACTGCAAGAAAGTTCAACGTAGGTCAAAATTATTACTTCACAAGAAACTGGTTGATAAAAATTTACTAATCTCGTGAATTTTTATACGTGACACTCAAACTGAAAAACCATAAATACCATAGAAAAATCGCAAATCCAATAGAGTTTTCATAGGAATAAAAACATAATTAAAATGACAAAAAAAGCTACCAAGCAATTCTTCTACCATTTTCTCATGGAAAGAGATCCAAAACATATTAATCATATAAACGATGCAATCAATCAATCGGAAACATTTAAACAATGCAAAAAATCAGAGGAATTTGGGATTTTGGCCACGACACCAGACCACTCGATCGTCCCACAAACCCTATCTTTAACCCTATCCAACGCGAACAAGAACATCTTAACACTCTTGGTATTATCACTCATGTGACCATAGTTGAGGTATCTAAAAGCCGCTAGCTTCCCCTCGTATTCTGTCATTGCATGCACATATTTGAACGTAAGCTCCTTCCCGTCACGACTGACCAACTCTCTCCAAACGTTGAGCTTTGTGTCAAACCACATCAACCCATGCCAAATAAAACAAGCATAGAGCACGTTTTCCACCACACACACGCAGTTCACTCTAACACTTAGCCTCTTCCTTGCCTTGTTGCTTCCAGCGACACCGAGTCTATCACTTACCATACCAACCATCCTCTTTCCTCTACCTTCTCTCGGATTGTATACACTGATTCCACCGGTTTCAACCATGTAAACCTTATGCTCCAGCGATGCGATATACTGCTTACACCCAAATCTTGGTGGAACAACTTTCTCTTTCTCCAAAAGTTTCCAAATTTCTGTTTCTGGATCGAACACTTCCACGTGATTCTTCTCATCGCACCCTCCACCGATCACGTATATCTTCCCGTCGATTACTCCTAACCACGTGTCGACACCTCTGCGTGGAACTTTCATGCTTGGTCCCTGATGAAACTTTCCAGACAGAGTATCGAGAATCCAAAGATCGGAGGAAGGCTCCGAGGATCCACCAACGTAGTAGATTTCTGATCCGACAGCTACGGCTGAAGAGTGGCGCATAAAAGGATGACAAGGGAACGGAATCGGAGCCAAACGATAACTAATCATCGTTTCCTCACACTGAAGGAGAGTAAGCCAGTGGTAGGTCTTATTCTTGGGGTTGTGGAGATATACATAAAGAGAATTCTTCTTGTGGATGAGGGATCGCAGCTCACGGGAGCGAATAAGGGACCTTAGGGTTTTTGAGACGTGAGCGAGGTTTAGGTGACAGCTTCTTGGAACGCGGGCTAAGCAGCTAAGAACTATCTCGTGCGGCAATGAAGAAAGCGATGCCAGCTGGTGGTTTTCTTGTTGTGGTGGCTCGTCGGCGTTGGAGGAGGCGCTCGGTGTAGACATCGTTTTGTTGAGATGGAGCGAAAAACAAAATGAAGAAACCAGTTATGGGATGTATTGGAAAAGGGATTTTAAAGATTGTAGATGATTTTAAAGTTTTTTTTTTATAAAAAAAATCCTCTCTTATTAATAAAGTAAGGGGTGCTCTTATTGAATGTTGTATTTAAGATGAACTGAAACTGAATTACAATCCAATTTTCTTCAATCAAGATTTCAAATCCAGTTTTAAAATCCAATTTTATTCAAAACTAAATAACTTTTAAAATCTTTGTTAATTGAGAGTCATTTGAAATGACTTTTTATGAGTCAATTATTAAAAACAGAACCCATGAGATATTGGTTCTTAAAATAACACCAAATTTATAAATTTAAGGCGTGTTATTGGTTTGATATATTAAAATCAACTCCATCAGATTTTAAATATATCAGATTTTTTAATTTTTGGTTCATTGACAAAGGTTTATAAAACCTATATAATTGATTTCAAATATATAATTGAATATCTTTTCAAATCCAGTGTTATTGAATATGAAGTTTTTCAAAAATAATTCTAAATCACTTATAATACCCTGTTATTAGTCATTTGTAAATCTTAAATCAAATGCATTATTATTCAAAACTTAACACCTAAATATAGAAAATTTGTGAAAAAGATTTTAAGAGATTTGACACATTTTTTCAGTCAAGAGGTGTGATTTTAGAGAAGCTTGTTTTATAACAAAAAAAAAAAAAAAAAAAAAAATTCAAAGCCGCGAAACAGACATCTCCGGAGAGCTAGCACCACAATCGTTTCAATAGCTTTTTGATATTCCAGATCGATTTTACCTCTAATCAATCTCTTAGACATACGAAATTGGGTAATCCCTCCATTGATCAATCTCTTTATTTAACCTAGTCTCCTTTTCTGATGTCTACTGCTACTACTAGTCTCCTTTGAGTTTTCCAGTTCTAACTTCTAAGCCAATGCATTGTGTTTCATGTAATAACATTTTCGACTTTTCCTTTTGGTGTGTGTTTTTAGGAACCTTAGCTTGGACTCCATTTTGGTGAGTGAGGTCTACTTTCTCTTTGCTTATGCTATCTTTGTATTCTAAACTCTCATAGCAATTTGTATCACTTTTTCACGTGTAGTGTGGTAGCAATTCGAGGCAGGCAATACTCAACACAAATTGTTGAGGAGGTTTGGAGGTACGATAGTCCGTGATCGAATGATGAAAATGGTTGTGTTTTTTTTTTTTTCTCTTTGTAAATTTTTCTTTCTTGATCCTTTCACGTAGAATGAAGCAGTTGATGAAAATTATAGGATCCTCAAGGATAAAGGAGTCTATATCCTGGTAAGATCTTCACATGGAGGGATATGATTATGTAGTGTACATTGTTTCGGCTGTTTGAAGAATCATGCTCTTGGACAACCAAACTCCATGTGATAGGTCAGCTATAATTCTGAAACCATCATACTGGTTCGTATAATATGCCTCTTGTAAATTTTTGTGGATTACAAGCTCCTTGTTTCTGCTATGCTAAGACTTGCTGTGTCTTATTTTTTCCCCTGCAGACAAAATTTCAACCGAACAACCACTAGAAATGCCAAAATGGGAAGTCACGAAACCTATTTCTCTAGATACTGAGGAAAATTCAGTGGAATCAGCAATGTATACACTGATTCCACCGGTTTCAACCATGTAAACCTTATGCTCCAGCGATGCGGTGTAATACTGACCCCCCAATCTTGGTGGAACAACTTTCTCTTTCTCCAAAAGTTTCCAAATTTTTGATTCTGGATCGAATTCCACGTGATTCTTCTCATCGCACCCTCCACCGATCACGTATATCTTCCCGTCGATTACTCCTAACCACGTCTCGACAACTCTGCGTGGAACTTTCATGCTTGGTCCCTGATGAAACTTCCCTTCCCAGACCGAGTATCGAGAATCCAAAGATCGGAGGAAGGCTCCAAGATTCCGCCAACGTAGTAGATTTCTGATCCGACAGCTACTGCTGAAGAATGGCGCATAAAAGGATGACAAGGGAAAGGAATCGGAGCCAAACGATACCTAATCGTCGTTTTCCCAAACGGACGGAGAGTAAGCCAATGGTAGGTCTCATTCTTGGTGTTCACGGGAGGAGGGATCGGAGCTCACGGGAGCGAATAAGGGACCTTAGGGTTTTTGAGACGTGAGTGAGGTTTAGGTGATAGCTTCTTGGAACGCGGGCTAAACAGCTTAGAACTATCTCGTGAGGCAATTAAGAAAGCGATGACAGCTGCTGGTTGTTCTCTTGTTGCGGTGGCTCGTCGTCGTCGGCGTTGGGAGTAGACATCGTATCGTTTACAAGGAGAGAAAAAACAAAATGAAGAGCCCTAATTATTACGATAAATATAAGGAGGAGCTGGTTTTAGGAAAATTTAATTAATAATTAAGTCCCTCAACTTCTCCCTTCTTTCAATAATCGTACAAAGTCAACGATTTTAAAAAGTGGCGAGACTGCAAGAAAGTTCAATGTACAGTATAGGCATGGGCGTTCGGGTTTCGGTTCGGGTTCGGGTCGGTTCTATTCGGGTTCGGGTCTTTTCGGGTTGCTAAATTTTAGACCCGTTCGGGTTTAGGGAAATTTCGGTTTGGTTTCGGTTCGGTTCCTGTCGGGTTCGGGTCGGTTCGGGGCTAAATTTTATGGACCCGTTCGGGTTTATACAAATTTTGGTTCTTATTCGGGTCAGTTTTTATCGGATTTTTTTAACCGAATATCCAAAATCCTACAAAATAACCAAAAAACTTGTCTATAATCCATCTTCTACTAAATATTTTTGGACTTTTCGAATATTTTGGTTATTTTGTTCTAAATATAACTATTATATTAGATTTATAATTGTAATTTTAGTTATTTTTTATTATAAGCTATTATAAGTCTAAAAAATAACTAATATTTTGGATATATAATTATATTTTGGATATTTCGGGTATTCATTCGGTTCTCGGTTCGGTTCGGTTCGGGTTCGGTTTTTCGGGTATAAATTTTTTGGACCCATCGGGTATTTGTCTTGGTTCCGGTTCGGTTCGGTTCCATCTTTTTCGGGTCGGGTTCGGTTCGGGTCTTTCGGGTCCGGGTAAAATGCCCAGGCCTAGTAGAGTAGATCAAATTTTTTAAACGTGAAACTCAAACTGAAAAGACAATAAATACCATAGAAAAATCGCAAATCCAAAAGAGTTTTCATAGGAAAAAAACATAAAATATGAAAATGAAAAACATCTACCAAACAATTCTTCTACCATTTTCTGATGGAAAGAGATCCAAAACTCGAAGAAACATCTTCAACCAAAACATCATTCATGGCATCTCTGAGACACTTCTCATTAACAGCATCGAAGAAGCATCCACGAGTCCTCGACTCGCTTATCAGCTTACTCCAAATAGAACCACTCAGAGCCAAAGTGGTCTCGTTCCCAATAACCCATAAACAGTGCCTTCCTCGAGTGAGCGCCACGTTAGCTCTTTGACGGTTACTTAGAAACCCAACTTTACCGTTACCGTTACTTCTTACGGTAGAGATGATGATAACGTCTTCTTCTCCTCCTTAAAACCCATCTACCGACCGAACATTCACACTAAAAAGCTTATCTGATACGCAACTGTACTTATCTCCAATTCTCTCTTGCATTGCTCTTACTTGTCCTTTATATGGTGAAACCACTCCAACACTCATATTCATTCTTCTTTCACTTGAAACTGTTAAAAAAAACGAAATCAGATAATGATAAAGAAAGGTATAAATTAATATACTTTTAAATCAAGAAAGATTATACCTTCGAAAATATTTAAATATCAAGAAAGGTTATATATATATTTTTTTTTGATGACAAACGGCTATTCTATTACTCAAACTCGAGTTGGTGTGGTTACCCACCCCGGAACAGAATAACCAACAAAAGATAAGGACCTAGGGTACAACCTAGCAAGCTTAGCCAGATGATCAGCTTTACTAGTTGAAGCACGAGGGAGATACGAAATAGAGAAGGAGGAGAAAAGTTTTCGTAGACTACTGAACTCCTGCAACTCCGTTGAGAACTTTGGCCAGTCCTCTGGTTTCTCGATCATCTTTAAGACGTCTTGGCAGTCAGTTGCAAAGGCTTGAACGTTGGTATACTGCGCTGCACATTCCATAGCCCACATTAATGCTTCTAATTCTGCATGAAGAGGGGAGATGCGTCGTGGTTGGTTATGGATGCCTAGTAAGCGTTGAGTTCCATCTGGATCTATCCAAATCCATCCAGCTCCGCTGTGGGCTTGTTCTCGGTGCCAAGAGCCATCGACAATACATACATCTCTCAAGCGTATGGCTTGGGTTCCCGTCGTTGAAAGAAGTGGAGCTTTAGAATTGGCTTGGTGCCAAGCTCGACATTCAGCTACTGCATGGCGAACAGTCCCTAATGGGTCTCTGTTGATTCCACGGAAGAGTTTCTCATTGCGGGCTTTCCATATGAACCATATGATCCATGGAAAGGGATCACAATCATCCTCAGCATTATCCATGTTAGGTCTTCTCCAGAATAGATAGTCCATGTTCGTGTATATCCCAGACGAGGGAAATAAGCTTGGTGGCGTAAGAATGGGGGCAAGGGCCCACGTTTGAAGAGCTGGTGGACATTCAAATATGGCGTGGTTAATCGTTTCTTCAGGAGCTCCGCAGCGAGGGCAGTGATTATCACATCTCATCCCTCTGTGATTGAGGTTTTTAGTAACCGCTAAGTAACCTGAAATGATTTGCCATAAGAGGTGCTTAATCTTGTAAGGGGCCTTGCTCTTCCAAGCTTGAACTTGTAAAGGTCGGATACTTGGTTCCGAACATGTTTCTTCTGCTGGATTGAGTAAATTTTTTGCCACCCAATACCCTGATTTTACTGTATAGAGACCGCTCTTAGTATAGCCCCAACTAAAGCTATCCATGTGGAAAGTCTTGTTGATGGCTATACTTCGTATCAGGGGAATGTCCTCTGGCTCCATATATTCTTCTAACATCTCTACATTCCATGCCTTTATCTCTCTGTTTATGAAGTCGCTAACGGTCATTCTAGGATGGACAACTGGGATCCTTGGATTTGCATGTCTAGCTGGGATAGTTGGGATCCAAGGATCCTCCCAAGCTCTAGTATTGAGTCCAGAGTGAACTTTCTGCAGGATTCCCATTGTTAGCAATGGTCTAGCCGCTAGAATACTTCTCCATCCGTACGACGGAGAGTCAGTGTGGCCAGCTCTAAGTGGTGTGCTGTAAGGGAAGTATTTTCCTCGCAAGACTCTTGCCAACAAGGAGTCCGGAAACCGTAAGAGTCTCCATAATTGCTTTGCTAACAGGGCTAGATTAAAGTCATGGATGTCTCTGAAACCTGTTCCACCCTCCTCTTTTGATATGCACATTTTATCCCAAGTTGCCCAATGAATTCCTCTTCTTTCTGCGTCAGAGCTCCACCAGAATCTTGCTATCGCACTTGTGAGCTGATCGCATACCTCCAACGGGAGTAGAAAGCTGGACATGACGTAGGTTGGAAGTGCCAGTGCTACTGATTTTATCAAAATCTCCTTCCCTCCTTTAGAAAGCCATTTTGATCTCCATCCATTTACTCTGTTTTGGAGGCGCTCCTTGATATACGCAAAGAGTTTACATTTTGATCCACTAATGTCTTCTGGGATTCCTAGATAGGTCCCCATTCCCCCTTCGTTTTGGATTCCGGTTATAGATTTGATGTGTGTTTTAGTAGATCCGGGAACCCTCTTGCCAAAGAGCAGTGAGGATTTTTCAAAGTTTATGCGTTGTCCTGAGGCTTTACCATACTTATGTAGGATGGAGAGAACTTCACTGCATTCACGGGGCTCCGCCTTGCAAAAGAACAGGCTATCGTCGGCGAAAAGAAGGTGAGATACCGGTGGACTGGCACGTGCCACTCGCATTCCAGTTATCTTACTTCCGTTTTCCGCCTCGTTTAGCAGGGCTATGAGTACTTCCGTGCATATAATGAAGATAAAAGGAGACAGAGGATCTCCTTGTCTCAGTCCTCGTTTTGGTATAATGTTACCTCGGGGCTGTCCGTTGATGAGCACATGATACGACACTGATGTAATGCATCTCATTATCCATCTAATCCATGTCTCTGCAAATCCCATCTTCCTCATAACAGCCTCAATGAAATCCCATTCAACTCGATCATAAGCTTTACTCATGTCGGTTTTTATTGCCATTCTCTTATTTCTTCCTCCGGGATTTGTCCTCAGTGCATGGAATAATTCTTGTGCGATCAAGATATTATCTGTAATTTGTCTTCCCGCGACGAAGGCCGATTGGGTCTCTGAGATGAACTTGGGGAGTATCCTTTTTAGACGTTGGCACAATAGTTTCGATATGATCTTGTAACTTACGTTACATAAGCTTATTGGTCTAAATTGACTCATTTCTTGAGGTTTCTCCTTCTTGGGTATGAGACAAATGTTCGTCTCATTGATTCCCGGTACAATGGTACCTTCCGCCAAAAACTCATTCACCATACGGGTGATGTCTTGTTTAAGGATGTCCCAGAACTTCTGATAGAACAGTGCGGTCATGCCGTCTGGACCCGGTGCCTTCTCTGGATGCATTGCAAAGAGAGCATCCTTGACTTCATTTTCTGTCACCGGTTTTGTAAGAGTCTCGTTCATGTTGTCGGTGATGACAATTTTAACCTTGTCAAGTGTTGCCTCGATCTCTACTGGATTTGATGTTTCGAAAAGACCACGGAAATATCTTGTAGCAATGGCTACAATTCCTTCTTCATTTTCTTCTCTCTGGCCTTGTTCATCAATCAAACTAGTGATACGGTTTCTTGCTCTTCTTTGTTTTGTTGCGGCGTGAAAAAATTTTGAGTTTCGGTCTCCTTCTCGTAGCCACAGCACTCTGCTTTTCTGTTTCCAGAATAGTTCTTCTGATCTCAAAGCTTCATGTAGCTCCTTCGTTGCCTCTGAAATCTCTTCAGTGGTGGCATTCCCGTCACTGTACAAGGAATCAAGCTTATCCTTAAGTTCTGTTATATGCTTTTCTGCATTGAGATCATTTTGGCTCCGCCACCTTCCGAGAGCTTTCCTTACACTTGAGATTCTGGTCATTAAGTTAGCGTCAGGTGGGAGAGAGGACGACCATCCATCTTGGACCACCGCTGAGATTTCTTCTCTGTCCAGCCATCTCCTATCAAACCGGAAAGATTTTCTCCGTCGTATAGGTTTGCTGAGAATGTTAGCAAGTACTGGCCGATGATCTGAGCCCCATAATCTTAAGTACTGAACATTTGAATGCGGGAAACTTTCGTGCCAGTCTTCGTTTCCTAATGCCCGGTCGAGTCGGCATCGCACAAGTGTGCGTCCTCTTCTTCCAACCCATGAGAGTTGGTTTCCTGAGCAAGGAAATTCTAACATTCCGCAATCATGTATCATTTGATTGAAAGGAAGGAACGATGCGTCGGGTCTTGTTCTACCTCCTTGTTTCTCATGGTGTCCACAAATTTCATTGAAATCTCCTATCATGAACCATGGTCCATTGCGATTAACTGCGAAACGCGTAAGACGTTCCCATACGAGTTCTCTTTGGTCTTGGACAGGGTCACCATAAACAAAGGTCATGAACACTTTATTTCCATCAATAACTGCTTCTACATCAATCATACGATTGTTTGAGAATATAACATTAACTTGGAATTCATCCATACATAGTAAAGCTAAACCACCGCTTAGGCCATGAGGCTCTACGGTAAACAGACTATCATAACCTAAATCAACTTGAATGCCTTGGAGCACAGATTTCTTATTCTTCGTCTCTGATAGGAATATTAAACCAGGATGATACTTTTTGTGCATCTCCTCTAGGCGTCGAACTGTGAGGTCATTCCCAATCCCTCGACAGTTCCAACTGAGCGTCCTCATGGATGTGGACTGGGTGGTTTCTGGGAAACCACCAAACCAACTTCTTGAGCAATAGAGCTTTTGGGGGCTTTAGACGTCTTACTAGAGGGGTAGAGGACACTCAAGGGAGGTACCTCCTTGGGGGCTGAGGTTGATGTGTTGTTTGGGATGCTGCGTTTACGTGGAGACCCTCGACGGAGGATTCCTGCCTTCTTCGCGAGGCTGCCTGACGGGAATAGGTTCCTAGGAAGCTTCTTTGTGGTTGCCGCTTTTTGAGATTCCTTGTGCTCTCTTGGTTCCTTTGCCCTTTAGACTTTACTTTGGCTTTGAAGGCTGTGATGGTCTCGTTGAGGCTGTCCTCATGTGAGCCACTCGGAGCGTTGGATGATTGCTTTTCCTCAGATTGCCTCTTCTCAGATTCCATCCACTCTAAGTCTTCTCCTAGAAAATCATCATCCAACAAGTCTTCATTATCTCCATTTTCCTCGTTCACTCCTTGCTCGTCATTTTCCTCATCTTGGAGAGCTCCAATCATGATGTCATCATTTGACGATTTTGGGTTTTGGTCTTCCTCCATAAGAGAAGGAAACTGGTTCTCATCAGGTGGTATGATGTGGGTGACCTCTTTGTCTGTTTGTAAGGTTATGTTTCTTCCTGCCTCACAAAGGTGAGATTGGACTTCCTCTGAGATTCCATCTTTTCTGGTTGGTTCATTCACGATGGGTGGCGCTTTGGAAAGGTGGCTCTTAAGAGGTTGTGCCTTTTCTCCTTGGGGTTCCTTATCTGTTCTGGCCTTTTTTCCTCGATCTGATGTCCTTCCTTGATTATCCCTTCACGGTTTTCCTCTGGTCTTGTTTGATTGCGTTTGATCCACGAGGATCGATGGTCTTCTTGTTCCTTACGACGGTAAGGAACTCCGTGTGACAAGCGGTTATCCTTGGGATATGTACCCCTGTGGTTTGACTCTCTATGGTAAGAGGTGCCTCCCCGATTCTCTCTTGAAGAGTGTCTCGATCTGTGGACTAACTCCTCCCGTCGTCCATTGTCCTTGGGGTATGAGGAGCTTCGGTTTGCCTGTCGCACCAACATGTTTCTGTTAGGGATTCGTTCCTCTTCATTGTAGCTTGACCTTGGCGTTCCTTTGTTGCGTTCACTGTGGCGTTCTTCTTGACGTTCCAGATGGCGTTCGCTGTGTGTATTGGTCTGGCTCGGTCCAGCTTGAAGTCGAGAGAAAATTCCTTGGCGGGTAGACTGTCTCTGAGCATTGATTTCTTCTTCCTTAATAGGACAAGACTGGACCTCATGTGTCATGAATCCACAATGTGAGCAGAATTTGAACAGCCTGTCGTACTTGATCTGTATTGTAGCTTCGTCTCCGTTATGGCATCGGATCTTTCTTGTGAATTTCAGGGGCTTTCTACTGTCAATGGAGAGTAGTAGTTTGCCTTCATCCACATTGACTTCATGGATGTGCCCCAGCTTGTCTCCAATGCTCCTGAGGTTGGTCTCGGTCCATAGATGTAGTGGAATACCCGAGAGCTGTGTCCAGAAGGTCATCTCCCATGGGTAATCATCATGAACTATAGGTTCCCATCGGACTAGGACAAACATCCAAAAATTGTAGTGGAACGGTCCTAGCTCTAGGACTGTCTGTAAGTCCTCCTCTGTTTCAAAGTTGAAAAGGAAAGTTCCTTTACCCAGATCCATGGCGGTGATTCTGTCTTCTAAGCCCCAATGTTGAGGCATAAAGCCAATCAGCTTTTCGACATCTTGTTTCTTGGGATTTAGAACCCTTCCAATGAGCGACAATCCATACTCCTGGATGAGATTGAGATTGTCTTGCTCTGGTAGCTGAATCGGTTCATCGTCGTCCTCCATAACTATGTTTTTTCCTTTGTAGTTCGCCATTGGAGACTGAACTTTCGTAAGACCTTCCAAGTGGAAGTCTTGAGCAGTCTCAGGTGAGACTTTTAGCTTCGCAGGGTCGTTTGCTGTGTTGTGGCCTCCGTTGTTGTTTATCCGATCTCTAGATCTGTCTTTGGAGAGCGTAGATCTGGTGAGATTTTGAGAGAAGGAGTAGATTTCGAGAGAGAGAGGTGGCGGATCTAGTAGTCGAGGTGAGATGTGGTAACTACGGTAGAGGATCTAGCTTAAGGAAGCTTCAAGATTTCCTGCCGATTGAGACTTTAAGGTCGCCGCCGCTCTCGAGAGAAACTAGGGTTTCCATTGAAAAGGTTATATTTATACCTTTGAAAAGATTGGATATGATTTCGGAAATGACAGCAACTTCAACCATGTTCTTGGGGCTATGTCCATCACCAAACTCTTCTTTCCCAAAACCAACATTGATAAACGAGAAAGAACCAAACATGTTCCCATGAAGAAACCTTTTTTGGTAATTGCGTTCTTGAACAATCTCAGCATCTCTGATTCTCCCTCCGTAAAACTCCCTATTAGGGAATCTACTAATCGCAGGATGCATTCTGTATTGAACATTAAGCAAATGTTTCTTATGACCGAGAAGAACCAATCTCTCAAATAGGCTTCTTCCAAATTTCGCCTTTTGACATTCATCATTATGAACCATTGCTGGTAACTGAAACTCATCTCCTATAAGAACAGTGTGACGCAAGCTAGGAAGTTGTAGTGCAGCGACTGATTCACATTCTTTAAGCTGAGCCGCCTCGTCGATCAGAAGAAGCTCTATCGATCCTGTTTGTTCCTCATTCAGTACTGCAGCACCTGAAGCTGTACAGATGATTATATGCGCATTTTGTAGACAAAACTTCCTTATATCTTTGTGTTCCGATGGAACCTCGAAACGTTTTGGAAGCAAACCTAGAGCTTGAAGGCAATCAACACTGATGAATCTCTTGAAGCAATCATATCTGAAACTTCCCTTCTTGAAATCATCTCTGGAAGAATTGTCTTGCAAGAAACATTTCACACGATGAAAAGCTTGCCGGGCTGCGACCATTTTCTTCACAACTTCGAATGAAATGAAACGCTTGGGAAGATGCGTGCACAAATCAACCATATCTTTCTCCACTTCTTCACTTAAGCAGTTAAACTTCTTCTTTACATACTCTCCAAATGTAGGAACTTTTACAGCTTCTTCTTCCTTGTTACTTCCAGCTTCTTCTTTCGTCTTTTCAGCCTCTTCTTTCTTTTTCTTTTTAGCTTCCTCTTTCTTCTTTTTAGCTTCTTCTTTCTTCTTTGTTTCAGCTTCTTTCTTGATCCTCTCAGTTTCTTCTAATTCATGAACATGTTGCTCATACTTAGACTCTGTGTTCTCAAGAAAAGCCATGATTGACTCCAAGCTCTTCGTCCATCCAGAAGATGTAGAAAACAATCTACAAAGTTTCTTGATACGATGATTAAGAAACACATCGAGAAGAAAATGTTCTTCATCATTCTTGCCTATCCCCATTCTGTCGCGGTTTCCAGATAAAACAATATTCCCCAATCCGTAATTAGTACGTTCAAACGCAGATGTCTGATGAAATAAAGACGAGAGCCCTGATGCAACTTCAACAATAGCTGTGTTTGTAGTTGTAAGACCACACACAACTCTTTCCTTAGTTATATCCAACAGCCTCGTTGCAACTTGTACAATAGCTGTGTTTGTAGGAGCACACACAAGTGTTTTTCACTTGAGCTTGGAAAGAGCAACGAGAAGAGTCGCGACCGTCTTTGTTTTGCCTGTTCCAGGAGGTCCCCAAATCAGTTTCATGCTCTTCCTGTGATTACACCTCCTTGCCTTAATGCAACCCAATATTGCAGCTTCTTGGGAAGAGTTGAGTTTCGCGGATCTTATTATATCCAAAACGCGGTTAGGGTCAGAACTATCATCATCATCATTTCCACAACAAGGACATTCTTCTGTTGCCTGCAGCGCAAGAAACACGAGCAAACCCTAAAATACTTCTGGATCAGAGTTGAATTAGCTGCTTCATTGTGCAAAGCATTCCAAATTCTAGTGTTTGTGGTTAGATTCATGAGAAAAACACCAGAACAAAATGAATGTTTCTCATCATGAGAAATCGATGAAGACAAATGAACAGAGAACCTATGATCACCATAGACGGAGACTACATAGGCAAGACGTAAAGGACTCAAATCATCGATTCGTCTTGGAGCTTCTTTTGTCAGGCTCAGAGCAATTACATCTCCACATTCTGGCTTGTACTTAGCAATAACAGTAACTTCATCCGTTATTGTTATATCATGTAACAAGTTGTTGATCGGTGAGCTTCCGGTTGATTCCATTATTTGAAAGACAGGAGCTCTCACTATTTGAAAAACAGGAGCTTTCGCTAAAGATCTGAAGCTTGAGAACAACTCAGTACGTGTCTCCTCGAGTAGATGAGGAACAAAGCAGTTAAAGTATTCATCAACGGATGTAAACGTGTCTGGTATCGTCTTTAACTGTTAAAAAAAACTACACTAGTGATGAGGATTTGTAATGTATAAGTTAACAAAGATAAAAGCTATTGAAGAAAGGGTTAAAAAGAGATTACAAAACCTGTTGCTTGTAGAGATCTTTGTTGAGAATATCTTCGATAGACCAAGAACATACTCTATCGAACAGACTTGTTTTCTTTTTTTCGTCCACGAGGAAATGTATTTCTGTATTGTCCATCGATCAAAAGTAATGGCGAGTATCTGAGTTACGTCGGAGGAAATCTTTAAGAGGATTTTTTGCAGAAGAATCAACAGAGACGAAGAGAAGACAAATCTGGTGTGACTTTCAAGCTTCAATATCAGTTTGGTGTAATTAAGAGGAGAAGGCGAAAGGTCCAACAAGATTTTGGAAATGATCTACAAATTTCAAACATTTTCCAAGAAAATCTTGTAAATGGAATTTGATTTTTCTTTTTAATTTATTTCAATGTTTAAGTGTGTAGTAATCAATGAGGGGAAGATGAGTTAAACTGTAATTCTTTGAGTGTTTATAGCCTTTGAGTTTATATTAGCATCTTTGTTAATAAAAATAAACACATACACGTTATAAAAAAATTAAACCCATAGGAGTACTTGATACGCCTCAAGCTAAAAAGTTACTTGTAGATCAAGTTTCTTACTTCAAGGCTTTCCAAGAATAATCAAGACGCTCAAGAAACGGCTTCGTTGAGGCTTTGGTGGCAGCTACAAGTTTCAGAGTGGAAAGCAGTTAAAGATACTGGATTTGGCACAGGTAGGTGACATTTAAGGTGTTTCAGAAGTTAGAACACATGTAATATAAATTCGTATCATTTTCTGAAAATTTTGACATATAAAATTATGTGCAGTATTTAGCACTTCACCATCATCTACACACCTTCCTTTTTCCTCCTCTCTTAAGCGAGTTTATGGAATTCCTAATCTCAAGAATTACAACCAGTAACTCAAAAGTACTTTAACAGAAAAAAGGAAAAAAAAAAACTCAAAAGAAAACTCAAAAGTACTAAATAGAAACCATAAAACAAAGTTTCAAATGTAAATTAAAAAACCATAAATAACCGTCGGAAACTGTTAAAACAATAAAATAGAGTTTGATATCAAAGAAGAAAAATTAAAATAAGATCTACCAAGCATTTCTTCTCCCATTCCTGATCGAAAAAGACCCGAAACTCGAAGTAACATCCTCAATCAAAGCCTCATTCATGGCATCTCTAAGATTCTTCTCATCAACAGCATCGTAGAAACAGCCACGTGTCCTCGACTCACTTATCAGGTTTGCCCATATGGAACCACTGAGAGCCAAAGTGGTCTGGTTCCCAATCACCCACAAACAGTGCCTCGCTCGCGTGAGTGCCACGTTAGCTCTTTGACGGTTACTGAGAAACCCTACTTTCCCGTTACCGTTACTTCTAACGGTGGAGATGATGATGACATCTTCTTCTCCTCCTTGAAACCCATCCACAGACCGAACATTCAAAGTGAATAGCTTATCTGATAAGGAACTGTACTTATCTCCGATCTTCTCTTGGAATGCTCTGACTTGTCCTTTGTATGGTGAAACCACTCCAACGCTCATCTTCATCCTTCTTTCACTTGAAACTGTTAAGCAAATAAATAAAAAATCAAGACAGATTACACCTTCGAAAATATTTAAATCAAGAAATATTATAACTTTGAAAAGATTTAGAACAAGAAATATTATACCTTTGAAAAGATTGGGTATGATTTCAGAAATCACAGCAACTTCAACCATGTTCTTGGGACTATGACCATCACCAAACTCTTCTTTCCCACGACCAACATTGATAAACGAGAAAGAGCCAAACATGTTTCCTTGTAGAAACCTCCTTTGGTAACTGCTTTCTTGAACAATCTCAGCATCTCTGATTCTCCCTCCATAAAACTCCCTATTAGGGAATCTACTAATCGCAGGATGCATTCTGTATTGAACATTAAGCAAGTGCTTGTTATGGCCAAGCTTAACCAATCTCTCGAACAAGCTTCTTCCAAATTTGGCATTCTCAGATTCCTCATTATGAACCATTGCAGGTAACTGATACTCATCTCCTATGAGAACAGCATGACGCAAACCAGGAAGCTGCAACGCAGCAACTGATTCACACTCTTTAAGCTGAGCCGCCTCGTCAACCACAACAAGATCTACAAATCCTATCCTTTCAGGATTCATTTCGGCAGCACCAGAGGCTGTGCATAAGATTATATGAGCGTTTTGTAGACAAAACGTCCTAATATCTTGGTTCTCCAACAAGTCCGCAATCTCAAAACTTGCTGGAAGTAAAAGTAGAGCATGAAGACAATCATCACGGATGAGTCTGTTGAAGCAATCGAACCTGAAGCTTCCCTTCTTGAAATCATCTCTTAAAGCATTTTGCTGCAAGAAGTACCTGACACGTTGAAGAGCTTTACGTGCTGCGATCATATACTTAACATGCTCAGCTGAAATGAAAGACTTTGGGAGATGTGTGTACAAATCAACCATATCTTTCTCTATTTCTTCACTTGCGCCATCAAACTTCTTCTTTACAAACTCTCCAAACGTAGGAATGTTAAAAACTTCCTCTTCTTCATCTTCTTCTTCTTCAAAATATTCTTCAAAATCTTCTTCTTCAGATTCTTCTTTCCACCTTTGAGCTTCTTTCAGCTCATATACGTGACGCTCGTACTTGTCCTCTGTGTTATCAAGAAAGTTTACCAGTGACTCTAATTTCTGCTTCCAACCACAGAATGGCGAAAACAACTTGCCAAGTTTATCAATGCGCTCATCAAGAAACACATCTAGAAGAAGACTACTCCCATTCTTCTTAATTCCCATTCTGTCCCGATTTCCAGATAAAACCATACTCCCAAGACCGTAAGTAGCATGTTCTGATGAAGATGTTTCCTTAAATAAAGCCAAAAGCCTCGATGTTACCTCAACAATCGCTGTGTTTGTAGGAGCACACACAACTGTTTTGCACTTCAGATTGAGAAGGGCAAAGAGAAGCGTCGCAACCGTCTTCGTTTTGCCAGTTCCAGGAGGCCCCCAAATCAGCTTCACAGTGTTCTTGTGACTACAATTTCTCGTCTTAATGCAACCCATGATTGCAGTTTCTTGTGATGAGTTGAGTTTCGCAGATCGGATTATATCCAAAACACGTTGAGATTGACAACCCTCAACACCAGTTCCATCACAAAAACATTCTTCTGTTGCCTGCAACGCAAGCAAAACCACAAATTACTCAGTTAACGCATAAAACATAACTCTTTTTTTTACGCTACACAGAAGAAAAGAAAAGACAAGAAAATTGTTTATTAAGACTTACAAGAGTATTTGCCTGAAGCACACTATGGATTAGAGAGGAAGTAGCAGATTCGTTGTGCAAAGCGTTCCAAATGCGAGTGTTTGTGGTTAAACCCATGAGGTAAACACCGAAACGAAATTGAGGCTCCAAACCAGCTAAAGGTATCGATTTTGAAGAATGCACAGAGATTTGATCACCGCCGTTTGCTTTGAATACGTAGGCGAGAAGTAAAGGATTTAAGTCATCGATTCTTCTTGGTCTTTCTTCTGTGAGAGCAATAAGATCTCCACATTTTGGCTCGTACTTTGCACCTGCAGTAGCTGAGCCTTTTAACGCTATATCGTACGACTTGTTTGTTGAACTTCCACTTGAGTCCCTTGTGGCAATAGAATATATTTCAAAAACAGGAGATCTCGATAGAGATTTCACACTTGAGAACAGCTCGGTTCGTGTTTCCTCGAGTAGATGGGGAACAAAGCACTGAAAGTATTCATCCACAGATCTAAATCTGTCTGGTATTGTCTTTCTCTGTTACAAAAAAATAAATACACAATCGATAAGGAAACTAATGATTTAAGTACTGAAGATAAAGATCTATATATTGAAGAAATGGTTTATACCTGTCGCTTGTGTAGATCTCTGTTGAGAATATCTTTAATAGACCAAGAAAATACTCTATCGTACAGACTTGATTTCTCGTTGCTTTCCATGACCCTTCGTCTATCTATGAGACTGTTCATCACAGCAACAGAATAATGTAACCTGAGTTACGTAGGGACGTAACTTGTCTCGCAAGGCACGTAAATAGAATGAAAGTAAGAAGATTGAAAAGAGACGAAGAAGAAGAAAATTTCTGAAGTGTGAACTTTCAGTATCTGTTTGGTCTACTTAAAAGGAAGAAAGAAGAAGACGAGAAGTCCAACATACGTTGGAAATGAAATGATATCTTAATTTACAACATTTTCCAATAAACACTTCTTTTTTGAAAATTAAACTATGCAGTAATCAATGAAGTGAAGATGCATGCGAAAAGTCTAGATACAGAGCTAATAAGAAGAATCTGTTTTAAATCATCACGACTGTTTCTTTTGTTTTACGAGAGATTTATTAACTATTCAACCGTAAATTGTTATGGGGAAGAAGAAAGGTCGGCACTTTAAGAAGAAAGCATTCATGGTAGTTGACAGAGCATTTTCCCACTTCTTGTCTTAAAGCCAAAGTATTATTTTACGATTGTTCTTTTATCATAACCTAAACGCACACTGTTACAAGTGAACTTGCAGCATCAGAGCATACAAGAAAATGGCTGACGGCAATAACACTAACCCACCATCACCTGTCCTACCTGCCGGTGACGTTCCAAGAACATCCACTGCAGCAACTATCACTCCAAGGCAACAGTCAGAAGCAATAACTGTACCAGACCTAACTGAGACTCCTGCAGAAAGAGTGGCGAGGCTGGCTAGAAAAGAAGCAGGAACGTCTAATGAAGCAGACGCCACAGCGGAGAGACTTGAAGCTGAAAGAGATGAAGCGCAACGTAAGAAAGATGCCTTTGTTGACTACTATTCAAACTGGAGTTTCGCAACCAGGGCTTCTGGATCTCTTGTGAATGAGCATACTATAATGGCTACTCACAGTGATATCGCAAGGGATAACCCTCGTTTACCCTTCTATGTGAACGATACAACTGTCAATCTCATGGATGCTCCAACTGCAGTCATAGATCTTTGTAACTTGCTTAACAGAAGCGAAGATGCCTATAGTCATGAAGCTGCATCTATGGGGAGGGTGACCGAGAGAGAATACTTGTTGCTTCCCGCGGGATTGCCAATACCTCATGTCCCCATCAACGAAGTAGGCACTCCAGAAGCTGTTAAGAGGTTCGACACAACGTGGTTGATGGCTGTCTATGCACTTAACAAGTCTCTCTGCAATGACACTGCTAATGGGAATGATATTAAGTTTGGATTAGCGAGGATGCAAGCTGTTAAACTAGGCTGGTATGATGGTCTTCAACCTCAAGTCAAAATGGTCACTGTCCCTGCTAATCTTCTCAAGATCATGACCGATGATAAAGCAACTATCAGCTCACTTGAATCAAGCTACGGATGCAGCATGGATGGTGCCATTGGCCTGCGAGTATATGTTCCGTACCAAGGGACATCGTTTCATCACTGGACAGCAAGCAGAGTATGATGTGGTTTGCAAAGCTTCCTTGATGAGTGAAGTTGCCAGTTTCCTTCCTGCTCAGCTTCTCTATCATTCTGCTTTCCACTGGATCACTCCAGGAAGAGTGTGGAATGTTTTAAGAGCCAATGTTGAGACCAGCTTGATCATCCCAGATGCTATAAAGTTGAGAATGACTTATGGTCCTTCTGGTGCTGCCTTGATCACTACTACTGCTGCTGTCCTGAGAGCTTTTAGTGAACATGGGTTTATGAATGAGTTAAAAGAACTTAATGTGGTTGATGTAACTAAGATCTTTGAATTTGATGAGAAGATAAGAGAGAATCCACCTGTGTACCATTGCATACCAACTGCATATGGGTTGAGTTATCTTAGCCAAAAGGATAGGGAAGCAATGGAGGACGTGAAGGAAGAGGCTAAGAAGATCGCTCCCTTGCTACAAGGATTTTGTGAGACCATACTAAAGCATCACCCACTTGGGAAGCAGAAGGTTCTTGTCAAGCACTCTAACGACAACCCAGTGATGAAGCAAAAGGCTAAGAGATTCTTTCAACATGTCAGTAAAGGTAGTGGCAGCCTAGGAGAGCTGTATGGGGCCAAGAGGCAGAAAAAGCTCTAGCCAGGGACAATTACATCTCTGATGAAGAAGGTGGCTAAGCATCCGTGGAGGAGAAGACAACATATTTTAATGTTTTCATTGTTTTTTTTATATCTCGTTTGTAAGCCCGGTAGTGGCATGGTTTATTGATTTCATACTCTAGGTTGGTTGAGGTTCTTATTCTTCTACAATTCAGTTCAAGAATCTAAAACCTTATGCATATAAATTTTGAGAAAGTTTCAATGCAAAATCATAAAATACTTTGTGTAATATGTTTGTATTATTGAGAGGAGCCATGTTAATGAGGTTTTACTGAGTGGTTACCTCAGGCGTTCAAGTTATGAAAGCATCAGAAAATGACCAATGGGGACTTGTGCTGAAACGTAAGTCAGTGTTAAAGCTGGTTTATAACTAAATAGGACATTGTAGTCTGTAGTTGGAGATCAGTGGAGGCTCTTAAGAGTGTTTTAGCTGCGGTCAAAGATTTAGGAAGCAGGTCAACCTTCGTAGTCTCTTGCTGTATTTGAGTGTCTCATTGTTTTATTTATTTATTGACAATCTCCTTTATTGTTACAAGAAAATGTAACCCTTAAGGCCTTAACCGAGGCTATACAAATATATTAGAAGTTGAGAAAAATAAGAGAGAGAATATAATAGATATCTCATTTGAGATGCTTTGAGATACTCTTGAGATACCTATTTTACACATGCCACTCTATGATTTGTTTAATTTGTAGTTTTCAGATTTAGGTATGAGATTGAAAGTGATACAATGAATTGAAGTTGTAAAAGTTCTACATCAAAGTGATTTGGAAGCGATTTCAAAATAAATTACTAACACATTAATCTGTTTTTAAACAAAAATCTTTCCTAATTCTGATATAGGGACCTTTCGGCTTCGTCTTCCTTGCATAAACCAAAAATAGATTCTCTAAATTTGTTTCTGTGATTACTTTTGTAGGTTTCTCCAAACTTGTCATTTTTTGCGACTTTCGTTTCCTGCCTTGCCTTGTAAAATAGTTACATCTTTATAGAGCTATGATCATAATGCATGTTTTCATGTACCAATGTTTAACTTGCTCTGTTAAAATGTCGCAGGAAAGGAAATGGAAAGAACGGTGAAAACTGGTCTAGTGTATAGAATATTTTCTTGGTCCATCAAAAAATAAATAAAAAAAGATCTCAACAAGCAAAAGGTTTTCATCTCTATAAACCCTCTTCCTTAGAATTTTTTTGGTACTCAATCTGATCAATGGTTTATTTTGTAACAGATAGAGACAATACCAGACAGATTTAGCTCCAATGATGAATACTTCAAGTGTTTTGTTCCTCATCTACTGGAGGAAACGCGAGCCGCATTGTTCACAAGCTTTCAATCTTTATCGAAATCTCCTTTCTTTCAGATAAGTTCCTTGGAGACAAGGACAAAAGAAGAAAGTGTATTCTTATCAGACATGTTGGTCCATGATATAACATTAGTGGATGCAGAGAATGTCAGTGCAAAGTTCAAGCCACAAAGTGGAGATCTCATTGCTCTCACAAAGGAGCTACCAAGAAGTTTCCATGACTTGAAACCATTGCTTCTTGCCTATGTTCCTGTAGATGATCATCCAAAAATCCCTGTTATTTTGTCTAAAATGATATCAGATGAAGAGAAAAAATCACTTGGGTTTGGTGTTTTTCTCATGAACGCAACTACAAACGTCCGCATATGGAATGCTTTGCACCGTGAAGCTTCCAAATATGATCTCATCCAGAGTGTTCTTCAGCCAAGTACTACGGTATGTATATAAGGATTTGACTTAACACACTGTTGATTTTTTTAGTTAATTCATATTAAATTTCTCCTCTCCGTAACTATAAGTCATGTGTTTAAAGTTTAGGCTGTCTCTGAATATTTAGAAAGTTTAGTAAAATATTGTAATCTCTTGAGATAATGGTTTCAGTCTGAAGATTCAGTTTCTCTTGCTTGGAGTAAATGTGGTTAATTTTCTTGTGTTTTAGGGTATAGAGCAAACTGTTTCTTCTGATAATAGTTGGGGACAAGATGTTTTGGATATTATCCAATCAACGAACTTGAACCCTTCCCAAGAAGGTGCGATATTGAGCTGCCTTGAGACATGTAATCACAGGCACAGTGTGAAACTGATTTGGGGACCTCCTGGCACAGGCAAAACAAAGACAGTTGCAACGCTTCTCTTTGCCCTTCTCAACCTAAAACGCAAAACAGTTGTTTGTGCTCCTACAAACACAGCTATTGTAGAAGTAACATCGAGGCTATTGGAATTATCCAAGAAATCTTCAGAACACGCCACGTACGGTTTTGGAAATATTGTTTTAGCTGGAAACCGCAAAAGAATGGGGATTGAGAACAATGCTTATCTTCGGGATGTGTTTCTTGATCATCGCATCAGTAAACTTGGTAAATTGTCTTCGAAATATTCTGGATGGAAGCGAAGTTTGGAGTCATTCATAGACTTTCTTGAGAAAACAGACGCTAGGTACAAGCAATATGTTGAGGCTATAAAAGAAGCTGAAAAAAATAAAGAAGAAGCTGAAAGTAAGAAGGAGCAAGAAGAGGTTGTAGAGATTCCTACATTTGAAGAGTATGTAAAGATGAAGTTTAATGGATTAGGTAAACAACTGGAGATATATATGGTTGATCTGTACACGCATCTTCCCAAATTTTTCATTTCATATGAAGATGTGGAGAAACTGATCGCAGCTCGTCAAGCCGTAGAGCGTGTCAGAGATTTCTTGCAGGAGAATGTTTTCAAGAAAAGAAGTTATAAATAATTTATCCGTGATGATTGCCTTCTCCAGGCTCTAAGTGTCCTTCGTAAACTTTTTATTCCAACGTTAGCGGGAGAGGAAGGTATAAGGAAATTTTGCCTAGGAAGCGCGGATCTAATCTTCTGTACAGCCTCAGGTGCTGCGGAAATGACTACTGAG